GACACTTACACCTCTGGCAATATCTTGTATGTCATGTTCACCATTATAAATAACGTCTAAGTGAGTTTGCTTTTGCGAGGACAACAATAACTGAGAAACGGCATGAACCCCTTTCAAATTTCATCAATTTTCGGACATGTAAACTTTTTACTAAAGCTGAAACTCGTTTTAAGCTAAAGCCTCTTGGCAAAAGCCGGAGTTTTTTTTTTGTACGGAGCTATATAGATTTTTTTCAGCGAGAGCTGGACGTGAAACGTCCGGAGTTTTCATAGCTGTACTATAATTCCTCCTTTCACACATGTTAGCTATACATCACGTGGTGTAGGCATGCCCTTGCCTATATGTATTTATTTTCTTTATTTCTGTTTTCTAGAAATAACCAAAGAAGTTGTGCTGCAGCCAGAAGAATATGTAGAAAAACTTGTCGACCTAAACTGCTTTACGTTTGTTGTGGTAGCTAAAGAAATAGAGACAGAAAAATATTACGTAGACGAAGCCAAATTTCAGTTATTTAACCCAGACGCAATACAAGTTAAGGTCAGTTTGAACGTAGATTTACCGGACAAAGTGAAGAAGATATTTCGGAAAATTATGAATTTGAAATCACATGACCAACATTGGGCCAGCTGCGTTTATTAACATTGTTGCTGACAATTTTTTAGTTTGACCATTTGCCTCTTCACACTGGAAAAAATGCTGAAGTTGAAGTCATCTTTACAAATCCTTTGCCCGTCAGATTATCCAATATTAAAATCAGTATTGAAGGAGCCGGTTTGCTTCATTTAACGACAAAGACGTTCAGGTAGTACTCGATTCTTGCTTTCTTTTACCTTATAACTCATTTTAGAGATAACATTTTGTTTTGATTTTAAACAATTTAGGAAAAGCCTTCAGCCTGATGAAAAACAAACTGCCACTTTTTCGTTCTCACCTCGAAAATCTGGACAACGAACATTACTGGTTGATGTTGATACAACTCAGGTGAAAAACTTCAAGACTTCAGTTGATGTGACAGTCAAAAGATCTTCTCGTTTTTCCTAAACAATTTTTTATCACGTAAAACAAATAGAGTTTATAAATAGTCGAACACCAATGAGAATCAAGAAAGAACTTCGAGCTGAAAAGCTTCAATAGAACTATACTTTATTGTGCATTCTTCATGTATAGTACTAAAGTATAGTTCTTCAAAAGTATAGTTCTAAAAGTACTAAAGTATAAAAGTATAGTACTAGTACTAAAGCATAGTTCTTCAAAAGAACTATACTTTATTGTGCATTATCTAGTACTCAAATAAAATAAAACGTCAACAAAATATATTTTACGTCCTAGCTAAACACTTGCGTTATTTCGGGAAATTTTTTGTTTTTTGTACATGTTTGACATGTTTGTTATACAGCTATCGTTCAGCTGCAGAGGAGGTCTTAACTAACTTTAATGAAAAAGAAGAGTAATGAATTTTGGTGATCAACACAGTAAAGACTTTCATTCAGGGACTGCCCTAGTCCAAAACTTCAAAGTTGGCTCGCTTTCATAGAATTTCCGTAGTGTGTTTACTACGTGGGGTTTCATATCCAAAATGCAACAGGCTGACCATTACAGAAATTGCCGCATTTGCTTTAAAACCTGTTCCACACGTAAAAGATAATTTTGGTGTTTTCGTTAAAGATACTGTGCCATAGACACCAGAATAGAGACTAAAAATAACATAATTCCGAGAAAAGGAGTCACAACAAAGGTTTTTCTAGATCAAACCCATTTGTCTTTTTTACAATGGTTGTTTGCTGAAAGATTTAAATATCTTTCCCTATTATGACTACTTATAAAGGAAGAACCCATCTCTTAAAGAACTTATTGGTCCAGAAACATGATTAAAAATGCGTACAAATAATTGCAAATGATGCCTTTACTTTCAATTATTTAATTTGGTCGATCCTTTTTTCAGACTGGTTGATCCACTTATCAGCCTGCTCGATCCTCTTATTAGCCGGGTTGTTCCTCTATTAACCTGCTCGATCCTCTTATTGGCTGGCTCGATCTTCTTATTAACCTGCTCGATCCTCTTATTAGCCCAGTTCATTTTTCCTTGCTATAAAGATAGATTTTCTGAAATTTTTGATACTCTGATGTGAACTCTCATTATAATGTGAGCTCTCGCTAATCTTATGAAAACCGAGGAAACATTTGGGAGAACTCGAGAGCAGATCAGTGCAAGACTGAGACCGAAGGTCTAGGATTGCACCAGCTAGGGAGTTCTCACAAACGTCTCGGAGGTTTTCATAAGCTATTGTAAACACGAAAAACATCTTTTGTTTCTTTTATAAAGCAACAATAATGCGAAAAAGACAAATTTAAAACAAATGCTTTAATTTTTTCTATAAAATGTATTCATGATTGTTTTGTAAATTCTCATTGATTGTAAATTCTGAAATATTCCTTTCCACTTTCCAGTCAATAAATTAATTTTTTGAAAGTCTGGAAACAGAACGCTTTTGAATTAGAATAGACAGGGCCCGGAGCACAATCAAATTTTGGGCTTTTCTATATCTTCCTATGCCTTGGATACATATTACAATTTTTCTTTGCCTTCTTTTTTCCATTTTTTTTCAAGATGTCCCCCCCTCTCTTTTCCTGAATGACCTTGGGAATAGAACACTGTCATAGTGTTTTTATGTTCTTTCTTGCAAATTTTCGAGTTCTTTCTTAGAAATTATCTTGTTCTTTCTTAGAAATGTTAAGAAAACATAACATGGGAGTCACTTGCATTTAGTCCAGTCAATCTACGACCAAAAACACTCTAAGCTTGAACAAATTTCCACAAAAGAAATTCCAACTGATTTTGGTATATTTGATATCCCTTTACAACATATCGAAAGTCCCACAAAATCCTAGCACGGCAACATCGTGTAAATTACGTTTTATTTGAGGCATTTGGATTGAAAATCTGAGCGACATGGAAACGAGGCTCAAAAATTAATGTTTTAGATTTTATCCTTTTAGAACACTTAGTAAAGCACAAATATAAATATTATAGATTAAAAAACAAGTAGATAATGATATTTTGTAAATTAATTAATATTTTGTCCTTTATTTACGTCAAAAATGCTGATCTTGCTTTTTTGGGTACTAATTTTCGCTGACTTGGTAGTTTTTTAGACAAAAAACGTGTTTGAAGTACGTTTGTTTACGTATATTTTGCACGTGTTTAGATGGATATTTATTATATTTAATGTGACTTCCCTTTCAATACTTCAAATTGAAGCTTTGGCTCATTATTGGCATCAAAATGTGACGTTTCTTTGTTCTCCTCAAGGTAAGCAAAATAGATAACTTGAAGACAATGAGTTAATGAATGTATTATTTAATTGCTATTACATTTTACAATGAATGAATACGTTAATATTGTGGGTCACAATAATTTAAGTTAAAACTAACAAGAGGGGGCTATAATTAGCGACCTAATTACCAAATACAATGTTTGCATTATAATACCGCGTTCAAAGCCATAGATACATTAGGGCTGTAAAATATCTCATAAACCAGTAAATAAAACCAGGCTTTTTTGTGTTGTCGAACACTATTTTGCTTGTGAATCATTATAGGATGGATCAAATTCTGCGTCAGTACTGTGCAATATGTAAAGAATCAATTGTGAACAACGGGTTGGCTCTAACATCTAAAGGGATAGATGGTATAAACCGAGCTAGTAAAGAAAGAGGCGATACAGTTGACGTCCGTGAAGGTGACAGCGTTCACATAGCATGTAGGAAACGATACACAAATCCATCATATATTTCTAAATCGCTACGTCAGAAGGAAGAGCGTCATCCCGTACCAAGAACCCTTCGCTCACAAAGTTCAGTTCAGTTCGATTTCAGAAGAGATTGCTTGTTTTGCGGAAATGAAATTAATCAAGAACAAGAGCGCAAAAGGGGGCGTGTTGTTTGCACTGTTAGGACTATGGACATTCAAGACACCATCTTAAATGCTTGCAAAGTGAGATGCGATGACTGGGCCGAGTCCGCAAAATCAAGGATCCAAAGTGTGCATGACCTACCGGCAGCTGACGCAATGTATCATCATCTATGCCGTACAAACTTCAGGACAAAAATGAGAATTCCAGCGCCATTTAATGACCAACCACCGCTCAAAAAGCGCAAGTCAGGACGACCAATCAACAACACTGCCAACGATGCATTTTTAAAGGTAGCTCAACATTGAAACACCAAACGACATATATCCGTTAATCGACAGTGACATTGACAGAAATCTTGAATTCTTACCCCCAACACTTCAGCTTCTTCTTAATCAACTGTTTTCAGGAAAAGACACATCTCGGAAAGTAGCTTTTGTTGGTCAAGCGATTATGCAGTCAACTCGTCCTCGTGCTTTGCTTGCACCTTTACAGATTGGAATGGGTGTTTTACTCCATCACAGCTTTGCCTCGCGTTTTTTAATAGACACGCTTAATCATGTTGGTTTCTGTTCGTCATATGAAGAAGTCCTCTCATTCAAACGAAATGCAGCCGTAAGCCAAGGGACTACAATCCCGGATTATAATGGTGAGTTTACACAGTATGGTTTGGATAACCTCGACCATAATCTCCGAACTATCGACGGGCATGGTACATTTCACGGTACAGGGATAATTGCAATGGTAACACCAGGTACAAATAAAATAAGCCAAGTTCCAAGGAAAAAGGTTAAAGATCAAGACATCTTATCAACTGGTCAAATAGAAATTATACCGGTTTCACAACCAAGAAAGGCAACTTTAGACATCAAGTTTAAAGAGGTTACCATTGCCAGTGTAGAAGACCCAACAGCAAATCTGGATGTACTATGGAAATCATCATTGCTATTCAGAGATGTTAGTCGACCGAACTGGGGAGGATTTATGCAAAACCATCTCAAGGGAAATACCCGGCAAGTCATCTATACTGTTTTACCGATGATTGACATGAACGCTAGTGACATTACCTGTATCAACTCTGCACTTCACTTTGTTTGCAAGCATGCAGAAGAACATGGAATTGAAAATCCTATCGTTACTTACGACCAGCCCCTTTGGCATAAGGCATTCTCGCTGATCAACACTGAGTCTCAAGACAGTAAACTGCGAAAGATTATTCCTAGACTTGGCTCTTTCCATACTTTGATGAGCTTTCTTGGCAGTATTGGTCACTTAATGGCGGGTTCGGGATTGAAGGAGCTGCTGGAGTTGATATACGCACCCAACGCTGTGGAACATATGCTCTCTGGAAAGCTGTTTCTAGAGCTCTACGTGGTCATTTAATCGTCGACGCTGCACTTAACGCCTTACTATACTCAGCCACACTTGGTGTACAAGTACCATGTTTAGATTCTACTGGTAAAATTCTTATAAATGCTCATGATTTCATAATATAAACTAACCATTTACTTGTTTTACGCGCAGATGACGCTGATTTTGATGAAGACATTGATGATGGTTCAAATATAACTGATGAATCTTTTCATGCTGCTTATGAAGGTGGGTGCTTTTATAGAAGAGACTTTTAATAAGGCATGGATTCATACGAAGTTGACATATCTTATAGATGCGACAAACACAGAAATCGTAGATGACATCATCTCAACACAAGACACGTCCAATGAAATTCAGCGCTTGGAAGGTAATACTATAGCACCAAAGAAGGGTCAATAACCCTTACTAACAAATAATAACAACATGCAATTTTTTTTTCCAAGGAGTGCCTGAAGAGAATCAAATTGATGAAAACAAGAACCTCTTGAATCAATGCCAAGACCTTTACGAAGACTTGATTGAGAAAAGAAAAACAGCTCAAGAAGTGGCTGCTTCAAATAAGCTGAAAGAAATCGAGGAAAAGGTTAGCAACAGGCGAAGAGAGCTGAAAGCCAAAAGTTGAACCGCTACTCTTTGGCTACAATATCAAGAGATGATTGACATTGTGCGTGGATTTATTAAAGCTGAACGAACTGGAAATTGGGAGATGCACCTCCAAGTCCTATCAAGAATGTTACCATACTTTGCTGCATCTGGCCACAACCTTTACACAGAAAGTTCTACCCTCTATTTACAATCTATGATGAATCTTACAGATGAGCTTCCTGAAGTCTACAAGTCATTTTCAGATGGTTTCCATGTTTTCAGAAGGAGTGAACGTTACTGGGCTGGCCTGTCCACTGATTTAATTATAGAACAAGTTCTTATGAGAACTGTTAAAACCACAGGTGGCCTGAACCGCGGAAGTGGAATGACCGAACGGTAACGTGTCGTGTGGGTATTGTCTACTCCAGCATGTGCCCAGCTTAGCTCAGCTATGCAAGACCTCATTGGCATCATTTGTGAACACAGCGAACAAAATAAAGATATGTCCCAAAGTCGACAGAAAAGAGATATGGATGATACCATGCTCATACTTAAAACGCTTGCATCAGAAGGAAAGAATCCATTTATTCAAGAATCAGTTCTCAAGAATATAATGACAGGTGTAAACGCAGATGATTCCGTTGATGTTGATGAAGCTCGAAGTAAAGGAGAAAACATATTGTCAAAGATGGCTGGTACAAAAGTATGCGACTACACATTTACACGTAAAGATCAGGCCATTACTCTTGCTGCAGGCTCATCAGTAAAGATAAACGGAGTAAAAGTACATGTCGATCCACAGCTTCTGTTTCAGAGGTTAGTCTTTGCATGTAATACCGTTGATGATTTAGAAGAAGTATTTCAATACGAGCTTTGTAGTTATCCAGCAGCCTTGTTCGATTCCCCGCTAACGTTGCGACAGCCTCAGAAGTCTAATCTTGCAGACACATTGTGGGAAATGCTGTCACCTGATGCTAAGGCCGGCCCGGTCGGCGAAACCAAATTCGTCATTGATGGAGGAGCTCTTCTTCATCACGTACCATGGCCAAAGAAAGCAACCTTTCAAGAATTGTGCCAGAAGTACTGCCACTATGTAAAACAGAAATATGGGGCAGGAAGTTGTATTGTTTTGACGGTTATGATAACCCATCTACTAAGAACATGGCGCAACAACGAAGATCATCCGGAAAGGTTGGGGCAACAGTGTCATTCGAAGCTGACATGAAGATAACAATGAAAAGAGATGTATTCCTGGCTAATATACACAATAAGAAACGACTTATAACTACTCTTCGAAATTATCTGGATTTGAATGGCTGTACTACACTCCAAGCCGATGGCGACGCTGATCTTCTCATAGTAAAGTCAGCTGTTTCAAGTGCCATGAAATCTCCTACCGTTCTTGTTGGAGATGATACAGATCTTCTTGTTTTAATGTGCTATTACGTCAAAGTGGATGAGGGATGTGGTCTTTATTTTCGTCCAGAACCAAAGAAAACAACTAAACGTAGAACGGAAAGAGTATGGAACATGAGAATAGTGAGATCAGAGCTGGGTGAATCTCTGTGTAAAAACATTTTGTTTCTTCATGCTATTGCTGGTTGTGACACGACATCCCGGCCCTTTGGCCTTGGAAAATCGGCACCTCTTAAGAAATTCACAGATTCAAACTATTTCCGTGAACAAGCATCAGCATTTGAAGTTTCAAACGTCAGCATGAATACGGTTATCCAGAGTGGTGAAAATGCCTTGGTCTGCATGTATGGAGGATAAAAAGGCGAGACTCTAGACAGTTTGCGCCACAGGAAGTACTACGAGAAGGTGTGCACTAAAGGCCGAATGGTAGAGCCCCAAAGTCTTCCCCCAGCATCTAGTGCAGCCAAGTATCATTCATTGAGAGTCTTTCTTCAAGTTAAGCAATGGCAGAGTCAAGACAAAGGATTGTTGATTGATGCGTTTGGTTGGAAAATCTGTGGTTATGTTATCGTACCTAGAAAAACTGATCTTCCAGCAGCTCCTGAAAACTTGCTTAATATGATACGATGCAACTGTACCACAAATTGTTCAACTACAAGATGTACCTGTCGTAAAAATGGACTTCACTGCACAATGGCATGTGGTCAATGTAGAGGTACTGGTTGCACTAACAGTGGTGTTGATGTTGAAGATGATTAACAAAAGTATGAAATGACAGAAATGTCTTTGTAAATCAAAGTACACTATATCAACCATATGTAAATTTAGTGACATTCTTGTATTACTATGTAACCTAAAGGATTCCTTTTTTTCGGTCGTTGAAGACTTAACATGATTTTTAATAGCCACGCTGCAGATTTATATAATCAAATATGATATTCGTTAGGTCAAAGCAGTGTTATTTTGTAATTCTTGTTTATAGCCTCGTTTTCATGTCATAATTTCACAGAAAACATTATTTTACGAAGTTGCCGGCCTCAGATCATGTGGGACTTTTAATATGTTGTTCTGTACATGAAAGGAAAGATATTTTTGAAGAGTGAGCTTTTGTGGGAATTAGTTCAAGGTTCAACCATAAATCTACTGGACTAATTGTAAATCCTTTTGATAAAATCATCCAACATGGCGGCCATTGTGTAGCTTGCACACCAACTCACTCACTACCGTTATAGTATTGACCATTTTTAATATTGTTTTGTATGAAATATTGGGATTAGTATTGTTACTGAAAATGACATCGCGTAAGCGAACATCGACATCGACAACAAGAGAAGACATAAGCGCTCTGTCAAAGAAGAAAGTCATCGAGACAGGTACATACAGCAGCACGCTTGTTATAAACATACAACAATGTCATTTTGCTATCTGTGGCAGAAAAAGTCTAAATCTAACTCAGGTAACGCATTTTGTAAATTAGTAGATGAGTAGATTACAAACGAGCTAAATTACAACAAAATGGTCTATAGACATTTTCTGGTCTTCAAGCTTATCCGCTGACGTCATGTTGTTCGTCAAGTAATGAGGAATCTTACTTCTTTTACCCACATACTCCAAGCACGTGAAAAGTTTCAAATTGCAAAGCGGAGAGGATTTTATTTTAACGTGTGTCAATAAATATACATAAAACTTCCACGTTTAGAGTACATTTACACAGGCATCGTTTTGCTTAACTCGTTATATCCAGTCTGTTTAAAAAAATTTATCAGCATTCCTTCTATAGGAATTGCCAAGAGTTCGTCAGTTGAAATATAAATATCAAAGCCCAGCAAAGTGCTTTTAAAGAGCCATTTAATGCATAGAAAGAAATATTTATTTAAAAGTGTAACGTTTCGTTTCCTCTATACTTGTAATTCAATATTGTCTGATGATGTCTTGATGTCTTTACGTAAGGTTTGTTTTCAGGACAGTGCATTGACCTCAGAGCGTTGAACAACAGGAGCATGACAAACGTCATATGGGACCACCGGATGCTAGTTTCTCATGTTATAAATTTTTACCGAGCTCTAAAGTTGTTAAAATTGACTCCCTCCTCCAGCACTAAGGTATACTCTAAAAAGAACAATAATTAACACAAGAATAATGGGTACAGGTTGGTCAAAAGAAGGCTCCGTTTCGTTCAACTATCATAAACAGGAGAATTCCACTCTTCACCATACGGAAGAATACGATGAGCAAAATCTGGTTCTTAGACGTGGTTTCACATTTCAGCTAAGTGCAGTTTTTGAGAATTTTAGCCAAAGTGAAATTAAAGACGCTGGATTGCGTTTTAGCATTGGAGGTAAGAAAATATGGTGCTATGCAAATAACGAAATGATATCAACGTTTTAGGTGTTTAAAGATTAATATCGAACAGACGATCATCTTTTTCTCTTCATGTCTTTTTTGAGCATTTAAATCGTTTGTATTTTATTTATCACTTTAGCAAATGACAGATTCATTCAGCCTCGTATATGGGAAAATAAACTCATTGAATCAAATGAAAAGGAGCAAAAATTTGAAGTGAAAATCCCGGTTAATGCTGCTGTCGGAAGGTTTGTCAGCATTTCATAATTACTAGGTTTTAAAACAACTCCGTATCTGATGAAGATCGATGAAAAATATCTTTAGACTAATATAAAAAACCTGAATGCGAAATTCAAGTAGAGTGATTGTAATCAACATCTCAACAACACACTCGTATTTAGTGGCATAGCCATCTGAAATCATTGTTTGAAATGCATGTATGCCATAGATATAGTATGTATGCTATATCTACGATGTATGCCGTAAATCCGGATATGCGGTGGATTTCGGCATGCATATATAAATATTTGGCCCTATTTATCGAGCTGGTTGTACGTCAGTCCTACCGTATGGTAAATTTTGATTGAAAAGCGAACCCAATAACCACTCATCAAGAACGTGTGCATAGTTCTTAGTTCTTTACCATAATTTCTAATTAGCAGCAATTTTAAAAAACACTTGAGAAAAACGACGATTTTTTTGAGAGCAAACATGTTTCGACATTATCAGAATGCCATCTTCAGTGCAGAATGGTTAGTGTTAGGTAATATGATACGTAATATGATATAAATACATTAATTACAATGAATAGGATTATGATTCAGTTACTAAATATAAAATATTTACAAAAAAGGAAAAGAAAAATAAGTATTAAGAACTTATAACAAAAAATATTATTATAAAGTAAATATAGTGTTGTAGTGGTGAACTTGGATATTTAAATCGGGATTAGTTTTATTAATGTGTAGAGCTTCCTTGATTTTGAGTGAGAAAGTGGATTGATCAGTGTCGATGATTTTAAAACAGGAAGGTGAGAATTTGATTTTACATGAAGGAGAGGCTTGAAGATGTTTGTAGATAGTGGAGTTTTGTCTGTGTGAGTATGTTCCTTTATCCTGGTAGATAATTGGCGAGAAGTTTCACCAATATAGCGGGAATTACATCCCGCACATGAAAATTGATAAACTACCATAGATTTGGAAAGTTCGGGAAGTGGGTCTTTAAACGAAAATAAAGATTTTATTTTAAAAGGTGTGAAAATAAGTTTAACGTCAATGTCAGTGCAGTAGCGTTTAATGATTTGTGTGAGTTTGCGTTGTGTGTGTCGTAATCACCTATGTAAGGTAGTTTGAAATAACGTTTATTGTCAGGTTGTTGTATATCGTCAGTGTTAGTTGTGGAGTTAGATGAGTCAGTGCTTTTCTTGTTGTCCAAATAGTGTTGTATAGTGTTGTTGATGAAATGAAAAGGAAAAGAATTACGTTGGAGAGTGAATATTAGTTTCTTTAGATCACGTTGAAAGCCGATATCTGTGTTGTTAAGTTTCTGTGCTCTGTCGGTCAGTGTTCGTATCAGTCCAATTTTGTAATTTAATGGTGTGAAACTAAAAAAGTTAGTCAGTAGTCCTGTATATGTTGGTTTGTGGTACGTAGAGGTCATACAGTTTTCATGTGATTTAGTTAGTAAGATGTCCAGAAAGGGTAACTGATTGTCTTGTTCGGTTTCGTATGTAAAGTTTATGCTTGGATGTTGTTTGTTGATGTATTCGTAAAGAGTAATGCTTCGTCTTTGTTATGAAAAATACAAAAATGTCATCAACGTATCTGCGGTAAAATAAAGGTTTGTTGTTGCTGTAGTTATTTAACCAGTTTCGTTCGTGAAAACCCATGAAAATGTTGGCTAGAATGGGTGCCAAGGGTGAGCCCATACTTACCCCGTCAATTTGGTCGTAGTACTTACCGTTAAATAAAAATGAGTCTCGGCCGTAGTGATTTCAAACAATAGTTTTAGTTCTGTTCTGCTCATTTTGAATGTAGGGTTGTTGGTAAAATTAAATCAATAGCAATGTCTATGGTTTCAGTCAGTGGTATGTTGGTAAAAGGCTTTCAACGTCAAAAGAAATAAAGAATTTGTCATGTGGAGCGTTAGTGTTAAAATATAAAAATCATCGACAAAACTAAAAGAATCTTTAGCAGAATGGTCATTAGGTATTAGGGTTGGAGTAAAGAGCTGAGGTATTTGGCTAATTTATAGTTATACGAATTGATTGAAGAATTTATAGGTCTGATAGGAGGTATGTCATTGATATTGTTTAATTTATGAAGTTTAGGTAAACCATATAATCGAGCTGGCTGTGAACCTCTAGGGTACATTTCTTGAAATGATTTTTCGTTAATAGAGTTCTTTTTCTTTAACTTACGTAGCAGTCGTTGTAACTTGGCTTCACGGGAGATTGTAGGATCATGATCGAGTGGTTTGAACTTAGATAAATTGTTAATTATAGTGAGGCAAGAGTTAATGTATACCTGACGATCCATAATGACTACACCATTGCCTTTGTCAGGTTTAAGAACAATGATTTTGTCATTATTACGAATGTTCCTTAGAATTTTATGTTTCTTCAGGTCTTTAGGAGTTGGATGGTAGGAATTTACGTACGTGTGTGCCAAGTGACCAAGTTCCGTTTTTAGTATTGAATAGTCCTCTTGTTTGATAAGTTTATTTCTTAATGAATAGTGGATTCGTTCGAATGTTGCCAGAATGTCGGAGGAGTGGATTTTTGGAGGTTTGATGCTGAAATTGAGACCGTTTTTTAGAGCGTTAAGTTCATCTTCACTAAGCTTTACAGATGATAGGTTGGTGACAGTGTCTTTATGAGTGAATGGTATAGCCTTGTTTTTGGTCAAATTATTTAGTTTCTTACGGTGTGTCGAAAATATTTTGTTTAGTTGTTTGTCGACATTCTTTTTGAGGGCTTTATTCAAGATATGCCAGTCAATTGGGTTAAGAAAGCTTTTGATTTCTTCTGTTTTGTTCGTCAGGTCCCTATTCAGTGTCCGTAGTTCTTTAGATCTCTTCGCTATCGTAGTTCGTAGTAAACGCTTTCGAATGTGGTATGTATCTCGATTGTCAACATTAGGCAGTGGAAAACACAGGAACTTTGGAAAACTCAAGTGAATTGCAATCTTTAAAGGCGACATCAAGTTCAGCCTTGCGTTTCTTAGTTGTAAGCTTTTCATAATTTCGAAAATCCGACAAGGAACCTTTCCATGATAATTTTGTGCTAAGTCGTAGATATATTACCATAATTTCTAATTAGCAGCAATTTTAAAAAACACTTGAGAAAAACGACGATTTTTTTGAGAGCAAACATGTTTCGACATTATCAGAATGCCATCTTCAGTGCAGAATGGTTAGTGTTAGGTAATATGATACGTAATATGATATAAATACATTAATTACAATGAATAGGAGTATGATTCAGTTACTAAATATAAAATATTTACAAAAAAGGAAAAGAAAAATAAGTATTAAGAACTTATAACAAAAAATATTATTATAAAGTAAATATAGTGTTGTAGTGGTGAACTTGGATATTTAAATCGGGATTAGTTTTATTAATGTGTAGAGCTTCCTTGATTTTGAGTGAGAAAGTGGATTGATCAGTGTCGATGATTTTAAAACAGGAAGGTGAGAATTTGATTTTACATGAAGGAGAGGCTTGAAGATGTTTGTAGATAGTGGAGTTTTTGTCTGTGTGAGTATGTTCCTTTATCCTGGTAGATAATTGGCGAGAAGTTTCACCAATATAGCGGGAATTACATCCCAATTATCTACCAGGATAAAGGAACATGTGAGTATGTTCTCGCCAATTATCTACCAGGATAAAGGAACATGTGAGTATGTTCCTTTATCCTGGTAGATAATTGGCGAGAAGTTTCACCAATATAGCGGGAATTACATCTTCAAGCCTCTCCTTCATGTAAAATCAAATTCTCACCTTCCTGTTTTAAAATCATCGACACTGATCAATCCACTTTCTCACTCAAAATCAAGGAAGCTCTACACATTAATAAAACTAATCCCGATTTAAATATCCAAGTTCACCACTACAACACTATATTTACTTTATAATAATATTTTTTGTTATAAGTTCTTAATACTTATTTTTCTTTTCCTTTTTTGTAAATATTTTATATTTAGTAACTGAATCATAATCCTATTCATTGTAATTAATGTATTTATATCATATTACGTATCATATTACCTAACACTAACCATTCTGCACTGAAGATGGCATTCTGATAATGTCGAAACATGTTTGCTCTCAAAAAAATCGTCGTTTTTCTCAAGTGTTTTTTAAAATTGCTGCTAATTAGAAATTATGGTAATATTATCTACGACTTAGCACAAAATTATCATGGAAAGGTTTCCTTGTCGGATTTTCGAAATTATGAAAAGCTTACAACTAAGAAACGCAAGGCTGAACTTGATGTCGCCTTCCTTAAAGATTGCAATTCACTTGGAGTTTTTCCAAAGTTCCTGTGTTTTCCACTGCCTAATGTTGACAATCGAGATACATACCACATTCGAAAGCGTTTACTACGAACTACGATAGCGAAGAGATCTAAAGAACTACGGACACTGAATAGGGACCTGACGAACAAAACAGAAGAAATCAAAAGCTTTCTTAACCCAATTGACTGGCATATCTTGAATAAAGCCCTCAAAAAGAATGTCGACAAACAACTAAACAAAATATTTTCGACACACCGTAAGAAACTAAATAATTTGACCAAAACAAGGCTATACCATTCACTCATAAAGACACTGTCACCAACCTATCATCTGTAAAGCTAAGTGAAGATGAACTTAACGCTCTAAAAAACGGTCTCAATTTCAGCATCAAACCTCCAAAAATCCACTCCTCCGACATTCTGGCAACATTCGAACGAATCCACTATTCATTAAGAAATAAACTTATCAAACAAGAGGACTATTCAATACTAAAACGGAACTTGGTCACTTGGCACACACGTACGTAACTTCCTACCATCCAACTCCTAAAGACCTGAAGAAACATAAAATTCTAAGGAACATTCGTAATAATGACAAAATCATTGTTCTTAAACCTGACAAAGGCAATGGTGTAGTCATTATGGATCGTCAGGTATACATTAACTCTTGCCTCACTATAATTAACAATTTATCTAAGTTCAAACCACTCGATCATGATCCTACAATTTCCCGTGAAGCCAAGTTACAACGACTGCTACGTAAGTTAAAGAAAAAGAACTCTATTAACGAAAAATCATTTCAAGAAATGTACCCTAGAGGTTCACAGCCAGCTCGATTATATGGTTTACCTAAACTTCATAAATTAAACAATATCAATGACATACCTCCTATCAGACCTATAAATTCTTCAATCAATTCGTATAACTATAAATTAGCCAAATACCTCAGCTCTTTACTCCAACCCCTAATACCTAATGACCATTCTGCTAAAGATTCTTTTAGTTTTGTCGATGATTTTTTATCTTTTAACACTAACGCTCCACATGACAAATTCTTTATTTCTTTTGACGTTGAAAGCCTTTTACCAACATACCACTGACTGAAACCATAGACATTGCTATTGATTTAATTTTTACCAACAACCCTACATTCAAAATGAGCAGAACAGAACTAAAACTATTGTTTAAAATCACTACGGACGAGACTCATTTTTTATTTAACGGTAAGTACTACGACCAAATTGACGGGGTAAGTATGGGCTCACCCTTGGCACCCATTCTAGCCAACATTTTCATGGGTTTTCACGAACGAAACTGGTTAAATAACTACAGCAACAACAAACCTTTATTTTACCGCAGATACGTTGATGACATTTTTTGTATTTTTCATAACAAAGACGAAGCATTACTCTTTTACGAATACATCAACAAACAACATCCAAGCATAAACTTTACATACGAAACCGAACAAGACAATCAGTTACCCTTTCTGGACATCTTACTAACTAAATCACATGAAAACTGTATGACCTCTACGTACCACAAACCAACATATACAGGACTACTGACTAACTTTTTTAGTTTCACACCATTAAATTACAAAATTGGACTGATACGAACACTGACCGACAGAGCACAGAAACTTAACAACACAGATATCGGCTTTCAACGTGATCTAAAGAAACTAATATTCACTCTCCAACGTAATTCTTTTTCATTTCATCAACAACACTATACAACACTATTTGGACAACAAGAAAAGCACTGACTCATCTAACTCCACAACTAACACTGACGATATACAACAACCTGACAATAAACGTTATTTCAAACTACCTTACATAGGTGATTACTCACGACACACACAACGCAAACTCACACAAATCATTAAACGCTACTGCACTGACATTGACGTTAAACTTATTTTCACACCTTTTAAAATAAAATCTTTATTTTCGTTTAAAGACCCACTTCCCGAACTTTCCAAATCTATGGTAGTTTATCAATTTTCATGTGCGGGATGTAATTCCCGCTATATTGGTGAAACTTCTCGCCAATTATCTACCAGGATAAAGGAACATACTCACACAGACAAAACTCCACTATCTACAAACATCTTCAAGCCTCTCCTTCATGTAAAATCAAATTCTCACCTTCCTGTTTTAAAATCATCGACACTGATCAATCCACTTTCTCACTCAAAATCAAGGAAGCTCTACACATTAATAAAACTAATCCCGATTTAAATATCCAAGTTCACCACTACAACACTATATTTACTTTATAATAATATTTTTTGTTATAAGTTCTTAATACTTATTTTTCTTTTCCTTTTTTGTAAATATTTTATATTTAGTAACTGAATCATAATCCTATTCATTGTAATTAATGTATTTATATCATATTACGTATCATATTACCTAACACTAACCATTCTGCACTGAAGATGGCATTCTGATAATGTCGAAACATGTTTGCTCTCAAAAAAATCGTCGTTTTTCTCAAGTGTTTCTTAGTTCTTTCCAAAATTCATAGAGTAGCAGGTTGATTCCTTGCTTGAGATCGCAAGTATAATTTTAGCTCAATAATTAATCTCATTATGAATATTTTTTCAGGTACAAAGTGGAAGTAGTTCTTCCTAACAGTTCAAGTCGTCCCTTGGGAAGTAATGAAGAGATACTTGTTTTGTTTAACGCTTGGCACCAAGGTAATGTATAATATTTCCAAATCAACCAATTGTTTCAGTATTTTCAAAATAAATCAGTTGGTCAGCAGAGCTGAATACGTAAATAATCGACCCCTCAAGTTTTGGCCCTGTGTTGTGTAGCACATTTTTATGCAGAGATAATTATGAGCAATGTCTTTCACACGTCCGCACAGATGACGAGGTATATCTTCGTGATGACGACAGTAACGATAAGAAACAAGAATACATCTTGAATGACGACGGACTACTTTATGTTGGATGGTCAAATTATCGAGGTCCCAATCCAGTTCGATGGAATTTTGGCCAGGTAGCTTTGGTATCAGAGCATCATTTTTTACAATCAACTTTCTTTGAACGGAAAAATATTTTCTTTTAGTTTGAGAAAGATATTCTTGAATGCGTTTTTTACCTACTGGAAAACGATCGCCGAATCAGGACGAAGCCTTCAAAATCCTTGATTATGAGAAGCGATGCAGTATGGGTTTCTAGGATTCTTTCAGCTATGGTAAGCAAACGAACATTAATGATAAACAACATCCTTTGACGTTAGTGCCTTTCCGAGAAATAACAAAATTTGTCTTATTAAAGAGTTTGGCTTTATGATTATGTAAGATATGATAATGAGTGACTGCAAAAAAGACGTACGCAAAGAATCATCTCTAGACATAGAAAAATGTCTGCTTTCAGTCATACGAAAACATAATACAATTATTTTTTGTTCGGCTTTATTACAACATAGATCAACTCGCAAGATGACAATGGTGTATTAATGGGAAATTGGACAGGCAACTATGAAAATGGCAGATCGCCGACATTTTGGAATGGCAGTGTAAATATTCTTCAGGAATATTATCGCACAAAAAAACCTGTAAGATATGGTCAATGTTGGGTGTTTTCTGGTGTCCTGACAACGGTCCTAAGAGCAATAGGAATCCCAGCTCGAAGTGTAACCAACTACAACAGTGCTCATGATACAGATAACACTATGACCATAGATACGTTTATCAATGAAGAAGGTGAAAAGGTTAAATGGCACGATAATAGAGATAGCGTATGGTAATGAATGATCCATTGTACCATATTTCTTCATCATTTCATATGTTTTACTAACACTATAGAGTGTATCAAAAAACAGGTGACCTTAGGAAATTGACGTATTATGATGATTTGTGAAGAAGCCTAAGTGCATAAATTATTGTCATTTACGTGCGTGTATATCAATCTTTGTTACTAGCAAAAAAACTTTCCTGCTCCGGAAAATTTGACATAACTTCCAACAGCAAAACATTCAGAGTAATACACCAATGAGATTAGCATAGAACAGCCATTGAACTTTTACAATGTATTTTTTTATACACTCAGTATGACACTGTCACAATACTTTTTGGAGAGACAAATTAGTTATTAATGTATTATCCCTAAAACATTTAAGGGGTTCTGATTGCGTAATTACCATGTACATGTTCTTGCCCAACAACTGACGTCAAAGGGATGATAAATTGCATGGTATGGTGTCATAACGAGTAGGAATTTTATAAATGACAGTACAAGCTGATAAAAATGTTTTTGATGCTCGTTTATTTTTTAAAAAATAGATGATTTCGTAATTCGCTTACCAAGGAGTTCGCAAACTACCATGAAATTTGGGCTTAATTCCATCATATCTTGTTCAATGTTACTCATTAGTTGTTACATATAATCTACAGGAATTTCCATGTTTGGAATGAAATTTGGACAAAACGTCCGGATCTTCCTAACAACAAGTACGATGGTTGGCAGGCTGTTGATTCAACACCACAAGAGGAAAGTAACAAGATTTATCAGATGGGTCCTGCTCCAGTAAGTGCGGTGAAAATGGAGAAATCTATGCTGGGTTTGACACTGGATTTGTTTTCGGTGAGGTGAATGCTGATCGTGTGACGTGGTTGGTGAAGAGAGATAGATATGGTTATTACGTCATTCAAAGTAAGTTGGTATTCATGTTAAGTCATTACAACAAACCTTCGTTATAGTTTATGTTAATCGTGCTACATTTACACAAACGATAACCTCTTATATGGTGTACGTTTACTTGGTGAAAAGGACATCATATATCACAAGATTGCCTTGATGTGGTTGGAACTCACACACTGACACTAACTTTTCAAGGGTGAAAATAAGTATATCACTATTTCTTAGAAACAACTCAACGATCAACGTCCAGCTTCGGATCTTACATTAGCACAAAAAAGGTCGGCAGTACGCAACGAGAGGATTTAACACTTCAATACAAATACAGTGAAGGGTCCGAGGAAGAAAGAAAATCCTTTGAAACAGCTTACAGCTTTGGTGCTGGTCCTCGGATTTGGCTGGTTTTGCATGTTGAAGAAGAAGGTCAACAATTAGATCTTGGTAATGCACAATAACACTTATGGATTTTATGTTATTATAACGTAATTTTCCAAAACTTAACAAGGTATTGGTTATATTTTTTAAAGTTTTGGGCACCAAAGAAGAAAATCTTTTAGTGGGCGAGCCAATAACCTGCTATGTAACAGCAAAGAATAAGACAAACAAGGGTTTAACAATCAGCTTGACTGGCGTCATCAGGACAATCAGATACAATGGAAGTGTTTCGTATCTTGTTAAGACGAGTAAATTTGATAAAGTGAATATTTCATCGAAAAATGGTGAGTTTGAAAAGAACTAAAATTATGAGTCACATCGTCTTTCGAGGTTTCAAATCATTGAACTCTGAGTATATAATTTAATACTGTGCCCCAGAGTCAGAGAGAGCGGAACCAGAGTTTTGACTTATTTTTCCAGACTCTGGAAACAAAAATTACAGCAAACATACGAAGTTATTGATGATGGAAAAGTAAAACTTCCACAGAAACAGAATATTTTAAGTATGACAGATAACGTGACGCCTTATTTTTAACAAATAGTGATTCGGAGAAAAGCCGTTGTCTTTCATCAAAGTAGAAATCTTTTATATTGTTAACATTTTCTTTATCGAAGCAAAAGTTTCAAATTTGATTGTGATTAGACCAATTATTATTAGTACCGCCACAGGGAAAAATGGCTGACACTTACACCTCTTGCAATATCTTGTATGTCATGTTCTCCATTATAAATAACGTCTAAGTGAGTTTTTTCTTTTTGAGGACAACAATAACTGAGAAACGGCATGAACCCCTTTCAAATTTTATGAATTTTCGGACATGTAAACTTTTTACCAAAGTTGAAACTTTTTACCAAACCTGTTTTTTTTTGTACGGAGCTATATAGATATTTTTCAGAGGATGCTGGACGTGAAACCCCCGAAGTTTCATAGCTGTACTATAATTTCTCCTTTCACACATGTTAGCTATACATCCCGCGGTGTAGGCATGCCCTTGCCCTTTCTGTTTTCTAGAAATAACCAAAGAAGTTGTGCTGCAGCCAGAAGAATATGTAGAAAAACTTGTCGACCTAAACTGCTTTACGTTTGTTGTGGTAGCTAAAGAAATAGAGACAGAAAAATATTACGTAGACGAAGCCAAATTTCAGTTATTTAACCCAGACGCAATACAAGTTAAGGTCAGTTTGAACGTAGATTTACCTGACAAAGCAAGATATTTTTGAAAATTATGAATTTGAAATCACATGACCAACATTGGGCCAGCTGCGTTTATTAACATTGTTGCTGACAATTTTTTAGTTTGACCATTCGCCTCTTCACACTGGAAAAAATGCTGAAGTTGAAGTCATCTTTACAAATCCTTTGCCCGTCAGATTATCCAATATTAAAATCAGTATTGAAGGAGCAGGTTTGCTTCATTTAACGACAAAGACGTTCAGGTAGTACTCGATTCTTGCTTTCTTTTACCTTATAACTCATTTTAGAGATAACATTTTGTTTTGATTTTAAACAACTTAGGAAATGCCTTCAGCCTGATGAAAAACGAACTGCCACTTTTTCGTTCTCACCTCGAAAATCTGGACAACGAACATTACTGGTAGATGTTGATACAACTCAGGTGAAAAACTTCAAGACTTCAGTTGATGTGACAGTCAAAAGATCTTCTCGTTTTTCCTAAACAATTTTTTATCACGTAAAACAAATAGAGGAACACCAATGAGAATCAAGAAGGAACTTCGAGCTCAAAAGTTTCAATAGAACTATACTTTATTGTGCATTCTTCATGTATAGTACTAAAGTATAGTTCTTCAAAAGTATAGTTCTAAAAGTACTAAAGTATAAAAGTATAGTACTAGTACTAAAGTATAAAAGTATAGTACTAGTACTAAAGCATAGTTCTTCAAAAGAACTATACTTTATTGTGCATTATCTAGTACTCAAATAAAATAAAACGTCAACAAAATATATTTTACGTCCTAGCTAAACACTTGCGTATTTCGGGAAATTTTTTGTCTTTTGTACATGTTTGCCATGTTTGTTATACAGCTATCGTTCAGCTGCAGAGGAGGTCTTAACTAACTTTAATGAAAAAGAAGAGTAATGAATTTTGGTGATCAACACAGTAAAGACTTTCATTCAGGGACTGCCCTAGTCCAAAACTTCAAAGTTGGCTCGCTTTCATAAAATTTCCGTAGTGTGTTTACTACGTGGGGTTTCATATCCAAAATGCAACAGGCCGACCATTACAGAAATTGCCGCGTTTGCTTTAAAACCTGTTCCACACGTAAAAGATAATTTTGGTGTTTTCGTTAAAGATACTGTGCCATAGACACCAGAATAGAGACTAAAAATAACATAATTCCGAGAAAAGGAGTAACAACAAAGGTTTTTCTAGATCAAACCCATTTGTCTTTTTTACAATGGTTGTTTGCTGAAAGATTTAAATATCTTTCCTATTATGACTACTTATAAAGGAAGAACCCATCTCTTAAAGAACTTATTGGCCCAGAAACATGATCTAAAATGTGTACAAATAATTGCAAATAATGCCTTTACTTTCAATTATTTAATCTGGTCCTCTTATCAGCCTGGTTGATCCACTTATTAACCTGCTCGATCATCTTATTAGCCTGGTTGTTCCTCTATTAACCTGCTCGATCCTCTTATTAGCCTGCTCGATCCTCTTATTAGCCTGCTCGATCCTCTTATTAACCTGCTCGATCCTCTTATAAGTCCAGTTCATTTTTCCTTGCAATAAAGATAAAGTTTCTGAAATTTTTGATATCTGATGTGAACTCTCATTATAATGTCTCGCTAGTCTTGTGAAAACCGAGGAGACATTTGGAAGAACTCGAGAGCAGATCAGTGCAAGACTGAGAACGAAGGTCTAGGGTTTCGGTCCTGCTGCGTTGTGAGCACAAAAAGCACAACTGCTAGCAACCTGCTGAGAACCAACAAGCAGAACAGTCGAAAATAGATATTAGTATTAGTCCAAGACACGTCACTACAGGATCTTCAAACAATGTACCATAAGCAACAAGGAAAGAAAGTTTGAAAAAAAGACATTAGAATCGCTGTGTTCAGTAAAGTTGCGTTTTGCAAGGGTGTATATCATCCGCAAGTTAATAACTTTTCCATATTTGCGAATTTTCACATTTTGAAATCGAAAACTGAATATAAAAAACAAACCTTTTTTATGGCATACATATTTCCGCTGACAATCTCTTGCTATCACGCCAAGTGCGACTACATACATTGCAAGTGTAAAAAACACTCTTTTGCTAAAGAGCGTCAGTTATTCATCAAAAAATATTAACGAGTACTATTTAACTTATAAAGTTTTGTTGTGCAGTGTTTTTGCTGAATTGTCGAGCTTTAATAGTTAAAATTCATATAAATGCATATATCTACATAAACTAAGCATTTTGAGAATAATCGTGCACGTTTTGGCTAGATAACACGAAGCAAGTAGTCATTTTCTCAGTTATTACTTGAAAGCTCCAGCAACTTGAGATACCCATGCCTTCAAACTTGTTGGCTGCTTGCCAGTAATGGTCGTATAATCATTTAAGCTTGCTTGGTTTACCTGAGGACTCCCCGAATCAATTAGTCGATAAAGCTCCATTACACCTTCAGCTTGCCAATCAGGGAATCCCATCTGCATAAATGCTGCCTTAGCATCTGCATAGGGTACACGAACATATTTTATTTCTTTTCCCAAGTTGTCGGAGAAGGCTTTAGCCATATCACCAAACGTATGCCGATCGCTTACGACATTATACGTTTTACCTTCATGCTGCTGTGGAGAGGACAAAATCGTTGCTGCAGCTATCCCTGCGTCACCAACTACCACTGGAGTGTATGGTTTGCTTGAATCAACAGGACCATAGCATGCCGAATCACTTTTTATTGTGCCTTGGTAAGCAAAGTAATTATCCACGAATAATGGTAATCTTAGATAAGTATAAGGAACACCAAGTTTGGCAATTTCTGTTTCTATCTTCTTAAACTGCTTTCCAAATGTGGTATAAGTAAGGTCGGCTGTGGCGACGCTCAATACAAGCAGATGTTTTACACCAGCTTCTTTGGCTGCTTTTGCCGTGTCGATAGACAACTGGGCACGATTTTCAGTTCCAGGACAAACGATATATAGAGCATCTACACCTTTCAAAGTGGTCTTAAGTTTTTCGATCTGACCCATTTCTGCTTGAACTACAGAAACACTCGGCAATGATTTCAATTCTTCAGCTTTCTCCGGATTTCTAACCCCAGCTTTGATGTCGAGTTTATCACTATAATTAGCCGACAGTGAACTCACGGTCGCTTTGCCAACATTTCCACTAGCCCCGATCACAAATACAACAGATTTAGCCATCTTCTTATCTTATATCGATTGAGTCGTTTTAAAAGCAACTAAAACGTATATAATACGTAGAATTATACAGTACAAAATTTTGTCGAGTCACTGAAACGTACAAAGAATCAATAATGTCGCAATATAAATATATTACAGAATAATGACACAGCAATTTGCATTGTAAAGGAAGGCATTTATGAGTAAATAACAAAGAGCTCACAGGTCATTGGTAGCTATGTGTGTGACTGACACTCGACATGTATACTTGAAGATACCGAGAATTTCATTCATTCAACTACAAAGTTTCGTCAAAAATACAGACTTGAGCAAAACATAAAGTGCATGTGGTAGCCCACAGTCAGAAACCGTACCCTTAGCAGGAATTTGCTTGGGATTTAGATATAGAATGCTTATTTTGTCGTTCATTCTACAATCAATTGTAAGAGTTGTAAGGGTAATTCAAGTTAACTCAGCTATTACAAAAAATTTAAAGGTTTGCTTTCAACTTAACTTTAAAGCAACATACACTGCACTCACTTTAAGGCGCCTTTTTGCTTGCGTTCTTTTCTACTCATGGCGACTAGAAATGCTGGGTATAAAAGATAAAGATCCAGGCTCAACTGGGATTATCTTTTCGTTATGATGCTTCTTCTCATTTTTAGACTCGTGAATATTTGGTTGCGATGCAAAAAGGCGTGGGTTGAATACTCTGACACCAAAGAATGTCATTTCATTTCATAGTAAAACACCTCTAGCAGAAATATCAACACATACATCATTTGCAGTGTTGGATATAAGTGGAAGGATTTCCTTGATAATGAAGTAAGGAGAGATTCAGCGACACATCAAGGGCACACAAGAAAGCGCATGGCTATATGTGGAACCTTTTGCCGCACACACAGATTCATGGTAACCCGTAACCGCTTTAACTGACGGTACTGACGGCTTTAACATGGTAATGGAGGTAGATTGCATCAAATAATTTTGTCCTAGTTCTACTGAGTAGTCAGTACATATCTTTCATTTTATAAAGGCATAGTTATGAGCCAGATGCTAAAACATTTTCAGCTGGGCAATGTCATTCGCTAAAACCTGTTCCTTCATCATCCGTTTCAAAAAATCAAGTTGATTTCTGCATCTATTATGATTTCTCATCAAGGGACCGTGGATAATGATGTTATTAACCATGCAGGAAGTTCATGTAGTCTACTAGCAGTCTAGCACCACTGCATGAGCTCATTAGCAAAAGCTACAGGTCTCACACACTAGTCTCACATAATTGTTTGTGAGTCATTGACTAGATCAAGAAGGGGTGTTATCGCAATTGCAAATAGAAGCAAAGCGCTGAGTTGTTTCTTTTGATCAAATTTCTTTTTCACCTTACACAAATAAACCGGAGGGTGTGGAATGGCAGTAGTAATCGTAGATTGCAATTAATTAGATGCCTAATACCAGACAAAGTAAGAGCGTTAGTATGATCACAAAAGTGAGTAAATCGTTGAACATTGTTGAAATAGTATTATACAATTATGGTAATTATTCTTCTTTCTTCCGTTTTTGCTATTCTTTCAAGTAAAACGTGCTCACTGTTTAATGTCTGTCTATTATGTCAGTTTAACGTCAATTTTAACTTCTACAGTAAAGATATTAAAATTGACGGGAAATATTTACACGTTTAAATTTTTTCAATACAAAACTCGCAACACCTCACCAACTTGAATAATTGGCTCTGTTGTTTATGATTATCATCGTACAATGTCTGTGGCCATTTTATCTACAGCAGTCTCATGATGTTTTGGAACACATACAATTCGATGGTGGACTGTCTTCATAACGTATAAACAGTCTATGCTATTACAAAAATATTTCCATAAGGACGTTCACATGGAAGCATTGGATTTCTCATACAAACTTTACTCAATGGTTTTGCAATATGTCCTTGTATGTAAATATCATCATATAAATCTCCAATAAAATCATCACACGCACTTATCGCAATGCCACGCAAATTTTTAACAAACTCTCGTTTGGTCATTTTCCGCTTTACCTGTGGACTATACAAGTCAACACTTAATAGAATTAACGAGTAACACAGGATGTAAACAGTTTCTAGAAAATTAAAGAGTGACAAAGGATGTAAACAGTTTCTAGGAAATTAACGAGTAACACAGGATGTAAAACAGTTTGTAAAAAGTGAACGAGTAGGACAGGATGTAAACAGTTTCTAGGAAATTAACGAGTAACACAGGATGTAAACAGTTTCTAGGAAATTAACGAGTAACACAAGATGTAAACAGTTTCTAGAAAATTAAAGAGTAACACAGGATGTAAAACAGTTTGTAAAAAGTGAAAGAGTAGGACAGGATGTAAACAGTTTCTAGGAAATCAACAAGTAACACAGGATGTAAAACAGTTTCTAAAAAGTGAACGAGTAACACAGGATGTAAAACAGTTTCTAAAAAGTGAACGAGTAACACAGGATGTAAAACAGTTTCTAAAAGTGAACGAGTAACACAGGATGTAAAACAGTTTCTAAAAAGTGAACGAGTAACACAGGATGTAAAACAGTTTCTAAAAAGTGAACGAGTAACACAGGATGTAAAACAGTTTCTAAAAAGTAAACGAGTAACACAGGATGTAAAACAGTTTGTAAAAAGTGAACGAGTAGCACAGGATCTAGACAGTTTTAGAAAACTAAAGAGTCATACTTAAGTCATGAAAAAAGAATCTTTTAAGGACATTTTAAGAACGAACATCAAAATTTCAATGACATTTCACAAGTTAAATTTATCTAAGATATCATGCTGCTCAGTCAAAAATTTTCATAAATCACATTTAAGAGCATTTGCCCGTAGTTACTAACGTATTAAGAGGACAATTCATAAAGTAACGAATTTCATCTCATAAACTTCGAAATAATGCAATCTCTATCACACAGACACCTCTATCAAGAGGATGCAGACACCAACATTATGAAAGAAAGACACAAATATTTGTGTTTATCGGACAAAATTTTCCTAATATTTCATATATTTTTTACTGACATAACGTTGGTAACAAACATATCGTTGTAACATTTATGGGGATATTTGCCAATCGAACTCAGTCTGTTAATTTTCAAGCAACATTATATCAAACATTAAATTTATTGCAATTTACTTCTCAATGTCAAAGTCTTAGTTGACATTTTTGATACTCAAACTAAAAGCTTGGCAATTACTAAATATCTTTCCACGAAAACAAAATGAAGACAAAATATATGGATTCTGAGCTCACTCAACAACCTACTATAATGATAAAATAATAATAGTATGGGGGAGGTGTCTATTAGTGACAGTGTGTTGAGTTTACTTGACAGGTGGCTTATGTCCTGTTCAGTTACGTTATGTCTGGACGATTTGAAGTTATTTTAACTTCAATTTTACATGTTTACTTTGATTTGGATTTTTTTAGGCACTTTTCAAAGACTTTTAAAATTTATTTATTAATATTAGAACATTTCAAAGGTTTTAAGCACCTGCACCAAACCTTACAATATTGTGTGGTACAAAAGAAACCAAAAAATAATGTATACATAGAGCAAATAGCCTGAATATTCATGGCCAAATAATTTGCAATTTTGTTGATGTTTCCATTTTGTTTTCAAATCTTTCCATATATTTTTCAAAAGACATTAATGATGAAAAACAAAGAAGCTAAGCATTACCAACTATCACTTTGTTAGAAGAAAAAATGAGAAATCACAGTAGATCTTCCATCTTACCTTGTGGTAGTCCACATTCAGAATTACATCTTAAGTATTGTGCTGAAAACATACTTAAAAGTGTTTCTAAATACTCTCCTCTGGTTGAAGGCGGGCTGACAAGCTTGAAAAATTGCCTTGAAATTACAAACACAAGAATTTCACCAACAACAATGAGAGTAACACATGATTTGATCAATGGAAAGATACCTTAATGCATTTGGCAATGAATAGGATTGAAACTTTAATAAGGAAACCATTTCCTCTAAAATGTCTCTCTTGAAAACAAAATGAATAAACAAAAATTGTTTATCGATATTCATAATATATTATAAAATATTAGGGTCAGCATTAAAATATCAGTGGCTAATAATAATTTTGAATTAGTTTCATATTTTAAATAGAACTGTATTTATAAATTGGCAATAGTATTTACCTTATCTTTAGAAAATCAGATATTCTTTCTGGTCTAAGAAGATCAACTTTTGTGTTGCAAAGGAATTTAGCAATTGCAACAGGTTTGTCCTCAAGAATGTTTTGAGCTACTAGATAAGAAATTCCTAAAAATTTAAATGAAAATCTTGAGATGTGAATTCACCAATTAAATTTATGATAGATATTGATTATTGATAAGCTCTAAGATTAAATCATATGTACAATGTCAATATACAATGGCTACATAAAAACCATGATTAAAAGTCAAGATAAATATTTTTCCTTGAAATAAGTAAATATTCAGCAAACCAAGTACATTGAAATAAATAAACAATGCTTAAGGTGATGAACAAATTATTGCATACTTCAATGGTAGAAAAATTACTTTTTTCATGTGAAATTTCTTCAATTAAATTTAAAACAACAACAAATATTTAATAAACATTGTCACCTTGTCAGGATCATAGTTAAAGGTGAGTGTTCCTTCATCCAAGTGCATATACAATTCCTTGAAACTGAAGTTTTTCTAAGAAAAATAATCCTTGGTTAAAGGTAAATGCACTGAAGGAAAAAAAAAGCTTGATACAATTTTATATGTGCGAATTGAAATTCTATTGGCAAGGTGCTCAAATCAGGAAAAAACAATTTTCGTTTCATCAACTTTTATAAAGCTGGTTTTAAAAAAAATTGTCAAGACAAGAAACTGGGCTAAGTTTTAACCAATGTTAAAACCATTTAAAATTTCAAAACTCAGTCCACACGCAAGCATGATCTAGCATATTATTGATATATAGATGAGATATTACAAACCATTTTGCATTGATATGCTGTTGTATAACCCCAGTTACTCTTGCAAAGTCTACAAAGCAATGAAAAATAATCCACACGAAGCATTTTGGTAATAAAATAGTGTGTCTCATGAAATAAAAAATTGAAGTGTTTTTGTAAATGTTCACGATCATTGTGAAATTTACACAACAAAACTAAATTATTTTCACTAACGATAACATACCCTTGCCAAAGTAAATCATCATTTCCAAGTTGTTCCCAGACACAGGCAGCAAGACATAAGTCAGTTGCGTTTAGATACGACAATACAAATTGTGCCATTTCAGGTGGAAGTGTAGCCAAGTTGGGAAAATATCGTTCTTGGTTCGCATTTTTATTAAGACAAGCAGATAAAGTTTGCACTTGTCCCATTCACATAAAATGACAACGAACAAAAATAATTTCAGTTTAAACTAATGCATATTGCATACAACAGAACATAAAAGGAACAATTATGTCTTTTATTTACAGAAGCACGTACTGTACAGCATTGACATATTAGGTCAATTTTTGCATACTAGATTCCATCAATGACACGTAGAAATTACTTTAATATTTGACACGCTGCAGCTCAGCCGTGTTTAGTAATTGTCATATAAAGACTTTTGCCGTTTTTTCTAGAGAAATTATTATCATTTGTTTGAAAAGTCTTTACCTGGTTTCTATAAACACAGACTCAGACAGCATTTGGCATGATGAAACAAACTCAACAAATTGAACAATTCGTTGATGTTATGGCAGTCATGCAGTCAAAATAAGTCAATTCAGTTGAAATTCTGTCTACGGCAGCTAACAAGGGGCGCCGGAGCCACGGGGGCAGATGGTTGCCCCTTTTTACATTTTGAACAAATAGACGTGTATCTTAATTCCCGATATGCAAGTTTCCCACTTACACATTTTTCGACTTTTATCTGATTCGAAGTCTTGTTATCTGGTGTGTCTTTAATTCAGTTATAATTCAACGCTTATTTTATAAGACATTTTGATTTTTTGCTTTTCATCATTAATTTCCAAAGACGAAATAAACAGTAACCTTGAATGCAGAGAATGTAATGTGTAATACTGTTTACTTATTTATGTGCTAAATTAGTAACGTCTTTGTTATGAGGGACATAAAACTTCGCGTTAGCGGGAACGGCAACTACACAGTCGAATTTTGCTGGCAGAATTTTTCATTGCTTGTGTTGAGTCATGCTCATAAACCACAAAAATACGTCGAGGAAAATAGTATGAAATAGAAGTCTTTTAAATGAAGTAAGGCCCTTTTAAAGTATGTTAAAGATATATTGGTGCGTTGCAATTTGAATTCCTTGACACCTTGTAGCTACATCTGCATTTTACCTGACTGTAAAGATTTTCATGCAATTTTACTACTTGTGGTTTCTAATAAGGGTGGAAATTTTTCTTTCAAACGTTTTAGAGTCAAATCAACAATTCGCACTGTATCTTCATCTTTGGTTTCACTGAATAATTTCATTCCTGTATCATTGACCTGAAGAAGTCAAAGTTAAAAAAATTGGAAAATTTTACTTTCATGGTTAATCAACAAGACAAAGAGAATTTTGAACTTTTACTTTCAAAAGAACATACATATTTTGTATGATGAAGTAAAAAATGAATACCTCAATGATATACTCTTGCCCATCGTTAGTTTGTATTGCTTCTACACACAGAATATCCAAACCACCAAACATCTTTGCACTCTCATCAGCCCAAAGCTTATACCTAAATAAATGTTTTATTGTAACAAAACAGGACTGAGAACAATTTTCTTCTATATTACAACCGATGTATTATATATATGGGATTATAGTTTTTAACAATAAGTTTTGTAATCAGTGCATCTCAAAACAAAGTAAATGATAAAGTCACGCAATTTTATTCACATGTCAATAAAACACTGTCGACCCATTATAGCTAAAAATGAACGAAATGTATAAAATTTCTATTATTACTAGAAATGATGTATAATAGTTCGCAGAGAAACGTAGTAAAAATAAAATAAATATTGCTACTATTTGATAATATTTTAATTTAAATAATTAACATCGAATATTTTACATTGTATCACTGTGCCTATTCATTAATCTTATATGAACCTTAAACTACTTATCCAAAAAAACACACAAATATGTCATTTTAACCAGTTATAGCTAATTGCACCAACCGTTCTGTGAGTTGAATTTCTTCAACTACGGCTGAACCCATGTTGGTTTTCCAATTATCCGACAAAGATTTTCTCCTGAAATTTAGTTGAACATTTACACAAGTTAGTTAACATTTTTACAACCTTTTCAACTGTTTTTTTTTTTACTTCCAATTTTTTGTTCAGCATGTTGGATCACAAAACAACAGGCATAAACTGTTTTTGAACAAAATAATAGCAAAATAGTTGTAATACTGACGGTGTATTTGGTACTCGAGGACTATATGTTATTTTGATATTGAACAAACTCTACTAAACGTTGCATTTTAATAAGACGTCAATGTATGTTGAATTTTGATAAGAGATCGCAGTTTTATTGAATTTTGATAGGGGATAACATTGTGTTGTATTTTGAAAAATGACGACTGTATGCTATTTTACCTAAATTTTAAAGGACAACAGTATGATGAATTTTGATAGGGGACTGTGTCATTGTTACATTGTGTCGTATTTTGATAAGGGAGCACATTTTTTTGAATTTTGAAAAATGACGACTGTATGCTATTTTACCTAGGAAATTGTGTAGCTTAATCTACTACGGTGTAGTTCAAATAAACAAAACTGACTTAAAAACTCGGTAGTTTTCTCCAATCTTCTGAATTCGAACATCATATACTCCTTCAACAAAAGGTTCCGTTGTTGCGTAAGTGTCAGCAACAGCAACAAGACTTGAGATGTCTTGGAAATCTCTGTGATTTTGGACACACACCTAAAGTCAACAAAAAATGATCTACAATTGATGGTATCACAACAGGCAGGGAGCCTCCAAACCACACCTTATTAAAATCAATTGATAAAAACAGGTATAAATTTATTTAACGAGTTAGGTGGGATAGATAGGTAGGGGGGGACAATACTAAATGTGGCTAACTGAGACGAAAATTTGGAAACTAAAAACTTTTATAATGAGCATGTTTACGTATATATGGACTTTTTAAATACAGTAAAATATTTCCGCACATACCTTTCCGTAACCCGAATTGGCATGACCAACTTTTATAACCGCCGGAAATTTCGGCGTTATCAACTGAAATATGAAGAAACAAACACATTGTATTACGTTAAAACATTTCATTCATTCCAATCCTTTAAGAAGAGCTTATGTTTGCAATTTACTTTTAGCCTTCTTTATGCTGACGTCAATAAACAAGGAAATTGCCGAAAGCATACTCTTCAAGAGTAGATGACATGCCTTTACAAAATAGCGTCACAAGTGACAATAAAAAATAATCAAATATCGTCCTGCCGGTGTGAACAGCAGTAACTCAATGCATGAGGTATCATCAACATCACTGATGTAAATTTTACGTATCAGAAAAAAATGACAAGAATGCATGGGGTGACATTGGGCTATGAGCACATGCATGCATACGCTACCTGACATATAAATTTTATACAAATAAATTACAGCAGTAATAGAAGTATGAATTTTTCCAGTCATATCGAAGTTTTTGAGTGAAATGACATTATTTTATGTTGTGTTTACAGTTTAACTATCGCTATGGGACGCAGAATTTGATGATTGAAATGCTGATGTTTACAGCTTCAGACATGAACAGCCTTTTGCTTTGATCACATTTTTCGATATTTAAGAGTTAATACTAGCAAAATTTGTTATAGTAAGTTCTTTTAAATCATATCATTTCGCCATTATAGTTTCATGTCCATCTAAAATTTATCTCCAATTGCGTGGGAGTTGCATCAGATGTTATGTTCATTTGTCGTGCAGGTGTGCTTGATTAAGGAACGCTTGGAATGTGTGAAATATGTGCGGTATACTGGTAAATCTCAAAAGCTGTGATAACATGTAGATGTGGGAAGACTGAGGATTTTGCCCTTATAATCTCTACGTTGTATTTCATTCATGGACAGTGATTTTTTAAAAAAGCAAAGTCGCGTTGCGGTGATAGCTATTTGCTATTTCAATCTTGTTTAGAAATTAATTCACAAAAATGCTATTAAACTGCAATTCTTTCAATTTCAGGGTCATAATCTAGCTCTATTACGAAATTCAAACATCCTTATCAATTGAGGCTCGCTTGACAAGTTGGCTAGTCTAATGAAGATGACTGTTGGCAAAAAATGGAAATTTTGAGCACGTGCATACCTTTTACATCATTTTCAAAAATACACTCTTGTAATAACGTCAATGCAGACAAGCCTCAACAAAAATATTGTTTACATACATTTTGTTGCAGTTCAAACTGTTAAAATATAGGACCAAGTGCATGTTCTTAACCACAAATTACATTACTTCCTCAATGAACACTTTGCACGTAGAAAATATGTACGCATGAATAAAAGAGAAATTCGAAAATTTCGAAGATTCTTTTAAGGAAAAGCGACCTTGAGAGGTCAGACATTCTTTATCTCCAACGTAATTTTGATTATTTAAGGGCCAACGGATCTCATTAAGTAGTTAATTATAAGCTGAGAGCCCTGGAAGCAGTTTGCGATCTAGTGTTGGTTGAGTATATCTTTCATCACGGTCACCTTGAGAAGATTTTCGAAGAACAAGCACGCACTGTTGAGATCAATTTATCACGAATATACATATCGACTGTTTTGTAAGAAAACGATTCTGAAATTTAGTGAATATGTCAACTATTCAATGTATTATCTACTTCAGTCTCGTGGTAAGTTCATGGGCATGTTCCTGTAAGAGATTTCATCCGCAAGAACATTTTTGCCAAGATGATTATGGTAAGTAGACATGTTTACAATTTATGTGCTGAAGGTATATTCTGCATTGTTCGTTTTTACAAGAAAGGAAATATGACCGAAGCATACTAATATACACGTCTTTATTACGAGCCAAGTATATAAAATGCAAACAGCAAGATTTTCGCATTATTAATATTTATACATAAATCCAACATTAACATATATATAAAACTAAAACTTGGGTTCATTAATTAAACCACTTCTCTACAAGCAATCATAGTTTTCTCGTGTGTGTTTATGTGTATATTTGTAGGAGTCATGGAGACTAATCCATCTAAACTTATTCTTCCATCATAAAAGGAGCAACTATTTTATTGGTCCACTTTCACCGATTGACATACATGATTATTTGAGCATTCATTACAAAAATGACGTAATGATGCTAAATTTTGTAACCTGATAAATGTTATTAATCGTATTCAATAGGTTTTATGTATCGACGATAGATGCACATTTTCTGATTGATTAAAATGGTGATGGCATTTAAAAATGGAAGAATATTTACTTGTTTTGATATAATGAATGTACTCTGACCTTGCTACAAATGGTGTTCTATTTATAACATTTGGATTGCCTAATTCATTACAAAACTTCATGAATCTTCGATTCATTTCTCGTTCACTCTTTGATTGATCAAGCTTGATTTGTCGATATGCTTTCATGTTGTTGATATAAGTCAAAGAGGGTTGCTAGATGATAAAATTGTGTTGTGAAATCTATAAATTTAGTTGACATGATTATAGCGGATACAGCACAAAAAATAAATGGAACTTTCTTTAGTCGGGCAAAATATGAGAAAAAACCTTCTACCTTTGGAACGTAACATAATAATCTTATAGGAATTTTGTCATAACTATATAAATCGGATTTTGTTAAAAACTGACGATATAATATTTCAGGATAAGAATTCTTCCTAAGTGCTTATCATTTTTGTGTTTGATTAATAATATCAATACAGGAGTTAAAATGAATCAAATCTATAACTAGTTAAAATTATTACATTTCTATTATGAAGAGCGTGAGGCAACTGATGCTTGAAAGAAATTAAGTACAACTAAAATATTTCTGCATAAATTCAGTGTATGAACAAAGAAGAAAAATTCAATAAATCACATATATACATGCTAACAATGAGAGAGGCTTTAAATAGTTACAAAGAATATGTTGTTACACAAATCAACAGGTGTTCAAACTGTTGGAGGACTGATGAAAAGAATTTTATAAATATTTCACAAGACATAAAAACATGCAAACCGTTTTAAACATGGCGCACATGATAATTTTGATGGCATCACTGCTATGAACTTTATTTAGTTACTATTATTATTATGCAATAAATACATTATTTTATTTGAACGTAAAATTCAGGTATTTACCAATAACTTAATCAAAAAACTTTTTTTCAGCTTTACGGGTCAAGGTAATTGGTTCGTTAAAAGTCGAAAGATTCGCTGAAGTCGACATAACACATGGAACGGTTCGTTTCGAAAAGATATACTATCCCATACGTATAATAGAAGTATATAAAGGAAATGTTTCGAGTTTAACGCATCTAAAGAAGTTACATCGACGTATTGATAAAGTAAGATACATTTCAAGATTATATGTCCCATCTCGTATCTCTTCATGTAGTTTAAGTTTGAAAAAATCTAAATATTACATCTTGATGGGGCAAATACATGAAGGATCTTTACATCATGACCTATGCAACTGGCGATCATTATTAAAACATGTTACGAAGATTCAGAAAAAGGGGTTGAAAAAATACTACGCAGAAGGTTGCCAGTGCACTATTCGTACCTGCCCAACGCTCGAATGGTGCAAGAAATCACGGTTGCGAAATGAATGTCGCTGGGTTGCTCGTGACGGTATTACTTCAACAAAATGTGTTGATGGATGGAAAGTATGCAAGTACAACATAAAAAGACGATCTTGCAAGTGGAAAAAACTAGGACAGAATCATTTTGCCAATTGTGTTAAAACAGGCCAGCTTAAAATAAATCATGCAAGGAACTGGTAAAACATGTTACACGAAGTGGCAGATTGGCAGCGTACGTACGTCAAAATAAATTCTACCGCTCTTTATTTGCCATAATTTGAAATACCTTGAAAGCCCATCGATTAGCAAGATTTCATTCTATGGAAGTTTGTTGCCAATAGCATTTTTATGAAAGTATTTTGATTTTAAAATTGAGCTGCTATAATTTACTTTGATCGAACAATGGAATTGTCATTAACATGTCAATGATTTCTTGCATCAACATGCATGATATGTACCGTGGTATAAGCTGGCTACATGCTGTCGTCTATATTATAAATACATGAGACTGGAATGTTATTGGTTATGGCTAAATGTTGAAAAAAAGTGACAACACAAAGCACAGATATTTATTACTGTAAAATATTACAAATTAAAACAATGTGTTCACATCAATGAGAAATAAACTAATTTATTTTACTTACCATTTCTTTGTGGTTTGGATAATATGCCTGTGGAATGAGAGGAAAGACCTCTTTTCCCAATTTTCTCTGAATTTGAAGTAGATGAGCAAACTGTGGATTGACAAAAAGAGAAATAAACCAGCAAGTTCAACATTTATATTTGCAGGACAATTGTGATTATTTTTGTCAAAAATTCTACAGCAGGTCCACAAATTTTGACTTAATTAAATATTGAATTAGTTCAAATTTTGTCTAACAAGGACAACAACAACAACATTGACAACAAAAATGACAATGAAAACGACGAAAATTACAACACTTAACGACAGCCACTGTACTCTGATAATGTTAATGACAACGGAAAGATAGTATCATAAAAGACGACACAAACAATAACTGGAGCTACTGCAACTGTAACATTGCTAAAGCAACAATACCAATGTTAACTAAAGCAATAAGAAAAAAAATGAAAATAAAATACAACATTTACATCCATCATTTTGAGTGAACAGTAGTATTAACCATCTGTAACAACCATTTGACTGACAAGTACAATTAAATCGTCCAGTTTAGTAAGTTCAAAGAAGGACTGTTGATGTTGATGTTGATGTTGATGTTGATGTTGATGTTGATGTTGATGTTGATGTTGATGTTGATGTTGATGTTGATGTTGATGTTGATGTTGATGTTGATGTTGATGTTGATTAACGTTTCGACAACCTAAGCGGTGGTCATCTTGACTCTGAAGACAACTAACACTAAGGATGTCAAAACGTCAGTCAACATCAACACCAACAGTCGTTCTCAGGACTTTACTAACCTGGACGATCTTCATCTACAAACGTGTAACGATACTCTCGGTTTCAAATCATTTACTTCAAGTAATATTATCCTACAATAATTTGTTTGAGATTTGGCTGCATGTTTTACAATAGTTTTATAACTTTTTTACTTACCACCCATGGTTTATCAAGAAAATTAAACACTGACTCCAAAGAGTTTATACTAGGAATATTTCCATATTTCATTCCAAATATTAGAGACCTCCAATCTTCACTAGAGCTAATACCTCGAACTGCTTGACGTATTAAAATAAAATCAGGACGGAAAGACCTATGAAATATTTAAATTGTCAAAGAAAATAGACTGTTAAGAATGAGTCTTTTTAATTTATGCAATATTCCAACTTTAAAAATTATGTGATGATTACAATAGGAAAGCAGTTTGTACATATAGATATATAGGATTTTCCGTTCGTACAAAATTGTCATTCGATGTCAAGTTTTGTAAGCATTTTCTGAATTAAGCTACAATCTCTCTTCTAATTAATCTGTTTGAAGAATTTATTGCTGATTGGTATGTTGGGCGGACAAATGTCTTCTTCATTGTGCATAAGCACGTATTATGCATGTTTTGCAAACTATTATTTAAATGTATAAGTACTATACCTGACGACAATAGTTCCTTGACGTTTCACTTGGATGTCAAAAACAGTACCAGAGTCAGAATAACTTGCAAGATTAAGTTCTGAAAATTCAGCCTAAATATGAAATAAACATAGATAAGCTTTGAAAGCTTTTTTTGATGAGTAATAAGACGTGCTTAAAACTTGGCAGCGTTCTTAGAATAAATTTTAAAAAAATATCCATACACCCAAGTGTGGGATAGCAAGAAAAATATGGTGGTGTTCTAATATTCATAATATACATATAAAACATAACTAAGATTAATGTCCAACACCCACCTGGACGATATAATGCTCTCAAACAAGATATCGACAAAGTAACTAAAATATTCTCGCCTTTTTAACATAATGCTTTTATATCAGTTATATGTTTAACTAGCAAAATATTGTTTCGATCGTTGAAGTATCGCAAAAGTAATTCTAAACTGCAATATTTGAGCAATAATTATAAATATTTTGTTACTTACTTGTTCCACTCTTATGCCTTCTAAATGTTGATAAGATTGTCGAAGTTTGAAAATTGATGTCCTAAAATAAAGGTGCTTTAGCTAGGTTAAACTTTTTTAAAATGTCTGATCGTGCATACAAATTTTAAATGTCATGTATTATTCATCAGTTCATTACTATTGTATAATACGTTTGTAACTTATTAGTGCATAAACAGACGGGTATATAAGAAGAACAAAGTAGCTAAGAATGAACAAAAGCGTTATTAATAAATATTTTCATGTTTAATTCAAACCTAACATACTATTTGTTTTGAATGTGAAGATTATCAACACTAAATTACAAAGAGACAGAAGATTATGATTTATGTTTTTCAATTTGAATAGATTGAAAAAAAGCAATAATATAACAAAGAAAACAGAAAAAACACTTTGATGTATTGCCATAAACAACATTTGAATTCTTGTTATGTAGAAGTCTTATTAGGACTTTAGGGATTCTTTAAAATTGATGACAGTTCAATCATTCAATAGATATTAGGGAATTTTTCAAGAATTCCAGACTCGTAGCTACATCCCTTATGAAGGTTAATGTTTAACTTAACCTTTTCCAATATTTTTGGAAATCCCAATCATTTGCAAGCGTTGCATCGAAACAATTGCTTTTATGCTTCCTTCGTTGCATTGAGGAGCATGTAAACAAAACGACGCGTACATAATTTTGGCCAACAATTATAGCTGGATTAGTAAAAATTCAAGTTATTGTGCAAGCTAACAAACTCGTATATATTAGCTATGTCAGAAATTTACCAGTCAGTTTCAGGCGTATCAATGACAAGAATAATTTTGTTTCTTTTGTTTGCATGATTTCTTGAGGTTTGAGAGCTCATGCCAAATGGATTTAGCTTCTGAGGTGAATTTGTTGTAGGAGAGCCACCTCTTGAGTTTCCTCCATTAAATGATCGATTATCGATTATGCCTCTAGTTTGTTGCCTTAACTTTGTGAAGAAATTATCCATAATTTTTGGAATGAACTTTATCTTTTTCCTTTACAGCTGAAGAATATTGTCGATGATCATAAACACCTCATTACATGAACATAATTTTTTTTTAGATATTCGATCGCTTATAACTTATCAACTCATACAACGACAAAATGCTGTTTAATTGTTTTTCATATACAGCAAAAAATAAACTACAATTTTGCAAATGTTTCCACAGGTGTCAATGTTCTTGTTGTTAAACTCAGCTTTCTGTTTCTTTATAATACTCTCATTGTTATGCACAAATGTTATTTACATTTTCTGCACCTGCGCCATATGAATATTATTCATAGTCTTGACTTCATAATTGCCTTCATGTTGCTTTATGTAAATTCAAAGTTTTTTCGAATTCGTCAGCTTTCTGTGTGTGTGTGTGTGTGTACACTGAACAAAGTTTGTCATACTTGTCAGCTTTCTGTGTGTCCATACACCAGAGCGTTTGGCTTGAAGCCTAAAGCAAACAAAAGCCCTAATGAAGTTTACAAACGTAGTTATATTGTTTAGAAACATTGTGAAGCATTAGTGATGTTCATATATAAGCCAGAAAAGCTTGAAAAAAGGGTTCATACGTACAGCTAGATACCCAAAAGCTCGCAAAGAAGTGTTATGATATACACATACATTACATACCCAAAAGAGCTCTCAAATGGGTTGTCATCAATGTCATGTACAGTTACCCACATGATCATGAAAGAACATGTCAACACTTAAAAGAAGTATTGGCGTTAATTGGGACGGGGCGGGCATATTCAGGTATATTTTATTTATTATTCTATATTCTACTGTACCTGACTAATTTCTTTTCAAAACAATTTCACTTTCAAAAAAGTCAGCCTGACATAACAGTATATATGAATATGGTTCCCATCATTTAACATTAGCTTGACGACTATAAAAAAAGAGTATAACTGACTACTGACGGACTCAGGAGTCATTGGTAGGAAAAGAATGTCGACATAAATTAAGTACAAAAACAAATACACATGCAAGAGTTTTTTAATGCATTTAACATTATTTTAGTGAACATTTTTCAGTTAAGTTATACATACAGCTCTTATATTACTGATCAATACTTTTGTCTCTAATATTATTAAAATCATGAGTAAATATATTTCATTCCTTCAAATGTATAATTATCTCATTGAGTGTTACTTGATGATGTTCAACATTACTTTTTCCATGAAAATTGATATCATTCTCAGCTTTTTGTGAGACAGATTTGTTACATCTCTCCTTTAAGTCGTTTGAATTGTCGTCAGACTCAGCAGTGATTACTTTGCTCATAAAATCATCTTCTTCAAGTATTTGCATTGAGTTAGGTATGATCGTGTTAATCGTCAAAGCACTGTGATCGTTTTTGCTGCCAAAAGCCGAATAATGTCTTCTGGTTTTAAAAATCCCAGACCCCATTATGCCGTGCTCACAAAGATCGGAACCTTTTAACTCATCTTCTAGACTCATTCTTATTGGATAAATGTAGTTGATGGTAACAAGAATTATTATTGTCATAAATGCTGACCATAATGTCGATGCAATTATCATCAGAACCTGAACACCAAGCAGCTTCCATCTTCCGTACGATTCCTCAAATAAGTGTGACGAAAAGTTTCCAGATTTATCTTGCTCCAAGAAAAATGGGACAGCAATCAAGCTCCAGGATCCTGAGCAAAAATGAACTGGAACACAACTAACTGGATCGTCAATATGGAGTCGTTCAAGTATGTTACAACTAACACACGCTGTTAAACCACCAATCATGCCAATAAGGAGTGCAAAACTTGGTCTAGTGACTGCACAGATGGCTGGAAATTTTAATTTTTGTGAGTAGAAATATCTATAATTTTGTTTTGGATCATAGACTTATTTCTCTTTCTAAGCTTTGTTTTGCAGCTAGTTCTGACGTCTCTAACATAACAGTTATAACTATTTATTGGACTTCATTACAATTTAGTTAAATTCAACATTTCTATCTTGGTTTACCTGTTACTCCAACAAGCCCTCCCAACAATCCGGACACAAATATCGGTATTTTGAATTTATTCTTGTAAAAGATATAGCTATAAAGATTTAATATTAATTGAATAATTTGCATCAGCCTTTTGTAGCCATTAGTTGGCCTTGCTTAAAAAAAATTGTTGTGCTGTATTACAACTAGTCGGTGCTATTTTTAATGAAGTTTAATTTTTAGTGTTTTTTCAAAAACTGTAAACATTTCAAAACTAAAAAATCACACACATGCATAAGTTTGTAAACAAGGCTTCAATATCGTTATATTCTTTACCTGTAAATCATTCCTATAACTCCTCCTCCAACTGAGGCATTGATCGTACACACGGCTGACCTATTTCAAGAGACAAATTTGAAATGGATGCTTTGATTTTTTTTAAATCTATTTTTGAATTCCGACAAAAAATATTAAAAAGTTTTACATTTACTGTCATTTTTAAATTTATAAATGGCTTAGGATGAACTGATACTTCAAAATACTCTCGCAACGCATAATATCTCGTTGTAGTCAGACCTCAAATTTTAGTCTTCTTTGCAAATTTCAGATTATTATTACTATGCGATCATTTCCTTACAAATCTATTGTATTGTTTATATGAATGAATATATTTCAGTAGAAATCGACCTCTCATGCAATAAACAACTTAGACATAATTTACGATAAAAGCTTCAAATTTACATCTTATAATCTAATGATTTTTAAAACTATCGAGGTTCAAAAGAAAGCTGACTACCTTGCTGCAAGTTTCCATTTTTCACCACTAATACCAAATGTACTGCCACAGTTAAAACCAAGCCATCCCCACCACAACATGAACGTTCCTAATAAAACATTTGTGGGAGATGCCATTTGAAAATCATTTTTGTTTGAATCTTTTTTGAAGCGTCCTGTGCGTGGTTTTAGAAATATGGTTGCCACTAATCCACTGATTCCACCAACAACGTGAACGGCGCTACTTCCAGCAATGTCAACTGCACCTGTCCATATTTTGAATGCAAATGTTAGAATTGTAGCTAAATATGGTGACATGTATTTACATGAAAAAGCAACAGCTTCCAAAGAATAGTTAAAAGGATTTTGAATCGCTTGCTTGAGAAAGAGAAAGCAACTTGTTCTTTTGTACATGTGATTTTAGGGAATTCAAAAAGTTACTTGGTCCGTGGTTCATCTGATTCATGAGAATTTAAAGTAAAGATGATGGCTGCACATGAAGTTACTGTATATCACGTCGGCCATCGCAAAGATTTTGAAACTGTTTATTATAGTCTTTACGTTTTACTGAAAATTGGTAGCTAATCATTGTTGTTATCAGTGCTTTCATCTAACCTCAAACATCTATAGATATATAAACCTCAAACATCTATAGATATATAAAATAATTGATTAATTGAAGCGATTCTTCATAACTGAAACTTTTATTGTCGTACATTGAGATAGCATTGAGGAGGATATAGATCTTTCAATTTTTGCACAATTACGATCAATCATTAATGCACGATAATGTTTGTGACCTTGAATTGTGTAAAAGAACTTTCTTATATGTATAAAATAATGTATTTGATAAAATGAGAAAACTTACTATTCACAATTATTGTAAAAAAATATTTAGTTCCTAATATAACGCAGAGAAAATGATTTTTGGAAAAAATAAATGTTGAATATCAACACAGCGAAACACAAAAACTGGGTAACACAACATTTTATTCATAAAATAGAGACTTTGTCGTGGTGACAAATCTGAAAATCGTTTTAAAGATCGCAAATACCATGAAGGCAAAAGTAATAAGTTAATAATTCTTAAATCAGTTTTTAAGAACTATTCACTTATTACTTTTGCCATTCACCATTTGCGACTATAAAACAATATTTTATTAATAAGTAACAGTATTTCGTCACCAGTTTGCAACTTTGGTTTTGCCATATAAAATTGAATTGATTATTTCTTTAAAATCTATTGTTTTCACAAGGATTTATTTTGCATGACGAACTTGTTGCTGGCAGCACCAATGAGAAGTATACTGCTATTAGAATGACCTTCATTGATATAGTTTTGCTAGCTTCCAATAAAATTTTCATTATTCTATCACAAAGTATATGCATTTGAAATAGATTTTTTATGGTTTACCCCAAAGGCAACAAAATTTAAACACAAACTTACCTAATTTGTTGAGCCATCCATTTTCTGACCATATCCAATGAGCAGGAAAACAATAAGTGAGTGTATTGAAGAATGCAAATGCAATGTAAGCCTTTAAGTATGTTCTTTCTGCCATTGCTCCTGAGACAATTGTAGTAGCAGTAGTTGCAAATGATAGCTGAAAGAAATATCTAGAGTATATGTGCCCCAGGTGTCTGTCGTTATGAGATTCAGTAAAAAACATTCCAACTCCGGTGAAGAAATTTGATGTATTTTCATCACCAAAACTGAAAGCAAAACCAAATATCCAATATGCCAGCCCTCCTATTATGACATCAACTGCGTTTTTGACCATAATATTTGCCTCATTCTTTTGCGAAACTGAGCCTGATTCTAAAAGACCAAACCCAGATTGCATCGTAAAGATGATGAAAGCACTGGTTAGAATCCAAGTAGCATCATCAGAATTCACTTCGTCAGTAGATTCTTTAATTCGAAAGGTTTGATTAGTGACATTCAATTGACTCATTTCTAGAGAATGAATGACAATTGAATAAATGGTTTTTTGTCACAATTCAAGTTATTATCATGTACCTATTGTTCATACAAGTGAAAATTATGCAATAATTCCTAAAAGCAAAGCGCGTTTCCATAGCTACAAGTAATTTTCAACTGCATTCTGTTCTGATATTTTTTTAACACTAATGTGATAATTTATTTTGCATCGTAGCAACGAACGTGTGAATGAATAACGAAAGCAATCTCGTGGTAATATTTTGTTTAACACATTTTGTCTGTAGCAAAATGCTTTTGACTCAACGATAATATTGAATTTAAAATGACTGTTTGCCAATAAACCAGAAAGTATAATTGTTATCTAAATTGCAAATATACATTGTTCTCTTGTTATTTAGAGCTATATGTGCGAGAAAGACAATTATTGCTTGATTAAAAATGAATGTATGTAACTTGTAAGATCCTGACGCTAAATTAGCTACAAAAAGATAAAAAATTGCTATACATGAACGAACATGTGTATTAAAAAGTATTCCAAATTAGTTTTAGTGATAATATGAAAATATAATGGAAAAAATTTATTCCAGCTCAACGTAATCGTCTTGCCATGAAAATTGCTTTGACTAGAATTAAAGCTACTGTTCTTTTTACAAATTATACAGCATCAAAAAATATTTTCAATTTTGCCAAAAAATAATGTGCAATCATAGATATCAAATATCTGCAAATGGAAAAACTTCTTGTCAACAATGGTTTTGCAGCAACGTAAACATATCTTTAAAGTAATAATTTCTTAAAATATTGTTTCGCTTTCCACTGGTGTTAAGAAAACCTTTTTGACACATTTAAAAAGATAAAATTTCAATTTTTACCTTTTCACTAGACGAGAGCCTTGAATAAACAAGCTTGAGATATCTAAAAAAAATTAAATAAAATTCAAGCTGATTTAACCATTTTTAACGATATGATGTATGTAGCAGCGTATCCAGATGGATGAAAAGTGTTTGAAAATGGTCAAGAGAGATGGTTTATCATTGTAAGAAACGCCGTGCATAAAGGATATTGGGCAGGTGGTGTGTAGAATTCAAAGTCAGAATACATTATACAATTCCTAATTTTAAATTCAAAATACCATAGCAATATTTCTGCTGGTTGAAAATTTCTAAAGAATACTTTGAAGTAAAAAAATTTAACAAATTGTGAACTTGAATTTTAGATATAATTTCTTTAATGCGTTCTTACTTACGTTAGATCCGCCACTGAGCAGGTGTTTCTATCTGCTTCCTTTGCACGTGCTGCTTCCTCGTCCCAGTATGTAGAGCAGGTGTTTTTTTGCTAAAAGGTAGGTATGAAAAAGCTAGCGGGAGATTATTGCCAAAAATTTTAATTTGTGATAATAATGATTGCATGCGGTATCAAGTAAGCCCCGTCCAATTTAGATCGCTGTGTTTTCTAGTAAATTATGGCAAATTCCGCTTATCTTATTTTCAGAAGACTTTTTACTTTATAACTTTGATTACAAAATTATTAGCTTTATTTCATCAAATTTCAAGATGAGATGAAAATTCTTATCTTTTATTTTCGGTAGCTATCATCAAAGAAAAACTTTCTAATAAAGACCATACAAACGAAACGACATGTCTACATAATTTTGGCTTGCAATTAGTGTTAATTTAGTAAACACAACCGAAAATTTATTAAGCTGTAATCTTTCGATACGCGGTTATGTCATGAAAAATTCATAATATATATACGATAGAACAGTTACCTATATTGAACGTTCATCTCTGTTAAGCGGACGCAGTCACTTTTTTGAAAGTTTAAGCTCTGGCATTTTCTTCCTCGTTTTCTTCATCGGCTGAAGCCTGTCTTAAGCGGTCACACGGAAAATTCCCTAGTGTTACCGTTTAACACAGGTTTTACTTATTCAAATCATTGTTTAAACTAGCTAACAAACTCGAATATACTAAATCAGAAAGAAAGTTTATACTTGCAGTAACAACTGACAAGAATGATTCTTTTTCTTTTTTTTGCATGATTTTTTTGAGGTATGAAGGCTCGTTCTCAATAGATTTGGTTTCTATTTTAAAGGTCAAGAATCTGTCAAGTTTCCTCCATTAAATGATCAATTATCGACTATTTCTGTATTTTATCATTAAATTGGTGAGGAAATCATCCATTTTTTGTGGGATGAACTTTATCTTTTTCCGTAACAGCTGAGGAACATTTTTGATGATCATAAACACATCATCATATAAAAAAAAACACATTTTTTCTACATATTGATCGGTTATAGAATTTATTAAGTCAAACAAAGATCTTCTTTATATGTTTTCATTATGAGATTTTAAACATCATTTGAACAAATTGTCATATACACATGCATTCAAAAGAGGTTGTAAATGTTTGTAATATACACTTGATATAAACTTGACTTGAGCGAGCGAAGAATAACTGAGTACAGACTCAGTTATTGTAAAAGTGAGGTTTTGCAGGTAAGAACATTTTGACATAAATTAATTACAAAACAAATTCAGATGGAGAAAAATTTCTTGCAACAACAACAAAAAAGGTTTTTTGGTGTCTGAAAATTTGATAAGATCCAAAACGCCAAAACCTTTAACTTCCTGAACAATCTAAAATTATACCACAAACAACAGATAGCTATTATATATTGATCAAAACGTTCGTTTCTAAATGATATTATACACATTTTACATTAAAACCATGAGTATTACGGTTCATTCTTTTCCATGTAGCTATATAAATATTTCGTCAAGTGTCAGTTTATGTTGTATCCAACATTACTTTGCCCTTGAAAATTTTTATCATTCTCGGTTACTTTATGTAAGCTACGTGATACAGATTTTTTGCATCTCTCTTTTAGATCACTTGAATTTTCGTCAGCATCGATTACTTGGCTCATAAAATCATCTTCTCTGACACTTTGGTTTGTGTTCAGTACATGCGTTTTAATAGTCCAAGCACTTTGAACTTTTCTGGAGCCAAATGCCGAGTGAGGTCTTCTTGTTTCAAACATGTCAGACATTAATATGTCGTGTTCACAAATATCGAGCCTTTTAACTCATCTTCTAGACTCATTCTTATTGGAGAAATGTAGTTGATGGTAACAAGAATTATTAAAGTTATAAATGCTGACCATAATGTTGATGAAATTATCATCAGAACCTGGACACCAAGCAGCTTCCATCTTCCGTACGATTCCTCAAATAAGTGTGACGAAAAGTTTCCAGATTTGTCTTGCTCCAAGAAAAATGGAACAGCAATCAAACTCCAGTATCCAGCGCAAACATGCACAAGAACACAACCAACTGGATCGTCAATATGGAGTCGTTCAAGTATGTTACAACTAATACACGCTATTAAACCACCAATTATGCCCATAATGAGTGCAAAACTTGGTCTAGTGACTGCACAGATGGCTGGAAATTTTAATTTTTGTTAGTAGAAATATCAATAATTTTTGTTTAGATCATATTTCATCTCTCTTTAATGATTAATCTTAATCTGATAAGAATAGTCCAGGTTTATTAGGTATATATAATGATCTATAATAAACCACTATGATAATATGTTATAATAGTTATTATTGTATTATTCCGAAAAACTTGAAAATTGAAAGATCTACGATGAAATATCTAATTTAACATTTCCAGCTTTGTTTACCTGTTATTCCAACAAGTCCTCCCAACAGTCCGGTCACAAATATTGGTATATTTAACTTATTCTTGTAAAATATATAGCTAAAAAGATTAAATATAAATTAAATAATTTGCAACAGCCTTTTCTAGCCTTTAGTTGGACTTGCATGAAATAAATTGTTATGCTGTATTACAGTTGATAGATATATGCTATTAATACTAAAGCTTGAATTAGTGAACGCGTGATCTTGTTAAGATCCTCCCGGCCTCCCCAAAATGCAAATGTTTGTAAAATTGAACCCATCAAGACGTAAATTAAGCCATAAATACTTCAATTTAGAAATTTTAACAATCAACATACATAAGTTTATAAAGAAGGCTTCTGTATCGTTATATTCTACCTGTAAATCATTCCTATAACACCTCCGCCGACTGAGCCATTGATCGTACAAACAGCCGACCTATTTTAAGAAAAAAGTTTGAAATAAATACTTGATGTTTTACTAAATGTATTTTTGAATTCCTTAAAGTATAAACATTTTGCATTTCTTGTTAGTTTTAAATTTAAAAATGGCATACGATAGACATATACAGGATCATAGGCAGGTTAAGGCAGCCAAAACTATTGCTCATGCTATGTAAATTCAGTAAAACCATTATCATCATTCATTTCTTTAGAATTCTATTGTTTTTGAAGAAAGTGAATACAGAATATCTGCAAAACAGGACCAAACTTGGGGCTCACAGCGCTGCTGTTCTGATTATATGAGTGAATTTCCTTCAGTAGAAATCAACCTCTCATACAATAAACAACTTAGACACAATTTACGATAAAAGCTCCAAATTTAAATCTTATAATCCAATGATTTTGAAAAGTATCGAGGTTCAAAGACAGCTGACTACCTTGCTGCAAGTTTCCATTTTTCACCACTAATACCAAAAGTACTGCCACAGTTAAAACCAAGCCATCCCCACCACAACATGAACGTTCCTAATAAAACATTTGTGGGAGATGCCATTTGAAAATCAGTTTTGTTTGAATCTTTTTTGAAGCGTCCTGTGCGTGGTTTTAGAAATATGGTTGCCACTAATCCACTGATTCCACCAACAACGTGAACGGCGCTACTTCCAGCAATGTCAACTGCACCTGTCCATATTTTGAATGCAAATGTTAAAATCTGTAGCTAAATATGGTTAAATGTATTTAAACTACAGAAAAACAGCTTCCAAACAATATTCAAAAGGATTTTGAAATTTGAATCACTTGAGAAAATCTCTTGAGTGCATGATTGTCCACGATTTCCGGATTTGTAAAAACAAAGAAAAAGTTTCTGTTCAGCAAGTGGGTCACTATAGAGACTTTGAAACTGTTGATTTATTGAAAATAGGTAATCACTGCCATAAGTGCTTTTATCTTCTATTCTCAACTATACTTACAATAATCAACTAATTGCAACAATTCTTCATAATAGGAACTTTCATTGTCATACAATAACGTTCTAATGAAGAACAACTCTTATATTTTGGACAATAACGATAGACTAAAATGTAATTAGTATATTTTTAGTAATGTTTGAAAAGGATTTGAGTTGAAAATCACAATAATTTATTAACTAAAGCAAGTAGTTTAGAAACATAAAACGACAACATTTTGAGGTCCACGAAAGAACAAATTTTTTCAAGATTTTTTTTTATTTTTCATCTATACGCCAGCAATTTCTATGTTTTGTACGTATTTCAACAAATCTATGCATTTGTAAAATACTTCGAAACAACCAAGATGGAGAATATCACAAAGAATAATCTCGAAAAAATTAATGCTGAATAACAACAGAGCAAACCCTTAACAATTTTTTAGCACATGCAGTGTTAAATTAAGAAATGCAGTAAGCGAATACTGAGTATAGCATTCAGTATTTGTTTTGTTAGCTCCTAAGGTTTCTATTGCTCCGAAGCTCTAAGGTTTCGTGATTCTTTATCACAAACAGTTCTTGTATTTCAAAAAAGTTTGAAACTTTACCCAAAAGGCAACAAAAATCCAAACACGAACTTACCTAATTTTTTGAGCCATCCATTTTCTGACCATATCCAATGAGCAGGAAAACAATAAGTGAGTGTATTGAAGAATGCAAATGCAATGTAAGCTTTTAAGTATGTTCTTTCTGCCATTGCCCCTGAGACAATTGTAGTAGCAGTAGTTGCGAATGATAGCTGAAAGAAATATCTAGAGTATATGTGCCCCAAGTGTCTGTCGTTATGAGATTCAGTAAAAAACATTCCAACTCCGGTGAAGAAATTTGATTTATTATCATCACCAAAACTGAAAGCAAAACCAAATATCCAATATGCCAGCCCTCCTATTATGACATCAACTGCGTTTTTGACCATGATATTTGCCTCATTCTTTTGCGAAACTAAAGCCTGATTCTAAAAGACCAAACCTAGATTGCATCGTAAAGATGATGAAAGCACTGGTTAGAATCCAAGTAGCATCATCAGAATTCACTTCGTCAGTAGATTCTTTAATTCGAAAGGTTTGATTAGTGACATTCAATTGACTCATTTCTAGAGAATGAATAACAATTGAACAAATGGTTCTTTTGAATAACAAAGGCTAGTTTTTCTTATTTTTCCGACAAATGAAAAATATACAATTATTTGTTAAAAACAAAGCGTTAAGACACCGAATTAAAATTTTTATTGCTACATGATTATTATAGCAAAAAAAAACTTACTCTAAACTTAAGGAACTGTGAAGACGTGAAAATGTCACTAAAACTTTTGTCAAAACGTGAAAATATTACTAAAACTTTTGTTAAAACGTAAAAATGTCACCAAAACGTTTGTAAAAAATTTTTTAGTTGTTTTTCCTGCATTTATGATTTTATTACGAGTTTAAATTATTATTTTAGAGATATTTAGGAAATGTTGTCTTCTGCATTCTCTTCTGATATTATTTTAACACAAACTGTGATGATTTATTTTGTTTCTTAGCAACGCACTTGTGAACGACACTTCTTATATTTATAGTTAAAGCGTCTTCAAAACGACAGAATCTAATACTTCGGGTTTGTCAAAACATTTCAACCAGATTGCAAGTAGTAAGTGTCAATTCATATACAGTCTGTATACAGAAAGAAGTACATACATAAACTAACAGTACAAATAATTATATACATACATATTCTCTTTATAGCTAACGTGCAACATTGACATGCAATAACAACTGCTTGATTAAAAATGAAGAAGTATGACGATGTACGATCCTGTGGCTAAAATAGTTTGAATAAAGAAACCAGCTGATTAAACATAAACAGCTCTTATATTACTGATTACTGATTAATACTTTTGTCTCTAAATGCTATCAAATATCATTAAAATCATGAGTAAATATATTTTACTCCTTCAAATGTATAATTATCTCATTGAGTGTTACTTGATGATGTTCAACATTACTTTTTCCATGAAAATTGATATCATTCTCAGCTTTTTTTTGTGAGACAGATTTGTTACATCTCTCCTTTAAGTCGTTTGAATTATCGTCAGACTCAGCATTGATTACTTTGGTCATAAAATCATCTTCTTCAAGTATTTGTATTGAGTTAGGTATGATCGTGTTCATCGTCAAAGCACTGTGATCGTTTTTGCTGCCAAATGCCGAATGATGGCTGTTATGAATCCCAGACCCCATTATGCCGTGCTCACAAAGATCGGAACCTTTTAACTCATCTTCTAGACTCATTCTTATTGGATAAATGTAGTTGATGGTAACAAGAATTATTATTGTCATAAATGCTGACCATAATGTCGATGCAATTATCATCAGAGCCTGAACACCAAGCAGCTTCCATCTTCCGTAGGATTCCTCAAATAAGTGTGACGAAAAGTTTCCAGATTTATCTTGCTCCAAGAAAAATGGAACAGCAATCAAGCTCCAGGATCCTGAGCAAAAATGAACTGGAACACAACTAACTGGATCGTCAATATGGAGTCGTTCAAGTATGTTACAACTAACACACGCTGTTAAACCACCAATCAGGCCAATAATGAGTGCAAAACTTGGTCTAGTGACTGCACAGATGGCTGGAAATTTTAATTTTTGTGAGTAGAAATATCTATAATTTTTGTTTTGGATCATAGACTTATTTCTCTTTCTAAGCTTTGTTTTTGCAGTTAGTTCTGACGTCTCTAACATAACAGTTATAACTTTTTATTGGACTTCATTACAATTTAGTTAAATTCAACATTTCTATCTTGGTTTACCTGTTACTCCAACAAGCCCTCCCAACAATCCGGACACAAATATTGGTATTTTGAATTTATTCTTGTAAAAGATATAGCTAAAAAGATTAAATATTAATTAAATAATTTGCATCAGCCTTTTGTAGCCATTAGTTGGCCTTGCTTAAAACAAATTGTTATGCTGTATTACAACTAGTCGGTGCTATTTTTAATGAAGTTTAATTTTTAGTGTTTTTTCAAAAACTATAAACATTTCAAAACTAAAAAATCATCCATATACATAAGTTTATAAACAAGGCTTCAATATCGTTATATTCTATACCTGTAAATCATTCCTATAACTCCTCCTCCAACTGAGGCATTGATCGTACACACGGCAGACCTATTTCAAGAGACAAATTTGAAATGGATGCTTTGAATTTTTTAAATCTATTTTTGAATTCTAATAAAAAATATTAAAAAGTCTTACATTTACTGTCATTTTCAAATTTATAAATGGCTTAGGATGAACTGATACTTCAAAATACTCTCGCAACGCATAATATCTTATTGTAGTCAGACCTCAAATTTTAATCTTTCTTTGCAAAATTCATATCATTATCACTCTGCGATCATTTCATTACAAAACTATTTTATTGTTTATATAAATGAATATTTTTCAGTGGAGATCGACATACAATTAACAACTTAGACATAATTTACGATAAAAACTCCAAATTTACATCTTACACTTTTATGATTTTGAAGTGTCGAGGCTCAAAAGAAAGCTGACTACCTTGCTGCAAGTTTCCATTTTTCACCACTAATACCAAAAGTACTGCCGCAGTTAAAACCAAGCCATCCCCACCACAACATAAATGTTCCTAATAAAACATTTGTGGGAGATGCCATTTGAAAACTTTTCTTCTTTGAACCTTTCATGAAGCGTCCTGTGCGTGGTTTTAGAAATATGGTTGCCACTAATCCACTGATTCCCCCAACAACGTGAACGGCGCTACTTCCAGCAATGTCAACTGCACCTGTCCATATTTTGAATGCAAATGTTAAAATCTGTAGCTAAATATGGTGACACGTATTTAAACGACAGAAAAACAGCTTCCAAACAATAGCTAAAAGGATTTTGAATCGAGTGAGAAAGAGAAAGCAACTTGTTCTTTTGCACATGTGATTTACGAGAATTCAAAAGTTACTTGGTCTGTGGTTCATGTGATTTATGAGAATTTAAAAGTAAAGATGATGGCTGCACATGAAGTTACTTTTATCACGTCGGCCATCGCAAAGATTTTGAAACTGTTTATTATAGTCTTTACGTTTTACTGAAAATTGGTAGCTAATCATTGTTGTTATCATTGCTCTCATCTAATAACCTCAAACATCTATAGATATATAAAATAACTGATTAATTGAAGCGATTCTTTATAACTGAATTTTGTACTGTCGTACATTGAGATAGAATTGAGGAGGATATAGATCTTTCAATTTTTGCACAATTACGATCAATCATAAAAGCACGATAGTGTTTGTGACCTGAAATTGTGTAAAAGAACTTTCTTATATGTATAAAATAATGTATTTGATAAAATGAGAAAACTTACTATTCACAATTATTGTAAAAAAATATTTAGTACTTAATATAACGCAGAGAAAATGATTTTTGGAAAAAATAAATGTTGAATAATAACATAGCGAAACACAACAACTTTGTAACACAATATTTTATTCATAAAATAGAGACTTTGTCGTGGTGACAAATCTGAAAATCGTTTTAAAGATCGCAATATCATAGAATGGCAAAAGTAATAAGTTAATAATTCTTAAATCAGTTCTTTCAAGAACTATTAACTTATTACTTTTGCCATTCACCATTTGCGAACTATAAAACAATATTTTATTAATAAGTAACAGTATTTCGTCACCAGTTTGCAACTTTGGTTTTGCCATATAAATTGAATTGATTATTTATTTCTTTAAAATCTATTGTTTTCACAAGGATTTATTTTGCATGACAAACTTGTTGCTGGCAGCACCAATGAGAAGTATACTGCTATTAGAATGACCTCCATTGATATAGTTTTGCTAGCTTCCAATGAAATTTTCATTATTCTATCACAAAGTATTTGTATTTGAGATAGATATTTTACCCCAAAGGCAACAAAATTTAAACACAAACTTACCTAATTTGTTGAGCCATCCATTTTTTGACCATATCCAATGAGCGGGAAAACAATAAGTGAGTGTATTGAAGAATGCAAACGCAATGTAAGCCTTTAAGTATGTTCTTTCTGCCATTGCCCCTGAGACAATTGTAGTAGCAGTAGTTGCAAATGATAGCTGAAAGAAATATCTAGAGTATATGTGCCCCAGGTGTCTGTTGTTTTGAGATTCAGTAAAAAACTTTCCAATTCCGGTGAAGAAATTTGATTTATTTTCATCACCAAAACTGAAAGCAAAACCAAATATCCAATATGCCAGCCCTCCTATTATGACATCAACTGCGTTTTTAACCATAATATTTGCCTCATTCTTTTGCGAAACTGAGCCTGATTCTAAAAGACCAAACCCGGATTGCATCGTAAAGATGATGAAAGCACTGGTTAGAATCCAAGTAGCGTCATCAGAATTCACTTCGTCAATAGATTCTTTAATTCCAAAGGTTTGATTAGTGACATTCAATTGACTCATTTCTAGCAAATGAATGACAATTGAATAAATGGTTTTTTGTCATAATTCAAGTTATTATCATGTACCTATTGTTCATACAAGTGAAAAGTATGCAATAATTCCTAAAAGCAAAGCGCGTTTCCATAGCTACAAGTAATTTTCAACTGCATTCTGTTCTGATATTTTTTTAACACTAATGTGATGATTTATTTTGCTTCTTAGCAGTGAACGTGTGAATGAATAACGAAAGCAATCTCGTGGTAATATTTTGTTTAACACATTTTGTCTGTAGCAAAATGTTATCTAAATTGCAAATATACATTGTTATCTTGTTATTTAGAGCTATGATGTGCGAGAAAGACAATTATTGCTTGATTAGAAATGAATGTATATAACAGGTAAGATCCTGACGCTAAATTAGCTACAAAAAAATAAAAAATTGCTATACATGAATGAACATGTGTATTAAAAAGTATTCCAAATTAGTTTTAGTGATAATATGAAAATATAATGGAAAAAATTCATTCCAGCTCAACGTAATCGTCTCGACATGAAAGTTGCTTTGACTAGAATTAAAGCTACTGTTCTTTTTAAAAATCATACAGCATCAAAAAATATTTTCAATTTTGCCAAAAAAAAAAGTACAATCATAGATATCAAATATCTGCAAATGGAAAAACTTCTTGTCAACAATGGTTTTGCAGCAACGTAAACATGTCTTTAAAGTATTAATTTCTTAAAATATTGTCTCGTTTTCCACAGGTGTTAAGAAAACCTTTTTGATACATTTAAAAATATAGAATTTCAATTTTTACCTTTTGACTAGACGAGAACATTCAATAAACAAGCTTGAGATTTCTAAAAAATTAAGGAAAAGTCACGCTGATTTATCCATTTTGAACGGTATTACATGTTTGTAAATGTCGATCGTCCAGGTTGGTATAGTCCTGAGAAGGACTGTTTTTGTTGTTGTTGACTGACGTTTCGACAACCTTAGCGGTAGTCATCTTCAGAGTCAAATGAGGAGTAAACGTCAGGTTAGCCGTATGTGTTATCTGGTTCTTACGTCATTGTATTGTGTACAGGAAATGTGTATTGTCATTGTGAATTAGTGTGAAGTGAAATATTTTTATTTTTAGTTGTGATGTGTGATTTAGGTGTGATGTTTTTAGTTGTAATGTGTGGGTATCAATTGTGTATTGTCATTGTGAATTAGTGTGAAATGTAATGTTTTTAGTTGATCGTTTGTTTGTATTGTGAATAAGTCGTTTGTAAGGTGCCGGTAATTGCTGTGATCTGTTCAGGGGGTTTTGTTCCAAGTTGGTATACCAACTTTCTAATGTAAGCCGTTGTCTATAGTCAGTACTGTAAGTCAGAGTTATAGTTGTTTTTGTCAAAAACACGTTTGAGATAGTTGTTTTTGTTGTGTAGAGCGTCCGGTGAATCACATATGATTTGTGCAAGTCTTGTTAATGTTCTGATTGTGGTGGCTTTGTGTGATGTAGGGTTGTAAGATGATTGGTCTAGTAGTCGGTCAGTATGTGTTGGCTTGCGATAAACTGCTGTTCGTAGTTTATGATTGTCATGTTTTACCAAACAGTCGAGAAAAGGAAGAGTTCCGTTTTCTTCGACATCTTTGGTAAATTGTATGTGGCTGTTCTGTTTGTTGATGTGAGAGTGAAAGTCATCAAACTCGTCTGCATGTAGTGGCACTACATGCACTACACAATCACAGCACTACATGCAGACGAGATTTGATGACTTTCACACTCACATCAACAAACAGAACAGCCACATACAATTTACCAAAGATGTCGAAGAAAACGGAACTCTTCCTTTTCTCGACTGTTTGGTAAAACATGACAATCAAAACTACGAACAACAGTTTATCGCAAGCCAACACATACTGACCGACTACTAGACCAATTATCTTACAACCCTACATCACACAAAGCCACGACAATCAGAACATTAACAAGACGTTCACAAATCATATGTGATTCACCGGACGCTCTACACAACGAAAACAACTATCTCAAACGTGTTTTGACAAAACAACTATAACTCTGACTTTATCAAACGCAACACTTACAAACCCAACGAACCCAACGAAACGAACAACTCAGCAACGATACCTTACATCAAAGGTACGTCTGAGACTATCTCGCGTATCTTACGACCATACAACATACGTGTCGCACATAAACCAATCACAACGTTACGACAAGTACTAACGAACATAAAGGACAAAGAACAACCCAACGAATGACAAGGTGCAGTTTACAAAATAAACTGCTCCGACTGCCACGCCTCCTATACCTGGGAAACTGACAGGAACTTAAACATAAGACTTACTGAACACAAACGAGCTACTAGGAAACAAGACAAAACTAATCACAATGCCGAACATCACCGAATCACAAAGCACAACATTGACTGGGACTCGGCAAAATGCATTACTTACAGTACTGACTATAGACAACGGCTTACATTAGAAAGTTGGCATACCAACTTGGAACAAACCACCCTGAACAGATCACAGCAATTACCGGCACCTTACAAACGACTTATTCACAATACAAACACACGATCAACTAAAAACATTACATTTCACACTAATTCACAATGACAATACACAATTGATACCCACACATTACAACTAAAAACATCACACCTAAATCACACATCACAACTAAAAATAAAAATATTTCACTTCACACTAATTCACAATGACAATACACATTTCCTGTACACACAATACAATGACGTAAGAACCAGATAAAAATACGGCTAACCTGACGTTTAATCCTCATTTGACTCTGAAGATGACTACCGCTAAGGTTGCGAAACGTCAGTCAACAACAACAAAAACAGTCCTTCTCAGGACTATACCAGCCTGGACGATCTACATTCACAAACATGTAACGATACTCCCGGGTTCAAACCATTTACTTGATATGATTTATGTAGCAGCGTATCCAGATGAATGAAAAGTGTTTGAAACACCGTGCATAAAGGATATTGAGCAGGTGGTGTGTAGAATTCAAAGTCAGAATACATTATACAATTCCTAATTTTAAATTCAAAATACCATAGCAATATTTCTGCTTGTTGAAAATTTCTAAAGTATATTTTGAAGCAAAAAATTTTAACAAATTATGAATTTGAATTTTAGATATAATTTTTTTAATGTATTCTTACTTAACCAAAAAGAATGATAGCACAACGCTATAACCAACAACTACAAACAATAACGACCTTATCTAACAACATTTGAGAAATTAACCTTCACCTCTTCCCGAGACAAGTCTACTTAAAGCAGAGTTTATACGCTACAAGTCCCGGCTTGTGACAGGTAGCAGAGTTAAAGTGAAAGGTTTATCATAGATCAACTGAACATTCTGCTCATTTTGTTTAGAAGCATGTTGAACAGTTCATATGGAAAGCTCGAATTAAATATCAGTAACATAATCTGGTGTTAATGTTAGACAATACATTATTGCCTTTCAGTGAAAGCATCCCCCTTTCCACTGGAAAAGAATGAATCTAATATCGATGTTAAACATAGATTGTTACAAGCATACTATTTTATACTTATACATATCGGCAAGCGGGATGCTTGTAACAATCTATGTTTAACATCGATGTTAGATTCATTCTTTTCCAGTGGAAAGCGGGATGCTTTCACTGAAGTGCAATGATGTATTGTCTAACATTAACACCGGATTATGTTACTGATATTTAATATGGAATTCGAGCTTTGTCCATATGAGCTGTTCAACATGCTTCCAAACAAAAATGAGCAGGAATGTTCAGTTGATTAATCTATGATAAACCTTTCACCTTTTAACTCTGCTATACCGGTCACAAGCCGGGGACTTGTAGCGTATAAGACTCTCTGCTTTTCAGTAGACTTGTCTCGTTAAAAGGAAGAGGAGTGGAAGGTTAATTTCTCAAATGTTGTTAGATAAGGTCGTTATTTTTTGTAGTTGTTGGTTATAGCGTTGTGCTATCATTCTTTTTGGTTAATAACATTCCAACTATTTAACCTTGTGACTATTCTTACTTACCTTTGATCCGCCACAGAGCAGGTGTTTCTATTTGCCTCCTTTGCACGTACTGCTTCCTCGTCCCAGTATGTAGAACAGGTGCTTTTTTGCTAAAACGTTGGTATGAAAAAGCTAGCGGGAGATTATTGCCAAAAATTTTAATTTGTGATAATAATGATTGCAAGCGGTATCAAGCAAGCCCCCTCCAATTTAGATCGCTGTGTTTCCTAGAAATTATGCCAAATTCAGCTTATCTTATTTTCAGAAGACTTTTTTTACTTTATAACTTTGATTACAAAATTATTAGTTTTATTTCATCAAATTTCAAGATGAGATGAAAAATTCTTATCTTTTTTATTTTCGGTAGCTATCATCAAAAGAAAAACTTTCTAATAAAGACCATACAAACGAAACGACATGTCTACATAATTTTGGCTTGCAATTAGTGTTAATTTAGTAAACACAACCGAAAATTTATTAAGCTGTAATCTTTCGATACGCGGTTATGTCATGAAAAATTCATAATATATATACGATAGAACAGTTACCTATATTGAACGTTCATCTCTGTTAAGCGGACGCAGTCACTTTTTTGAAAGTTTAAGCTCTGGCATTTTCTTCCTCGTTTTCTTCATCGGCTGAAGCCTGTCTTAAGCGGTCACACGGAAAATTCCCTAGTGTTACCGTTTAACACAGGTTTTACTTATTCAAATCATTGTTTAAACTAGCTAACAAACTCAAATATACTAAGTCAGAAAGAAAATTTATTAGCCAGCTTATATTTGCAGTGACAACTGACAAGAATGATATTTTTTCTTTTGTTTGCATGACTTTTTGAGGTATGAAGGCTCGTTCTCAATAGATTTGGTTTCTATTTGGTTTCAAGAATCTTTCAAGTTTCCTCCACTAAATGATCAATTATCGACAATTTCTGTATTTCATCATTAAATTTGTGAGGAAATCATCCATTTTTTGTGGGATGAACTTTATCTTTTTCCGTAACAGCTGAGGAGCATTTTTGGTGATCATAAACACATCATCATATAAAAATACACATTTTTTCTACATATTGATCGGTTATAGAATTTATTAAGTCAAACAGATCTTCTTTATATGTTTTCATTATGAGATTTTAAACATCATTTGAACAAATTGTCATATACACATGCATTCAAAAGAGGTTGTAAATGTTTGTAATATACACTTAATATACACTTGACTTGAGCAAGCAAAGAATAACTGAGTACAGACTCAATGCTTGTAAAAGTGAGGTTTTGCAGGTAAGAACATTTTGACATAAATTAATTACAAAAACAAATTCAGATGGAGAAAAAATTTCTTGCAACAACAACAAAAAAGGTTTTTTTGGTGTCTGAAAATTTGATAAGATCCAAAACGCCAAAAACTTTAACTTCCTGAACAATCTAAAATTATACCACAAACAACAGATAGCTATTATATATTGATCAAAATGTTTGTTTCTAAATGATATTATACACATTTTACATTAAAACCATGAGTATTACGGTTCATTCTTTTCCATGTAGCTATATAAATATTTCGTCAAGTGTCAGTTTATGTTGTATCCAACATTACTTTGCCCTCGAAAATTTTTATCATTCTCGGTTACTTTATGTAAGCTACGTGAGACAGATTTTTTGCATCTCTCTTTTAGATCACTTGAATTTTCGTCAGCATCGATTACTTGGCTCATAAAATCATCTTCTCTGACACTTTGGTTTGTGTTCAGTACATGCGTTTTAGTAGTCCAAGCACTTTGAACTTTTCTGGAGCCAAATGCCGAGTGAGGTCTTCTTGTTTCAAACATGTCAGACATTAATATGTCGTGTTCACAAATATCGGAGCCTTTTAACTCATCTTCTAGACTCATTCTTATTGGAGAAATGTAGTTGATGGTAACAAGAATTATTAAAGTTATAAATGCTGACCATAATGTTGATGAAATTATCATCAGAACCTGGACACCAAGCAGCTTCCATCTTCCGTACGATTCCTCAAATAAGTGTGACGAAAAGTTTCCAGATTTGTCTTGCTCCAAGAAAAATGGAACAGCAATCAAACTCCAGTATCCAGCGCAAACATGCACAGGAACACAACCAACTGGATCGTCAATATGGAGTCGTTCAAGTATGTTACAACTAATACACGCTGTTAAACCACCAATCATGCCCATAATGAGTGCAAAACTTGGTCTAGTGACTGCACAGATGGCTGGAAATTTTAATTTTTGTTAGTAGAAATATCAATAATTTTTGTTTAGATCATATTTCATCTCTCTTTAATGATTAATCTTAATCTGATAAGAATAGTCCAGGTTTATTAGGTATATATAATGATCTATAATAAACCACTATGATAATATGTTATAATAGTTATTATTGTATTATTCCGAAAAACTTGAAAATTGAAAGATCTACGATGAAATATCTAATTTAACATTTCCAGCTTTGTTTACCTGTTATTCCAACAAGTCCTCCCAAAAGTCCGGTCACAAATATTGGTATATTTAACTTATTCTTGTAAAATATATAGCTAAAAAGATTAAATATAAATTAAATAATTTGCAACAGCCTTTTCTAGCCATTAGTTGGACTTGCATGAAATAAATTGTTATGCTGTATTACAGTTGATAGATATATGCTATTAATACTAAAGCTTGAATTAGTGAACGCGTGATCTTGTTAAGATCCTCCCCGGCCTCTCCCCTAAAAATGCAAATGTTTGTAAATTTGAACCCATCAAGACGTAAATTAAGCCATAAATACTTCAATTTAGAAATTTCAACAATCAACATACATAAGTTTATAAAGAAGGCTTCTGTATCGTTATGTTCTACCTGTAAATCATTCCTATAACACCTCCGCCGACTGAGCCATTGATCGTACAAACAGCCGACCTATTTTAAGAAAAAAGTTTGAAATAAATACTTGATGTTTTACTAAATGTATTTTTGAATTCCTTAAAGTATAAACATTTTGCATTTCTTGTTAGTTTTAAATTTAAAAATGGCATACGATAGACATATACAGGATCATAAGCAGGTTAAGGCAGCCAAAACTATTGCTCATGCTATGTAAATTCAGTAAAGCCATTATCATCATTCATTTCTTTAGAATTCTATTGTTTTTGAAGAAAGTGAAAACAGAATATCTGCAAAACAGGACCAAACTTGGGGCTCACAACGCTGCTGTTCTGATTATATGAGTGAATTTCCTTCAGTAGAAATCAACCTCTCATACAATTAACAACTTAGACATAACTTATGATAAAAGCTCCAAATTTAAATCTTATAATCCAATGATTTTGAAAAGTATCGAGGTTCAAAAGAAAGCTGACTACCTTGCTGCAAGTTTCCATTTTTCACCACTAATACCAAAAGTACTGCCACAATTAAAGCCAAGCCATCCCCACCACAACATGAACGTTCCTAATAAAACATTTGTGGGAGATGCCATTTGAAAATCAGTTTTGTTTGAATCTTTTTTGAAGCGTCCTGTGCGTGGTTTTAGAAATATGGTTGCCACTAATCCACTGATTCCACCAACAACGTGAACGGCGCTACTTCCAGCAATGTCAACTGCACCTGTCCATATTTTGAATGCAAATTTTAAAATCTGTAGCTAAATATGGTTAAATGTATTTAAACGACAAAAAAACAGCTTCCAAACAATATTCAAAAGGATTTTGAAATTTGAATCACTTGAAAAAATCTCTTGAGTGCATGATTGTCCACGATTTCCCGATTTGTAAAAACAAAGAAAAAGTTTCTGTTCAGCAAGTGAGTCACCATAGAGACTTTGAAACTGTTGATTTATTGAAAATAGGTAATCACTGCCATAAGTGCTTTTATCTTCTATTCTCAACTATACTTAGAATAATCAACTAATTGCAACAATTCTTCATAATAGGAACTTTCATTGTCATACAATAACGTTCTAATGAAGAACAACTCTTATATTTTGGACAATAACGATAGACTAAAATGTAATTAGTATATTTTTAGTAATGTTTGAAAAGGATTTGAGTTGAAAATCACAATAATTTATTAACTAAAGCAAGTGGTTTAGGAACATAAAACGACAACATTTTGAGGTCCACGAAAGAACAAATTTTTTCAAGATTTTTTTATTTTTCATCTATAGGCCAGCAATTGCTATGTTTTGTACGTATTTCAACAAATCTATGCATTTGTAAAATACTTAGAAACAACCAACATGGAGAATATCACAAAGAATAATCTCGAAAAAATTAATGCTGAATAAAAACAGAGCAAACCCTTAACAATTTTTTAGCACATGCAGTGTTAAATTAAGAAATGCAATAAGCGAATACTGAGTATAGCATTCAGTATTTGTTTTGTTAGCTCCTAAGGTTTCTATTTTCGTGATTCTTTATCACAAACAGTTCTTGTATTTCAAAAAAGTTTGAAACTTTACCCAAAAGGCAACAAAAATCCAAACACGAACTTACCTAATTTGTTGAGCCATCCATTTTCTGACCATATCCAATGAGCGGGAAAACAATAAGTGAGTGTATTGAAGAATGCAAATGCAATGTAAGCCTTTAAGTATGTTCTTTCTGCCATTGCCCCTGAGACAATTGTAGTAGCAGTAGTTGCGAATGATAGCTGAAAGAAATATCTAGAGTATATGTGCCCCAAGTGTCTGTCGTTATGAGATTCAGTAAAAAACATTCCAACTCCGGTGAAGAAATTTGATTTATTATCATCACCAAAACTGAAAGCAAAACCAAATATCCAATATGCCAGCCCTCCTATTATGACATCAACTGCGTTTTTAACCATGATGTTTGCCTCATTCTTTTGCGAAACTAAGCCTGATTCTAAAAGACCAAACCCAGATTGCATTGTAAAGATGATGAAAGCACTGGTTAGAATCCAAGTAGCGTCATCAGAATTCACTTCGTCAGTAGATTCTTTAATTCGAAAGGTTTGATTAGTGACATTCAATTGACTCATTTCTAGAGAATGAATAACAATTGAACAAATGGTTTTTTTGAATAACAAAGGCTAGTTTTTCTTATTTTTCCGACAAATGAAAAATATACAATTACTTGCTAAAAACAAAGCGTTAAGACACCGAATTAAAATTTTTTATTGCTACATCATTATTATAGCAAAAAAAAACTTACTCTAAACTTAAGGAACTGTGAAGACGTGAAAATGTCACTAAAACTTTTGTCAAAACGTGAAAATATTAGTAAAACTTTTGTTAAAACGTGAAAATGTCACCAAGACGTTTGTAAAAAAATTTTTAGTTGTTTGTCCTGCATTTATGATTTTATTACGAGGTTAAATTAATATTTTAGAGATATTTAGGAAATGTTGTCTTCTGCATTCTCTTCTGATATTATTTTAACACAAACTGTGATGATTTATTTTGTTTCTTAGCGACGCCCTTGTGAACGACACTTCTTATATTTATAGTTAAAGCGTATTCAAAACGACAGAATCTAATACTTCGGGTTTGTCAAAACATTTCAACCAGATTGCAAGTAGTAAGAGTGTCAATTCATATACATACAGAAAGAAGTACATACATAAACAAACAGTACAAATAATTATATACATATATAATATTCTCTTTATAGCTAATGTGCAACATTGACATGCAATAACAACTGCTTGATTAAAAATGAACATGTATGATGATGTACGATCCTGTGGCTAAAATAGTTTGAATAAAGAAACATACTGATTAAACATAAACCAATATTTGTGTATTAGCTAAAAAGTATTCCAAGTTAGTTACATCCAGCTCATTGTAATCGTGTTGATATGAAATTTGCTTTGACTAGAGTTTAATCTAATGTTCTTTTTAAAAATTATAAGATCAAAAAATATTTTTATTTTTTGCTGTAGAACAACTATGAAATATTTGTAGTTGGAAGCACTTTTTTGTCGTCGACAATAGAAACATAATGTAATTATGGTTTCATTTTTTTATAATACATTCTCATTTTCTCAGCTGTTAGAAAAACCTTAGCTACATATACATTAAAAAAATTCTTTAGCTACCTTTATACTTTTTGATGAGCGCTTTCAATAAACAAGCTTGAGATATCGGTAAAAACTGAGTAAAATTCAAGCTGATTTAGCCATCTTTAAGGACATGATGTATGTATCAAATTAGATGAATTGTGTTTGACGATGGTGAAAAGATACCGTTTATCTTTAAGGAACGCCGTGTGTAAAGTAGAGTGAGCAGGTGCATCTATCTGCTTGTATGCAGGTATTACTTCCCCACGTCTAAGTATAGGAACCAGGTGTTTTTATTAAAATGTAGCCGAGATTGAAAAAAATTTGTTTCTAAAGATGCCGTATGATGTTATGCATTATTCAAGAACGATAAAATAAGCAATATAAGTACAATTGTTGTGAACAAATATATTCCCATCAGTTTTCATTGCTGCGATTACTGGTGAATTTGGGTAAATTCCCATTATCTTATTTTCAATTGAACTATTCTATAGTGTGCTTTATCTTGGAATACTAAATTATTGCTTTTCAAACACAATACGAGCGCAGGTGAAAATTCGTCATATTTTTTATCTCGCCATCATCAATAGAAAAACTGAAAAAGTTGTATATATTAATGAGACGTTAAATATATCATTGTTGATTTCAACAAATTTCGTATTTATATAAACTCTGCTATCTCAGATCTATACGTGCATTATATATGTTTATATATGAAAATAGACACATTCTAATAAGGGTAATATATATTTTATAATCGCTTCACAATGTCCGTGGCAGTTTCTGTAACTGCACATTGTCATAACAGTTCTCGATATTCAAATTGCACATACAAAGAGAGTGAAACTTTCCCTTTAATTAAATAGCAGATGAGTGTTCAATGCTGGGATTATTTCTGTTGTTGACGTTTATGCAATGGCAACATGTTCTACAAAATCTCAAAAAGTTTTCTATCTTCCTGTCATATGGCTTTAAAGACCGAAAGCAACATGGAACCCATTCCCAAGTTTGAAGCAAACTGGGGAGTCTTTCAACACATTTGACTTGCATCACATTCAGCACAATTACAAACAGAAGCAGTGCGATCAGCGGTAGTAGAACAGCTAGCATAACTTGCAATCCTGCAATAGATAGTCCAAACATTGCTGCTGGGAACAGGAAAAAACATACAAGTAAATACAATACAGCAAACCAGCGGTATTTGGAGGTAATGTTCCCTAGCTTTTTTGCAAGTTTTATTGGAATCTTACGCATAAATGAGATGGGGTAAAAAATCAAAATTCCGCTCAAATTAAAGAATAAGTGACATAACGCTATTTGAATGGCAGAGTCGAAGTTTTCAGTTGAAGCAAGAGCAGCAAGGATAGCTGTGCCAGTAGTTCCTACGTTGGCACCAAGTGTTAGTGGATAAATTCTGTCAATTGTAACAATTCCAACGCCAACCAGTGGTGTTAAGGTTGATGTAAACACAGAACTAGACTGTAGCAAAATTGTCATTCCAGCTCCAACAAGTATTGCAAAATACCCTGTCAGATGTTTGAAGAATCCAGGAAAATCTGCGTTTATTGTCCGTTTCACAACCTGCGCTAAATGACCACTTAATAAGGAGTGTAAAATTTTTACAATACCCAATAAGCACGTACATAGTATAAATAAAGAGATGCACAGTAGAATTATGCCGACAATTGTATCAGAAAGACCGGTATCATGAAAAATAAATATACATGGCTTCATTTTTTGATCAGTGAGAGTGGTGGTTTTGTTTGTGGTGCTATTACTATTTAAGACATCTTTACAACTTCGGATGAGACTTTTATCTGTTTCCAGTTCACCTTTTGCCAACTGTTCAAGAACATTGTTGTCGATTTGAATGATCAAATTTGTAAATGGCTTTGTGATTCTCTTAAACAACTCAAACTTTCTTTCTTCATCTCCACTTAGTCCCGATTTTTTTGTCATTAATTTTGTTAAATGATACAAATATCCAAAAACAACTTCACAAGGCAGAAGAATCAAAACACACAGCCAATTAAAAACGTCATGTATTGTAGCACCAGCAAATGCTCGACGAAACTGATCCCTTTCACCAGCATGGCCAAGTGATACTAATATGTTTGTAACAGATGTTCCAATATTTGCACCCATCACTATTGGAATTGCATGCTCAACAGTCAGTACTAAATATAAAAAGAATAATTATGGAAAACTGTTGCAAATGAAAATTGAAATATGTTAGATACTTTGATTTCCTCAATCTCTGTTTACTTACAGCAATTGTATAATTTCATTTTAAATGATCACCAGCAATAGTTTTAATGACAATAATTCTATTATTAGCTTGCCATTTCCTGGATGTTTTACGACTGTTCAACTTAGTGCATAATATTATACATATACATTTAATATGTATCACATTACTGGAAGAAAGTGAATTTTTCCTTTTTGTCTTTATCAAGTGTAGTTTACTGCAAAATGTGCTATCATTAGTCATGATGATGTTGTTGACTTGTGAAAGATAAAACTGCAGAACATTTGAATATGAGAAACGGAAAGTTTATTATCCAATATTGTGATGATTTTTTGCAATTCTGAAATCAAAAATTGCTCATGAAATTTGCTTATCATTTTCAAAGGAAAACGGAATAATTTATCTTATGTTTTATAGTAATTGCTTGCATTTGTTATTTTGAACTAAAGAACAATATCAATTTCACCCATAAAAGGACCCTTTGATCTTCCCACATGTTGAGTAAAATGACACTTATGAAAAATATAGATGTTAAATCTCGTAAAAGTAACCTATTTACTCATGTAAAAAATCGGTATAAAAATAGTGTTTAGCACAAAATTGATTCTATTGAATCATACTGCATTTGTAATTGAGTCTTGTCTTGACATTTAGGTAGAGATGGTATAAACACATGAGTTACCGCTTACAAATTATAATGGCTATCGGCAAAACTAAACGTTTGCCCTTGAAGCTATTAAACAGACTTTTGTGTATTTTAACTTACTTTCAGATGAAACCATTGCCACAACAATTGAAGTGGTTGTCGAAGAGCTTTGAAACACAACAGTCACCAGAATACCAACAACTAAGCCAGCTAATGGATTAACAAGCAAACTATCTGAGGAGAACACCTCTCCAGCAGTTTTTCCACCAAGCAATCGAAATGCTGAGCTGAGAAGTGTTAACGAACATATGAATAGATATATGAGGCCAGTTAGTGAGGAAAATTTTCCAATACCGATAGTAACACGTTTCAATTTTCTTTTGACGGATAGCTCTAGAAACATAACATTGATTACATGAGGTTAGTTTATCACAGCTTACGTTTGGCATATTTTTCCATTGTTTGAACGCTTTAATTTTATCAATGTATTTACCTCGCCACGGAGTGGCCGTCTGGGTAAATTCTGGTAGCTCCCACGGATCAACGGAAGACTGAATTTCAGGTTTATCTTGCGTACTATCTAATTCCATCTCTATGCTATTCTAAATAATAAACAAATAAGCATTCAAATTTCAGTTGTAAGAAGCTCCTTTTAAAACAAGCTTCATAATATTAGAAAACATGATGCAACACACCTTATCCATGCTTTCGACACGTACACGCGATTAACTCAAACAAAATGATGATTACAATACAGAAGTAAAAAATATTACTCGTGCTTCGTCACTCATCAGGAAGCAACAATTAAGTGCATTACCCGTAGTGACATCTGATCTGGACATGATTCAGCCTGATCTGATGGACATTTTCCATGAAGTCATATTTAGGTCAACTAAAGTATAGTAATTGACTGTGAATGTGATGGCATTTATCTGATGTTCACTCTTATGGTATAGGTCTAGAAGCACGGAAAGCGTAACTCTCGTGATTCTATAACTTTTCATCCAGCTGGGAAAGTCAACATTAAATTCAATAAGCACTTTGCATGCATAAGGCACGTGTCAAAAGATAACTATGGCGCATGTGCACCATATGAAACTCAGTTCTGGTTCGGAAACTTGGGATGGAAGTTATTTGGAATTAGCATGATTCAGGAGTATTTGATTCCCAAGGATGTATAAACGTTGTTAAACCAAGTTTCTTGCCTGTGATTTGAAATGTGCATTTCATCTAATATAAATTTAATACTGATAAGGTGTATCAAAAATAAGATGTATTGTGATAACTGTGATAATTTAACCCCTTGTATGTTGTACTACAATGTCCCTGAGGGGATGTGAACGTTTTGTATAGCAAATAAGAACAAGATTTGTATGAATGTGTAGAAATATATTTCATATACTATTTGAGATAGCAATATGATAAACAACAACATGATATATGGACATTTGATGTCTTGTAAATAGAATGGACATAAATCTTTCTTCAATTTCTTTGATTTGTAACTAGCTCTTTAGTATTCTTGTGAAGAGGAATGAGCTTTTTGTTGAGTCTTTTTAGGCAATAATGCCGCTTGAATATTTGGCAAAACACCACCTTGAGCTAGCGTAACGTTAGCAAGAAGAGAGTTTAGTTCTTCATCATTTCGAATTGCAAGTTGGATATGTCTGGGAATGATACGAGTTTTCCGATTATCACGAGCAGCATTTCCTGCCAGTTCAAGGATCTCGGCTGTGAGATATTCTAGGACGGCTGCAAGATATACCGGGGCACCCCCTCCAATTCTTTCTGCGTAATTTCCTAAACAAAATTTCTCGCTTGAATGGTGCTTTTAAAGTTCTCAAAGATGGCGTACCACTAACTTCACTTGATATAATTGTCCATTCCGGGCTCACCTTTTCTTAAAAAACGATGAATTCTACCAACAGGAAACTGCAGACCAGCTCGTGAGGATCTTGACCTTACTCCATGAAGTGTCCTCTTCGACGTCTTGTTACCACCTGCCATTTCCGCACTTCTTCTTTCTTCGTCGAGTTAGAGGAGGTAAGGAATGGACGTCACTTATAAACCTGTTGCAAATAATTTTATGCATGCGTGAGTTTTTAATTTTTATTAATCTGGCGCTCAAACTTAACATAATTGAATACATACCAACCAACATCACAAAGATATTCGTTGAAGTAGCTCTCTCAAGACCACGAACAAAGAATCATTAATTTAACTTTCTGTACGTATAGCCACTATAGTGTTTAATTAAGGTACTAAGTTTACTAAAACGGTACAGTACAGAGTGTAGTGCCCGCTTTGTTTTTCAAGTCAATAGACGTTTCCCCTGAGATTGGAAAAGGATTGTTATCACTTTAAGCTGTTCACCTGTCGGATTAGAGGAATACTAATTGTTGAGTTTTTATAAACACTTGTAGAGATGTAAAACGTAAGTATGACATGCTAATGATGCTATGCTATTTTCAGATAATTAATTAGGATTATTTATATGTTGGGAAATCTATTGTACATTTTTAGTTATTTAATGTAGGTAAACGCCAAGTATTTACATTGCAGGAGTAAACAAACTCTCACTACGCCAGGGAGAAACCAAAAACTGTTTTACCAGGTGTTTATGACGACACAAGCTGCCTTGCCGAACGAATCTTGGTCACTGCCTTGGTCAAGCTGTTTGTAAATGTTACATGAAGTTCCTCACTACTCCTCAACGTTTTTTGACTTTGAGCATTTTGCTATATTCACAGAAGTTAGAAGTACATGTATAAGGTTTTTTAAAATAGGTATTTTGAATCAGGTAATGTCGGCAGTTAATTCTTCCACCACCTCAGTTTCCAAAGGATGCTTTGTGATCCGACCCAAAAAAATACGGCAGCGTATAAACGAAGAGAAGCTCTATCGCCTTACAGGTGAATCAAAAGAACACTGCCAACTTAGACATGAGATATTTCAAAAAACTTGGTGTATTGTCGACGATCAAGTTAATTTATTACATACCAGCCTTAATGAAGATGTGTTTGCTAGTATTATGGAATTTATTGTTGGGAACAAGTTCCATAATTTTAAGGTTTGTCCATATTTAATATTAATTATTTCGTTCATTGCAATATGCAGAATTAAGAAATTATAATTGCTTATTCTTTAATTTGTAATCATTTCGAAACAAGCAGCTTCATTGATATGATTTTATTCATTGAAAATTCATAACAAAGGTGAAAGTATTTTGAATTTTAAAAGTGACTAGGTTTAATACATTTTGCATTATGCTGGATCTGCTTTTTCGAAAATAGTATAATATGGTTTTGGTTGTATGATCAAGTTTTCAAGCATGCTGTAGCTAAATCAGCACCATTAGCATAACAAGCCCGCTAGTTTTAGTCATGCTACATAAATTTTAGAAAATTCTTGTTATTGATTTCTTTAGAAATCTATTGTTTTTACAATGAGTGAACAAAAAACAATTTCAGCATAGCATCAAGTACTTGCATGCAATCAGCTCTCTTTAATGTTGGCTTTTTCCAACGAAATTTAATGTGCAATGGCAGGTGTATGCGCTGGCCTCATGTTTTCCATGTATGTGTTATTAATGTCGACTTTCCTCATGAAGATTTTTTTCTGGTTTAGAAAAATGGTGTGAAGAGAGAAATTCCTACTGGTGTGTTCATTACAGGAGTAAATCTTCCAGATCATGATGACATTTTCTCACAATTACATCGTACTTTGTTAAAAATCACACCTTATATATCCCGTTTGTGTTCAAAAAGCTGTCCTAATTTAAAGATGATTTTGAAAGAGGCCATAATTCAAATCATGGTATGTGATAATGGGCAAATCTCCAAATCTACTCCTGATGGTTTGAATTTGAATTTGAATTCGAGGAAAGGAAATCCTACTTTAAGTACTTTCAGTGAATGGTATCAACTAATGGAGAGTGGTGATGAAAAGCGACCAGTCATTTTTATTTTTGAAGATTTTGAATGTTTTCAGCCTAGTGCTTTGCAAGATTTCATCACCATATGTAATCTTCATATTGACGATTTCCCAATTATTTTGCTGTTTGGAATTTCCACTTTACCTGATATTGTCCACAAATTATTGCCTTATTCAATTACTTCATGTTTGTGTATTGAAAAGTTTCATGCTCAGCCATCTATTACATATCTTCTTGAAGCTATCAACCGCATCATTTTGACAGATGATATCCCATTTAAGCTTGGTCCACAAGTCTTTCAATTCCTATATGAACATTTTCTTTTCCATGATTTTTCATTGAAGAATTTCATATTTGGTCTTAAGTTCTGTATGATGGATCATTTCTATGAAAACGTACTAAGTGTCTTGTGTTCCAGCTCGAATTATGACACAATACGTGAATTCTCTCATCAGCAACTGGAAATCATTCGAAAGTTACCTTCGTTTAGAAATTATGCTGAAAGGCAAAGCGGTGAAGATCTTCGTAAATTGCTCATAAATGACGAGTTTGCTGTTGAAATCCTATGTGAAAAGTTACAAGAATTTAAATCCTATCATGCACACTTCTTCCCCGTTCTTCGATGCCTTAGTGCTTTAGTTTTAAAACTACCTGGTTTTCCATTGGGAAAGAAGTGTCGCGATGTTTATGAACACTGTCTGAAAACAAATGTTTGGGAGTTGGATCTCTATCAGCGAGCATTGAAGATAGCGTCTTTTATTTCCAAAGACAACCTAATCTCGCTACTTGAAGAATGTATAGAACAGCTTTCTTCAGCTAGTGCAAATAGTGGGGAAGTTTTTGATAATTTTTCAAACTATGTGACCTCTCTTCAAGGTTTGCTGAATGATTTTGAAGAACTATCTGAAGTTGCAGTCAATTTTACAGACGACCGTAGTTCCAAACTGACTAGCAACGTAAAAGATAGATTTGAATTAAAAGAGAAACTAAAAATTGCCGTTTATAAACGCAAGGAGACGCCGTTTGAAAAGTTTAGGGAATTAGCGATATGTAGTTTGGATAAGATGTTCAAAGAGCACCTTTCCTGTCCTAGTACCAAAGTATTACATGAAATTTTCTATTACGATGACGTAAACATTGTGAAGCAACGTCTTAGAGGCTGTCCTCGTGTGGCTATTCAAACAGCTTTAAACGACCCGCATTATTATTTCAATTGCTCTTGCTGTGAAATTGAAGCAGACTGTATTCAAGACACACTACCTGATATTTGTGTAGTCTTCAAGCTTCATTTAGAATGTGGGAGATTAATAAATCTTTACGACTGGCTTCAAGCTTTTATCACTGTCATTGAACCACAACTTGCTACTTCAAAAAAAGCTAATAATGAGAAGCAGCAAATTTTGCAAGCAAGATTTATTCAGTCTGTGTCAGAGTTGCAGTTTCTAGGATTTATAAAAAGTACAAAAAGGAAAACTGACCATATTTCTAGATTAACGTGGGGAAGCTGTTGATTATCGTGGAAGAAACAGTCGAAGAACTTTGCCTTAATGCGGCTTCCTTTTTCATGTCGTCAAGCTTAACCTGAGAAATGTTAAGAAAATTAACTCTTTTTTTGCAACGAAACGATTTATGACTACCATATTCTATAAACCCGCAAATGTACGATGGATTTGTAGAATTTTGTGGAATGCTTATAAATAGAATGTACCCTTCCATGAAAGCATCATTTTATTTACCATTCCACCCATAAAATAGCTACACACAGAACTGAGAATTGCAACAACAAAAAAATTGGATTCTCTCAAATGTGGAAATTACCAAAATATGAAATGTTTCGATGGATGTTCAGATACCTTATTTTCCCGTAACATGATCATTCAGGTAATTTGGGGGGATACGCCCCTGATAAAGAAAAATTGTTTAGCCTCCCCCGACTATTAAGCCTGGATTTTTGTTACCAGGCCATTAAAACATCATCCTTTTCCGCTTTGAGGAACATGTCTTACAAGTCAGAAGATAGACAAGATTCAAGGTATATGAATATATATTTTGTTGAAAAAGAAAGTTTGTGTATTACTCTACAACTATAGAAAATATAAATTTAGATATTACGGCTTAGCGATTTTGGTATGTTTTATCTGACTAAATACTCGTGATAAACCAAGTCAATTTAGGCAAAGTAACGACACGTGTTGATTTTGTATAAATTGTTCTGCTTGTTGATTTATCATGCTGGCTTCCAGTTTCTTTAATTTTCCCTTTGAATCATAGTTTGACCAGCGATGGTCCGCCTAGAGACTACAATGGTTCAAAAGACGGTCAATCAGGGCAAGATGGCCAAATCATTGAGGTTTTTTTCTGTTTGAATCTTTCGTGATAAGTATCTTCGAACTTGCCGGCATGAATGTCTCTTATCCAAGTCAGTTGATTGAATGAATTATCAAATTGAATGGATTTCATGCTTTATTTAGTCAAACTGGGACGAAGTATGTGAGAGTTTTGATGATATGAATTTACGTGAAGATTTACTCAGAGGAATTTATTCTTATGGGTACCATATTTCCTTTTTATTTGTTATATTGAAGTTTGATCTTTGAATTGAAAAAAGAAAAAACTTCACAAAAACTTCTTTCTTCAACATTGTTTATTCATGAACTTATCTCTCAAAATTGGTGTTAAATATATTTATATTATTTGTATCATGCCATTCACATTCTCTGCTAGTTTTGAGAAGCCATCTGCCATTCAGCAAAGAGCTATTATTCCATGTTGTCAAGGTATAACAAACAGATCTCTTTGGTTGGTATTTACTATGTTATGTAGCTTAAAGTATTTTAATGAACCCAGCAAGAAGCATTTTTGATTATGCTAACCTTTAAACATGGATTTCTTCTGGTGTCTGCTGTTGTACATAAGAAGAATTGATTTTCTTTCTTCAAAAATCGTGCTTGTCCAATCATGATTCACCTTGTGAATGGTAATAGCTGAGCTAAATTACATGCAAGGCACTTGATAAGACAATATCTCTGTGTATCATCTGCAGTGCTCAACTTATTGTATGTGCAATATAACTTTTGAATGCTGTGTTTTTATTCATTTTTTCACCGTGCATATAGGCAGTTTTGTAGATGTTTACAAAGAAAATAGTCTGGATTAATTAGTGAAATTGTTATTGTTATTTTCCTTTAATTTAATATGTGTTGAATGAAATTTTCTTTTGATGGTGAATAATGCATTCTTTTATGTATATAGAAAAATAACCATAATAATAAATAATAATAATAATGCATTCTTTTATGGTGATAGAAATTGTTGATGTTTGTCTTGTGTCTTCTCCAAAGTCAAATAGTAAACTGTGTTGTTGAGAATAAACACCAAAATCTATTTCAAGATTATTATTTATGAAAACTGCTTAGAGAAAATCGATGTACCTTTGTTATGTATTTTTGCTTTATGTAGTTACTTTTTGATAATTGCTTGAAGTTGGTGTGTAAGAAAGTCAACCTTATTGTGAATGATTTTGTTTTGTATGAAAATTTTACATTGAATTCTACAGGTCGAGATGTCATTGCTCAAGCACAATCAGGTACTGGAAAAACAGCAACGTTCTCCATTGCTATCTTACAACAAATTGAGTTGGAGTATACAAAACCCCAGGCATTGGTTTTGGCCCCAACAAGAGAACTTGCTCAACAGGTAAACTCTTCTATCCATTCTTTCAAGAAAAAACGCTTTAATGGTTATTTGACAGTGACTGCATCCATTCAATAATAAGCATAGTATATGGTTGTTTCACAAATGTGAAACCATATTTTGTCTTATGTATGCAGAATAGTGCAAATAAGCAGTGTCTTTTGGTCATGTTCATAATTGATTTGATGTATTTGTTTTGCTTGTTTAAAAAAGAAGCAAAGATTAACCAAACTGTTTATTTTTTTCAAAAAATAAAATGAAATCCAGGTGAAATATCTAGAACTGTGCAGGCCTGATAGACATGCTCTGTCCTTGAGAAAGTAAATTTAGTTTTTGGCAAAGATTATTGCTTTTACTGCATTTCAGTCCCTTGATATTAATTGCAAGTTGAAAGTTTAACCTTTGCAGCTGTTTGAGTAAGAGACAGTCGATCATAAGTATGTGTAAAAAATACTATGGTATCAAATTCTTTGTTTCTTCCCTTCTCAAACCTTAGATTCAAAAGGTTGTTGTAGCACTTGGTGATTACATGGATGTGAAATGCTATGCTTGTATTGGAGGTACAAGTGTCAGCCTTGGAATAAGCAAATTGAAAGAAGGTCAACATGTTATTGTTGGAACACCTGGTCGTGTTTATGACATGTTGAATAGAGGAACTTTAGGTAAAAACTCATTTTTTACAAACATGTAATTTATAATATGTTTTTGACTGTCTTTAGATGAAACAGTTTTATTTGTGATTGTCAGTAAGTATAAGTATGTTGTAGTCCAAACAATGTAAAAATCAGGGGGGGGGGATTCCACATTCTTGATTATGAAAGAAATATAGTATGAACGTAAAACATCACAATGATCAAAGGAACTCAAAATAACAAACTATCATCAGACATGTGTTAAATGTTTGGTTGCAGTGTTTAGTCAAACATGTGGAATAATAACTGAAAAAGTTTCCACATGCTCAATTGTGATTCAAAGTCATTAACATATCATTAATAACCCATTATTTAAAACCTTTGATGAACTTGAATAAAACTATAAACCATAAATAGCTATATTAGATATGTCCATACGTTTGAAAAACCCATATATTGAATCATGACATACATTTTTATTGATTTATCGATCGATGTACAATTGTAATAGATAATACAATTTACGTTTGCAATAGTTACGTTGATGTATTCAATGAAGAACATTAGCTAAGTGTACATGAAGAGAACAGCAAACAACGTAGAGATTAATTGAATTATTAATTGAAAAATTAATTTTTTTAACGTAAAGTGAAAAAGATTTCTGTATTTTAATCGTGTTTTTCATTAGATTCACGTTGTTTCACTGGTTTTTAACGTGGTTAAAATATTCACTTATCCATCGTTTATCGTGTTTTTCATTAAATTCACGTTGTTTCACAGGTTTTTAACGTGGTTAAAATATTCATTTATCCATCGTTCATCGTGTTTTTCATTAAATTCACGTTGTTTCACAGGTTTTTAACGTGGTTAAAATATTTATTTATCCATCGTTCATCGTGTTTTTCATTAAATTCACGTTGTTTCACAGGTTTTTAACGTGGTTAAAATATTCACTTATCCATCGTTTATCGTGTTTTTCATTAAATTCACGTTGTTTCACAGGTTTTTAACGTGGTTAAAATATTCACTTTTCTACGTTTATTTATTTTAGAGCGCGAACAAATAAAATTTTTTGTTCTTGATGAAGCCGATGAAATGTTATCAAGAGGTTTCAAGGATCAAATCTATGACATTTTTCAACTGCTTCACAACGATATCCAAGTAATAAAGTCTTGCTTTATTGTGCTTTCTCAAATTTACTTCCGAAGCTCTAATAATTGCGGGTTTTTTCCGCTTTAAGCAGCCCATTATATGAAATTTTTTGTTCGTCAGGTGATCTTATTGTCAGCAACTATGCCAGTTGACGTACTTGAAGTTACTAAACGTTTTATGAGAGATCCCATTCGAATTCTTGTAAAGAAAGAGGAGCTCACTTTGGAAGGAATCAGGCAGTTTTATGTTCAAGTTGATAAAGAGGTTAAAATGACACTGAAATAAATGCTTGCTTTCAATATAAAATTTGAAAAATATCTTGTTTTGTTAGGAGTGGAAGTTTGAAACCTTATGTGACTTGTACGAGACATTGACTATCACCCAGGCTGTAATATTTCTCAATACACGAAGGAAAGTTGATTGGTTAACAGAGAAAATGCAGCAGAAAGATTTTACTGTTTCCGCAATGGTGAGTTAAAAATTGTCAAAACCTCCCAAAATTTTAGTTGTATACCAAATTACGTCATGTAAAGTCGATTTTAAATTTCCGTTTTTTCATAGCATGGAGATATGGATCAAAAGGAACGTGATCTTATAATGAAAGAATTTCGTTCTGGATCCAGTAGAGTGTTGATTACAACCGATTTATTGGTGAGTGAATGCCATATTTTGATATTATAATGTTGATCATATCTGTATTGAAGTACTGTACGACATTAATTTTGGATGTTATACGTACATGTAAAAATCTATGTGAAGACCATACAAAATTTTCACCAAACATAAATGGCTTTTACTGGTTCTAATTATTTATAAAGCCGTTGTAATGGTGCATTGTTTCAGGCTCGTGGAATTGATGTTCAACAAGTTTCTTTAGTTATTAACTATGACCTCCCAGCAAATCGCGAAAATTATATTCATAGGTTTGTAGTTGGAAATATTTGATATTTTCGAAATTTATTGCTCCAATCATAAGTGGTGATGTATGATGTAAATGTGTTTAGAATTGGAAGAGGTGGACGATTTGGACGAAAAGGTGTCGCCATAAATTTTATCACCATGGAAGATTCGCGTGTATTAAAAGATATAGAATCTTTTTACAACACTGAGATTGAGGAAATGCCAATGAACGTGGCAGACTTGATTTAAATCAGCCATTATACTCTTCTGTCATAACATGAATTTTTTGTCAGAAGACACATTTTGTCGTTGAGGTATTTCTATAATATGGTCCAAGTCATTCATAGCAAGCTGTTTATACTGTCCTGTACGAGTCAGTTTGATGTAAAATCTCTTGGAATTAATATTTTTTGTCTTACCATAAATTGGATTTCATTTACAGTACATATATATGTTTCTTTTATGTCGTCAATGCAGTGTTACTTGACTTACATTAAATTTCCACAAATATATTTTACAATAAAAGCTAAAACCATCTCGTATGAACTGCTAGGCATATATGTTTTTGCAATTGAGTATAGATTTTGTTTCATGTTTCTCCTAAAAACTTATAAGAAATTTATTATTATTTTTACGTCTGATCAGCATTCACGAAATTACAATAACCGAAATTTTTTGTTCATCCTTGTTGAAATATCCCCCAATGTCGGAAAATGCACATCGCAAATACGTGCACTAATGGTAAAACACTCACCTAAATACATACTTTGTCATTCTCGACGTGGTTTGCTTCTTTTCATTGCATTGTCTACGAAATAAATGGAATTCTGATCTCTTTTTTATCTCATCAACCTTGCTGTAGGCTTTAAAGCTAGCAGACGTTATTGATTACAAATTAACTTCGAGCAAACATGAAGTTTTTGCACACACTCGTAAAACTATAGTATTTATTAATAGCCATAAAGGAGTTAAAATTAAATGTCAAAACAGCACAGGTATCTAGATGTTTTACTTATTTGATCGACAATCACGACATAAGCAACATTATTTCTTCATTATTCCTCTTTCTAGCCATCATTTTCCTGTGTGGACAGAACATCAAGAATATCAAATTTCAAGCTTTTGGCAAAATTGACAAAAAATTTTAAATCTTTCGGAATCTTCTTTGCTTGTTTTGAATTTTCTTTAATCGCTGACATTTTAACGGTTAACTCTTTGACGTTGAGGTTATTTGTGATCTGGGATTTTGGTACGTTGCTGATATCCTCAATTAAATCCTTCGTTCGCTTTAATGAATCTTTAGCAATATCCTCCAACTCCTCAACGCATTGAATTACTTCGTTCAAACTAGATTCCAAATCTTTAACCTGGTTTGGTTCCAAGCCTTCCACTTTTTTTACTTCAATATGGTTGCCATTTATTTCAAGAACAATATATATTTCATCTGAAAACATAAGTCAACAATGAACCAGTTCACTTGTTTGATTCTTTCCGCACTGGGGAAATCTCACCCTTACACCTAATTAGTAAGTATTTATACATCCATTTTCAGCAAACACAACATCACCGTCTGGTTGATGTACTTATATTTGAAGTTGCCTAACTTGCCTTACCACTATTTTATTTCTATCGATCTTCTAATTCAAACGCATGTAGTAAGGTTAAGCAATCATTCATGGTTAGATCGCCTTAGGTAATTAAAACTTCTACTTACCTTTTTCTAGTCGTGTTTTAAGTTCTTCCAAATAGTCATTGAATACTTTTGAAGGGTCGTCTCGAATTTCACACAGGTCTTTGATTGCCTTTTCTACACGGACTCTTGCTTCGACCAGATCCTGGCTTAATTTTATCACGGGGTTCATCAAGTTGGCAATATCAGTGAAGATTTCGTCCATCGTTGGAATCCCAAGTGATTTGAATTTTATTTCTTCCGGTGGCTGAGGATTTTCAATTTGATTAATTTTGTCATTGATCTTGTTCATGTCGTCTTCAATTTTTTTGTTTTTCTTTTGGAATTCCTCAATATCGCCAAACTCGTTGATGACAATACGCACTATGCTGTTGGACGCATATTCAAAGAAATCCTTTACCATTTTGGACGCTTTCTTAACCTGCTTTATGTTGTCGCGAAGAATGACTTGCGCTGTGTTTAAATTTCCTCCTTCAGCTTTCTGAGCTGCATGAATATCGCTGATGTCCAGCTCCACGACACATTCGACACATTTCAGATTTTTCTCCCAAACCTTAACTGGTAACTCCCTTAATTGCTTGTACACATTTACGATGGTTACAAGCGCTGTTGCTGCATGCCCAACGGACCCGGCTTGCTTTAGGACCGCTTTTGGAAATTGCAAAGCCATTTTCTTTATTACGACTCGTTGCCGTTCGCTACTTACCTCATTTATGAAATCCCCAAAACACCGATCAAATTCACCTGTGTTCTCCATAGCCGTCTTGAAATCATTTACGGCAAATTGCATGTCGCTTTTACTTTTATAGAAAAGATTACAAGCGTCTTCAAACTTTGTGAAAATTTCATCAACTTTAGTCATTCCAAGTGGCTTCATTTCGATTTTTTCTGGTTTCTCTCTCTGAAGAATTAAAGTAAATTGGTGAAATATTAATCTAAAGAAATGAACAAGACAGATAAATATTTTTTTGATATCATATAATTTCTCATTTTTCCCAGGTAGCAAAGAATTGTTTTTTTTATCACTCTGAGTTTAAAATATTTCATAAATTAGAAATGTACAATTCAAACCACGAAATTAAACAAGACGAACAAATTTATTTTTCTCACTGGTGGTGGATCAGTGCTTGACTTTGCATTGCCATCATTAGCATTTGGGTTGAAACCTTGTTCGCTGTTGTTCTGCAACTAAAATATTGTCTATCTTTAAAAAAGTGACAGGGATTCATTGAGTTTAAAATACGCTATGTAGTCCGATTTTCAGGGTTAAAAATAAATTTAGTTAGTAACTCAAGTTTTGTTGTAAACAACTTGGACGGATTTTCTTCTTTTCATGTATGGTGCTAAAATTTTAAAGGGATAAGCTGGTAAGAAACTAAAGGAAGTGATGCAAGACAAAAGGGAGAGAGTTAGGATTTTAGGAGCGGGCGGGAAGTGCATTCCCCGAAGGTAGTGAGTGTAGAGAGTAGAAAAATTACCCAGAAAAACTCAACTTAGCGGTACTATTGATTTGTTTTGCTAAAGATTTGGTAGATTGGAATGTTTCTTAGAGGGGTGAACAACTGATGAAATCTGATACTTTGGGAATGGCATCCCCTAGAAAATCCGTCAATGGTTTTACTTATGTGGTGACTTACTACTCCTTGGCCATTGGAATTTGCAGTTTCATAACAACTTTGATGCGGTTCAACTAGTGGCTTTTTTTCGTCATCATGTTCTTTCTGAAATTGACGAGACTCATATATAGTCCTTTCATAACATAAAGTGACGGGAGATATTTTATCCGATTTTAGCATTGCTTGTGTTTACTCATTGAAGGCCAACCATTGATACTACTAACAAGCTAGTACAGAGTACACACGTCTCGTGTAACACCACGCTAACGATTCTTATTCTTATCAAGAAATGAACATAAATATCATTACTTGCATGATTTCATTTTAAAAATCATGATAAAAGAAATAAAGTACACGATATAAATGAAGAACAAAAAAAATGAAAAAGTACAAAATACACAACGTTAACCAAATGTAGTAAATGCGAGTTTATATTAGTCTTCAGTAAGATACTAAAATCATGCATTCAATTTCTAATATGAAGGAAATCGACCATAAATCAAGTAATCCTGCATGCTAAAAATTTCTACCGTCTTACCGAACTAAAACAGCAGATCCACGACGGTTTAACGTGATCATTATTGTGCGCATTTTCATTAGGCATTTTTTGCGCAAGAGAAATTAAAGAAAGAGATCGGTGCTTAAATTTCTGCTCTCTGCTAAAACAGCAATTCAGTGCATTGACAAGAAGACCGAAGAAAATGGAGATCCCTGACTGCAGTTTATATTATGACACCCTTACGACATGAAAATGTCACGGGACTGACATGACATGACATCACAAAACGAAATCACGCGCAATGATACTGTCACAAGATCACACTTCCAAGCATGCTAAAAATTTCTACCGACTTACCGAACTAAAACAGCAGATCCACGACGGTTTAACGTGATCATTATTGTGCGCATTTTCATTAGGCATTTTTTGCGTAAGAGAAATTAAAGAAAGAGATCGGTGCTAAAATTTCTGCTCTCTGCCAAAACAGGAATTCAGTGCATTGTGTCACAAAAGGAAATCACGCGCAATGACACTGATCACAAGATCACACTTCCTTTGACTTTTAACCCTCTTAAATCTCAGATTACAAAAATTAGCCCTTTTTCTTTGAGATTGAAACAAAAACATTTTGTATTTTCTTTCTTTGAAGTGGTTAGATAATAAATTCAGTTGAATTTTCTCAACTCACGAGACAGCTCAATGTTCTCAACATAGTTGTTGTCTAATCAATACGACACAACTACGATATACTTATATCTATTTAGGCTCAATATCTTGCAAACAAGAACAACAATATAAATACAATAATTTTTGGTAAGTGACAAATCTTAAACATCACCGACGCTAGAAGCAGTCTCGCTGGTTTCATTCTCGGTATTAATGTCATTGTCCGTGAACTTTTTCGAGGAAACTTTTTGTTCTGTCTTCGTACTCTCATTTGCGCTTAATTCTGAGCTTGTATCGTTCTTGGAATCCTTCGTTCTTCCGTTTTCTTATGAAAGCGTACAACAATATCAATTACAATTACAGTGACGCACAGAATATTGTCAATGTTTTTTCTTGATGAAAGCAATGCTAAACTTCTATACAATATTTCAAATCGGATATCTACCGATTCCCTTAGATAGTATGTATTGTGTGATGTCCTAAACAAGTAATAATGTACATTTTATGAGGTAGTAACTACAATGAAACCCCAATAACTCGAACTCCGCAAACGGAAAATTTCTTCAAGAGCTTTAAACTAGCAAAAATGGTGCTAATTTTAGTATATTAAATCAATACATTTATCTACAGAAATTTGCTGTTCATTTGCAATTGTGACGCCATTGAGACAAATAGGCCATGATGAATCTTTGCTGCATGTATAAATGATATTTACGCTATCGACTTACAAAATTTAAGCTTTTTAGGTTTACCATTCGGCATTTCCTGATCGGAGTTCGAGTAATCCATGCAGGGAAATCGATGTGTTAACAAACTCAGGAGAAATTCCACTTGTTTCTACTTTACATGGAGTACAAGTTATCGGGGTTCTACTGTAAAAGTTAAGTAAGCAATTATGCAGACGAGCTATGTATGACATTGCATTCGGTTAGTGAAAGGTGTAGAATATGATAAATATACAATTCTTGGTTTACAATCTACGTCATAGCCGTCATGTTGGATGATTTTAACAAACGATTTTCTTTATTTACAATGCAAATTTCATCCAACATGGCGAGCATTCCATTATTCTCAGGGTGATGGTTGCAAGCCACCAATAATATTTAAATAATAATTACAAAAAGTTGCATATCCATCTCAAGCAGGTCTCTCACCTTGTTCTGATTCAATGGATGTGGATTCTTTGTCGTAGTTTACTTCGATAACCTTGGGTTTTTTAGTTGGAGGTTCATTTTGTACATTAACTGGTAATTTGTGATTGACATCAGTATTCAAATCGTACGTTTCGCTCTGATTGACACAAAAAGACGATATTATTCAGATCCAATAAACATGGGTCTTTCTTTGATGTAAAAACAACCAAAAAAATGGAAGAAGCTAAGTTAAAAAAAAGCTATACTAGTGAAATAGGTTTAGCAATTTTATAATTTTTTAGTTGACTACAAACATACATGACTGCCTAATAGTCTTACACCAAAGAGGGAAGGAATCTACTGACTATTGACTTTCACTTCTCTCACACATAGAATGACAACCTAGAATGACAACCTAGAGTGACAACTTACATCCGGATTGATGGTTTCATCAGGATCGTCAATTTCCGGTGCTGCGGGCAAATAATATAAACCATTTTCATCTTCGTCATTGTCTTCGTCACTAAACATATAACCACAACGTCTTGAAGTATTTAAAGAAGACGGGATTAAGATCAGCAAATCGTATTGAAGAGGATGAACAAATTTCATGAAAGCGAGAAATGATGAAAATACCTGCTACATAAAGCAGGAATTCGTTCAATAGCACAAACATCTACTTCTACATCATCTCCACATTCACTTCCTGAATTCATTTCTTCTTCTTTGTCTTCGTCCTCCTAAAATAAAGGAAAAATTGAAGCAAAGAAGAGTTTAGCAAATACAGACAGTGAATAAGCCGTAAAATTAAGGAAATCTCGCATAAAAGGTAATCATTTTAAATCCTTTGGCGTACATACTTCATGCAAATATCCTTTTAAATGTGGTTACTTACAATATCAAATTCACTCTCGTGTTCTTCATACTCGACATTTTCTTCAAGTTCTTTGAAATCAGGCGCAAACGCACTCCAGTTTTCCTGGAAAAAAAACATAAAAACATCCAACATGAGAAAATATAAAAACATTTAGCATGAAAAAATATGAAAACATCTAACATGTGAAAATAGGAAAACATGTAACATGAGAAAATATGAAAACATCTAACTTGAGCAAATGAACATTTAACGACAGCAAGAAATTACGTACAACATGGTTCTGAGCCCAAACTGAAACGACTCCATTGGCTATAGATGCAATAATTGGTCGAACCGGATGCCACTAAATAATTTATTGAAAAAAATTCTACGACACAAAATAATCCAGTGAATGAATGACAAAATGTTTCTTCATAAGTATACCACTACATCTAAAGGTAATTCCCCTTTAGTTCCATGTAAAATTTTCACAAGATTTCCCACTCCTTTTTCCCATATATAGAGAGAATGATGCCGAGATGAGCCTGTAACGATATCATTTTGTAATAAATATTAAAAAATTCATTTTTGAATGAATTCTTCTTAACACCAACCTGCAACGATATATTCACCATCACCAGAAAAGCAGCACTTTTTCCATAAGGTTCTAAATTGTAATTAATAATACGAGGAGTTAATTTTTTAATATGAAACAAAAGATACCAGTAACAATTATTTAACCAAAAAACTTATAGTCGCGTAGCCACGCAGCCTGCATATTTTGTTCTGATATGGAAATTTTTCAGTGTTCTTTTATCGTAAAAACAAACGATGATTTCTACAGAAATGAATGGTTTGAGTTTTAGGTATGCCGACATAATTCGATAATCGTGCAAATTCTTGATAATTCTGCATTTTTTTATGCTTACTGTTCTCACTAATTGGAAATGGTATTCAAGTTATATAACAAAAATAGTAGCTTACCTGTTCACAAGATCTTGAAGTTTTTGTATAGGTTCAGGCTCTGTATTTTGACCTTTACATGCAAGTATTATTTGACCATCGAACACACGGATAATGCGATCAGATGAGTTGATAAGAAAAGCACTACAAATTATTATGATGCACATAAATAAAAAAACAGAAGGCATTTTTTTTTCACAGATAAGGGATTTGATGTTAATGTTTTTTAAAATAACATCTACATTAAAAAGTGAAGTATATTCACCTTCCTCTGCGAGAAAATTCTATGGACTTAACAGCCACGTTTGCATTTGTTCCACTGGAAATTTTGAAGCAAGTTACTTCCTGAAGATGTATGAAACGATGGAAAAACGTTTCTCTCGGTTTTGTAAATGTCATGAATTGGCTGATAACTACAAAGTTTTACCGTCAACGTTTCTGTTTCAACAACTATGATCTATAAATGAGAATTTTACCATATTTACAATATTTATTCTTTTTAAAATAAAGCACTTTTAAATGAAACACATACAAACAGTCGACAACGCTGATACATGCATACCAGTGATTAAGCCCGCCAGAGTTTTTTCTCCCGAATGCAAACAAAAATTTGTGTTCATTGACTGGAAAAAAATGAAATAAATTTTCTAAAGAATTGAATAGTAATTTCACAAAAAAATTGCATAGCAGGGATAAAAATTTTGGCTGACTTTGCGACTGATCAAAATAAACTTTAACAAAAATCTGTGACCGCATTTTTGTGAAAACATTCAAATTTAAAATAAACAACAAAGAAAATTTCTAGTTTATAATGGACCAACCTTTCCTTTTGCATTGCCAATGTAAATATGCTCTCCCTTTCGATCAAATGAGGCAACAACATTTTGATCAGACTGCATTATGAAAAAGAAAAGGCACAAATTAATGACAAACAGAGAAATAGAGAATACACTTTAACCAAAAAATTACAAATGACTTACATCACCAGCTGTAGGTAACACCGTATGTTTATTTTTAATATGCACCAGAACAGGGGCTTGCTTCATTGGACAAACAAGAAATTTGGAGCTGAGAAAAAGTATAATACATGAAACCTGAGTTTTTGAACTCCTAGATATTTTATGATCACATGTAATAAACAACTGATATTACAGACAGACTGTTTACAGCTACGTAAAGTTTAAAGAGCCATGCCAAAAAAACGTATTTTTTTAGTTCCAAAGTAAAAACAAATCTGCTACAATCTATGCAATTTCATAAATTATTAGACAAAATCAGAAAATGTGATGATAAATATCAGTAATTTATGTTGTATCTATTGATTCATGTATTTCTTGCAAAATACAAATTACATATATAATTTGCTAACAAATTCGACAACGCTCTTCTGTTGAATGTTTTTATTAAAGACCCAAATTACCATTAAGTTTTATTTTTCACCATCTCCCAATAACCATATTCATACAGTGATAACAATATAATGAATAAGGATGATTTCTCACTTATCTCTTGGATGAAATTGAACCTTAGTGACAACAGATGGGAATCGGTATTTTTCATCACATTCACCGCTAAGGACATCCCATACTGACACAGACCAATCACTTGAAGCACTCAGAAGTTTGTAACCATTACGACTCCAACTAAAAAACAAGAATGGTTCCTATCATATACCTCTCTTCATTTGTACTTGTTTGCTTTATTCTATGCTAGAAAAGTTGCTGTCATGTGGGTTTGAAAATAGAATAATGAAATATTTTATTTCAAAAATGGAGTTTTTAAAAACACATTTTTTGCTGTGTTTTTCTTCAGTTTCTATTATTTCAAGTTACCATTATTAATATTAAAGTAAATGGTTTGAACCGGGAGTATCGTTACATGTTTGTAAATGTGGATCGTCCAGGTTGGTATATATATTCTCTTAACGTCTGCTGGTGGATTTGACAATCTGAATAGCCTCTTGTGTGTTCAACGGGGACTTAATTCTAAGTCCTGCCGGAACGAGACCAAAATCCTTGCAGCGGTGGTTGAACCAGAGTTGTTGGCGTATGCGTCTGACGTTGCTTGCAAAACGTATGTAGTCGTTAGCAAGTTGTTCGCTCTGTCGTCCAAATGAACGTAATAAAGTAAATGGTTTGAACCCGAGAGTATCGTTACATGTTTGTAAACGTAGATCGTCCAGGTTGGTATACCAACCTGGACGATCTATATTTACAAACATTATTAATATTGCTGGAGATTTCTTCTGATGAAAGTGCCACAGTTACTGTGAGCAACACCAGTAGACAAAGTAAATCATTTTATTTTCTCGAATACATGAAAGGATATTTTTCATCTTCCTATGAAATATTGATTATTGACAACTCTAGATACTGATTTTAGAACGCATTTCGCATTTCTTGATTTTTGAATGGTAAAATTTTTTTCATGGGGTCTAAAACCCTTTTTGCACAAAAAAACAAAATCTTTAGAGCTAAGTAGCTACACAGCTACGTTTAAAAAGTATTTCACCATTTCCACAAGTTAGGTGTGAATTTCACCTCTTTTACAACTTAACAGTATGGTGTAATGTATTCATAGCATGCATTCACAAATTGAAGGGAATCTCCATTTTTTTTTCATTTTTACTCGCCTTAGTGATGATGTCATTTAGAAATTCTCATATAATTACTCTAAGGGTACTGATTTCCAGGTATGTGTTTTAATTCATTTTTACCCAGTTTTTACAGCTTTTTCAAACAACATCAATAGTTTAAATTTTTAAGTAACTCTTCAATTATATATATTGGACATAATTTTTTGCTCACCCATAAAAATGAAAGCTAACTTCACAAAAATGTCAAATAGAGTGAAAAATTTCCAGTTATACCCAATCTGCTAATTTGTTCAAAAAATTCCCTGTCTAACAAAGGTCCCCGGAAAAGCATTGACAACAGAACAATACTAACTTTCATTTATGTCATGTAAATACCATAGAGACTAAAAAGTAGCTGCCAGGGGGGGTACTTTCAAAATTAGTGGCTTCATACTATTGAGTTGTGTTTTTCAAGCATCAACAAACTCCAATGGTTAACTCTTTATCCACAATGTATAAATGGTATTTTTCAATGCATTGAAGGCAATGGTAGTTGAAAAAAATGTACTTGAAAGTTTTAAGCCTTGGTCCTGTGCAGTGTAGCCATATACATATACAATTTTTTTCTAGATATGGTCTGATGAGCTTAGACTTTCTCGCAGTCCAACCTGCCTCATATAGTTGCAAAGTTCAGATCAGGGGGGGATCAAACTTCATCAGATAGAATGTGGCAAATTTCCCCATCTCCCCCTCACTCCTGTATGGCCCTCAATGGAAAACATTTATATCACCCACCTAACTGAGCATACAGGATGAATATGAGCACTAATGATTTTACTAATTCCTCTTGTCAAAAAATCCCAAATAACTATACGTCCATCATTACATCCAACAGCAAGTAATGTCCCACGTCGATTGAAAGAACATGTTATTGCAACGCTTACACAATCTAGAGTACCATCATATTCCTATAATAATGAAGCATTTCATGAAAATATGTAATACAAATTTAAAGAAGAGGGCACAATGTTCGACTTGGATGAATTACCTCAGGATAACTTGGTCCGAATGATTCTACGAATTGAAAATTTTATGTCACAGACAGTAATTAAAATCTAAAGCAAAAATATCGCCACGAAGAAACATAAAATAAAACTTACGCAGCAATTCCAGATTCATTGTAAACAGGTTATTACAGGACTCGCACTACTGATCGTATTTTTTAAAACGTTACATTTCAAGTTTTTGATAATGTTGCTATCATTGCTATCATTTCTTTTATTTACTAATTGGCGCAATGACACCTATTCGCAGGCTACCATTGTGTTCAGACGTTTCTTCTTCCATAAAGGCGTGCGTGGCATTCGCATTCTACTATCGAACAACCGCTTTTTCGTTGGAATCTGCCTATAGTTGAGGCGCAGAAGTGCTTGAAAAGGCTAAAAATGTCAAAAAGGAAGCAGGTATTCTCTATCTTCTTATGAAATAGTTCTATGAGTTGCAGAGATGAGAAAATACGCATTAATTTGGCGGTAAAAATAGCGCTGTTTTTCGTCGAAAATGCGACCATTTTGTCTACAAAGAGGCGTGAGTTTTGTGTGGCGATATTTTGAATAGCACTGGCGAGAAGTCTAAAAAAGAACTAAAAAAATAATCTATGATATTATCGTAAAATAGTGCATGTTATGTTTCCTTATCTTTTGTAAAGAGCAACTGGGCAACATCATGCATATATTTTCAATGGTCACTCCCAATTATAAACTGCAATTTAATTTTTAAGTACGATCCGAACTACGGGATGAAACTAGATATAGCGGATTCCAAAATGGTTTTTATTTTTGCTTTGATAGAATTTACACATTGTAAATTCTATCATACGGATGGATTGTCCACTATTATCGTATTGAGTAAAACGGTTAGAAATTTAGAACTCAATCTGTATAAAACACACAATGTTGGCCAGTTGCAACAATTGAACTGAGTACGTAAGTAGAAACTTGATTTTTGCTTTAGCCTTTGTCTCCTTTTTATTACTGGCTTTAAAAAAATGAGCATTTTTGGCTGTGAATTTGCCATTTTTAGCATCATAAATTGAATAAGAATTTCCAAAATAGCTAAACTAAACTAGCTTATACTGAGATGTAAACTTTGTGCTCAATTATGTATTACACAATTGCAGTTAGTGTTCACAGCTTAAATGCAAATGATTTCGATTCTAGCCTGAAAATGAAGATGAAGAGAAAGGGAAAGGTTCAACCTTTGTTGTCACTGTTGTTAATGACAGTATACAAGAAATGCAAGAATGGACTGATGCAGAGACATGCGTGTTAAAGGCAGCTTTGAGGGCAAAGTATGTGAAATATTTGATAAATTCCATGCTATTCTATGAACCTTAATTTGAATGATCATTTTGGGGTGTTAAAAAAAATCACAATTTAATTACATATTGTCTTAAATCATAATTTAGTGATAACAATGAGGTTGACTGGGAACAATTGAACATTGCATTGCCAGCAAAAGATATTAACCAGGTACGCTGCTGTAATGATCAACGTACTAATGAATTTTTCTATTTTAATTATTTGATCTAAGTTGCACAGACTTTATTTAATCATTTATGAAATAGCCAAAAATACAGGCAAAAAAGGTTGAATTTGAATTTATATGAGTTTACTAAACTGTTTTTTCTATATTTAGATTAAAGCATATGCATTGAGCTTGCAGCAACAAACAGGTTTACTGATTATCTTATGTTATAATAACAAATGACATGTTAGTTGTGAAGAATTATTTCAACATTTTCTGTCCAATATACTTATGTATCAGTGTACTATCTAGTGCCAAATAGAGTATGACTGCCGTTCTTCGAATAAGACCATTAAGACTAATCATAATTTCACTTCTAGATTACCAGACAAATGGGGAAGTTAGTAGCAAAGCACCTATTGAGGTTTGTATTGCTAACAATGCTGCTTTTGGTTTTACATAAGAATTTCCTGATCAGTACACTACTAATGGTTTTGTGAATAAGTTAGATTGAATTATGAAGTGGATGATAAATTGTGAAAAATTGAGCAATGAAGTATGAAAACTTGCATTTCCAAACTTTTCACATTATAATACCATACCAATAAATATATAGTTGATACATACAAGTTTCAATGCCCATAGTTATTTTACTAATTCAGTATATTACATATCAGTAATAAAGAAGTATTACAGGTCCAATTAATTTTTAATCAGGTATTTGAATTTTTTCATGTGCATTGTTGAAAAAAAGCTATTGTTTGAAAAAGCACTTAGCATATTGCACTTGAAATCAATATATTATTACATGCACTAATGCTTAATAGATTTGGACTGACCTTGCACAAAAGTTGACCAGTGAGAGTGATAAAGCTGCATCTGTTTGTTTACCCCAAGTAAGTAAAATATATCAAGTCTTTTCTTTTAACTAACTCTGATATTATTGGTCAAAATTGCCCGTCTTTTGCAAATTGACAAATGAAGATATTTGTTGAGGGCAATAAACATACATCTTTCAGTATCTATTGATCTCAAGTCAGAATAATTTATCGACTTTATTTCGTGAGATAATTTTTTATCTGTAATATCATAGTCATGTAACGAAACATAAAGTACGTGGAGAGGAGAAAGAACCAAATGGCGGAATTTTTTGTTTTTACAATCGTTTTTGCAAGAGAATTAAGATAACGCTGAACTTTCAGCGGTACAGTTGAAGAATTGCTTTTTGCTCGTTTGTCTTCAACGTGAAATCGTTTCTTTTTCATCACATGCAACCATTCTTCAACTAATAAGGCTTTTACGGTATGTTTTTCAGGTACAATATTCCAAGTTTCTGATTTAAAGATATTCCTCCATAATGTATTTTTTTCTGTTCACTAAACTTTATTTTGAACGAAGATGTCACATGACTTTTTGTAATAACTATCATCTGACTCAAGTATCTTATCAAAAGTCATACAAAAAGCTGTTTTAATGAAAGCATTGCACAAGGAAGCACACATTAAACTCAAATTTGTAACAGGTTACTTTTTTTTGAAGGAACAGTAGAGTAACATTTTTGGTTGTTTGCCCCCAAAAATGTGCTAGTAGTATTTTATTTCTTCCCTTAGGAAGAGATATATGCTGTTCAGAAAGAATTAAGAGAAGTTATTGTTGATCAACAGAACAAACTAAGCAAACTTGTTTCTAGTTTGCGAACCATTAAGAAAATTGTAAAGAAGACAAAGCGCCAAAATCGAAGAAAATTGGCTGAACAAAATGCAAAAATTGATACTTTGATATCTTTATTGGCTTCTAACGCATTGCCAACTGCTGCAAATTCATCGAATGTGGATGCAAAAAACAGCGAGAGACATAACGATGAAAGTGAAAATGAAAATAGTTCGTCTGTCCCTAAGAATAATCGTCTTGACGAGCCATCGTTGGAAAAGCCTCGACTTAAAACGCGTGCAGAGAAGCAGATCTTACCACTAATAACAGTTAGTGAACCGTCTGATATTGAGCTATCGCCATATAGTTTAGGTTCGTAATTGACTTTTTCTGAAAAAAGCTACATGATACTTGAAACTGTTGAAATAAAAATTAAGATGACGCGTTTTAAGTAGTTCCTAACAACTTTTTCCTTACAGTTCCTATAGGCCAAAATTCAAACGTGATGCTTACTCGACAACAGTACAACGATGCTTACTTTCGTGGCAAAAACATTCGACGATTTGCTGTCCGTCTTGCTGAAAAGATATTTGGTTTGGATGTACTCACTCGATCCACGGTCTCAGGACAACAAGCAGGACTAGAAAAACTTGATTCTGAAAAATTAAGTGCCATTCGAGGTAAATGGTATTTCATTTTACGATTAACCATGAACACATTGTCACGTTATTGTATCTACTGTAATATTTAGCTCAAATTTAATTTGGATTTACTATGTTATTAACCTGCGATAAATCGTTGCTTTAGAATAAGTTAATTTTATTATATTGAGATTTGTTATCTTGCTTTAGGGGAAGTTGTATCACGTTTTATGCCTGCTGGGACGCTTGATGAACGCGAAGCTAAATGGAAAGAATGTCTTCTCAGCATTGGTAAAAGATGTCAAGTATTACGTACAGGAAAAACTTTTAAACAAGATGCTTTGAATCCCAATAATTCCTGCAATGAGTTAGAAGTTCTGCAAGTATCTATGCCTAATACAAATGAGCACAATGCAGCAGCCGAAACAATTACAGGCCAAAGTGATGCTGGTTTGACAGAAGTTGATAAATCGTTAAAAGTTTCTGAAACACCGCCTCAGGTCAATTTAGGTTAGTTTTTGATCAGATATTCATTGACTCTGACTGAATTACGACGTATCATAAAACAAGTTTGCATAGTCAATTACGTCTAAAAATTGCTATTCATATGATATCCATTTGCCTTAACATTTCCACTACGGTTTGAAAATCATTATATTTCTTATTTTTCTCATTTTAGTCCCTCTTGGTGGATCGCCAAATGTTCTCATTCAGAAGGAAGACTTAACCGAAGCTGTTAAACGTGGGAAGAAAGCAACATTCTTAGCATTACGATTGGCAGAGAAAGTGTTTGGATACGATGTCTTGTTGGGATCTACAATAACTGGTCGAGAAGGAACTGAAAAACTTAATAACGACAAGTTAATGGCAATCAAAGGTATTCATCACAATACCTAATGGGATTTTCTCACTACGTTGGTTAAAAAATAACCTATTGTTCAATTTTCATTTAATAGAGGAAATTGTGAATCGTTTTGCCCGTGAACAACCAATTGAACTGCAAGAAGCAATTTGGAAAAAATGCTTGTACAGCATTAGTACTAAATGTAAGGTACTGCGGGCTCAAAAGCAAACTATCGATGGCGTTGTTTATGAGGATGATTTCGGCGATATGAAGGTCAGCAGGGATCTTGATCTTCTCGCAAACGTTACTTGTCCTGAAACTCATCCTGTAATTATGGATGATCAGGTGGAGCAGGCAAGTGGTGGAATGCCGCCACAGGCTAATATGATCTCACAGTCAGGTGATATGATAGATCAACAGAGCGAGGTGTTGTCACATGAGGTTACTATGGTAACTCAAGAGGCTGTGAGAAATCCTATAACAGACGATGAGGTTGCAATGGAACATGAACAAGAGGTTACAGCAACAATTCATATCGATCAATCAAATGGTTTGTGTGATCAAGATATTTCAGGAGATTTTGTTTGACCAGGAAAACCGTTTTGTGCATTGACACAAGGGTTACATAACTGTTTAACTACATTTATTGCCATTTGTAATAATGATTTATTGCATTAAAAAGGCAACTGAACTATCTTTGACTGCTTGTTTTTTGTAAAAATTATCGATGCTAATAAATTATGATATTTTGTACGTTTGCAAGCTATTTTTATGCACCGAAGAAATATTCTTGTTAAAGAATGTCAGCAAATGTTTATTGAATTGACGCATCTATATTGTTTAATGAAAGTAGTTGTACACCTAACTGAGAATTTTTATGTTCCAAAAGTACTGAAATCAAAAGCAAATTGATTACTGTTTTGTATTCGTAGACATAGAGGCCGGAACAATAATTCGGGGGCCATATTCATATATGCATGTCATGCCTTTGCTTCTGAAATCAATTGTTTTGTACGGATTGTTAAATGAATATATGAATATGCCACCCCTCACCCCGCAATTATCGTTTTGGCTACGTGCCTATATAGATGTCACAAGACATTTGAAATTTTCAAATTTTTTCTTTCAGCTTATGATTGCTGCTGCTTCTGAACCTATCAATGCTCACGGTGATTTTCGAAAATTTGTCCTAGAACTTCTTTATTCTTGGAAATATACTGATTGATGTTTATTTATTTTCAGTTCCAGGCAAACCAGATTTTGGCAAGATATATTTTTATCTTTCAAGTTTGTTGAAAGGCGAGATTCCCTCTCCTCTTCCTCCTTTAGGTATGGATGTGACTTATCTGAAATGTGCTTCAAAATAAAAATTTGATATCTAATCAAATTTTCAATCTAATGCAATCCAAAGGAAATCATAAAGCAGAAGAACCAGCTTTAATGAAATTCGGCTGCAGATTTTCTTTCCATATACGCGTACGAGTTGCATAATGTATATAGATACCCCACATCCATTCATCATCCTTTATTTCATTGTTCTACTTTAGAGTCTTCGGTTGTGTTGAGTTTAGTTGAAGATATTGTCGATAAAATACGAACTAGTGATGTGAGCGCTCAATTCCACCATCTATCAAACTTTTATACAAAGCTTCAACAGGAAGCTGAAAGTTATGTGCAGAAGGAAAAATCCAAGAAAAAGCCTATAAGTCAAAAACGTACTTTATCTGGGAGAGTGGTGCGGCAGCGAGTTGGACCAAATGGCATTGAAAAGAGAGAACAAGACTCTTCTCCATTGCTAGAGAAAAACAAAACTTCACGAGCTACTTCACTAAATCCACTTCGTATACCTGTCAATTTACTAAATTTTAAACAGACTAAGAGTACTCTTATTGCAGGGAAAGAAAAACACCATTCATAAAATGTAACATATCTTTTAAAAACACGTTTCTCTTTTTTGACAGTAGTGTCCACCATATTTGACAGAAGTAAGTGTTCACTTGAGGTCATTTTCGATATTGAATGCTGTTTTGTCTTGCTATTACCTTATATCCAGTGACTGAATCTCTCTCTCTTTTCTTTTACATTCCCCCTGTCTACATAATGCAATTAATGAAGCAATCAACTCTTTCAACAATATATGTATTTCACCACAAACAAAAAATACGATATTGAAATGCCGACGTATAATATTTATTAGTGAAGATATGACTTTAACGTGCCCACTAGACAATATTGAACGTCCATGAAGTTTCTCGCGAAGAATGGATGAAAACTCTTCAACTACTTCACTGTAGCACTGATAGGTGCTTGGAACTTCAAGTAAAGGACCACAAGTATGCGCAACAGGCCGACGGGCTAAACCATTAAGTCTGTGAATGTGATTTTCAACTTCATTTTTGGCAGAACCATACTGACTCCAGTAGTGAACTGAAGAAATGCAATGACGTTACTTCCAAGAGATTTAATTAATTTGGTCAAGTGGTCTAAGGTTACGTGCTCGTTGTCATTTTGCAGATATGCATCAAGCAATTTAGGGAGTTTATCCTGTGTAAGCTTTTTTCATCACAAAACAAGAAAATGTTTGAGATATTTTGGAATTCTTTAACTGTGTCGATTAAATCTACTTCATTTACATGTAGGCTACCAACATGTACGCATTGCGTACCTATTTTTTAAAACATATGCCGTTGTATTTAACAAACGCAGTGTTTTGGGAGATTTACCCAAAGGCCAGGAAATAAAAGAGAAACATGAATATTCGTGGTAGCTACCATAAATAATGCAATTACAAATGACATCGCTTGGCCCCAAATGTGGACACTGTTTTTTTCCCAAAACAAAACAAAATGGGAGGGAAAACCAGTGGATCCGGTAAAAAACCCTCCAATAAAATAAAAGATCAAAAATTTAGAAAAATTTCCTTCATTTTGTGTAGTTTTAAGATTTTTCATATTTTTGTTGTTTTCAATGATCCCGATGATCTACTTTAACATGCAGCGTAGTCAGATCGTGTGTTACTGTCGTACACAAATTTAAATTTACAAAGCGATAAAAAGGAAGGCTGACTACCCTATTGACACAGCAAATATTTTCTTCTCGAGCAAAAGAAAAGCAAACTTTGGTAGAGATTCAAAATTTCCTTGTTGCTTCATTATGACTTTCATTAATAGCTGGCTTTCACTTGTGTGTTTTGTCAGAAATTGTAACAATTGTGAAAATGTAGTTTTACGGAAATTTTTAACGTTTGAATTTGAAAATACGTTATACTAATAAACATGCGTAGCAAAAGTCCGCAAGTGTGAATCTTTCAATAAGGACGCTTGTTTCTTGGTGCTTCTGTTGGTCGTTCATTCATTATCCAGTTAGTAGGCAGGCAGACATAGCTAACTCTATAAAAAACACGTTACAAACGTCAGCATAATTAATGAACAATAACAGAAATTGAATATATTGAAAAGAACTAAACTTTAATACCTGATTTCTAAGCGTTGTCTTGGTCAGTCTGATGCAGGCGACTTTGTAGATCTCTTCCCTTTTTTTTCGTCGCCCAATTTTTACGTTTATAAGATAAAAATATTACAATAAATTTCAATGATGTATATCATTGAAATTTCTTGTAATATTTTTATCCTATAAATTCAATGATTCCTACTTGGCGCATTGCAATTTTCTTTGTAAACGTTAAAATAAGTAAAAAGTAGCGAGTGAAAGCCAGCTATTTTCTCTCAGCAAGTAACATCTTTTATTGACATTTTCTTAATTTGGGTGTTTTTCGTGATTAAAGTTCAAATTATAAAAATAGACCATCAGGATCCTTTTTAACTATTTCATGCATGTAGTCACTCATACAACACTTATCTACTCAACTTACAAACCACAAGACATGAATCGTGTTTTTCCACTCGCTTGTTTTCCATCTTCGTAGAATATAGTCCATTTTTATAGTCCAATTGTTTCAATGTTCATACGTACATATGCCATTGTGCGATGTCCATTCAACATGTTTATGCCACTCCATACACGAAGTTACCGGCATCATTAACCAATAAATTAAGTAGCTACTCATATCATGAATCGCCATTTTGATAGATTACAATTTACAACGGTAACTTCAAGCGAAGGAGAAGGGATCACTTCAATAACCCAGTTATAACATCACTCAAAGAGTGCTAAGTGCAGAGTTGATGTTCCGTTAGTATCAGTTGACCACCTTCAGGTGGGCTCATATAACAATGGGGCCCATCATCATTATATGAACAAACAACTGACATCAACAAAGAATCCAAACTACATTAACATTCTTGGCCATGAATCACCATGACACATGAGTAATGACAAACTAGTAAGAGTAATTAAAGAGAATGACACAGGTGGTAAAGGGACTTTCACAACTCCATCCATTTGGGATCTACAATATAAGAAAATGTGAAACACATGTATGAGATTTCATGATGAATAACTATGCATATGACGTTAGTTTGCGTTTTTAAATTCTTAATCAGATATATTGAGAATGAGCAAATTACAATATGTTTTCTGTTTGACTATCAAAAGGGTAGAACATTCCCTATATCGCACGAATCTTTAGTCAGTTGAGTTTGAACGATGCAGCAAGAACTTTCAAACGATCAAAGGCTTAATATCATGAGCAACGCATTTTACAGTGAAAGCTTTCATATTACAATGCCTACCCTAAGACTAGTTGATTATTCCATGTAACTCATACTTCAGTACTTCGTCAGTAAAAAGGCAAAATTTACCATTCTTTTTACAACGTTACATTGACTAATTTTCCGTTGACAACATTTCTTAAATTGGCGTAATGACTATAATTTTTTATAGTGATTGGCTCCTTGTGAGTATGTCACTTTTCACAAAGACAATATGTAATCCTTCAATGCGTTTAAATAAAAAAAAATCATTAGAATCTTCAGATTTTTTACGTTTTAATGTCGTTATGCAAAGTAACGATGCATGATGTTGTATGTTAAGCTTGATTAATAAATTTATAAACTAGACTTTAATTTTCTCCAAATATTCATTAAATTTTGCAGTCATATCTTGCTAAGTAAGTTAGCAGAGCGTTTTGGCGTTCTGTTTGTCCAGATGTTTCTCGACTACTGAAAATATTGTAGGGAGTCGTAGAAATTTGAGCAAAAGACAATTCCGGCTCTTGTTCGTTGCAAGTCTACACCACAATCTGTGAAAACTGCACCTCTATGCACTCAATCACATAGTGTGTTGGAGAAAGATGGCAAATTTAGTGTATTTATATTCATTGCATATATTTAGTAATGACTAATGCAACATTGAAGAAACAAACCAAAAATCAGTAGCATCAATAAAAACCCTTGAGATTTTTACAAGAATCTCCATAGAGATAAATCAAAGAGCAAATAATCATTTATCGTCAGTGTAGTCACTTACATTCATAGTTTCATACATGATATCGGAGCAAGTACGTGTGTAACACATTTCAAAAGGGTTTTCCTTGTTATGATTGATGTTGTTGCAGCTCTGCGTTGATAGATAACAAAGTTTGCATGCATGTTTCGTTGACAGTTGTTTCCATACTCACTGGTCTTGGTTTCACCTCTCTGCATGGCATCTTATCAGTCGAATTTTCACACAAATATCGGAAGACCTCTTGCTGTTGATCGAATTATTCACAAATTATCGGCTATTAACAAGTAAAGTTGAAAGCACTAACCAATCTTTTCTTTTTTCTTTTGCAGCTACTTCAGTCCTATGAACCTAGTAACAACTGTATTTTTCTATGTTCTTATTCAAGAATTGGAATCTATGAATTTTCCATAGATTCCAATTCTTATTCAGTTGCATTCAGGTGTTGGCCTATGTGTATAGTCTAGTTCCATCTCATATGAACAACATCGCTTTTCCACAACGCCTCGTGGTCTATACATGACAACACCTGAAATGAATAGTATTTTTATACATGGTGTTAAGCATGTCATTATATGTATTTGTTCCACTTGATTGTTTAACATTCTTGTTCGTACTTGAACAAATTTCCGGTTGTTTATCAAATCTAATTTTTTAAAGAAACGAATAAATAACACAAATATTATTATTTTGGCTATTAAGATATTGGTGACGTAAACCAGAACGCCTTTAAACTCTCTCCTGACCTTAACCTAGCAAGATATGACTGCAAAAGATTCAATGAATATTTGGACAAAATTTCTAATTCATTGTCGTCTCATGAATCTTAACTTACAACATCTGATTATTACTTCGCATAACTACATATAAAAGTAAAAAGAACTGAAAATTCTAAAGAAATTTTTTATTTAAACGCATTGAAGGATTACTTATTGTCTTTGTGAAAAGTGGCATGCTCCTAAGAAGCCAATCAAATTAAAAAATTACAGTCATGACGTCATTAATGAAATGTTAACATATTTAAATTCGTGTGTTTTCCTTCAACAAAAAATTAGTCACATTAACTTTGTAGAAAGAAAGGTAAATTCTGTCTGTTTACTGACGAAGTACTGAAGTATGAGTTACATGGAATAATCAACTAGTCTTAGGGTAGGCATTGTAATATGAAGGCTTTCACTGTAAGCCATGATATTAAGCATTTGATCGTTTGAAACTTGTTGCATCGTTCAAACTCAACTGACTAAAGCTATTCGTGCAATGTAGGTGAACGTTTTACCATTTTAATAATCAAACAGATAACGTATATTGTAATTTGCTCATTCTCAATATATCTGATTAGAAATTTAAAAACGCAAACTAACGTCATATGCAGAGTTATTCATCATGAAATCTCGAAACGTGCTCATATTTTCTTATATTGTAGATCCAAAATGGATGGAGTTGTGAAAGTCCCTTTACCACCCGTGTCATTCACTTTAATTACTCTTACTAGTTTGTCATTACTCAAGTGTCATGGTGATTCATGGCCAAGAATGTTCATTTGTAGTTTGGATTCTTTGTTGATGTCAGTTGTTTGTTCATATAATGATGATGGGCCCCATTGTTATATGAGCCCACCTGAAGGTGGTCAACTGATACTCACAGAGCATCAACTCTGCAACTAAGCATTCTTTGAGTGATGATATAACTGGGGTATTGAAGTGATCCCTTTTCCTTCGCTGGGCTTTCCCTGGTGATTGGTTCCAAGAATTGAATGGACATCGCATAACGACATATGTACGTATGAAGATTAGCATTGGAGTGTTGGGACTGTAAAAACGGACTATGCTCTACGAGGATGGAAAATAAGAGAGTGGAAATACAAGATCTATGTTTTGTGGTTTGTAAGTTGAGTAGATAAGTGTTATATGCGTAACTGCATGAGATGGTTAAAAAAGATCCTGATGGTCTATTTTTATTATTTGAACCTTAATCATAGAAAACAACCAAAAAAAATGTTAACAAAAGAAGTCACTCGCTGTGAAAAAAATAGCTGGCTTTCACTCGCTACTTTTTACTTATTTTATTTAACGTTTACAAATAAAAATTTGCAATAAATTTTAATGATATATACGTAAAAACTACGCGACAAAAATATGAGGGAAGAGACCTACTAAGTCGCCTGAATCAGTCTGACCAGGACAACGCTTGAAGATCAGGTATTTAAAGTTTTTTCTTTTCAATATATTTAATTTCTGTTTTTATTCATTAATTAATTATGCTGACGTTTGTAACGTGTTTTTTATAGAGTTAGCTATGTCTGCGTGCCTACTAACGAGATAATGAATGAACGACTAACAGAAGCACCAAGAAACAAGCGTCCTTGTTGAAAGATTCACACTTGCGAACTTTTGCTTTGCATAATGTTATCAGTATAGCGTATTTTCAAATTTAACCGTTAAAAATTTCCGTAAAACTAAATTTGCACAATTGTTACATTTTCTGACAAAACACACAAGTGAAAGCCAGCTATTAATGAAAGTCTTAATGAAGCAACATGGAAATTTTGAATCTCTACCAAAGTTTGCTTTTCTTTTGCTCGAGAAGAAAATATTTGCTGTGTCAATAGGGTAGTCAGCCTTCCTTTTTATCGCTTTGTAAATTTAAATTTGTGTACGACAGTAACACACGATCTGACTACGCTGCATGTTAAAGTAGATCATCGGGATCATTGAAAACAACAAAAATATGAAAAATCTTAAAACTACACAAAATGAAGGAAATTTTTCTAAATTTTTGATCTTTTATTTTATTGGAGGGTTTTTTACCGGATCCACCGGTTTTCCCTCCCATTTTGTTTTGTTTTGGGAAAAAAACAGTGTCCACATTTGGGGCCAAGCGATGTCATTTGTAATTGCATTATTTATGGTAGCTACCACGAATATTCATGTTTCTCTTTTATTTCCTGGCCTTTGGGTAAATCTCCCAAAACACTGCGTTTGTTAAATACAACGTCATACATAAAAAAAGGTACGAATGCGTACATGTTGGTAGCCTACATGTAAATGAAGTAGATTTAATCGACACAGTTAAAATAAAATTATATATTTAATACTATCTACGTCAAACGTTAAAGTCATATCTTCACATCTAAATATTATATGACATTCCAAGATTGTATTTTTTGTTGTGGTGAAATGCATGATATACTGATGAAGGAATGATATTGATGAGGGATAGTACAAGGAACAACAGAGAAAGTGCCGGCTCCTCCGTGAGATTGTCGAAAGAGTACTTTACGTTCATTCACAGGTAAAAAAAAAATGTGAACAATTTTCGTTCGGTTCAATAAATATATATAAAGACTATTATTTGCTATTTTCCTCTAATTTTTGCCAATAGAGTATCATTCAAAGTAAACGCGTTTCGACGTTTTTGGTTTTTTATTGTTACATTTTTAAGTGTTTTCTTTAAAAGTCAACTAATGTCACGGAAAAAGAGTTTGGTCTTTGGATGCATTGAAAAGCTCGTTTTGGACTTGTAAATTCCTTTTCATTGTACGCTGCGCTCGGTAGACATTGTATTTTTATGGTACAAGCCTGTGAAAGAGGCTTAAAATTATATTGTTAGGATATGAATTACCATAATTGACAGATCGATTTGTTTTTGTGTGGTGACTTTGATTTGCTTTTGTGTAAGTTCTTGGAAGCATTTGATATAATTTACGACCGTTCGATTTAAATGAATGACATTGGTAATTTTGTATTTTTTGGACGTCCATATTCCCATGTGTTTGGTTAAGCTTAATAAAATAATAATTTTGATAAGTTTTCTCTTCTAGGCAATTGCTATACAGGTCATCGTGCATGGTTCACTGATGTAATTATGTAAATGATATTAAATCTGTGTTCGTAATTTTAAGTGAAAGCCCAATGGCCACGCAGGAGAACAAGGTCCGTAGAATTGGAATTATTGGTTTTGGTGCTATTGGTACGACAAATACTTTAACTACAACTCCATAACGTTTCGCACTCATTGAATTCCACTTAAATAGATGGTTAAACCAAAAGATTTCCGATAATAGTTGTGTATTTACAGGTTTTGCAGCAGCTCCAATGTTAGGATTAAGAGAATTGTAATTTTTAGAGATTGCATATTGAAAATTTCAAAATGACGAAAGACAGCATATCATGTTTTCTGGTCTTTTCAAATATACTTTCCTGGTACCAGCCTATGAAAAAATTGAATTGTTTCTAAAATTATTGCAGATACCACAGAGCAATTTTTCTTTGTGTGGGGGCTATCAGTTGCCAAAATTGGGTGCAAATACTGTAGAGGTTCCAAGGGAAAATGTGAAAAATTCAAATTGAGGGCTTTTATTCCCATGCTCTGTGGTCCTGAAATAAAATCATCTAAATATATTGTTTCTTGTATTAACAAAATATTTGAATGGATGGAACAGGACAATATTTGGTGGAGGCTATTAAAGAAAGCAAAGACTTGGAGTTGGGTTTTGTATGGAACAGAACTTGTAATATTCTTGTTGGAAAAATTGAGCAAAATCTAATCTTGAAAGATCTTTCAAAGTTCAATGAGAGGTAAGATTGCTGTTTATGATGTATTTCTTGGTTTATGTTTGCATTTTTGTAATTAATGACAACAGATTTTTGGTTGCAGAAATGTTGATCTTATTGTTGAAGTGGCTCATCCTTGCATCACGGAAAAGTTTGGTGAAAGGTTCTTGGATCATGCGGATTATATGGTATTTAGTTAATAATGAGTAAATACAAACAAATGTTCTGCTATTTAAATATGTAAATATGTAATTTAAATGGTTTTGGGTGAGTTCATATATTTTTTCAGATTGGATCACCGACAACTTTAGCATCTGATGAGATTCGCAAAAAAATATTTGCAAAAGCAAGGTCTAATTTGCAAGGTCACGGTCTTTATGTTCCAAGTGGGGCATTCTGGGGTGTGGAGGATGTAAGAAAAATGGCTAATAAAGGCATCCTTGAGGTTTCAGTGATAACTCATCTATTTGGAAAATGTTTATCAGTAGTTTATCATTGAATTGTGTAATCAATGATTGATGTAGGCTTTGTCAATCACAATGAAAATGGCACCTTCATCTTTGAAACTTCATGGTAAATTAAAAGAAAAAAATGAAAAAGTTGAGATTGATCCAGTGATTCTTTATTCTGGTATCATATTAAAAAAAATTTGAACAAAATAGAAGAGTTTTTTCTTTAAAATATGACTTTTCATTGTTATGTAGGCCCTGTAAAAGATCTGTGTCCCTTAGCACCAAATAATGTGAACACAATGGCTGTTGGTGCAATGGCAGCTCACAATTTGGGATTTACTGGTGTACATGGTTGTTTGATTGCAGATCCCAGGTAAATGCTTTTTTAAATGAATATTTGAAGGGGATATTGAATACAGTTATAATTTTGCAGTTTATAATTTACTTTTAGCTTAGATTGTCATGTTGTTGAAATTGAAGTCATTGGTCCTGGTATTGATCAAACTAAATTTCATTTGAAAACAGTTCGGACAAATCCCGCCAAAACAGGTGCTGTGACAGGAAAAGCAACCTACAATTCATTCTTGAGTAGTATGCTAGGTAAGGGCAACTATTAAAATATCGATATTTTTGCATAAATTGCATCGCATTTGAGATAAAATTCAATAACTGCGTTTAGAGGCGCGAAATAAAGGAACTGGTGTACATTTCTGCTAAAGACGTATCATTCTGAATTTGACTGATGCTGCAAAGTGTAAACTGAGCAAGGAGTTTGGGAGTTTGAGTATCGTGTCATGTAATGATATCGATGGGAAAACTGTTTTTGCTCCATAATTTATCATAGACTCATAGTTATATAATACCCTTTGATAAAAACTATCAAGCCATCAGCATATGTAGCTGCGTGATTACGCGGTACTTTCAGTCTCTCTAAGTAGTCTATACTCTTACGCAATAATGAAAAGAACCAACGCTAGTTGATGTTTGCAATAAATGGAAGTAAGCAGTTCACAGAACCAAGAGTAGTCGGTGATGTTTACAACAAATAGTAGAATGTTATGTAACTGATGGTGTTATTTGTTCCATGGAAGAATTTGTGCCAATGGTTATCTCAGCATGGCTTCTTGCCGAGAACCTTTCTAATCATGGCTGGTAGAGCTTCCGTATCCACAATACTCTAATCTGTGATTAATTTCCATCAGAAACTAGGGATATTACTTTTACACAAAAATCTCGCGACTCGAGACATAGCACATTACCTCGTATAGTTTTATTAATTTTATGGTCGTGACTAGAAATGAGCATAACATATAGCTTATAGTCTTCTTTTGTCATTTTTTAAGGCGCGTTTGAAAAGTTTTGTTATCTACGCAATATAAATTTTGTACTGTTTATTTTGTACAGCACAAGTTTATGTAAGAATGTAGTTCACATTTGCCGTTTTCTCTGATCCGAGCGAAACTCTCCTATCCTCTCTGATTATATGCACACAAACACAACCATCGACACCATGATATTCAGTTCACTTCTCACAGTTCACTTCTCACAATTCACTTCTCACAGTTCACAGTTCATTTACTTTAGTACTGTTTATTTGTCGCAAAAGTTACCTTTGTGCTCGTGCAATTGTAGTATAATTAAATTTAAAGCGTTGGCCAAAGGCTATCATGGATAAAAGTTGGAATTATCTGGTAACTTCTTAATTGGGGAAAATCTTGTACAATAAGAACAAAAATTAAGAAGAAAACAATCAATACTCCGATGCATGATTTTGGACTTATATATATCCCGTAGCATTTCCCCCCTAAACGAAGATGTTTTGTCTTTGTGAGTTTTCATGCATGATTTCCATTGAGAACGGCGGAAACTCATCACACTTCAGTGATTTTAAACTGTGAGAAGTGAACTGAATATCATTGTATCGATGGTGGTGTTTGCGTGCATATAATCAGAAAGGATAGGAGAGTTTCGCTCGGATCAGAGAAGACGGCAAATGTGAACTACATTCTTACATAAACTTGTGCTGTTGTGGAAAGTTGTACCATTAATATATATGTGTTATCATCATATTTACTTCTAAAAAGTTCTAACATCAGTGCAACACCCACGTAACAAAGATGAAACAAGAAACGTGTTGATATTCATGGCAGTTGCCGAAATCGTAAGTTATGAACAATGATTTAAATTGCTCATGGTTTTCGCTTTTTGATGTTAAGATTGTTTTTGAGTTGACTTGAAAACATTTTTTCTTCGTGAAAGCAGACGCACGCGGGAAAGCATTCTTAACGCAACAATGATTTTCTTATCCATTAAACTTATCTTATGAAAACAAAACATTCCATTCTCCTGGAAATGACCTTATTTACTGACGAACATAAGTTAATTAAGTTACATGGTGACATGAAAGTAAGATCTGTAAGAATGCTATCTGCATATTTACAATTACCAAGTCTGAAGTGATATTGCCCCCTTGTGGAGCTTGCTTTTGTGCTCTATATAACAAGCGTGAAAGCCAGCGTTGTTGTATAGTTGGTCAGATATAGCTTGTTCAAATAAATATCATACTGGTTCTCCAGTTCCTGATAAATAAAGTTGTGACTTTTATAAACAATAGCTTTTACAATAATGAAAAATGTTACGCCTAATTTTATGCAAATCTCAGCTAACAATGTTCACAATGGGTGATTTTGTCTAATGAATACTCGACCAAATATTAAATCGCACGCTATTGGCCATAGGTACGCTGAACAAATTTGATTGCAGTGCACAGAATGCTGTACTTTTCAGTCAAGAGAGCAATGTACTCGATTTTTATAACACAAAATTTCCTTTTACAATAATTATGTCCATTTCTCTTCATATAACTGTCTCCATGGTACAAATGCTGAAGCTTGGAAATGTCTGGGTGACTAAGGTATTTGCGTAGAACTGCTTTCCCTAGATATCGAGTCGTTTCAGTTGTATTGTCTCCCTGAGCTCTACACAGACGACCAAAGCGATGCAAATATAGAGGCGAATGAAGCAACTCGGACGAAAAAATGACATTCAGCCTAAGTGCATGTTGTGGAATTTAGGACAATTTGAATACATCATATATACCGTATATAAACTAATTATCACTTACTTTCAATTTATAGATGTTAATGAATATGGCATTAGGATGAAATATCACCAATATTATGAATTCCTTAGAATCTATGGTACTTTTTGTCACGTATTTTCTCACTGGCACAGTAATGACAACATTTACTAAGTTTAGTGGTCTTTATTTGAAGCAATTTAATTTAAACACGTCACAAATTGGAGCGACCAATACTTTTGGTATATTTCAATTTCTGGTTCCTGTTATTGGATTTATAGCGGACAGATTTCGAGCAAGAAAATATGTGTTATTAGTTTTACTGTTTATTTTATGTCTTGATGTGCTTGCTGCACTTGTACCTCTCAGTGTTTCTCTATCAAGTTGTTCGCAAGAAAACTTGCTAATTTCATTGGTCTCAAATGCAAGCTTGAATACTTTTCTGAACACAACTATTCGAAATGAAAAAACAGAAGGGAAAAGCATACCTTGGATAAGTAATCTCTTTTTCTCGTTTGCTATTATTAGGACTATTTTTACAATAGCTCAACGCTCAATTCTTTCATCTCGAAATATTGCTGCATTTAGCCATTTAAAAGAAAAACGTGTTGTCATGAATGCTTATATAGCTTTCTCGATGTTCGGAGGTGCAATAGGTGTTTTTACAGTCGGTTGTTTGGCTGCAGACTTCACAGTAAACATTTGTGATGAAGAAATGCATGGTTATTATTTTACATTCTTGTGGTCAAGTGCAGCAATTTTGCTGACATTTTTTTGTGTTCCCTGGCTAAAATTTGAATATGAACATGATGATATCATTAATTGGAAGGAAATAAAACAGTTTTTGTGATGTACAAAACGGGTTCATGTTGTTTCTTTCATTTTACTTTGGATGTTGCACCGCCTTTTTCATATTTTGGGAGTTCTGGTACGTTAACTTGTTGTCGGGATCTCCTAGAATGATGGGAATAAGTGGATTATTACGTCGTCCTTTGATGGCATTCAACACGCTCATAGCATCACAAATGTTGAAAAAAATTGATGAATTCAAACTTATTGGACTTGCCTTGTTCTTATTTCTTATTTCGTTCCTGTTCATCTCAATGGTGAAGATACCATGGTTGGTTTTGATCGTTGACTATTTTCAAACTATTGCATTTGTACTTTCTCACTTGGCACTTGCTGTTTACTTCTCTAAGTCTGCAACTAACGCAAGTTCTGTCACGATTCTTGGTATGTAACGAAATAGTTTTGATGCAATGTATATAATGTGCTTCATGTGCCATTTTCTTGTCACATGGCATGTAAAAGCGCAAATTGATATTTTTTTAGGAAATGAAATGAAATTTCAAACTTAAGTTTATTTGACTACATTTTCTTTTGTCATACTAAAAATCCCTCACTTTTTGTTGCGTAGTTCTATTAAAATTGTTTGTATCATTGGTCAGGAATTAAAAAGAAAGTTTTATATCTCTATGCAAACTATTAATTCTTCATTTATTTGCTAATTTACGTACTTCGCCCGTTTGTTAATTCACTAGAAATTCACTTAGTTGATTCACTTATATATAAACAAACAACAAAATATTCTAACTTACGTCTTACTAGCTGTTTAATAAGCCAGCTCAGCTTAATACTTTTTTCCTAAATTTATATCTAATAAATGGAATTAATCTTTTTTCTAAAGGATTTCACGATATGGCTTTCGCAGTGGGTATTGACGCAGGTTGTGGACTCATGGGTCTTTTATTCCAAAGGGAAGAAGCAGCAACTGTTCTATTTGGTTACTCCATGGTTAGTCTGCTTCTTCTCATTGTATTTTTTGTTTATGTTTACCTTATTAAAGATATTGGATCATATAAAAGACTAATCTTTAGTAATGATTAAAAAGTGGGCAACGGACACGAAAAGCTATTTGATCGACTAGTTTGAACAATTACTGTCTTTATGCTGTAGTTTGTAGACACTACCAAAAAATTTCTGAGACGAACCGATTTTTAGAAGCGCGATTCACGCTTAGAATTGAATGAAGGCAATGATTTATTGTTAAAACTGTGACATTAATTAAAATGAAGAAGATTTTCAAGAAAATGAAATGCAATAAAGTTTTAAGAACTTTAAAAAAGGCATTATGAGTTGTTCTCATCTTAAAGTAGGTAATGTTTCTTTTCAATCGTTGTTTCTTCGTATGACCATCATTTCTTTTATTAAATGAACAGAAAAATTCTTACATCACTGGAATGTTATTTGAAAATAAACACAAAGGCTTGATGTTGAACTTGATCTCTAAAGTTTCATTGTTTATTTTTAAACTTGTAACTTTTGTTGTGGAATTAGAAATAAAAATTGTTGATAATTTTAAAAACCATTCGCGTTTTCATGGGTAAATTAGCTAAATGAAAACTAAAAAGTCATCGTTTTTTCTACGCTAGAATTTTTACGGAGGTCTTTATGAACCTTGTTGGTTCGAAATAAAATAGCTATGATGAATCTAAAAAGGAAATTTAAATAATTTACTTACCCCCAAATTTTTTCTTAGACAAGCAATTAAGCAGATAAAACTCTGCATCCACAAACTGAGAATGCTTTTTTATAGTTCCCTCTCCCCCTCTCTTACACACGCACACACGAACAGTGCTTACTAAACTTTTCACAATCGTGAGTTTTAATAACTAACTGGGGCCGGTTGCACGAAGCCTGGATAGTGTTATCCATTGGTTAGCAATTTTTTAAACTTTTATAAAACCTTTTAAAAAGCAAAAGGTATAAGATTCGAGCTTAACAATCATTGAAATGAAATATTGTTTTTTTACAAGTTTGAAGATTTTTGCTATCCATTGGATGACGTTATCCAGGCTTCGGGCAACCAGCCCCAGGGGATAAAGGTTATCTCTCCAGAGTCCAGATGTTATAGAGTTCAATGTCTTGTTCCCAGTCTTTAATTCGCTCTCCCTGAACTCCTAAACCTTGAAAAGCGTTAATTGTTGGCAACTTTTCATACGCTGTCTTTGTTTATAATACTACTTGCTGAGGATATTTCAGCAACATGAGTTCATCCAATTCAAGAAACAGATCAAGATCGCCTTTAAGAAAGCCAAACGAATCTATGAATACCTCATCAGACACTATAAATCGAGAAGCTGTGGAAAAAGATAAGCAACGAAGTATGAAGCCACATGTCGTACCCGAAAAAGAAGCTGTGAACTCAGAGGCTGCTGTGAATTCTAACAACCAACACAATACTAGCGGAAACGATTCTTCGCTTGATTCAAATACTTTAAAACACAACTCTGCTCAAAAAATATCGTATGTTAGCACAAATAGCAAGACTTATGTCAATCCTGTTACAGGGAAGACAGAACGTAAGTTTTCGAACAGATGTCGTTTGTTTATTGGGAATATAGCGGATATGAAGGAAGAAGAGTTTAAGAAAATGTTTGAGAAATACGGAGAATACACTGAAGCCTACTTGAATAAAGAAAAAGCTTTTGGTTTTATCAAAATGGTAAATATAAACGTCGAAATTGTAGAATGTAGATTCGCTTCCTTAGAAAATAGACGCCATGTGTACCACGTGGCATCTTGGCCCAACCATGCCCAACTGGTTTTCTACTCTGCATGAAATAAATTATCACTTTTATTGATTAATTTTGATTGCGGCTTAAAGTGTGTTAAAATGCAAAAAGATACTCTAATACGTATTCTGGTGTCATTTTTTTGCTATATAAATGAATTGTGTTATGTTTATCATATAATGTTTCTACCATTAAAATTGCCCTTGTTTGTGCAGACCTTAGTGTCAACTATAGAAAGGTTGCACTTTGATTATTTCTTTTCAAAATTTTATGTTACCTCTAGATACATGAATAAAGAAACATCCGCTCATTTGTCTGATAGAAATATTAGCAAACCAACCCACAAATTAAACTTAGCCATTTCATTACATTTTGATTCTACTATTGTTGAATTTTAACAAAAGGATACTAGAATGGCAGCTGAAGCTGCCAAAAATGCTCTAGATGGATCCATGAGAAAAGGAAGAAATCTCACAGTTCGATTTGCAAGCTTGTCTACTGCCATTCATGTTTCTAATCTTGGACCATTAGTATCAAATGAAATGCTAGAGAAAGCATTCTCTATTTTTGGTGATGTTGAAAGAGCAGTAGTTGTTGTTGATGATCGTGGAAGAAGTAAAGGCTACGGAAGAGTAGAGTTTGCTCGCAAGGGTAATGCTACCAGTGCATTGCAAAAAACAAGTGAAAATTTCTTTATGATTGGAAGGTATTGTTTAAACTATAAATTGAATAAATTTTGCTGAGTTTTTGTGGACAATCCTTATGATGAAAAAGTTAGTGTCTGGAATTACCGCCTGATTATCACAATGATGAAAATTATATCTGAAGGATTGTTTAAAATAGATAAATTGCTTTCACTTTTGATTTATTATGTAATTGGCATACATTTTATAATTTCAGATCACCAAGACCTGTTTTTACAAAACAGCAAGAACAGACTGATTGGGAAGATGGTCTCCTTGAGAAATCTGTTGAACGAATGCCAATGTATTCTAGGTTAGTTCTGTTTGTTATTTTTGTTTAATATTTTGATGTTAGAGACAAATATTTGTATTTTTTGTCAAAATCAACTGATTTCCAATTGTCAGTGTTTCTTTTTATAAATTTGAAAAAGCTGATTGATTTGATTTGTTGAAATTTTAATAGTGCAAATATCAGGAACAATATAGGGTTTTGAATAAATACACAATGATTTGTTTGTTTTTTTTGCAAAAGTGTATCAGATTATTGGTTTGCAACTTGCACCAATTTTTTACCATTTTATTTGTAAACATGGTTTTATTTGTGATTGTCCTATCCTAACATTGGAAAAACATTTTGTACACCTTGCGAGATGTTTTAAAAGTTTAAATTATTAAAGGTGCCATCAAAATAATATAAATAATTGCAAGATTTTTTTCATTTTCATCATTATGAAAGCTATAATTACATCTACAAGCACATTTGTTTAATCTAGCGAAAGAGATGCAGGTGGACGTTTTGCACCAGCTGGAACTTTTGAGCATGAATGGTGTAAAAAATGGAAAGAGCTTGATGAATTAAAGCGTACTCAATTCGAAGCCTTAGAGAATGAGTTTAAAGAAGCTGAAGAGAAACTTGAACTTGATATGGCACAGGCAGTCACTGATTATGAAGCTGAAATTAAACATAGAGGTTTTTGTAAAAAAGCACATTTTTTATTATAAATTTGAACTTAAGTACTACCAAGATTATAACACACAATTTTTTTTGATAGAACTAATGGTGCAACAAGCTGAGCTACATAGAAAAGAGGAGATGATGAGGCAAGAAATGATCCGACGACAAGCAATGGAGATGAGGTTTGCACTTTTCATGTATATCTATGGATATTGCTATATAATATGAAACAATAGTAGATAATGCAATGTTGTCTCAGTGATGATCACTTTAAAACATCTGGAATTACCGGCTGAGTAAATGATGCGTATATTGTACTGAGAGGCACATAATTTTCTTTGATTTATATTCAATCACTCATAATAACATGTGTCTTTGCTGTCAAAAAGTTCAGTTTTGCTGTTCATAATTGTAATCACCTTGTGTCAATGATAAAATGGCCTTCACAACATTGGAGCTTTTTTCATTTCTATGACACAACTGAAGTTGTTGAAATGTTGTTTCAGGCGACATGATGAAGCACGCCTAAGGGAAGATATGCGAAGACGAGAGGAAATTCGTATACAAGAAGATATTTTAAGACGTCAACAAGATGAATTGTTTAGAAGGCAGCAGTTGGAGGTAGAAATGCTTCAACTTTTAGCTTTTTAAAAAGTTTTGTAACAAGTCTTCATATGAGCTTCAGATTTTCGTTTTTACTTCTTGTGAATAAATTTATTTGAATAAAAACTTTTTTGTCTTAATGGACCATCAAAGTGACTTTAATTATTGGCTGAAGCTCAAACACACATATACGGTAATAATAATTTATGATATCCTTTAGTGATTATAATTGTTTGCTTCTTTGTATTTCATGATCATTAATTGACACAGACATGGCAAGTAAAGAGAATTTTAACTTCAAAAAGGGTATTTGCTTATCACTGCCTCAATTGCCTGGTCATAGAAGTTTTAATTGCCTGTGAAAAGCTTTATTTTTTTTACACGTATATTAGAACAATATTTATGTATATTTATCTCGATGATGAAATAACAAAGGATCAACCATCTTAGTAATAATGATGATATCATAGTTTATTCTGAGAGAAACTTTTCATATTATTTAGTGATTATTCAATGTAGGCCTATCACAAATAAATTGTTGAAATCAGCGCAATTTTTTATAGGAAGCTGCAATACTTCATCGCCCTCGTGCACCACTTCCCCATGGAATTGGTCTTAGGCAACCTGTGCCACCTATGTTTTTACGTCCAGGACTGACTCCAGTTCACAATTTGTCACCAAGAGTACCTATTCCTTTTGCTCCAAGAATTCCTCTTTCACCAGAGGTGGTAAGTGTGTTGAGTAGCGCGCGCAATTCTTTTTCCGTTCTTTTTTAACTTCGTTTCGAAGCATTTGCTGCTCTTGATATAAGACTGGCAGTTTTATAAAGTTTAATATAGCATGTCACTTTTCAATTTTGATGACAATCCATCAATTTTATGTTTCTTATATCTATCGTATACACATGCAATTATCTGTATTTATTCATTAAATGCTCGTTCGTGTAATTGTGTGCTATTACGTATGTCGATAATAGAAATCATAATTGATTAAATTAACTTATTAAACTAAACAAGCTTTATTTTCTTGAATTTATTTGAATGAAAACGATTTCATTCTAGATCGCGTTTCGGTAAAATAATTTGATTTTGCCTATAGAGTTACATCGTACATGTATTTACATAAATTGTGTAAATTTCTTTTCCCATAGTTGCTCACGTTGTTTTTAACAATTACGATAGAAAGTTTAATATGAAATTGGTTGATATACCACTTTATATAATCAATGATTATGAATTATTATAAATTATTATTAATTATCATTATTGTTTTGTCCTATTTGAGAAAATAAGTTTGCATATTAGTGTGAAAAAATGGTAATTTAGTACGTAGGAGTATATTTCATAGTTAAGGAAAACTCGTAAATATTACACTTAAATGTACATGAAGTGCACAAGTTATATAATGAATTTTTTGCTATTTGTTTGACGGATTTTCACGTATAGAGGTTCCGTGGAATGATGGGATATGAAATAGACGGCGATCGGGGTCGCAGGTCAATGGATCGAGGCGATCGCTCCGGTTCTCGATATTTGGATCACAAGCCACGTGATCGCTATTAAGAATAAGACTTTATTCAATAGAACTTCTATGACTGTGTATTACCCTGTAGCGCAAAAATTAACTGTATATATAACTCATAGCTGTGGACTTGAGATAGATTGCGAACTTTTTAGCGTCAATATATGTATATAATTGACCAGCGTGTGCCATATTTTAATGCTAATTATGAGAATTCTGCGATTGTAAGGTTAGAATAAGTTGAAATGGATATGCACAAGACGAGTGATTCTGAATAATGACAATTTGCGCTGTGGCCCTTTTGAACTTTTTAATGCGCTCTTCGAGTATAATGGCATAAGCTTAATTTGTTTTTAAGCTTTGCACACGTAAGTAATCCTTGTTTTATATTGATACTAGGTAATATAAGTAGATATATGTGTACATTGTATTGATACTCGGTAATATAAGAGGATTTGTGTACCTTGTATTGATACTCGGTAGTATAAGTGGAGGATTTATATATATACATCCAATGGACACAGCAACTTTTAGTGGCTGCCTTGGCACCGCATTGGTTAATCTTTAAGCTTTTAGTAAAGTAAAAATATGTGTAATTTTTGACAATATATCAGCTGTATATTACATCTGTTTTTGTTGTTTATGTGAAGTTACTCCATGCGTAGAAACCTTAAATTGCGTGCATTCATTTATTTATACTAAATTGCTAACCTTTTTTTTGAATATGTCTTTACGATGATTGACAATTTTTGTTATCAGACACTTAATTAGAGCTAAGAATTAACGCTCTATCTTCAAGAACGTGTAGCTAACCGCCAATCATGGCCAGCCTATGTAAAGTTAAATGTATTTAAACCTCTCCCAAAACACAACAAAAAATTTTCAGTAATTGGGTTTGAATAAATAAAAAATATAGAATTTGCCCAGCTGGTTCGCACTTAGACTTTTAGACTGCGCTGAGCTGACTGCAAATCTTATGCTGTCTGCAAAAAAAAACACAAACATAAAGCATAGGTCTGGAAGAAGAATGTTATTAATAAAAGGCACTGTTCGTGGTAACGTTAGTGTGAATACCTTTGTTTGTGGTTCATATTTTAGAATTGCTTGATTAGAAGATTTGCTGACAATATGTTATGTTCAACTGTTCGAAAATATATAATATCTAACTTTGAGAAAATAGTGTTTTGTACGCCAAGTACTTGCTCTTGGAGTTAAACTTGTATTGTTGTTACAGTTGTTAGATAAATTTGCCGCCTTCTCTTTGCAAACTGATATAACGTTGATGTGAATTGTATTAATATGAGTGTGTGCGTGAAAAATGACCCAAGTCAACGTTGATGTGAATGGTATTAATATGAGTGTATGCGTGAAAAATGACCCAAATCAACTTTCAATTTTACTCATTTTTATACCACCCTTCTTTTTCAGGTTTTACATCTAGTAGTAAGGTGTCAAATAGAATCGTCGTATCCTGTATATTTTGTAACAGCAAAATTCTTAATACTTAAGTATACATACGATGTGTTAAACCCTGATAAAAAACCATTTTTAGTCTTCTCATTTTCTGTGATACATTGTTCAAATTTCTAGCACATTTTCCTTCTAATTTTGTAAGATAACATTTACAAATGTCGATGAAATGTTAATCGAGTCGTTAATTAAGTAGTGCTGTAATTGTAGCTAATTTCATGTGTAGGAGAAGGAGGGGCGGTGTTAGGATAGTTTCTATTGCGTTTTTACACAATTTATTCGAACTTATAATATATCGCAGATGGAGACATCTATATATTTGCATCGATAAATTTATTGAAAGTTTATTTTGTGATAAGTACACGAATGATGCACGTTCTTAAAAAGACTTTATAATGGATGATGGCGTGTCTGAGGGAGGTATGTAATTGTTCTTACAGCATGTTAGCGTAATGTTAAACTATAATGTGGAGTTGTGGAAAACACGTGTTTTATAAGCACTAGGTAACAATTACCGTTTGATGAAGTTGATGGTTTGATTTCAAATGTAACTATTACGGATGCCGTAGTTGACATATTGTAACTGACAACGACCTGTTTGCTATTTATACGTAATGTAGAAAGAACAGTAGCTTAGAAACAGATTGTCTGGTTTGATTTTATTACTGATTTGGCTTTGTTGTGGTATTACAATATTAATTTTCTACTCTCTTGCGAAATACCTAAGTCATCTTATGACGTACCCAAGTTATCTTAAATACATCCCAATAATCTCAAAATTCACTCCCAACAATATAAATTTTGTAAAGTAGCAAATAGGAAATTTGGAGTGTCTGCCTATAAACTCAAAACGCCTTAAAAATTCAGTTTGGTTAATAAAAAGGTGGGTCTACTTAGGCATCAGGAATAAATAGGACACGTGCATAGTTAACCTAAATATTGTCAAATATGAACGAACAATTAACAAGACATTAGTATTGTAAATGTTGTTGAGTTGCGTACTTTGTGGTACAAATTAGCTGCTTGTTAACCTTGTTATTGGCAGCTGAAGTCTGCAAATTGTATTTTATGCTGTTATTTGTTCTCGTTGAAAAAACAAATTTTTGCCTTTGCCTTGTTAAAGATTGCGAAGATTTAACTTAAGGAAGAGGAGAACGGAGGCCTGTAATGCGGATTGCCGTGTGATTTCGTAAGAAGCATAAGGTTATTACTTCATACTTTAGAAGTATATTTAAATGTATATTTATCTCAATGATGAAATAACAAAGGATCAACCATCTTAGTAATATTGGTGATATCATAGTTTATTCTGAGAGAAACTTTTCATATTATTTAGTGATTATTCAATGTAGGCCTATCACAAATAAATTGTTGAAATCAGCGCAATTTTTTATAGGAAGCTGCAATTATTCATCGCCCTCGTGCACCACTTCCCCATGGAATTGATCTTAGGCAACCTGTGCCACCTATGTTTTTACGTCCAGGACTGACTCCAGTTCATAATTTGTCACCAAGAGTACCTATTCCTTTTGCTCCAAGAATTCCTCTTTCACCAGAGGCGGTAAGTGTGTTGAGTAGCGCGCGCAATTCTTTTTTTTGTATAACTTTGTTTCGAGCATTTGCTGCCCTTGATAAAAGGCTGTCAGTTTTATAAAGCTTGATATAGAATGTTACCTTTCAGTTTTCATGACAGTTCAGCAATTTTATGTTTTTTATATCTATCGTATACAAATGCAATTGTCTGATTTTATTTATGTGAATAGTATAAGTGAATAATTCACGCAAATATTGTCAAATATGAATGAACAATTAACAAGACATTACTATTGCTAAATGTTGATGAGTTGCGTACCTTATGGTACAAATTAGCTGCTTGTTAACCTTGTTAATGGCAGCTAAAGTTTGTGTAAATTGTATTTTATGCTGCTATTTAATTTTTGAAAAACAAATTTTGCTTTTACCTAAAGATTTAACGTATGGGAAGAACGGAGTCCTGTAACGCGGATTTCCGTAACGCGGAGTCCTGTAACGCGGATTCCCGTGTGACTTCGTATGAAGCAAAACGTTATCTTTGTTCTTATACTTATTTCTGCGTGTTGAATTAAAATATGTTATTGTTTTTTGAGTTGCTTTCTCGTTATTGGTTAGAAATTTTATAATAAATGTACACGTTCTCTATTTTATTTTATATATGTATTTTTGTATTATATGTACTTTTACTATTTTTCACTTAGAAAAACGATATATTCCCAAAACTCATTAGAGAACTGCGATTCAAATAGTTATTGAAAAACGTTACATTCACAAAACTTGATTCAAATAATTATTACTGATAAATATTTGTCTTTAAGTTTTTTTCCATCGACAAAGAAAGTCATCTTGTCTATGAGTTTAAAGTCGTCCATACGTGAACGCACACGTGACTTGATCTTAAAGTAAAGTGTACATGTCATCACATTTTAGTTCTAAATACTGTATTTTTTATAATTTTCAGATTTCTCAATTTTTGTTGTTACTGCTCTCTGTGTCAATGGTCTATAATGGTAAAATTTACGTTGTTGGTGGTGGGTCTGGATTGAAATTGACTGATTCAGGATTGAAAGTGATAGATTCGGGATAAACCACCTCAATCGTTGGCTCTTGCAGTGGTGAATCCTCTACTCGCCTTTCGATCGTTTGGTGTACTGGAGGCGGTTGGGATGATAGCCCTGTTTGAGATGGTAAAGCTGTTTCAGATATTGGTTCTGGTGTCGACGCCACTGAAAAGCAGCATTCAAATATCTGTTTATGAAAAATGAAAAAAATGGTATAAATAATAAATATTAATAATAAATAACAATCATCGTAAAAAGAAATATTGTCACTTTTTATACGAACTTTGCAACGGAAATTTAGTTTTTCAAAACGAATAGTGTCATAATTACCTCGGTCCATTTGCAACAAAAATGAAAGGCCTTTTGAAAAGGAGTTTGTTCTTCCACGGGTTTAGATACCCAGCAGTCACTTTTGCATGCTCCCTCCTCGATTTTACAACAACATAAATCGCAAATTCCACAGCTGTGAGGAGAACTGAAATTGCAGTTATTACAATTTCCAAAGACTCCACAATCTCCGCCTACTCCACATTGTCCGAAGATTCCGCAATCTCCGCCTTCTCCACATTGTCCGAAGATTCCGCAATCTCCTTCGTCTTCACCACTACCGCTGTAAATACCACCACCACTGCTGTAAGCACCACCACCGCTGTAAGCACCACTACCGCTGTAAGCACCACCACCACTGCTGTAAGCATCACTACCGTTGTAAGCATCACAACCGCTGTTAGCACCTTCAAACCTTTTCCGCAAGCGATTAAGAGACAAGAACATAATTCACAGAGTGAAAAAGCACATTCGATAAAGTCACCATCTGCCATTATTTGAAATCAGTGGTAGCCTTTGTATACATAAAAACAATGTAATAAAATTAATTTTACTGAAGTTGTTTATGTTTTCGGTTGAATACAAACCTTTGAATATTTTACTTTAAAATCCGAGCAATAAAGAAATGTACCAAAATTGCGCTTATTACTGGTTTTGACTTTGTGACAAAAAGAACGGTTTGCAAGTGCGAGGGAATGCAATGTATGCAGACAAATTATTGAACTGTCGAGCATGACCGATTTATGTATATATGAAGGTCAAATTTCAGACGAACGAAAAGCTTTGGAAGAATTGCAGTCAGGACAACTTAAGCCCGCCGCACACTGGTGAACTTGCCGCGCGTACTTGTTATTCGTGACAAGTGTGATCGACAAAATTTCCTAGTGTGCGCGGAAGTTTTGAACAACATTTGTCATTCGTGTCAGATGAGTCAAATATCAAACGCGTTTCTTTCAATTCAGGGCCTTTTAATACATGTTTGACAATAACTGTATTTAATAATTTTATGTTTCATGAAACATTTTCAATGGACAGTTGTGCGTTTTATTCATAGTTTAAATTGCTAAGTCGTAATTTTTTGATGCGTCAGCCTAGCAAAAGAGCACCTATTGTGAAGTTTCAGGAAATGACTAAAGAAGACTTGCGTTAATGGAAATGGCTCTTGACAGGAAATGTATTGTACTTCGTCGACAATCAAGGCATTCCTCTGGCTAAAACAGAAAACTCAATATCGAAAATATCTTGCCTATTTGACTGACAACGGTGTGGCGTTCAGAAAATTAGCGATCTTCCAAATGTTTCCCTGAACATTATATTAATTCATGAAATAATTCAAACGGTTCCTCGGTAAGAAAAAACAAGTATAGCGCCCGCTAGAAAACATGATTCATCCAGTTGCATGTACATACCCTAATTTCACGATAAATGTCTAGATCTTCCAGCTTTCCGTCATACTATTTTTCATTGCATTTCTGTTTTAACTCTATTCGATGACAAAATAAGCACAGTGACTAGATAGTGTTTATTTTCTCATATTTATAGTCTGAGCAAACCAGACAAAGGAAATACAATTGTGACGTACGCCAGTGTGGGCAAATGCCAACCAATATTTGTAGTAAGAACCCAAATTTCTCAGTCAGTTGAATCACAAAGAAAAGTTGAATTCATGAGCATTGGACACACCTGAGATTAGCGTGGAATAAGATTTAGAAATTTAGTTCTATTCTTGCTTATCTTAACAAAATGCATGGCTTGCCGCTAAAATAAATGCTAATTTACATCAACAAAGTTGTTGTGATCAAATATAATACCACACTAACACATCTTTATATTGCAATGTATAAATGTTTCTCCCATTTTATTTGGACGAATTCTTCTATTATGGTAGTTGATTCTTGTAAGTTAGTTATACTATATAGTAACGTTATGTTGGTAATCATGATTTGCAAATTGATTAGGAGCTTTGGGTCGAAGCATTTTATTAATATCATTATAAGATTTTTTGACTTAATAACATTCTTATTTTTTCTTTGCACTAGTTCTTCTTATATTTGGTTATGACATGAAAAATGACCTTACTATGCAGTGGTAACAGATGGTGGTGGATCTGTATTTGAAATATCTGTCATTGGTTCCTCCTTCAATTGTTCATTATTTACTGTTCTATCGATTACTTGATGTACTGGAGGCTGCTGAGAGGGCAATCCTGTATGCAATGTTGGTTCTTGTGTTATTGCAAAACAACATTCAAATATCTGAATTTCAAAAAAAGCAAAACAGTGAACAAATGAATGTAAATAACAAGATAGTTCCATGTTTTAATTATAGATTTAGCCAGGCGATTATTGATTTTGGACCACAAATTGACACACAATAGAACGATAAAATAAGTAAGGATTTTCATTCTTAATCAATTACCTCAAAACATTCACAGCAAAAATGTAAAGTCTTTTGACAAGGAGTTAGTTCTTCAGGTATTGATTCCAAGAAATGGCACTTGAGTGCTCCATCCTCAAGTTTACAACATAATAAATTTTTTGGACAACAATTTAAGTCTTCCCACATACAATCACAACATTCACAGTTATTGCAGTCGCCACAATCACCGCAATCACCACAATCACCACAATTACCACAGTCACCACAGTCACAGTCTCCCATTTTCCAAGGAATCAATGTAGCAGTTCTTCACAAACACATAAGAAGAATGGAAGATAACAAAATCAATTTGTAAATATTGAAACATAGCACTCAATTAAACAGCAATGTCCACCTGTCAAAGGAGTCAGGTAATCCTTGAAGCTCATTATTGCAAACATTTTGAAATTAATAAATAAAAATTTATTACAGACACTAGAAAGCTTTCATTATAATGAAATATGCTGTTTTTAAATTTCTCTACATTACAAAATACAACAAATCAGACATAATATTTAGTGAAGGGGCAATTTTTCACGTTTGATGAAGACAGCTTACCAACTTATTAAATTACCTCGCTGTAATGTATGATTTGTCAAAAATTTGTATCGCTCACATTCTAACTCCGCGTCTAACGCAAATTTTTGGAGATGGACAAAGATTAGGTCCAATAGAAAGCTTAGTGACCTTCGTCATCCTATTCTAACGGAAAATCGTACCGCATAATGTTCTTTTATCACATAACTATCAACACAAAACAATTTTTTTAATTAATCAGATAATGATTCAAAGAATGATATCCATCATCTTCGAAAACTACGTCAAAGGAAAATACGTGTGCAAACATGAAATATGCTGTCGGACATGAAAATAAGCACGATTTGTGTCAGATTTACGTAGTTTCACACGTAAACATGTCTTATACACATACTTTTCATAGTCACATTCAACTTCCTAGATAACCAAGCTATCTGTCACCATCAGTGAGTGAAAATGATTAAATAAAACACAACAAACACACCAGAAAATGTGGTATGAGGAAATAGAGATGAGATACCCATTGGAGTGACCCTGCAGAGAGATGTATGGTGGCCTATGAGTGCCATAGTAATTTCTAGTGTTTCCACTCCATTATTGGTATTATTTCATTTCTATTATTTTACAATTATAGTTTTGTTTCAGTTTTGTTTTGTTTAATTATTTTTTTTAACAGTTCAATTATAGTTTTGTTTCAGTTTTGTTTTCTGAATCAAAAATAAATTGAATCAATCATATGCCATGGCCTATGAGTGCCATAGCCCACAATTCCCTGTAATTCTTACCTGATAAACCCTATATTTCCATATTACATGAAGTGGGCTCTATACTTTATAAATATGGCGGAACGCATAAGGAACTCTGATTGGGAAAATGATGAAACAAAACTATAATTGTAAAATAATAGAAATGAAATAATACCAATAATGGAGTGGAAACACTAGAAATTACAATGGCACTCATAGGCCACCCAGTGAACTCGACATTTGAATAACTGGAATGATAACCGAAGCCAAAAATTGAAGCCAAAAAAATATTTGTTGTCATCATTCGTCATCACACGTCAGGCTCTAGTCCTCGCGTGTTCATTTTATTTTTTTTTAAATCATTTGTTCCTTGGTAATGGTAGAGTTCGGATCTTGATCAGAGCGTAAAAATAACGAAATTTTTGGAATGAAAAGGTTCACGGAAAGTGAATCAAAGTGATAAATCGAGAAGCAAGATGAGGTGAACTTAGTCGATCTGCTCTTACGCTGCGGTTTTCCTTTAAAACATATCAAAGTCTTTGAGGATATTCAACTATTGATATCGAGATGACAAACATTTAGTATTTCAAGTTTCAAGCACTATCAAAATCGACTAAAAATACAATCGCTCTGTAAAAAGTAAAAATGCGAGTTTTAGACTCAATATTTTTTATGAAACTGATATTCTTTCTTTTTCTTCGGAAAACAGATCTTTAAATCCACTTAAATGACAAAAAAGACAAACACTGTCTGACACCGTTTGAAAATTTACCTTCGGACGAAAGAAAAGTTTATGCTTGAATATTTTCTCGTCATATTTTCTATTGTATTGTCTTTTAGCATACAGTGTAATTTTCATTTGGCTTTTCCTCGTTACAAGTTGTAAGTTACAACGAACTCACTGTAGTAAAGTTTCAGCTGTAAAAATAACCTTTTGAGGAGTTGGCCTCGTGTGTTGTTTGTCGTGATGTTGTTTATATGTTTATGCTTTCGCAATTTGTATTCAAATTTATATTGGCCGTGTATGTTTGGCACTCAGGGGAATGAAACTGACGTACAAACCGCGTGAATATTCGACTTTGAAGGACGGGAACTGACGTACAAACCGCGCAAGAGACTAGGATTTTGGCTTCAATTTTATATCTATAAAATGTATTGTCGTTATCATTCCAGATATATATATATATGGAGTTCACTGAGGCCACCATAGAGATGTCAGAATTTACAGTAACCTGAGAGTTACCTTCCTGTGATGTTGGTTTCTCATGGTGCTTCCACTTTCGTTAACTATCAAATTTTGCATGCAAAAATTACATTACTGCTGCAGTCGTTATGAATTAAACATTTAACAATGTCTAGTGGACTTAAGATTCTTTAGTTTTTTTTCAGTCTTAAAGAGTAACAGAGGTGACTTCTTTGTTGGCGGCTGCTTGCTTGCTTTCGTCGTACTATTTACCATTAGCGAGTGCTGACTGTCAAAGATGAAATGAATAGACAAAAGATATAAACAAGAGGAATAAATGGCGAAGGAAGTAGATTGTACCAATGCTTCCCGTCCTGTTTGGCTGGTCAAAGTAAGTTGTCTGACAATTTGCTCTTGCTCCAATTTATAACTTTCAAAGATATAAAAAGCTTATGCGTTCTTCGTCCTTTGATGAGAGGGGCAGACTGTTTGCATGTTTAAAAGTCAAAATGGAGAGTAATTTAAATGGTTTTTAAGGTACTAACTAGCTAGAATTGTTTTCACTCTGACTCTGTTTTACGTCTATGTTGCTGTTAATTTGTCTCCCATCTTCATTAATATGACTGGATTACTTAATTTGTTTGAGTAGAATTTGGGCAGCTTTACATTTCATATAGTCAACTGTCTGACCATGGTAATTTTAGTTTGTTGATCAATATTATTTCTTTAGGTTCCAAAGTATTTAGCTGCTGTATTCAACAATGCAGATGAGTCAGGATCAGTTGGAACACTTTATATAAATAAGTAGGCATTATACTACAATAAAGACCGATTGATTTCTTGAAACTTAAATGCAAACAGCAGATAGCCAGTTTTTAAATACTCATGCTTATTTATTATCTATCAAACAGGAATCCTAAAGACAAAGAGGTGAAATCATTGGGAATTTTCTTGATTTTCTTGCTTGCTTGATCTTATTGATCTTATTTTCTTCAATCATTTTTTAAATTCTACCGTGTATCTCAGGACAAATCATTTACATGAACCTAAATATTCTGCTCTCTTTAGGTTGTATTTCAACTGACTGAGAATCTTGCACAGTCAAGCTCTGACAATACACCTAATGAATATAAATTAAATTTATTGGAAGAAGAACAAAGCAGAGCTGTTATCTTAGAAAAAGTAAAAACAGGTACTACAGTATTAGTAAACATTTCTTCTTTGAAATATGCAAATATAGTCTGAAATATCTAATCTAAATTATCATTATTAATGTGGATATTTAATTATAATAACAGTCCACTTTATATTTTGACTGTTAATTGAACATCCATGTCTATTACTACATGTGTTAAGCCAATTTCTATTACATTCTTCATTGCAAATAGCCAATATATCCACTTAACTCAGCATCATCATTCATTGCCAGTTGTTTTATTTATGGCATGCCAATTTTTTCAAAATTTCATGTTATAATCTTTATTTTGTAATGGAACAGGTTAATTCTGTTTTGTATTATATAAATTGCAATGGTACCTGGGTACTAACTTGATGTAATAACATTATTTATCATTGTTTTTGTGGAATTTGTGCTTTCAGTCAAACCTGCTATTTACGTACAATGTTGTTATTCAAGATACAGGTGATGATAAAATGGCAGGTGTTGATGATGATGAAGAAAAACAAAAAGGTTTGAATTAGTTTACAATAATATAATTTATTATACACTAAATGTAAATAAACACAGACTTTTTTAGGTTATGTTTTGGTAATCTTATGCCATCATCTGTGCAAAAAAACAAGCTATAGGTGTTGTATGAATTTTATGTATGATATTTTAATTAGCTGTTATTATCTATTATTTAATTATTTATAAGCAAATTCACCACGTTAATATAATTTATATTCAATGTTCTATCGATTTACATATTGTCTGTTTTCAATGATATTTTATATTAAATATTTTAAATAACTTAAACTCTACATTCATCTTTATCAAAATATCATATTTATAGTGTACAACACTTATGTAACCTAGCTCATTTGCTTGCCCTGAAAATGACATAAGATTGCTGAAACATGTTTGCATTAAAAAGTTTGTTTTTACTTTCAGTTTATAATGGAAATAAATTATGACAAATGAATTTTCCTTTGAGAATTTGTTTATTTACACCTTTGCACTATATATTTGTAATTTGATATGGCCAGTTGATCTGCAGGATGATGTAGAAGTCTAGGAGAGTAATCTAACTTAAGCCATGTTAAATGTTTTTGTATTTCATCAGTTGATACATATCTGGAAGGTATTGTTGCAAAGCGAGGAGACTTCAGAGCTACTCATACCCCACAATATATGAATTTGAAAAGGTTTTAACGTTTTATTTAAATCTTTAAACCATTCTACTGTAATGAGTGTAATTTCCTATTTAACAAATGCTTCATTATTCTGTTTTAGAAATAGCATTCTTTCAGCCATAGCACCATCACGTAAAGTTCAACAACTTCAGAATGTTGTTTCAAATGTATACAAACCTATTTCACAACACAAGCCTGATGTATGTGTACTCTGACTACTTAATTTGGTTTGATTACTGGCTTACAAATAATGGGTATCCACATAATTATTTAAAACACTGATTTTTTGTTTAAGGAGGAACATGAAAAGAGGAAAAAACAAGAAGGCAAAAGAGCAAGGGCTGACAAAGATTATGTTCTGGAACTTTTATTCAAAGCATTTGAAAGACATCAGTATTATTACATGAAAGACCTGATCAAGATCACTCAGCAACCTTTGGTATGTTGATATGTTCAATCTTATACATTTGCTTGTCATAAGTAACTTGATGAACATCTTAAAGATGAACATCGTAAAGACCTATTGTTTTTTGTTATCACTGTATTATCAATGAAAATGAAGCCTATAAATTTTTCTCATCTGGTTTTTTGTTTACTTTACCTTTTGGAAATTAAATATAAATGCAGTTTGAACATTTCCTCTACTTTACAATTGTAAATACTGATTGAAAGGAGGGGCAAATCTACACTCATCTGACATTTTTCTTTATTGAATGAATTTTTTTTTCAAATATTTTAGGACCATTTAAAAGAAATTTTGAAGAGCATATGTATATATAACACAAAAAACCCTCACAAAAATATGTGGGAATTAAAACCCGAATATAGACATTATGATGAGAAAGAAACAACAATTGAATGAAGTCTTAATGTGCTGCCTTAGTGGAGTGCAGCTATGATCACTATGTCTCAAGCAAACAATTTTTACATACTAAATATGAAAAGTAAATAGTTCTTGATTGTTCCTTAACTGTATAAGTTTAACCCTTTTACTCACGAAGACACACACATATATAGTATATATAGTTTAAAAATAAAAGTTTCTTCGGATTTTATAAATAATTTAATTGAGCTTTCGACTTGGTGCTTCAAGCTTTTTTCAAATGAAGAAGTTATTTATTTACAGTTGCTTTTAGCTTGTAGAGGCTTAGAGCATCTAATTGGATTAGCGGGTGGATTAATGTGATTGGATGGGTGAAATGCATTGCCGTGGGTTTTGGTGTATTGTGGATGTGATTGGTGTTGATATTATTAGAGTGTGTTGTTGTAGTCTTGTATATATACATCCGCTTTGTAACTCTTTGTAATAATTCAGAACCCAAGGACATGCATACTGTGGAAAATATATATTAGGCTATTTGGGAAAAAAACTTGGCAGTCATTGGTGTCGTTGGTGCTAATGAAAGGCTACAATACGAAATACAGTATAGTGAGAACAATTATTTAAGCTTCTCTACTGACTGCAATTATTGATGATTCAATACAATTGTTCAATTTTCTGAGTTTTATGACTTGTAATTTCGAAATTTCCTTAGTTGAGACCTTCCTTCAATGGAACTTTTCCTCCATGCCATTTTTTCAATATTTTCATCTCCAGTAATACTGGATTTCTTTTCTACATAACCATACACAAATACATGTCATATTTCTGGTAATTAATTTACTTCATCTGCAATGCCACACATTCAGGAGAGTGGATTTTTACACCCCCACCCTACCCCCACTATTTAAAAAAAATATTAAGAAAAATTCAGTGCAGAATGTGATAGAGGACAAATCAACAAGTTCTGCTAAGAAAAGAAAGTGTAATACAAAAGTTAGATCAAACAAGTAGAGCACCATCAAATTTCTGGAGGATGTGTGCACGATAAAATAAATGTAAAATTATTCTTACTTCCATTTTTAACTATTATGAACCAACTGATTTAGCAATAATATTCACCTTCATTATGATCAGGTCCAATCATGTGTTGTTTATGAGGTTCTTGAGCCCAATGCATGGTCATATGATTTGATTTTAACTTAGAAAGCCAAAAATCAAAGGATACATCTAACCCAGAATGCCTCCAATTGTCATAATACTTTCTTTTTTGGTCATCACATAAAATTTCTTTTGCTTTTGTCAATCTAAGATTTCAGAGGCAATTTTAGTTTACTAAGAAACATTTCAAGAAGGATAAGTAAAAAATAACGTACGTAATAAATTTCTCTGTTGCATCCCTATTCCCACTTTCAGGAATTTTATCCGGATGTAGAGCTCTTGCTCTGATTTTATACTCAGCTATGATTTGCTCCTGGCTTGACAGTTCATCACAGCCTAAAATCTCATACAGGTCTGTTTCCTCACGATTTGTAGTCATTTATACATCTAAACAATAAAATATTTGAATTATGATTTATTGAAAATGTGTTTTATTGACTATTGGCGATTTAATCTCTTAATTCTTATTTATCATATTTTACAATTTAGTGATTTTACACTTATTACGCCAGTGTTTTACACATTAATATTTTTAGATACTTGAGCGACCTAGCCTGCTGCGACGACCTGGTAACCACACCACACTTAAGAAACCTAAAATGACGAAATGTCAAATTGTGAATGAATATTTAAAATTTTATGGACGAAAAAACGTACTGCTTGAAAACCTTTTTTATGATATGACAGACTGTCAAACTTCAACTGGCTCTTCTACACTAACAGAAGCTGTAGAAGAGCAAAACCAGGTATTTTGGTCTGAACTATCTGTATGAGATTATTATTCTTGTTGGTAAATCGTAGTCAATGTTGATAAAGAAAGAAGTCGTTCAACGTGAAATCTCTTTCAGGAATCTTCACCAATGGTGTTGAAATTGAGAAAACCAAAACCTAAGAAGAAAGTACAGTGGAAGCCGGATACTGTTGATAATGAATTTATGGATAAAAAGTCTTCAAAATGTAAGTGAACAAAGTGTTATCATTGACATGTTAATATGTATTTTTTCCACAATTTTAAGAGAACTCAGCCTGGTTTTATACAGAGAAGGAATGTGTACTCTGTTTATCCTGCTTAACAAGCTAGGCTTTTATCTATTTTGTTAACAAATAACATTAATATGTTTATATAATGCAACCTAAACTTCTTCCTTATCAATGGCAAAACTTTCCTGATTATGGTCCAGCTATACAACTGTTTTTTTTTGTTAATTTACTAGAAAAACTAGGAAAAATATTAAGGAATTCGTTAATAGTTTAGTATAGCAGAAATAACAATTTGGACTAGTTTCACAACTCCTACTTTTCTGACATTTTTCTAAAAATTTCACAGAATTGTGTTTATCACAAGGTAAAGATCAGTTCTGATTTAAAAAATGTTTAAAAACCTATTAAACTCCATTGTAATGTCTGTTTTTGAATATTTGACAATTTTTACAACCATTTTTTTGTGTAGTATGATTGTCAATGATTTGGTGCTCAATAAAATACTCTTCATAAGCACATTGTATTGGATAAGGGCCATTGAAGGCAACATTACAAATAATTTGGAAAATAAATTGAAATTACTGCTAGCTATGACAGCAATTGCATGAAATTCCATCGTTTATTGACTAATGTTTTTATAGGTTGTTGTGTGTATGAAAAACCTAGGGCATTTGGGGAATCATCTTCAGAAAGTGAATCAGAAAATGAAAATGAAGGTCATAGTAATGCATACTGTCCTGGTCATAATAAAAAGCATAAACATAAACATAAAGTTGACAACCATCATTGTGACAAATGTTAGTTGACTTGAGGTTGTAAAAATGAACGAGTTGTTTTATCTGTAAAATTATCCATCACAGAGTAAAAGAATTCTTCATCATCGACATTTTCTTGTGATGTTTGAACCTTTAATGTAACTACGTGCTATTATGAACTTAATTAGTTTCATCATCTTTTATTTTCTGTACGTAAATATGAGCAAACTTTCATAGAACCTTAATTTTACCATGATCCAAGTAATTGCATTGGCATTTTTATATAGAAGAGATTTCTTTAGACTGAAATTGTATTAATTTTATATAGCTTTCAACTTTGTGCTTTGAGTCTTTTTCAGCAGAAGTAAGAATAAATATTCAATTTCAAGGATTTTCGTTTTGTAGACGTTTGGAGCGTCTGATTGGTTGTTTATGATATGGATGATAGAAAAAAACAAAAGTCCTTATGAATAAACATTGTAATTTATTATTTTAGGAGCACCAATTTAAAAGCCCAATAAATTTAATGATTTCAGTGCAGAGAAATCTCTAGTGTTACATATTATATAATTTGTATTATTTATACTACATAAGTATGTGCCCTCTCGTTTATCAACCGGATGAACGCTTGTAATATGTTGGAATTGTATGGTAAAGTCACCATAAGATTTAAACTTTGTACTGGTGAGTACAAAGTGATTCGTGAAAAAATAAATGGAGTAAATTGCAAGCGGGCTGGAATCTTTTTAACGGGATCATGTACAAAATTACCGAGATAATAATTATCGAAATTACCGGGTAAATAATGACCAAATGACGATGTATAGTGGATTGCTCCGTCATTGCAACTTGTTATTCAACGATAACATTTTATATATCTTCACTTATGCTAAACCAGTAATTGCACCTAACAAGATTACTTAATTAGTCTATTTTCAATTTTTTGCAAGCGTTCAGCTTTTGTGTTCAGATCTTAGTCAGATAAAGTGAAAAGCACTGGTACACAGCCAATAATTTTGAATCTTTCTAAAAACTAAAAAATTGTCATAATATGGAATCTATCATTAAAGATGGACAAGTGAGATAATCATAGAACCAGTAACAATCACTCTTGTCTTCGTTTTAACAAATTATTAAATTTTTAAGGTGTGAAAGTTAAAAGTGTAAAGACAGATATTTTAATGAAAACATTAGTGGGTTCATATAATAACATTCATACTTAGGCTATTTCAATATATTTTACGAAAGTAGTGACACACAGTGTCAAATGTTTGCTCTGAAAGTTTTTTGCTTATGCAACATTTTTCAACGTGGTATTTTATATAGTTTTGGAAGTTAGACTTTTGAAGAATGAATGTATAAAGTAGCTACTTCATTGTATTATCATACATTGTAATTGGAAGTTACTTCATGATCATTATCAAACTTTTGCTTCTTAGATTTACATGCATGGATTTCAATAATTCACACATAGCTATAGATAAGAAATTCAAATTGCAGAGAGTCAGAGACAAAAATTGTTTAATAGAACCAACATTTTGTACAATTGTACATGTTTTTTTTATCATAAATAATCATTTGCTGGGATTACCACGTAAAAAGTTGTTATTTAAAATAATCACACAGGTGTAAAACATCGACGTTGAAGACAGGGATATGACTGATATCGTGTTTAAATTTTAAAAAACAGATGTGCTGAGAACATGATTGTAAAAAACCGAGGTGTTAAAGACATGCATGACATGGTCGTGACAAAATGGGTGTAAAAAATCGTCGTTGTCATGGATATTCCAAGGCTACGTAAGCAAAAGCTCAAACTTCGGTTCAAACTTCAAACAGTCGAAAAGCGGATGAAATACATTTTCAGTGATGATTGATGACTATTATAGAATGTTCACGAGACGAAATCCATGGAAACCTAGTTTCATATCCTATTTTCACAATATATAACACCTTATAAGTGAAATAAGATTTTTCGAGGTTTTGTTATGATATTGACTTTTCTTCATTTTAAAGGGATTAAGTTGAGGAAAAGACACCGACGCTAATTCCCTTCCTTGGAATAAGTTAAAAATGTAAAAAAATTACACAAAGTTATGCTCTCAAAGTTGTTTGCTAAATAGAAAAGAAAACGAGCTAAATGCAGGTTAAGGTGCTATCACAAGACGTATATCAACGTTATCTGACAACAAAATATTGCATATGATCACAATTTCTAAAGAAAGGCTGGCAATCAGTAAAAGTGAATGGTTGTTGAATTGCGTTTTAATTCACGTACAGTACGATTTTTGGATTTGACGAAATTAGTAAATTTTACTAAGCAATAAATTTAAACAGCAAACACCTGACAATTGTTTGCACTATATTATGTGTTATCTAAAACTTAATTTCCTTGATGCCAAGTGCAAAAAGTAGATTAACCCACTTTTAGAACACAAGCGGCACTAATACATTTTTGTTATGTAACAGAATTTTGCTCATTATTAAAGATATTTCTTTGTTCACATCAAGATGTCATCAAAGTTATTTGATATGGACCTTTTATGTTTTATTTTTGCCATGATTGTTGTTTGTTTTTAAAATGAAAACATCTTACCTTTTAAGAAGATCATGCATAGTTGACATTAAAAGCTAGAGAATGTTCTATTCAGGATAGTAATTCATAATTTCCAAAGCGGCAATTTTTTCATTGAGAAGGAAACGCTGTGAATTAATCACCAAGTTACTGGAAGATATCATCTTATATCAATGCGAACTGCTGTGAAAATCAAAAGACATATACCAAGCCCTGTGCCAAATTGTTACTTTTTCAGATTAAAGGGGTGAATCTCCCTAATGACGGTAAACAAATAAAGAATACATAAAAACAGCTGCGGGAATAATGTGATTATAATAAAATATTGCTTGTCTGGCTTGTAAACTCAAGTAAGACAAACCGAAATAACCGGAGAGTGTTCGAAAGTACTCTAGTTTTTGTGAAAACACATAGCAAAGTTATTTAAACGTTGCGAATGTTGGAATATTTTCTCAAACTTTGTTTTGGGATGATTACGGATGGAAATGGATTGCGAAGACTGTGAATAGCTTGACCTGTAAGGTTAATATATGAAAACATTTTACAGTGACAACAATTTAATTGAAAATTACAGAAGTAATTTTGCGCATGTATATACAGTTAATGACGTATTAAACATTTTGCGTCTACCATACATGGCTCGTGAAGGTTTGTCCTGAATGAAACTCTATCCACATCTTTAGGTCTTTAAAAGATATAAAACATATTTTACATCATTGAAATGTATTAAGTTGTTTTGCTTCTATAACAACATTCTGTAAATTTTGTATTTACGTAAAAGCAATCAATGGTGATATTTTTCCAAATGAGATGGTTTCTTCTTTACATCAGATAATGAGTATATTTACTGTACTTTTTGCAACACCTTATATTTCTTTAAAATATTTGTCTATCAGGTGTTGAAAATTAAAATGTGTAAAAACCACTGGTGAAAACCACCAACTAAATTAACTTCTAGAATTATTAACATTTTTCAATATAATCATATTACTGTGTGTTGAAAAGTTTCACATTGCAGTCATTTTTAGTCGTGCTTTAATAAAATATTATTTTGTTGAACAATGTACCGGTTATAAAGTTAAACTAAGCGATTATAATCAGTATGAATCCTAATTAGGAAGTTGATGATTTCTTAAATTTCCATTGAATGAAACAATATATGTTTCCCGGTCAACTAAACTGGACAGCTGCTGCAGCAAGTGCGTCAAGAATATCAATTGGTCGCTAGTTGATACGTGAGCGTCCACTTCCTGTGGAAGAAAAGAATTCAAATGTAAAGAGATGATAGATGGCTGACAGATAAATTAACCACACGTAGTAATCCACTGTTCAGTCCAGTTGTCAATTGCTCACAAACATTGTCTTGGCTTTTGACCCAGCAAACGTAGAAGCGCAATTGATTTTAATCGCAGACGAACGATCTGAATCGTAATTTACCAAGAAATTTGGAAATATTTATGCTTTCACACCATCCAGTCTTTTCTATCTCATACACTAACCTGTTTCGAAAAGGTAAGTTCGTAAATTTCGTAAGACATTCAAGCTCTAATGTCATGTATTTTTTTGACATGACTTTTGCAACTGATTCTTTCATTGTAACAATGAAGCTGTATTTAAGCAAATTTGCCAGTAAAAGCTACGATAATGTTATATAGCACTAACGAAAGGCATGTGCTATAGACATCTGATTAATATAATCTTCATATTTATTTCAAGGACCTTTGTTTTTCTTCCATAGTTATTTTTGAAAAGTTGACCAGAGTGATATCTATAACATTATACTCTTTATACAAAAGATGTGGTTGAACAAGTTGACGAGATTTTTAACGCTTGGCATTGTTATGCAACTTTGGTGGATAAAATGCAACGCAACAATCCTTCAAACAGAGCCAAGTAAGTAGTTATGTCAGAATAAAATGCATTCGTTAAAAGAAGCGAGTAGTTATTCATTTGTGCAAAATTATGTTTCAAACATAATTTAAAAGACGCAATATTTAACAACACATATGTTTGCGGATTAAGTGTCAAGTAAATGACGTCCGTTTTTAATTTTGAGTTTCCTGGGATTCTGTCTGTTTCTTTGTGCGATTTATCTAATATATTTACACAAAATTAATGAGCCCCACAAGATATAATACATTCAATGCATTTTTTGTCAAAATCATACGATATAAGAATCATCAATTACCCAGCTCTCAAAAAACTACCGCGTGTTGTCTAACATAAACATTTCACTATGGTCAATTGATAATCCCGGTTTGATTAAATTTCACAATGCTGTTATTACCAACAGAAGCTAGTAAAACCATTATTGTGATGACATTACAGTCGTATCGAATAACAACAGTTCTGTTTTGTTTATAATCATATTCTTTAAAGAGATGATTTTAAAACGATTTTTTTGCAAAAAATACCAATGTAAAGAAATTGAAACATCTAGTATGTAATTCTTTTTTATTGATACGTTACGAAGATTGATTAAACTGTATGTGTTCATAATGGTATCTGCCCTCAAGCCGTGATCATTTTCCTGATGCTTAAGTTCATTTTACATTTAACAGTGTGGACTTCCTTTTCCGTTATTATGGGAAGATCAACAAATAAAAATCTCAGGATGATTCTATTTTTCATATCTAAGCATAGAAAATATATTTTTCTTAGTGTAACGTAAAATATTATCATTTTACATGTGTCAACTATGTTGCATTCATAATTTCACTTCATGCCCTTGAATATTGCAGATTATAAGTTCAATATAATTTGCGAATACCATTTATTGTAATGAAAACTTATATTTATTTGATATACTGGCTTTTCTCGATAAAAGATGATAAAATATCCAAATTCTTACATGTTTTTCTTTGCATGCGTCATCAAACGTCCTTGGTGTTAACAGCACTTGAATAGAAATATCTTATATAATCAATTATCGAGTGTTTCCTTCATAAATGCTTTTTCAAGATGGAAAAACAAAGTGCTATAGAGAATTAATCAAACAACTCAAGACAATGCACATATAGTTGATAACATATTAAATGATTTGAGATGTGTATTACATGGGACCTTAAATTGTACAAAATCAATGCTAAATTGAAGTATTTTTGCCTCGAGCGTGTTAATTTTTCTGTACTTCAAGAATGCTGCAGTTTTAATATTTTTTTTAATTTCGTTTTTTTTAAATTAGTTGTGTTTAAAAATCAATTAATCCTCGTCTCAGATGCTCAATTTCTATCGCACGGCAAATATTTAAGTTTGATATAACATTGCGAAATGTTTTTTTAATGCTACAGCTTTGTTTATGTTGAAACTGAAATCATCTCACCGAGAACATTTTTGTTTTGAGAATCACCATACAAATTTGGCATGAAAACATAAAATATGCCATACAATGAACGGGTGTTTTAACATCAAAGCACTTTTGATTTTGATAATAGTTAATAGATTTGAGCCACGCTGATTTCGGTGTCCGAAATTTTACCATTTCTATCAACAAAGGCTTCACAGTTTACTCCTCAACTGCTGTGGTGATGAGCTAAAGAATAAATCAACAAATTACTTCAAGATGGCAAAAATTCCACTTTTCTGAGTCACTTCGTATTCATTCATGTATCTATTGTGCCATTGAACTAATATATAATGAGACTTTAGATATTATACAAGCTGCAAGGGAGCATAATTACCATGCTGTTAGGTTCAAATTATGTTTCAATTGACCATACCATAAGTTTTGCCGACTAATTTTAAATATGCGTATGATAAACATTTCGTTTGGATAAAATTTGTATAATTCGATTTCTAGACAATATGACGACTTGTTTAGTGTAAGATTTCATTTCGAGCTTCAATATCTGACATAATTTGGCCATATGATCTCTTTAACACATTAAAGTAAATTAATTTGTGACTGGTGATTGTTTATGTGAATGTTAGCATTACGCGAAACTGAATAATTTTACAGAATTTTTACCAGGACTGTATATCTCTGGAACATAAAAGAGAATATTGTCATTATCTCCATGATCAAAATTAATCAAAATGGCAAAATGATTGATCAGTTTATCTTTAAAACAATGCAATTGACGCACATAGTTTAGCTATTTACTTTCTTTCGATGCATTCCCAGTTTATTCACTCTGTAGAGAAAATTTCAATTTTTTTAACAAATATACTCTCTATCACACATACACAAATATACACACAATAAAGCCTTATAAAAAACTTTTTTACGAATACAATATTGTTTTGCTGTAATTTCATAATTATTTCGTTTTTTGTATAGGCTTGTTTGAGGGTGACATTGTCTTTGATCAAAATATAAAAAAGCTTATTCTATCGAACAATGTACGATTTCGTCGCAAAAGAAATGTTGTTGCAAACAAAGTCAAACTTTGGCCAGATGGTGTAATACCGTACATTATTGATGATACTGTCGGTACGATTTATAAAATGTTTCATCCTCACGTTTAAATGAGTATAAATTAATGGTCAAGGTTGAATCATTTGTTAAAGATACCCCTGTGAGAAAAAGAATTCGAAGAGCATTTCGACATATTTCCAAAAGATCCTGTATCAGTTTTATACCAAGAATGGAAAAACACAAGGACTATATCACGATAAAAAGTGGAGTCGGGTGAGGGTTATTTTTGGAAAATATATATGAAAAAAATAGGAGATAAAATCGATTGAAATATGTGAGCATTATCTTTGATGACTTGATAGACTAAAAAAACATGTCTGTTAGCATGGTTATAGCTACCGACATTTCTGGCGAAATGTTTTTATTGTATAAATTATTTTTTAACAGGTGCTATTCTTCGATTGGCAGGCAAGGTGGTGGTCAACTATTATCAATTGTACGTGGTTGTGAATATGGGGCAATACATGAAGTAATGCATGCATTGGGGTTCTTTCATGAACAATCAAGACCAGATCGTGATTTCTATGTGAAGATAAACTGGTGGAATATTCAAGGAGGTTGGTGTAAAGTTTCGTTGACTTTTAAAACGTTTGGCATGATGAATCCTTGAGATGTGTTTTGGGTTAGATTAGGGAAGCCGTTGAAAGCGGTTGGTCAACTGAAACATATTTTTTTAAAAGGGTTAGATGGGTGATCCAATCTAAGTATATGCTTTGTCTTGTGAAAAGAAATGATCTAAATTTACGGCATGTCTTGACTTTTTCACTTTTTGCTAAATATTTCCAGTTCACTGAGTTCAGACCAGTTTTTAGCGCAAAAACAGTCAATCTGGAGCTAAAATTTTGTCTATAAAACTGTTAATTATTTTTTGTGCATGATGAAATGATCTCATCATTGAGATACTTGATATAAGTAAAAATAAGAATTCGTTTAATCAACATATGCAATAATAATTTGCATTTTGTTCCTGCAGGAATGGAAAGAAATTTTAATAAATACTCAAATGGTGTTACTGATACACTTAATAAACCATACGATTTAAAGAGTATAATGCATTATGGGAACAAAGCTTTCAGCAAAAATGGTCGTGATACTATAGTTTCACGAAAACATCCTGGATACAAATTGGGCGTTTCCAAAGAAAGGCTTTCTACTGCAGACGCTTATCAACTCAATCAACTCTATAAATGTTCTTCAAGGACAAGAAGAACGAGAATGAGTAGTCGTAAGTTAAATTCTATGCTTAGATGTTTAGATTTTAGAACTTTATGGCTCAATTTACTCATATTTTTAATTGCTACCTAGTACATTGACAAGTTTTGTTAATTTTTCATTACTTTAGGTTTTTGTAAAAATATTATTCCGGGTTGTTACTACTATTCTGTGGAAAGTGATTCTTGCGAATTTAACTATGATTTTATGAAGCACTATTGCAGAAGATCCTGTGGATTTTGTTGGTTAGAAACTGATATTTTCATTGATAGCTAACTTCAATTTTTCATTCAGTTATAATTTTCCTATTCTTTCACTTGCCATTCAACTCATACACTGACGTGCAATCAGTTACAACAATCGATAATGACAAATAGTTAATATATTTTGAGTTCATCTAAACATTAATTATGTGAAAATTTAGACACTTTATGTTTTTTGTATTTTAACTTTCTTTTCTTGTATTTTTTAGATCAACATAGCAGTTCAACAGATATTTATACCGTACGTACATAACCCATGGAAACAGTTACAATAATAAAGTGTATTGTGCAGACCATTTGAACTGTTATAAAGAAAGTTGGCTTGTTTTCCCGTTTCAACTCGGGACCAATATGAAATGCTTGATGTGTACATCAACTTAACACACATTTGAGTGATCAATTTCTGTTAGATGACAGAAATTAATTCAACTTTTTCTAAATTAATTAATCTTAACTAATCCCCTGATACTGTAAAACTTATGCTTAATAATTATAGATCTAGCTATGTAACATTACACTAACTATAAGGATAAAAGTATATTATAGTCTTTGTATCAAAGTATTTGTACCAACATTTTTGGTTTTTAATTATTACATTTGTTTTTATATCAGTCTAAGGAGTATCCAACTTTTTTTATTATAACGATTTGAATCAAATATCAAATTCTATTTTTTATTAACTATACGCACGTGTTCCGTTTTATTCCGTCTGTTCTCCGTGCGAAATAAACCTGACTGTTAGTTAGCCATATATAGACCAACATAGATGAACAATCGACATTTTTTAAGTATAAACTAAATGAATTATTTTTGCTAAATATTGTTTCACACAGCTATAGTAATTCATGACTAATCGCATTAGAATTTCACACTGCAAGTCATCAAATGTATCAAATAATTGCATTAGAATTTCACACTGCAAGTCATCAAATGTATCAAATAATTGCATTAGAATTTCACACTGCAAGTCATCAAATGTATCAAATAATTGCATTAGAATTTCACACTGCAAATCATCAAATGTATGAAATAAATGCATTAGAATTTTTTGTGCTAAATTTATTATTTATGATTTGAAGTACAGCTTTAATCTTTTATTGAGTGTTACATCCTTATCAGACGTTAAATAAGAAGTTTCGGTGTACAACAGCAGATTAATGAGCTGCCAATGTTTGATCTTATAAGATTGATGATTTTTCTTTGTCTCATTGGTGTTTTTGATCAGCTCTATTTCATTTGTCCACATATATTATATGGAATTATAGGAGATTATGTTTACACATGTATGCATTTATAACTGCATTACGGTCAAATGGAAGGTTTATAAAATTTAACGTTAGGAAAGTATGTGCTTTGTTGTGAGATGAATGACTCATGACATTTCCTTTTTTTTATGATCTGGATGGTTTGAGGAATGTTTACAAACATGGGGGAAAACATGATACAAACTGCTGTGTCTGTTATTGCAACCTTCACTATGGCAGTCGTGCTCTCACTGCGGTACTTCAATGCATATGAAAATATCTAACGTTTTCATGAATCAAGAAGTTCTGTTCTGTTTTTCTCCTTTTCTACGTTTTTCCCCTTTTACCCTAAAATGAGCCAGAAAGAATGTCATTAAAGTAAAATGTAGCTCCAAATGCTTCCTCGTTTAAATCTCAACGGTTTTCAAGGTGAAAAGCAGTTTTTATAAATAAGTGGAGCAATGATTGGAATGTTGAATCTGATTTTAAACATAAACGATTATAAATGCACTTTAAAGAACCAACAACTTCGATAGCTTCTAAGCTTCAACAAAACAGCTATAAACGGGACTTTAGTTTCAGTTACAATTTCGTCCTTGTAAATAGGCAAGAAAAATAGATCAATTTACGGTAGAATGAAAAAGTAACACCTCTCCGTCGTAAAAGATTTTTAATGCCAAGAGCGAGTCACCTTAAACAATAACTGCTAGAAAGAAACGGTGAAACACGCTTCTTCAATTCTTCAATGACAAATTTTTCACTTGCAACCAATCTCTAGGGAATTACGAAAACAATAACGTTCGCCCACGCCGACTAGCGCCCTCAATAACATTAATAAATATTTGTTCGTAGCTATAAGACCTTCAACATGGCTGACATGAGAAACAAGATTTCATCTACGATCACATAAGAAATTTGAAGAAGAAGATGAACAGAAGTACAGAATAATCAAAAAGTGGTAAGCTAGTAAACATTCATTAGGCAACATTTCTTTATAAAATAAAATTTTGTTTGAAATTAAATTGAGTTTAACAGGATTGTATTTTCAAATGACAAGTAGTAGCATGTTTTACATTATGCACCGCTCTTTGTACATCCTTTATGTGTGATCTAACAGATATTTATGGGTTACCTAAAAAGAGAAACTATAATCGTAAAATAATTGGGTGAAATTTGTTGTTCGTAAATGATCTTGTGCCTCAGTTGTAGCATTGAGACAAAAAGTGGGTTCAATTTGTTGAGTTAAGATGCTGCATTTTGAAATATCTTTCACAGATGTATTGTACAGCTCGTTTGCGAAAGATATATTTCATCTTCATAACTAATCTTGTCAAGATTTTCACCAGCCATCTTAAATGATTTATGAATAACAATTTGCAAGATTGAATAAGAAAGCAAAATTATTGGATGCAGAAGCATTCCACTTCTCAGTAAAAGAATGCAGGCTTTTTGTGTTGAAAGAATTGACGGACATACAAGTTGATAATTTGCATTTTTCTTTATGCTTAAGAAGTCGTGTTTCCTCATTTACTTCAAAATGAGAACAATTAAGCGTGTCCTTAAAGAGGTTACTCAGCAAAATAGCATGACAATGATGAATGAATTAGAGAAAATGATTATATATTTCTCAAGTAACGCCCCTTTTTACGCACTAAACTAAAACAGCCATTTCGTCACTTTAATGTGCTATAACAAACGAAGCAGTAATATTTAGTCAAAAATTGAAATGTTTTTGGCAAATCAAATCATGTATGATTGAATACTTCATGCATGTTATGAATGCAAAAATAGATCTTTATACAAAGAGACAATTATAAATTGCTGTCGGAAACAAAAACATTCTTTTGTATTGCTCAATGCTATCTCATGACCACTGTGCCTGCGTGCATTGTTATAATAAGAATTACAATCATCATATATTTTTAAATGTCTCTGTGATTCAGTAAACTAATGAGAATATTTTGGTAAGCGGATGTCAAGATGATTTTGATTTCTGAATAAAAACCGTTCAATATCATATTGTCAGTATCTTCTAAAGCAAATGCTTCTATAACATTAGCAGTCAATCTTGAACAAACATTCATACAATTTCAGGTAAGTCAAGTTTGCCGAAATTAAAAACAAATAAAACCGCATACCATGTTTGTTGTGATATAATTATATTGTTATCCTATAAAATGGACTAGAGGCTAAATGGACAAAAATTATGAGCTAGACCATAATGATTCATATTTTGATAGATACAGTGAGAAATTTTGATATATATACTTTTATTTTTAAAGCTACAATTCTCCCCTATTCTATGAACAAAAATTACTTAACTATTATTTTCATTTAACATTCTTTGATATTCTGCATGGCGAACGTATAATGCAAAGTGACAAAGTTGTTGATAAAATCATAATATCTTAAAAAACTATTGCGTGTAACATCTGCCTCGCGTATATAGCGTTGTTATATAATTGAAAAAAATTAAACAAATCCTTAGTCTTTAAGAGTACTGCTTGCGTGACGTCTAAAACATAAGTTAAGTCTGCACATGCAGTGCTTTTCGTTCATGATCGAAGTATGCATTTATATTTTAGCAAACGCGCAGCAAGAATTTCCAACAATAACTTTGTTTAGTATAAAGGTTCATATTTGTATTGTTGCATCTATCTAGCGGTGTTGCATGCTAGCATCCCTTAATTGAGGATAGGAACTATATAAAAAGCCTCAACAGTTGGTGGTCATGATCTACCGACCCAAAGTACGGATATTTTTTGCAATAAATGTAAAATCTGTATGAAAGTGCAAAATGTTGCAATGCATGAAAATGCAAAAAATGCGAGGCATCCATATGTAGATTCAAAAAGCTCAGTTTTGCAAAATAAGCTATATTTTTAATGTAAAGTGAGTGTACAAGATAAATACCAACAGACGGCTTTCATTGTACCAAACAATCTAACTTATTATCTAACATTTTGATTGATAATCTAAGTTGGAATTGATCTATTAAACACTAGCAAGAAATCATAAATGCTCATGCTGATATTGAATTATTTATATTTTTGTGAGAAAAGCCTGCCAAGCAGCCTTTAATATGGCCCACATTTTAAAATTGTGGGATGTTGGACCATTGACTTGAGGGTCATCCTGATGCAAAAAGTCTTTTATCGCTTGCTCAAAGAAGAGACAACAGGGATTTGTCACAAAAATTGTCTTTGATCTCACTTAACCTGTCCAATCTTCATTGTGTGTACATGCCAACTGTACAGACTGGCATGCATTCTTATATTTATCTGTGTGTGTACATGCCAACTGTATAGGCTGGCATGCATTCTTATATTTATCTGTCCAATCTTCATTGTGTGTACATGCCAACTGTATAGGCTGGCATGCATTCTTATATTTATCTGTCCAATCTTCATTGTGTACATGCCAACTGTATAGCTGGCATGCATTCTTATATTTATCTGTCCAATCTTCATTGTGCATGCCAACTGCTGGCATGCATTCTTATATTTATCTGTTCAATCTTCATTGTGTGTACATGCCAACTGTATAGGCTGGCATTCTTATATTTATCAGTGAGACGAGGCTTCCAACTATGCTTGCAGCCATCTTTTTTATCAGAATAGATCGATTTGTTTATACTGTGTTGAGTGTTCAATCTGCATCTTGGCTGTTGTCTGTGTTTACAATTATGTTGTCGGTCCTGCATCTTAGATCTCATCCAGTTCCGTCCATTGATCCCGTTATTATCACACTCCAAGTCAGTTTCTGCTTCACACACTCATACTGCTGCTGTGGCTGCATAACAATCAAGTACAAATTCCGTTTGGAACATGTATAATAAGTGCTCTTAGTTTCAGTTTACATTCATGCCGGTTTCATGATTCATATCACAGTTTGTATTGGTTTCACTCAGACATCAGGTTATGATAAGAACTTCATGAAAAATTCAATTTAAAAAATGATATACGAAAAAAAATGGAAAACTTTATTTATTTCATTTAATGTATGTACGTATGAATGAATTTACTCATTTTACGTTTGTATTGTCTTGACAACAATTTCATATATACTTCATTGTGGAACAATTGTCTCATATAATTGTTGAATAATGGCTACAAAGTTTGCCATTATCATAACAATAATTTAGCATCTGCATTTATCTTCAAGTTTATCTTTTTCTTTTAGGACGAGAAAAATTTTTCAAGTTGGCCATTGAAATCTAGCAATATGTTTCATCAAATGGCATCTATTCATTCACGTGTGATGGTTATGTTAACAATCTTTATGTTGTCATGTCAAAAAGCTCAAGCAGTATTGAGCAACTTGACTTTGGACCTGGTAAGAGGTTTTATGAAATAGTTTGTGATGTACGTTTGTCCGAACTTCAATGAATGAATTTTCCCTTAAATCATAAATCAATATAACTTTCTGTTATCAGACGGATGGACTGATATGATGTACTGATATGTATCTATATGTAGTTCTCTGTTTATCAACTATTATCATTTGACTTACTTCAATTCCATGAAATGATTTGTACACTTTTGTTCTGTTTGCACTTGGCTTGTGAATCAGACCATTTAGAGTAAAGTATTGAGAACATGGACAACTTATGTTTGTCGTAAGAAATACAAAAAATCTGTGGGCTATTGGGGATTAATGAGCAATTAGGTCCATGTTTTTTACATATAGGGAATTAGTGATGCCAGTTAGCGGGTTGTCTTCTTTTAGAGAAGACAAATCACAGAGAGGTACAGCATTCTTTCAAAAAAGCTTTATGTCAGCTTTATGTAAAAAAATCATTGCTTTTAAAAAATATCAGCAAAGAGTCGGTACAAGGAAAATAAATGAAATAATTCTTTGGTGTTGACAAATTTTTGTCATAAATTTTTCATATTGCAATGCAGACTCACAAAATTTTTATTTGTTTCTTCTTCAGAACTAATAGAGGGAGATATAGTCTTAGACAAAACAATGGCATTTGCTCTGGCTAATTTTAAAGAATCAACTTCTGTACGTCGTAAACGGGATGTCAGCGATCAAACAGTGAACATATGGAAAGATGGCGTCATAGCTTATGTGATTTCAGACGAAATGAGTAAGTCGTGATTGATATGAACGTTGATTATTTTAAATGAGAGACACAAAACTCTTTATAAAAGCTGTAAACATGTTAAAAAATTGGCAGAATTTGCTTATTTCTTACCGTCATAGGATATGTAAATAATTTAATGATAACTTCATAAGTTTAATAGGAGTAATTATGAACAGGATATTGTCACACTGACTCCAGTCACCAGTCTGGCGTTGATACAAATACAAAAAGCAAAGAAATGAAAGATAAAGGATCATTGTTGACAAAAACATAAAACAAAATAAATTAAAAAATTCCAGTCTTTATGACACCCAAATACACTTGAAACTGAAAGATACATGTAGTTTTGGAGGGTTAAAAACCAAAGAACGCGACATTTAGCTCCACAAAGAGCGTGTTATTTGATTTTCCCGACAATTAAAAAGGATGTGAATGATTTTGTATCTTGTACTTATAAACTCACTTTTCACAAAAAAGATTTTGTTAGAATTTTTTTTAAAGAACTATTTTACGCAAAAAATAACCACGATTAAGATTACAACATAGCTCGCTCTTTTCTAAATTGCTGTTATCTTTAATGATTAATCGACTTTTTATTATTATGATAATGTCATTATAACACGAATTCCTTTCAAGATTAGAGAAATTTTTGTTTTATAAGATTTCAGAAGACTGTGTCGGGAACTGCAACGATTTAAATTATGTAATCATAGAGTAGTTAGTAGGTTGAAATCACGTGACGTTGGGGCATTGAGAATACATTCTATAGGGATGGATAGTAATTTCGAGTACTTATAAAAAAATACTTTGTTCTTTATGCAAAAAGTAGATGCAATACAACTAACGAGACAAAATTTTCAGCCGCTGTGGAAGAGGATTTGTGTACTTTAAAACATAGAGATTAGATACTTAAATTACCTAGCTCTCAAGAAAACTTTACTAGCTGCAGAGGATCCAGCGTTAGTCAAAATAAATTATAGCTGCTCATTTTTAATTCAAAGTACTTTCAGAAAAAAAAATGGTTTTGAATTTCTAAAGAATATAACTTTACCAATGGTTTGCCTCTAAGGTACTTAGAAATATAAATACATGCCTAATGTGCTACAGTAATTTATTTTGACTTACCTTAGATCGCCACTGCTAACTGGGTCATTCCATGGGTCATTTGTTTCTTTAAAAAATGTGCTTAATTATATGATGATGCCATTTCAGTTCAATCAATCATATTGAAAAACTAAATATTTTAAAGGTGGGATTGGAAGACGAATCATACGAAAGGCATTTCGAAAGATCGCCCATCGAACTTGTGTGAGATTTATTCCAAAGCAAAATGAACATAAAGATTATGTTAAATTTATTTCAAAGTGTAAAGGGTGAGTTGTGAAAGTGAACATTTTTACTAAGTGCTCATAAAAGAGATTCATAGTCGTATATGAATTTCATTTATATCACAAAATACTGTTTACTTATAATGACTTTGTTTTGTAAATTTTTCAAAAATGATTGTCGAGACAAACTCATTGAACTTGTGCGCAGTAAATGTAGGTTTCTCGTGAAATTAGATCGTAATTCAAAGAAAACTCGCTCCTTTCTGCATCTTTAGTTGGGCTTTATCCGCCGGAACATTGTTTGTTTGCCGTCCGTCTTGGACTCGTCATTGACTGACTTTCTCATTTGATGTACTTCGACTTACATTGGCTTTTGAATGTTGTTAAGCACAAATTAAAATGTAGAAAAACATGACACAAAAGCTCTAACTTAAAAGTAACAGAAACATGACATTCCATTGCGTTCACAAACATTACTTAGATTCTTAGACATACATGGTCACTATTGTAGCCAACCAAAATATGGGAGAATGGACTTTAAGTTGTGTTGTAGCTAATAAATGAATCGATTATTTAAGGTGCTACTCCTCTGTTGGTCGAAAAGGAGGTGAACAAGTTCTATGTCTTGGTGAGGGTTGTTTAAACAGACCTCGTGCTCTTCATGAAATTATGCATGCTTTAGGATTCTTTCACGAACATTCAAGACTCGACCGAGATAACCATGTAAAGATTTTGTGGTGGAACATTCAAGATGGTAACTAAAAAATTTAAACTTTTATTATTTTTGTTATTTCTTTTAAAACGTATTTTAATTTTTTCCTAATTTTCCTCATTGGAGGTTCAAAAAAACAACAACCGAACTGTTAATTCTTACATTGCAAATGCAAACTATATACCTATATTAAACCTTCCATCGAGTAATGACTGGTTCACTTGCAGGAATGGAGAGAAATTTCTTGACATACAGGCATTCTCCAACAGACTCTCTTAAGGAGCCTTATGATTTTCTCAGTATTATGCACTACGACAATAAAGCATTCTCAAGCAATGGAATGGATACTATTCAATCGAAAAGAAATCCTAAAATGCGATTTGGTAAAGTTCGAAAACTCAGTAAAGTGGACTTAAGACAGCTGAAAAAACTTTATCGATGCCCTGTTCGTATGATCAGATATAAAGGTTAAAAAAAATAAGAACTTTGACACCAATGTAAATGATATAAACAGTTTTTTTGAATCATATCTACTTTTTTTTCTCTTTAAGGCTCATGCCGTAATCTCTATTGGAAATGCAACAGTTATGCAACTAGAAGTGACATGTGCGAAACGAGTTATGTTTTTATGAAATTTTACTGTCCGAGAGCTTGTGCATTTTGTTGTAAGTATATAACACTAAAATTAACAAAAGAAAAATTTTTTTAATTTAAAGTACATATAGCTACAGCGTCATCGTGATCAATTTCTCTCAAGGAAACACTTCTCGAGCTTTAAAAACATCTCTGTCATGAGTAGATATGGAAGTCACGCGTTTCATGAAGTCAAGTTAAACATTTTTTTATTTAATTATAGGAGCAACACAGGCATTTTATGGAAGTGATCCAAGATATGAATGTGGTCGTTCACTAGAGGGAGGACGGCGAAAATACAGCCATATTACAGCACGTGATTTAGTGACACTTAACATATTAAGAAGTTAGAAATATTAGCTATTTATGAAACGTATTTTACATATAAGTTAACATATAATATATTTGTGATTGTGTGCCCATGTATCGGGTTTTTAAAGCATTGTCATGGATAATGCTCATCATTTTTTAGGATGATGATTATGACTTCAATGTCACTAAACTACCAGTAGAGGAGAATTTATGATATATATACGAAATTAATGGTGGCTTTATACGATAGATAAGGTTTAATTCACCCATAACAAATCTTTGTCGAATTTAGAGTACCGAATATCTAAGCACTATGCTGAAAATTAAGTGTGCCACAATGATTAGCGTTGTGCATAATATATAATATATTGTAAACAGATATATACATTATTGATCACAATATATAAATCATTTTGTATCTTAATATCAACTAAGTAAAATACTGTAAATATCCAGTTCCACCAAGTTACCGTCAACATAAAATTACCAAGTGCCAAGGCAAAGATTTTTAAAGAAATTGGACAGAACGGGATTGACATCTTTGAATGTTCATCAAAGTCTTAGGCCCATTTAAAACGTCGCATTTTACATGCGCCGAATGCATTCAAAACAAAAGAAAATGCGATAAAATTCCTCATTATCTTTTGTTTTAAATGCATTCTGCTCGTGTAAAATGCGACGTTTGAAACAGGCCTTACGATAGTTTGAAACCGAATTTAAATGTCGTATTGGGTCGTTTCCAGTCGTTTCTCTTTAACCCAACCTGGCCAATCAAAAAATTTTGGTCATGTTACGTAAATTCCAGAACTTTAATTATCAATATTCATTTCCTTAGAAATCTATTGTTTTTGTAGTGAGTGAACAGAGAAAAATGACTCCCTTGGTGTTTGAACAGCGCAAGCGTTAGCATTATGAAATTAAAGTATTTAGACATTCACTTGTGCTGGCTGATGGAACAAGGTATATGACTATTTCGTTTAGCTAAGACAGCGTTAGCTGACCTACTTTGTCCAACCTGTTAATAATATTGAAAGTTAAATTTGTCTCGATGTACAAATGGCAAGAAATTTAAGATCATCGTTTACTTGACGAAGATGGCGTCGAAATTTTGGTGTGGCTCGCTTAAACTTTTAAAATGTTCAGAATGGGCTGTTCTCACAAAATACGCGTCGTCATTTTGTGCTAGTACTAAGAAAGGAAAATCAAGTAAAGAAAGTTCAACGGATAAAATTAACAGGTACAAACTACAAAATATAGTTTTTCTTATGCATTACTAGTTCAAACATTTGATAGCATGGTATTGTCAGTCAAAAGTTAAATTATATGTTAACGAATCATTTAAACGATTCAAACATTACAATTATTATCGACCGTCTCATGGACCAAAGATAAAAACAAGGTTAGGTAAAAGCAAACATTTTTTATGTTACTGATATAACGTAAAACCAAAATCACCATTTTAACGCGCAATAGTTGTATACTTATTGCATGTAAATCTTCTCGCGGTAATGAGCCCCAGTTTGTTTAAGTAGCTTTATATAATCCAAATACAATAAAAACAATTCTAACATGCTTGGTCTATCTTTGCTACTTCAGTAGTTACTTCAGCTATTACAGCTAGTATGGCTCTATAAACGAAATCTTAATAAACACTTCTGACTCATTTTTGATACGACAACTTGTAACGCGAATATTGTTTACAAATGTATTCACAGCGTCTCAAAAAACATTAAGAACTCTTACAGAATACTCTATAGTATCGAAAATAAGAATATGATCCTCACAAATAATTCTTCTACTTATACATTCATCAACTCATTTATTGTATATGATTGATAGCTAATCACTTGCATGCACAAAATCTCTTCGTTAAATTTCTATATCCATAATGAAAAATTTAACCATGGCTTACATGGTAAAAAGAGTCAACGATCAGATTGATCAACAATCTTTGTAAACAAGTCCCAGGATACCAATGTCAATGCATGAATAACGATCTCTTCGTTGATTCAGCAACTTATGTACATATTTATCTTATTCATTATCTTTGGATCGTAGCTCCTAAGGTGTATATACACATGCACGTTTTCATTACAGTATGTAAAAACACCTTGGTGATTTTATCAACCTCCATTATACATGATTCCAGTTTTTTCATAAGTGTTCACTATCACACGAACAATGACGAACCCACGTTCTTGTATAAAAATATAGGTAAAAAGAAAATTAGAAAACAACAGAGCCTCCCTTCATCCTTCTGAACAATAATGCATAATTACAGCCCGAACTATAATAAAGGAGAAAAAATCACGACGTTAATCAGTGACATCTACATGTTTCATTAGTGTACGACTTTCAAGCATTTTCCAGCCATTGTTGTCACACCAACACGATTCAACCCAAATTTTATGTCTCCATACTATTCTCATCGCTAGCATAACGATTAGCAGAATCATTGAAACTGTCTGCATTCAATGAACACGTGCCACTGTCACCTCTAGAATACTTTTCAGGTTTCATCGACAAATGAGGCAAATTATTTCTCTTTGAAGTAAGTAAGAGGACAATGTAGCAGTAGATGCATCATTAGTTAATGGTGTTACTGGAACATTATGAGCACGACAATGCATTTCCAATTCCTATGAAAATTTTAAAAAAGAAAAATGAGATTAGATTTTGACAGTTCGAAAAACCAAACCGTTGTAGATTGACGAAAGATTATTTTATTTTATAAGAGAAAATCATGAAAAATTCCTTACTTGAATACGTAACAACAATTTGGAATTTAACTCATCTGTCTCTCTAAACTTTTCCAAGCTGGCTTTCTGACGATCATTTTCTTTTTTAAGATGTCTGATATAATCCACGGTACATTTTAAGATAGTCCCCTTATTCTGTTTCATCTCCCTAAATTTTTTGAATGGAATTCATATTTTAGAATTTATACTTAGCTTTAGTGATGTGTTAAATACGAGAAGTTTGCGGGAAGATACAAAAGATAAAAATCCTGATAGATAATTGAAATGATTAACAAACTATGGATTTAAGATTACTTATAAAATATGACATTTTTTAATATGACCAAAGGTTACTTTGCATTATTTTAGAATTGAAAAACTAAGACACCCCTACTCTCTACAACCAAATCACATGCGAAAGCCTATATTGCGCACATGACTATGAATGTAGAACATGTTAATGCACAGTAGATTATTTCAAAGTTTTCTGATTTCATTATGTTGAATGTTCAGAAAATTAGTATAAGTGTTTCTAAATTTCAATGAGCTCAGTAAGAAATATTTTATAGATGAAATAATTCTTAGTGAGTTTATTTAAACACGAAACGTGACGCTATCAATTCTACAAATTGAATGAAACAACTTACGTATCATGCTTAGGAATCATTGTACCAAGTTCTTTTATACGATCGTTGATATTAAAACGACGTCGTCTTTCAACTAGAAAATAAACACGACAATGAACTATTGTATACAATATAGAAACATGCGACTAGAGCCAACTATGTGACTTATTTTCTCGTGACAAACTATTGCGTATTTATTATTTTAGATCATAATTATTTTCTCATTACTGTTCAGGTGAAGCATGTTTATTAAAAATATATTTTTGTGCTTTTACCAAGTAAATTGTTTAGCAACATATAACGAACATGATGATGATTTTCAAAACCATTCAAGTTTATTGAAAAACATTAAAGTATTCGGAAAGGAAATACATAATTCGGTACAGTTACATACGTATATGAAAAACACTAATGCTGCATAGCCCACAAAACAGAAATACAGCAAGCATCAAGTTTAAATTAAATTAATTAAATGAAGTCATCATTTAATTAAAAACTCCTGTTTTACACTGTAAATAGTGAATGTTGAATCGTAAACATGTCCAACATGCTTTGTCCTTACGTAGTTACTTTGTATGAAGACTTACGTATTTATATTAGATAATAGCTAGATTAGTAAGATAATATACGGATTATGATCAGTTATGCAGTCATGCAATAAAGTGAAATAAATAAAGTAGAATGTTTTTCTTACTCATGTTATGATTATCCTTCTTTTGACGATCTTTTAAATACGTAACATGATCAAACTTTGGCATGTTGCTGCAACCTGAAATAAAAAATTCTCACATGAATTTTTAACCAACATGCTTTCTTTCAACAGTAGACACGAAGAATGACTTCAGCTCTTAAAGAAACTAAACGTAAAATTTCAAATCCATTATTTACAACTATGAGTTCTTAATTACATCGCATAAAGAAACCTGAATAATTTATTTAAAACATACATACATTTTCTAATATTGATTGTTCAGTTAGAACATACATAACAAGTATTTGTTAAAGTTGGCATTAAGCATTTGACCCTACGTTATACTTTGGCATGTTACTTTAATGTCATAGTAAGTCCAAGAAAAAGAATACTATAATATGCTTCAGGCTATCAAACAACAAAAGGTTCGTTGGTAATAGAGCTGACTTGATGTATTTGCGAATCCCACAAAAAATGGTAAGGTATGAACTTTCAGAATTTAGTGAAAAGACATACTGCTGATGAATATGTATAGACAATTGAAAACAAATTAAGATTATCATGGCAAAGACACAAGTCAAACGGATCTGTATATGCTATGTAAAATAAAGACAATCTTTAATGGAAACAAACTTGTTAAAGAATTCTAAAATTTGTCTACCAACTGGGGCATGCATTCAAGAATAGACGACAACGCTATGTGCTAAAACCACTTAAATTTAAAAAATACCAGGAAAGCTGATTAAACAATAAAAAGGCTTTTCTTTGAAAACAAAAGCACTACTTACTTGGGTAAGAGAAGGAACGTGACATTTTACTCTTTAAAGGATAAAGCAATATTACTTGTTGCATGTATTTTAATTATATTCCACAAAATAGCGATCTGAATAGTGCGAGTACAGACACATTTATTAATGTATTGGCAGAACATTGCATGTATATATGATTATATGTATAAATATTATGTTCTGAAATGTCAAGCATGTGAAAATCGCGTGATAAAAAAGCGTGAGACGAACATGGTGTATGTACTATGAACTCTAGTTATGACATCAAAATTAAAAAGATATTTATAAAAATAGAGAGGAAGCTTGTAGCGTCAAAACGAAGGCATGATCGAATGGGGTTTAGACCACACAGAGAGATATATCATAATCGAAAAATCCTGCATACTTAGCTTACTATACTTATAAGACCATTATATAATCAATAAATGTATAATAGGAAAGTCATTTATTTATTTACTCGTACGACGACAATATATTATTATCAAAGGGATTCCTGTTTTTATTTCCATTTAAACAACAGACACGAAACAAAATTTCTAATAATTTCTTATATGAAAACATCTTCAATGCATATCAAATTAATAGCCACAGAAATTGACTTATGAAGTGAACCGAACATGCAAATATCCGAATATGCTTTGTTACAAAAGCAAACTAAACAAATTAAATTACACACGCAGTGGAGGAGTATGTCCAAATGTTTGTCATTACTATAATAAATTGTTGAAAACAGGCATTTCTTTAGCCGCAATGTATGTAGGTACACCATTTTAAATAGTAATTTGTAGAGCAGTAGTCAAACACAGCAGACAATTTCTACTTAAAAAGAATTTAATCATTCCAAAATCATGCTACTAGTATCCTACAATGTTCCAGTCATCAACTAAAAAAATGTAAAGAAACTCAAACTCTGTTTAACCAACGGATTTTTTCTATTAACATAATTAACTGATATTTTCCCGAACACTTCAAAAGTGATGTTTATTTAAAGCATAAGAATGAAAAGTGTATGCGATAGAAAATGTTACATTTGGGTGGAAGCATATTGCCTCACTTGCAAAATTTGTAATGTATTTTTGAATGATGAGAAATGCATTCTAAAAAATTCTTCACTGTTCGTTAAGTAATCACCAAATTTTTCTCACGCAATGTGAAAATCACGAGAAAACGCGTTTTGTAACATGATAGGATAATGAATTTTAATTAGAGCAATTTATAAACAGGCAGAGACTCGTGACAAGCATGTTGGTACATCTCACGTGGTGATTACGATAAGATGAAAAATTGTCATAGTTTCCCTTACAGATACGCAATCGTTTCATAACTTATTTGATTTACACTGTCAGGTACTTTTAATTGAATTCTGTTTTATAAACATATATTGTCAGCAAAATTCAAATCAAAAACTTTTTGCAAAAGAATTTTTGCAAAACCATGCAATTATTTAAATTCCCTCGTCCATTATTTTTTGTAATGTATAGCAATTCTTCATATTCCATAAGCACATTTGTAATGTAAGGAGTTTAGATAGAGCTGTTCTAAGCAAACTAATCTGAATGAGAGCAATTAAAGAAGGTCCCAGTTTAATGGAAGGTCAAAATCATCTGCACTTTAGTGCTAAGCGCACTGCATGAAAACTCTAATCATTTCTGAACTTTAACTCGTGATAAAACAAATACTGAAAAAACATCTCTATATACACAGTTCCATTATTTCAGAAAAACATGCGTTACGTAACTTAAACTGCTTTATGATGCATGATATATACAGATTTCACTTCAAAGTATCATACATCGTTTCATATCATATGCATATACAAACAATAAGAAAGTAAAAATGTACCCTAAACTAAAAAATAAGAATGTGGAAAATTCAATTCGAGGAAAAAAATTACTGAGTTCGTAGTTAATTCGGCATTCATGAAAATCGTATGTTTCAGTTAACATTTAAGTTTCAGTGCCTGTGTATAAAGGATACATTGTGCAAATGAATGACAGCAAAAATTTTCACCAGAGTATACGCTAATTATAGAAATAACCCAAAGAAACAGCTCATCCAACCATTGTAACAACTCCTTAATTATTAACTTTCATAATAATTAATCACTTACTTTCACTTGGTTCCTGCTTTATTTTCGGTGGACATGATGACGAAACACCATCTGATGCTATTGTCTATAGTAATAAATGATTTATAAGAAAGGACTTTAACGATACCAAAATTTAACAATTTCTATCAGAACAATTTCGTAAAAAAAACTATTTGTTTTATTCTATGGAGCTAAACATGACTAAATCGCTTTCCTCCGTAAAATATCGCTTCTGCACATAAATGAAACGATCCTTTAGGTAGAATGTGGCTAAAGTTGAAAATATTTCTAGGAATGCATACCCCTGTCACGTGTCGTCCATTGTACATGTCAGACAAACTTGCTGCTCCTGGTATCTAAAATGGAATGAAGTGAGTTAAATAACCTGTATGTTAAACCACATACAAGTGTTTATAGTGAATGTTATTTGCAATTGCATGAAGGCGATAAAAATTTTTTAAAATGTTTTCCATTTTCATATGTTTTATTAGAAGAATGAAAGGTTGAACATAAATTAGAAATTTCACCATCTAAATATTCTTACCGGTAAAGTCGAATTCGTGCCACCAAAATCAAAAAATTCAAATCCGTTTTCAAGACCCATTTGATTGGTCACAGCGTTATCGCCTTCAAGACTAATTACATAAAATATGATTCAACAATGCAGTGTACAAATAAAACAAATAAGAAATCCAATTATTTATTAAAACATCGTAAAGAAATTGTAAAAACATCGCTAAAATATCTTAGGTTACCTTATAATGTCGTCGAGAATTTCATCCACCTGATAAATAAAATGAAATGTCAACCTCCACTCTCAGAAAATTTCCTTACATCAAGACATTCTTAGAAATATACATGTAAGACAAAAGGGACATCTGTCAACAATGAACACTCTTTGCATTAGGCACTTCTCATATACTTCTACACGTGTAGAAATGGATTACAACGATTCCCCATAGAAATCAAAGGACACAAATATTTTCGATGTTGGTTGAAATTTGAACTGTAAACAAGAAATTAAACCAACATGGCTGCCGCCATGTAACGTAACAAGAAAACCACCTTTTACTGTGTACTTACCATTGTATAAATCTCGTTTATGTATGTAATTAACTATTACATATACTTACTTCTGATGGTTCAGTTGAACTGGCAGCAGACATTGGACTATCTGGAGGTTTGGTCGCTCCAGATATACTTAAACCATCAAATGGCAATGGTGTGATGTTATTGATAGCGTTTAAAGTTGCCTGAGAAGTTGGTGGAGTATATCCTTGTGAGGATGATGATGAATTTCCATGTTGGTTGATGTATTCCTTCAGTTTCCTTTCTTGGGTTTTATAAACATAATACTTGGTCGGATTTTCTAGATTCGTTTTGAACTAAAGTGAAACAAATATAAAATTAATTCATTGCAAAATAAATATCTTTAACAAAGTAATTCTTACATCTAAAACCGTGGGAGGTATGGCGGCATGGTTTCCGTAGGCCGTGTAAATGGAATTGTAATTTCTGAACTCTGCCCAAGTTGCCGTTGTCTTTCTTGTTCCTTCTTTTTCTGCTCTTGTTTCAACAAATGTTCACGTTGAAGGGCAAGTTTCTGTTGGGTACGACTCATTGATGTCATTTTGTTTTCCTTTGCTTTTGGTTTTAACAACTCGGTCAATATTGCATCAGTACCGGTATTTCTACCTACAACAGGCTTTCTAACAACAAAAAAAAGAAATGAATAAATTGCTCGAAGTAATCTTAGCGCTGGAAAACTTTCTGATAAATTAGATAAGTTTAAAGATTTTACTATAACAATAATTACAAAACGTGGGTGATAAAACGAGTTAGCTACATTACACCCAACAATCACAAGTCTTCACGTCGAAAAAAGCCTTGTGAGTGATGAAAAAGAATTAAACAATGCAGGTTTCTTAATCTGAAATTTAAAATAAATGTTGGAAGAACGAGAGAGCTATTGACTATTATTACTAGGCCACATACGGATGACTGAAAGGTACAAAGTCTGAACAGTATATTTAACGCATGTATAAAACAGTCATTTACACAGTTAAATAGTTAGAATAATATTAAAAGCATACATATATGTAATGAAATGAGATTCATGTTAAAGCAATTTCACATGCGAAAACAAGAAACGCTAAATAGGTGAATACAAATAGTGAATCGATTATTGTCAATAAAAACATTACGTGATAATTCATTTACAGGTCATGACTTGTCACGCTACTTGATGTACACAGATGGAGCGATTTAAATTGATCTAAGTACACACACATGCAAGTTAATTTTCGAAGCAATAAACAATGGTTTTGACAAGTGTGCAAATAAACAGTTGAAATATAATCAACAACTTGACCTTATAAACCCAACACCAGCTAATTAACCCGGAGAATCTGCCTGCACTTGTAGTAATTTGCAATTTACACGGCTCGCGATTGAAGTATTTTGTGAATATTTTGTTTAACTGCGAGAGTAATCGTGAAAATTTTTACCTTCGAATTATGTCAAGTCACGAGAAATACTGAACGAAATAAAAAGAATATTCAATTTTTCCAATCACTACTAGCTATAGTCTGCTAAATTACGATCATTACTTAATATGATGAAAGTTATTATAAATGATTGTCCCAACAGATGTAGTTTAACGTATCACAAAAAATTTCTAGTAGACAAGTGAAAAAATTATTTTTGCATCAATGAAGAAACATACAAGTATATTTCCACGAACGACATGGTCAGAGGACAACACCCATGTGGTTTGACAATCACAGAGTTTATTAACTGACAGTCGTACTTCTACTCGTCATTTCAAATAGACTAAAATAACCTACCTATGTATATACTTCATTTTAACCATCAATTCGCAATTTTTTCTCGATAATTTTCAAAAGTTCCTTCGATAAATTACAGTTGACATCAACTTGTTTTATTGCATGTGCATGCTCCGACAACAAACTGCTTTTCTCAGCAAGACTCAACTTACGAGCAAGTTCAAGACAATATCCGTAAGAAAAATCTTTAATAATCTTATTGGACGAAATTAGAACACGTGAAAATCATAATTTTCTCGATTTCACGTTAATTGAAACAAATGGGAAATTATAAAAAATATTCTACGTACGAGACAATAGTCAGTGTGGAAAATTTCTTAATATGCATGAGCATATATACTTTTAAATTTATGTTACTATGATTTGACTCTTACAATGCTACCAAAATTGATGAAAATCAGATATCTAGAAATCGACAAAGTTAAATACGCTTCAAAAAGTTAAATGTTTATATAACATCGTAGATGATGAAGGATGAAATCGAATAAACAATAAAAAGTCTATGACAATTTTGTTAAATGAATTTCTAAGAGATTTGAGTAGTAAATAACAATTAAAAAAGTGCATCGTCTACTCTGATAATTAAAATTGCAATTTTTTTTTCTTAAACTCAGCAAGTGCTGCTTCACAGAATTGATTACAGTACAACTATAAAATCATAGATACTAAATTATGATATGCAGTAAAATTAAATAATTACAGTCTTACAATAGAAACCAAACATTCATGAAAAGTGAGATATATTTGAGGTATTAAAGGTGTTTGACAAAATGAGCAGATATTTAATGTTGTATTTTTAGGTCTTCATTCTGCGATGGGTAACACTTTGCACAACAAAAAGATGGAAAATTAACATCTATTTCTTGTTAGCTTAACACTGACTCAATTAAAAACCCATTCCTTAACTTGATTTATATAATATGTGTGAAATATGAATTGATAGCACTGCGATTATCTGCAGTTGTCAATAAGTTTCAACATGCATTTTCATGACAAAAAAATCAATCACAGCGTAGGAAAAAATCGAAATAACTACAAGACGACAGAAACGCTCCCTCAAAATATCAAAAAGTTTCCCAGTATACATTAGGTACGTACTGATGATTTGCATTGCCCTCTGAAAGCAAAATTATTTTCGTATGAGAACATAAATGGTAAACACGTAAAAATTGAGAATAATGGTAAGTTTTAGTCATGCAATAAGTTCCACCAGCAATTTTTCTTGAACGCACAAAATAAATATTCAATCTACATTGTAACATTGTTCCTAGTGTGCATACGGTTTCTTTACAATCAACACAAGTCAAGGAATTCATTTACACGTCAGAGTTCCTTTACAATCAACACAAGTCAAGGAATTCATTTACACGTCAGAGTTTCTTTACAATCAACCCAAGTCAAGGAATTCATTTACACGTCAGAGTTCCTTTACAATCAACACAAGTCAAGGAATTCATTTACACGTCAGGGTTTCTTTACAATCAACCCAAGTCAAGGAATTCATTTACACGTCAGAGTTCCTTTACAATCAACCCAAGTCAAGGAATTCATTTACACGTCAAAGTTTCATTACAATCAACCCAAGTCAAGGAATTCATTTACACGTCAGTTTCTTTACAATCAACCCAAGTCAAGGAATTCATTTACACGTCAGAGTTCCGATCCAAAACCTTTTATACACTAAATTCTGGATCCGTCTACACTAGTGCATCTTTGAAAACGAAGACAATTATAATACCACCGACTTAAACACATACAAAACGTTATCGACTATTGCGTTAAATTTTTTCCTAACTCTTCCTCATTCAACCAGTGTAGAAAACAGATGTGATTCCCCCCCTTTCAGAGATTTACGTTACAGTCTTCTGTTAGCCCCTTTTAATGTATCAAGGGGGGTGGGGGTGCGATGTTTATTGCTCTGGCTCATAGGAGAATCGATAGCGTAATCGATAATTTAATGAGACAGCCTTTCGTATGTATTCTGTGATAATATGTTCAACAAAAAAACAAGGTAATGAAACGCTCATGTGTTGATGAGCACAAGCACGATAGTGTCAATAGCAAAAACAAAATGAGCAAGGCAAAAGAACTGCGAGTATGTTAATGTGATTTCGACTTTAGTTGCCTGCTTGCACTGCACTTGTTCTTATTTGCGCAGTATGTCAGTGAAACCAAACAATCGTAAAAAAAGGTCTGTTGTAAAAAAATATCAGTTCTTCACAAGACCATGGGAAATAAGCGCGTTGTTGGTTGGGTATAGCGTGGAAAATACTAATATCGACGAAAACGTTTTCTTTCTTTTTAAAACATTGACAAAAACCGCATTAGTGAGGACATGATTCATATTATGACAGGAGAACAGAGGCATTTAGCATAAAAATAATACCTCTACCAATGGTACTGGTCAGTTTTGGTATTGGGCAGGCGCTGGTCAGCGGTTGCAAAATTTTATGATCTTTAAATACAATACGTATATACAAATATACGAACCATTGAATTGATTGTAAATCACTGTAATCCAGTCAAAAATTTGGTATATTGCGTTTTTTTAGGATAATAAAGTGATAGCTAAATCTAAAAATCACCAAAATCCACGCATGTATGCCACAAAACAGTGGAAAATATTCATTGCATACATCATAATGTACTGATCAGTTACTGATTGCGTTTCAAAACTATGCGTGCTAATTTCTGCTGCTATAAATCTAGTATAATTGAGACAAAATCTTTATTCAGAATCTTTCTTTATGAAATTACGCATAAAATGTTTTGTAAACAATTCAAAGCTCAATTTTACGTAACTGATGTTAACACAACACATATATATATTTGAAACGTAATTAATTGCAAGCATCTTTGGAAAGAACTTTGAACCCATTGTCAAAATATATTGAAATCAAAAAACCATTCCATGGCAAAAAGGTAAAACAATAAATCGTAAATCGTTTAGTGCGATACGTATTTGAATAAAAGAAAAAAAATTAGCGAAGCACAATCCTATAATTATCCCATATTGTTTAATTGCAAAAGTTATTTTAATATCGTTCATTTCCATGTGGTTAACTCATTCTTCGACACTATTTCAACGAAAATTGATATTGCTATGTTTGACTTACAGCAATATTTACTGTAATTCTACGGAGATTCAAATTTGCCTTTTTGTACAAAGATCGCTTATAGTGTAGTACATTCTAGAATGCTTAAGAAGTAATCGTACGTTTTCTGTTTACAGTTGGGTGAATTGTGGTACTCGTGATCTTCTCATGCATGAGAGTAAGTCGAAAATCAATAATGGTGAATATTACCACTCTTTTTACCTATGATTAAAATATTTTACACAACTGTCATGATTTTTATTGTCAACAATATAAATCCTCACTTGATAAAAACAAATAAGGCTTGGCAATGATGAATGTTGGTCCTCAGGACTCTACCAACCTGGACGATCTTCATTTAGAAACATGTAATGATACTCCCGGATTCATACCATTTACTTTAATGATGAATGTATTTACTAGTAGTAAAAACAGTTGTTGGTATAGTATCAGACAAAAGACATAACTGTTCTATACCTAAATTGAAGTCTATAATAACTTTAAAATCTGTAGTATGCAATCACAATTTCCATTGAGGAAAAATTGCATCACAAAATGAACATATAATTTTACAAAAAGTATCAAAAATATAAAATATAAGAAAAGATAGAGAACAAAAAAATCATCAAGCTTGATTAGGAAAAACTAAAAACCTCGATCCAAAACAATTTTTAATATGTATCATACTAAAATGTGTTAAGATTTGATATGATTATCTAGAGAAGACCTGATATAATCTCGAAAGAAGCTATATCTAGAAATTTAAACCATAAAATTTCATTTGCTTTATATGATAGTTTGACAGTAGTTTACGGTTATATTTTTGCTTTAAACAACCATTTAGGGAAAGTAACAGCAAAATAATAGAAGCGTTAAAAATATCAACAAATGAAACAAACATCACTGAATACAAATTGCTCTGTGTGCTTTAACACTACACCTAATTAACCTTAAATTTTAGTATACCAATCCAAACATAAAACACAGCGATTTGCTAATTTAACTATCATAAGTGCACATACATTCTTACACAAAAACTTAAATCATATAATTTAGCAGTAATTTAACAAAGCAATAGGTTTACATTAGAGCTTGCATGTTGTACGATGCAAATTAACAAAGTGCAAGGTATTTAAAGTCAATCTAAGACACACATACAATGCTGCTATTCATGATTTACAACAATTGAATGTAACATGTTGGACTTGTACATCACATGGTATCGATAAAAGAACAAAAACTGTTATAATAAGGTGTATTTTCGAAATCCCATGCCATGCCGTTAATGCTATTTGGAAGGAAAACCGGAAACGACAAAAAGATCAATTTTTTTTCATCGTTTGCCTGTCCACAAATGAAGAAAATATGGTATAAAAAATAATATCGATATGAGGATTGACTGGAGTAAATCCTGGGGCAGACAGAAACGAGAAAGTCATTGAAATACCTTATGACATCGTCCAAGGTTCGAGACTGAATCTCATAGAAGGAAACTTTCGGTTGAAATTCTCCTATGATATCGTTTATGTCGAATTCGAGGTCAATGCCAGATTCTTGCATTAGGTTGCTTTATTCGAGGCACTTATTGATAAAACTGAGATCCACTGTAAAATTACGATTGTACCAAACTGCATTTGAATACAATTCTTTAGCACATAATTTCCTGCTTCGACATGTTGATATTACAGGCTTCGCAAAGATACAAACAAACGCTGATTGGCTCGTTTTTTTTGGAATGACGTAATTGTGAACAGCTTGATTATGCTCATTGTGGTCGAACTTGCAAGTTCATCATTTTTTTGAAAATTGTCTCCATTTCTTCTTGCCGGTCCAAGGTTTGTGTGAAAATTATTTCATGCTTTAAAAGTTTTAAATTGTTAAGCTTTTCATGAAAATGAGAAGGAAAAACTTACATAAAACTCTTCTCCTTTCTCTAACAATAATTTCCCGGAAGGAAACACCCTTTCCATCGGGTTTACAGCGGAGGAGTAAGAACAAGAGGTTGTTAAACCCTAACCAGTCTATCACGTTTATATTGGGCAATCATGATTGTATTGAAAATTCGCTTTCCGCCTGGCAAATATCTGGCCACGATTTTAAAGTAAAATACTGTTTCTGATAGTGAAATAATTTTGTTAAAGATTGGGTAAACTTAAACTCTTAGAGATTGGACGTGCAAATCTAATTTTGAACTGTTTTTAAACGTTAGTTAATATTTATTGTGATCTATGTAATAATTTATTTTATTATGAAGTAATAATTTTCGTGAAAATTGTATTAAATATTAAGGGTGATAAGTGATTACAAAATATCATCAAATCAGCAAAATTTTTCTGAATAGTTACTGAAATTTTAAACACAAATACAATATAATACGAGTGTCTTCAGTTCAATGACTGTACATCCTGCTCTAGATGTCTAGGAGTAAACAGGAACATAACGACGTAACTCGTCATTATGCAATGTCAACGACAGAAATGTCGCAAAGAACTTATTTACCAAACAAGCATTAAATCTAAATCATAAACGTAATTGCGCAACAAGTGGTTATCTAAAATTCATACCCAGCCGAAAATTTAATGAAGCATAATAAAAAATATACTTCGAAGAAAAGTTCCATGCACAACTTATTTTTTAAAAAAAAAACAAGACAGTTTTTGTCTCGTGAAGGAAAAGTTTGTTTCTCAAGTGAAAGATTGGTAAAGAATGAGCCAGTATAATTAAACTCAAAAATAAAGATTACACAGCCCTGTTTTGATATTGTCCATGTTTTATATTTAATATCACAAGAAAGACACAAATAGCTAATACTTCCAAATTTTCATAATTCAAAAACGCCATTACGGTTGCATTCTTATGGCACCATCAATTCGGACAACTTCACCGTTTATCATTGGATTTTCTATAATTGCTGCAACCAAATGAGCATAGTCAGCAGGATCCCCTAAACGTTTAGGAAACGGAACGCTCTTTGCCAGATCATTTTGTACTTTTTCAGGCAAACCTTCAAGCAGTGGCGTCAAAAACAGTCCTAAAAAAGTCAGTAAAATATTTTATCTTTGAGCACAAGGCAAAAACCACAAAATAAAACAAAAACTGCTTTTAAATAACAAAAAAAAAACCAAGAAAAGAGCTAAAATTACCTGGAGCGATAGTGTTTACTCTTATACCATATCTTGCAAGGTCTCTCGCAATTGTTAATGTCATGCTTACAACAGCACCTTTTGATGCTGAATAAGCAGCTTGTCCAATCTGACCTTCATATGCAGCTACGCTAGCTGTGTTGATAATAACACCTCTTTCACCTGTTTTATCGGGTTTATTATTAATCATCTCTTGGGCTGATAACCGTATAACATTAAATGTCCCAAATGTATTTACCTAAAGTATAATATTACAGCGATCAATTTAGGCACGGTTTACATTATACCGGATTGCTATCGTAGCAGGTCGAATATTCTTTGTATTAAAAGACAATGAAATTGTTCAACGTCAGAAACACAATCAAATAGAATAAATCTATCAGCTTAATAAGCTTTTAGAACCCCGAACAGTTAACCCTTTAAAGCAAATGAAGATGTCATGATGAGCAAATCCGGTATAGTGTAAACCACAGAATAGACATCTAACAGAACGCCCACTCGGCTAAAATCGTGGCGCACTTTTTCACTGCGCATGCGTGACTTCCCAGCAAGATACTTTCACAAAATCAACATGGAATAGTATTGCACGAAAATGCTATTTTACTAATAATTTACGCTTAAAGCAAAAGTTTGACGAAATTTTTACAAAATGTTATCATCTTGCGAAGACGATAAGGTTGTACGCTTTTGTAGTGCAAAACGATATGTTTGTAAAAACATTTATATTTTCCATTGCGATTTAGCGGAAGTATCCTGCTGGAAGGCGTGTCTCCTTAGAACTTGCTTAAGTGGGGACAAGAACATCAAAGGTTCCGACACAAGTGGACCTTCCGCTAAGATTTCTATTCTGTGGTGTAAACGCAGGCTTAGACATGCCTAAAAACCTACCAGAGTACAACTGTATTTTGCCGCAAACCAAAAGAACAGCGACAAATTTTGCGGCAAACCAAAAGATACAGCGACAAATTTTCGCGCAACAATACATGAAATACCAGAAATAACTAAATAAAATGATATTTCAAACCTTTAGAACTTTTTCAAATTCTTCTAACGAATGTGCTTTACCATCTTTTCCAATTGTTTTCATGGCAGTTGCTACACCAGCACAATTAACAGCAACGTTTATATAGCCACATTTTTCTTTAGCAAACCTTATAGCTTCTTGCACCTGACTTTCATCAGATACCTTAAACACACAAAATACTTCAATTGTCACCAAAATCAGTTTGCTATAAAACCAAAGGATTGGACGATTTATAAGTTACAAATGCCTTGTGTACAGAATTAAGTATGCAAACAAGGAACGTCTAGCATATGGAGTATGAAGAGTCTTTCATATTGCATAACATATCATGATGAAAAACAAAGAACTTTAAAATATAGCACTAATACCAACAACTTAACTTCACATTAAGTTTTAACAATTCTAATGAATAGGAGCAAATTGAAAAAAACGAACTTTACTGTAGTTGCTTTTTTAACCTTTAAAACAACCATATAAAGATTAAAGAACCATAGGCGCAGCAATAAATTAAAATATTTTCAAATATTCCTGTAAAAACGCGACACTTTGAGCAAGTTATGAAAACTTTATCCATTAGTTGTAATTCACAATTTACAATACACATAGTACAAGCAAAGCAACAAGCAAGTATAGTGTAATACACAAAACAAAGAACTTAACGAATAACCAGAACAATTGATGATGTTCATTGTAAGATACGTATTTTATTGTACAATGTCATTAAGACTACAGCCTAGGCCACACTATCGTCCATATCGACGAAAATCAGAACGAAAACTGCCGCAACGAAAATTTTGAACGAAAACTCGACGAAAATTTCGTTTTCGTGCATATTAGAAGAGTTGAACTTTTTCGCTAACGAAAACGCATAGTATTGGCTAATAATATCAGACTTTGTACTCAAACATGGCGGAGTGGCAAAAGGTTTTGATAAATCAGGTCTAATAGACTTTCTAAGATGTGTGCCAACTTTAGTGATGTGAGGTCTAATTAAAACCAAAATGTAGTCAAAATTTGTCGTCGTCATTCGCAAGTATTTTATGTGTCTATTTTCATTGTTCGGCTCTCGTAATTCTTTAATCAAGTTGTTAAATAGTCCAAGACGATCACGTCGTTTATTAATTGGATGAATCCAGTATCGACGTCTGCTGTTGCTGTTTTCAACTTTAAAGGCAGTAACTTTTTCTTAAGAAGAAGTAATCTTTTTCTTTTAGAGACCGCCATTTTTTCTAATCCGTCAAAAATGCCGCTTGCTTATTGGCCAAAAAAGTTTTGGCTTTGCAAACATGCTTGTAATTTTTCGTCGTGTCTGGCATGCATTTCGTACGGTGGCCCACAAGTATCACGGCAAATTAAAAACTCGCGGCAAATTAAAAACTCACGGCAAATTAAAAGTGATACTTTTGGGCCACCATAGTGGCCCACAAGTATCACGGCAAATGAAAAACTCGCGGCAAATTAAAAACTCACGGCAAATTAAAACTCACGGCAAATTAAAACTCGCGGCAAATTAAAACTCAAATTAAAACTCACGGCAAATTAAAACTCGCGGCAAATTAAAACTCACGGCAAATTAAAACTCGCGGCAAATTAAAACTCACGGCAAATTAAAACTCACGGCAAATTAAAACTCGCGGCAAATTAAAACTCACGGCAAATTAAAACTCACGGCAAATTAAAACTCGCGGCAAATTAAAACTCACGGCAAATTAAAACTCGCGGCAAATTAAAACTCACGGCAAATTAAAACTCACGGCAAATTAAAACTCGCGGCAAATTTTGACAATGTGGTGAACCGGGCAAATGCAAAATTGTTATATGTTTCCACTAACTTTCTAGGTGAAACTTAGAGTTGTCGTTATTTCCATGTGGATTCGTGTGGGATTTCTTCTTAAACGATATTTGTTGTATCTATTTTAATGTTATATGCAATGATTATTATTTCGTATTTTCTCTCTAACAACATTGATTTCATAATCGACATTTTTCCTTTGAAGGCCGTACCGTTTTATACGTCTTTTAAGAGTTGAGATGCTCATTTTTACTGAGTGGTTTTTGCTCAATAACTCGATAATTTCGTCGTACTTGAAGCCTTTACTAAAGTATTCTTTGATTAAATTTTCTTCCTCTTGGGCGCCCGCCATTGTGAATTAATACTACTCGTCTTTACCACGTGTTTCAACCCACTTTGCCGCGAGTTTTTAATTTGCCGCGAGTTTTTAATTTGCCGTGAGTTTTTAATTTGCCGCGAGTTTTTAATTTGCCGTGAGTTTTTAATTTGCCGCGAGTTTTTAATTTGCCGTGAGTTTTTAATTTGCCGCGAGTTTTTAATTTGCCGTGATACTTGTGGGCCACCGTAATTTCGTGCACGAATTTTCGTTTCGTTTTCGTTTTCGTCAATATAGACGATAGTGTGGCCCAGGCTTTAGTCTTTGAGTTTAGTTTGTATGTATTATGAAAACATGGTGTAGACGCTTTTATTCTACGGTAACACGAATTTACGTGTTTACTTTTTGAGGAGTTGGAGTTAAGAATGGGCTGTGTAATATGAGATACATAAAACATTGACAAAAACGTACATGTTCATTTCGCGCATAGTTTTAATGGTTTAATGGTTTAAATTCGTAAACAACGGTTTCACAAAACCTGAAAGCACCAATAAACTTGGAGTTCCTGTAATCTCCGTAATGGGTACACAGCAATGGCGCGGACACTTCACGAAATATTGGGGGGGGGTCGTCCTTAAAGCATGAGATTTTAGGAAGATCGCAGTGCATTCCTATAGGTGTACTTTTAAAATTTGATCTCCAGAAATTTAACTTAAGCATTCGTACATACACATAATCCTAGACAAGAAGGTTTAAAGCGTCTGCTGGTATGTGTACAGTACAGAAGCCTATGAAATAGTCATTTTTTAACATCATAGTTATGGTATGTAGGTGTGATTTAAGGGCTTTGGTGCAATATTTTTAATCTTTCAAAAATTATTGAGGGGGGATTGAGCCCCTTCCCCCCAGTGTCCACCACTAAATAGCATAGGTCAAGAAAAGGTTACAGCAAATAAGGATGTATCAGATTTTTGCAACTTTTATTTTTTGTGGGGCTAATCTCCCCCCCCCCAATACAAGCCCCCACTTCCTACATCTATGTAAAGAACACATACAATGTAATGACTGATATTCTATAATATAAATTGTATTATTTTGCTTTGTCTTCATTGATTGCAAAATTAAGAGCTCTATTGCTTTATTATCATAAAACTTAAACAATATTATATTGGTGGCTTGTAACCATTCCCCTGGCACCGAGAAAACAAAGGAAAATCCTTTGTTAAAATCATCCATATATTTGGGTTTACTTCTGTCCGTAAATGGGTAATGCCTATGCCCAATGTAAAACATCATCATTATTGCAGGCAGTGTGACCATACATAATTTGTTATCTAAAATGTGTTGATCTGTGCAGACTGTTTCCCCTGTTCCAAATGTTGCAATTATGTAAAGCAGGAGAGGTTGTCTAAACTTACCAGAGCAGATCTGGTAATATAAATTATCATATCTGGTCATGCTGATTGTAGACCTGGGTCACACTAATGTTCTCTTAAAACTATGTAGAATCTGCATATAGAATTCAAATACAGTACCTTAAATGCTATTGATTATGGATTATGATTAAGAAAAGTATTGTATTAGTTGGGCAATGCCTTTTGAAATTCACATATTTTCAAAAATGAGAAGGTGAAGTTTATTTTGACAAACACTGCATTGACAATTCCCACCACTTATATCACATGTCCTTCTTACATCAGTTGGGCAAAAGTAGCAATCATCTCCCATCTCCTTCACCAACTCCTTCCCATTGCTAGATGGAAGATCTAAAATAACTGCCTTCGCTTTATGCTTTTTGATGAGGCGTTGCAATGTGGCTCTGCCCAGACCAGAAGCACCACCTGTAACTATACATTTCCACTGTTTTGCTACAGACACAACCATTTCATTACATTTAATAATTAAAGTCATATACATACAATACTGCTGGTTTCCATCAATCAAATGGACTTTTTAAGGCATGTAATAGGCCGCTCTGTTATGACCGAATTTATTATTCGTAGTTCTTGTTTATAGTACTACTGCAGTGCTGCAGCGTTCTAGAGTTCTTAGGAAGGCTAAGCAGATAATCTAAAAATGATGAAATCAATACAAGTACAGGAGGCTTGGATGAAATAACAAATGTGTATGTAAATATTCTATAGACAAAGATCCACAACATCTACGACACAACAAATAAACCGTCGCACATACTAATGAATGAAACTAATATACTTAAATTTCACTAAAACAGAACATAAATGATGATTAAAAAAGATATTTACATCAAAACCTTTATATGGTTGAATAAATAGAAAATAATATAATTGTCGTTCATTAACTGCATGATTCATTTTCTTTCTCATTGCTTTAATATATGAAAGAAATATTCAACCTGAAACAAAAATTTCAATTTACATATAAATAATAATCAGCTTTCATTCTTCTTCTATACAGCAATGTGATCCAAGCAAAAAGTAATGATACCTGAGAAAGGTCAACGTTTACTAACCTCCAGTGCAGCATCATCAGGTAAGTCTGTACAATGAACAGCATTACGAACTTTGTCAACTCCAAAGTTTGCGCGTAACGTATGAGGACGGAGATGTTTGGCAATTTCCTAAAACATGCATGCATGCATAACATTTATGAAAACGGTAAACTTCGGAGGATAAGTTTTGACAAGAAAAATAGTCTGATTAAAAGAACAGCTTATGAAATTCTTTTCATATCTCCTTTAACATTGCGCAATGGCTATGTGGAATGGTTTCTTCATAACCCATAGTATCTTGTAAGCTGGAAAAGCGTAACTTGACTAAAGCTGGATAGATTCTTTTATGTAAAATTTTGTTTGCAAAAATTGACTACTTTTTATAAAAAAGACTTTTGTTAACACCTTCGACGAATTTTTCTTATAAAACATAAGCGAGTTTAGATGGAATTTAACAAGTACAGATGATATAAATATACCGGATCTGATGGTCCAACAAAGTCTCGAAATGTTTTATGAACGTCACCTTCACCAAAAATTTCAATTGCAATACATGGTCCACTACATAGTTCGTCGACCATTTTCTAAAAAAAAAACAGAAATGAAATCATTCGTACAGAAAGCAACAATTTTTAACTTGGGTGTTGTATAAGATATATCATTTGAGTTGAAAATATAAAATGAACAAAAGAAAAAATGAAGAAATGAAGTTATAAAAAATTATCAACGATGTGTAAAACATACATTGTATTCGTGTACAACACCTTTGTACACTTCAAAAAATTCCTCTGCATTTATAATTTCCAAGTGAAACTATTTAAAGATAATACAAACGCAAATTTTAAAATTTTCCATCAAAATAAAAAGTTTCAGTGGAAATAGATCTAATGCATAAAACATGAAGTTTAAATTCTTTTACCATTTCCAAAGCATTTAAATAGAATCCGTTATCTTGGATATTTTTTAGTATTTTTCCGGCGACTCCTAAAATTTGAAACGAAAACCTGTTCATTTATTTTGACACAACAATGTCTATCAAAGTTTAGATTGATTCTTTACCTTCCTTAACAGAATGCGGTTTAATAATACACAGAGTACTATTTGAGACTCTCGCAGTCGTTCGTCTTTCCGCGTTTGCTTTGAAGAAAAAGTCGATTTCCTGAACAAAATAACACAATAAAGAACGGCAATTTATGTTTGATCTAAGAAGATAAGATTCTCATTTTCCGGTCAGGTTGTACAGCGTGTTTGCAAGGCCATCGGGTAATCAAAAATTTACAGTTTTTATGATCTTTACAATCCACAAGAGCAATTTCAAATGCTTCATAACTATTTCATGTACAAATTTATGAAATTCAGAAACTGTGATGTTTATTTTAGAAGCTATAATGGTATAAACATTACAAAGGTTTTTAAAGTAACATACATACCCTATTGGCTGAACGATCAGAGTCTGAACCATGACAAGCATTTTTCGTGTTATCTTGATAAATACAATGACAGAGTCACAAATAATACTACTTGAATTTAATTACAAACCATAAGACATATGTCAATTCTGATGTCAATAACAAAACGAAATATGGTAGCTACGTACCAAATCCAAATCGAGCACGAATGGTACTGGGTTTATTTGTTCTTGCATCTCGCGAGTCAGTAGGGCCTGTGTATGCAGAAATAAATATAAAAACAATGAAATTACTTTAAATCTTTAACATGTAAGTAACGAGACATAAGAAAGCAAAGCATACCTGATGTTTGCCATGCAATTGATTAACAAACAAACATTTAGCTATACCTAATAAGGATCTCCAAAGGGTAACAGAATTTTCTGCCATTAATTCCATCGCTAAAACCGGGCCAGATGTTATGAACGAAATTAAATTGCTGTTGTTAAATTAAAAAATATTAGAACTGCGCGTCTTAAAATAATAATAATTGAGTTAGAATGAAAAATATCCAACTTGAAAAAAGGCTTGCCAACATGTTCTTCATAGAATTCTTCCGCTTCTTGTCTAAAACATTTACAGAATATAGTGAATAGCAGATAAACTACGTCCTTGACTTTTCAATGGATATTTCTTTCAACAATTGAAGACGTACCTTGAAAGTACCGCAGACTTCATATTGCAAATTGAAAAGCCATTTTGGTAAATTATATCAATAATAGTTCCTTTAGAAAAAGCAATAACGATTAAAACATTAATTTCCGTTTTCTTCATGGATTTATGATCACAGAAAATTAAGCAATGTATGAACTTGGCCCTTCCCCAGCAAATGAACAGTTTAATTTCCTCAGCATTTGTAAACAGTCTGGTTTGAAATAAATTTAAAATATAAAAAAATAATATAGTAATAAAAAATACGTAAAATGTTAAATAGTAAGTTATTACAGACCAACTTCGTTAATGGCATCTGGTTTCACCATTGCAAATGTCCTGAAACATTTTGATAGTTCATTATTGAATTGACGGATATTTTTTTGTTATGTAAAACTTGCTTACTTCTCATTTTTGGACTTCAAACGATTTGAAGTACTAATGTCTGCATAATCTTTAATAGTTAGCTAAATTAAACAGAATGAAAAGCGTACTAAGATGCTGAAAGAGTTCCCTTGATTTCATTTTGTTATGTGAACGAGATAACACATACAAATGCAAAAACTATTGACCAGAAATACTTTTCAAACAAAAAATAAAGAACTTATATGTATTGTAAATTGGGTAACTCAATTATGTAAGTCGTTTTGTTTACAACATGGTCTTGTAAAATTTTTGCTCATACCTGTCTTGAATGAATATTAACTACAGCCCCAATATGTAGATCATGTAATCGTAATTCTTCACATTTTGATCTTTTCAAAAATACTCGTTTATTCTTGATGTCAAACTAACAGTAAGGTAAAAAGAAAAGTTTTCTTTTCAAGTTAGCTTGTTTTAATAAAGTAAATGGTTTGAACATGGGAATATTGTTACACGTTTTTGTATGAAGATCATCCAGGTTAGTAGAGTCATGAGAAGGACAGTTGTTGTTGTTGATGTAGACTGACATTTTGACAATCTGAACAGTAGTCATCTTCAGAGTCAAATGAGGAGTAAACATCAGGTTAGCCGTATTTGTTATCTGTTTCTTACGTCATTGTATTGTGTGTACACAAACATGTTCACCTGTTTTGGAAATTAAAACCAAAAATGCAATGATTTGAGCAATACAATAACAAAAGCCAAAAGTAAGAGGATAACAAAGCAAGACCCAAGTTACATTTAAAATAAACTATATATCAAAGATATGCCAATGTTTACTGTACATTGTACTATAGCTTTCACACTCCATACCTATGACCTTTAGGGTTGAGTTAAACAATAAGACTAGGTATTTCTTTTGTTAAAGCAAATTTCTATTTTTATGAGCAACATTCGTAGAGCTCAAACATTGCATGAATAAACGTGTATTGCACCCTATTTAATAGCCTCATTCAAGAAAGATGGTTAAATGACTCTTTCTTGCCCAGTGAAAGGTGTCAATAGTCATTAGTGAAAGTTACTTCATTTGAGCTTTTGATAAAATTAATTCAAGCGGCAAATTTGTGAACTGAGAGTAAAGTTATCCAATCTTCTCACCATCTCTACAGTGCTGTCCTTTGGATAGTAGAAAAGTTGGTATTTTCGAGTCAGAGCTGCGTTAGTATCGTACCAGTCCGCAATAAAAGCATATCTTCCATCAAAGCTTGCCATTTTTTGTAATAATAAGCTTACACAAATATAAATATAGAGTAGTATAGTTATAAGAAAAAATCGAAACTGTCAGCTGCTGCATGTAAACTTGTTGTTGAGGGCAACAAGCCTGCATGCCTCATAATTTTAGGGACAATTATTAAATATGGAAGTCAGCCGTTGTATTTTCATTACAGTTCTGAATTATTGATTCAACCTTTTATCACAAAAAATTGTCAAAATAACCGAGAAATTACGATTTACAAACTATTTTCCTTTACCAATGATGTATTTCTCCAGTTTTAATACATAACTTTAAACATAAAAATTGTCCCATAAACGTTTGATATGCATGACGTATTTCCGTTGAAAGTAAACACTGGACCTTTGAGAGAGGCACAATCGAGATCACTCATCACACACACAACGTGACATTCAAACAGAAGTAGGATAGGATGGACATTGCTCGCAACTAACGACCAAGATCTTGATCTAAGGAATGATATAAAGCGATATGTGCATTAAGAGTTAAAGATATATCAAAAAAATAGCGATATTGTCTAGATAAATGTTTGCTTTATAACACTGGCATACTGTAAGCCCTTGGTGATAGGCATACATGATTTACGAGGTCTGTCTAGCAATATCAATATCACTGGTAAAATTTATGGTTTTCCTTCCATTTACATAAATCTTGTTTTTTATTCGTGATTATTTTTTATCACAGTGAGATTTTAGGTACAGAATCAGAACTGTAAAATGAGAGATCCAATGAATAGCAACGGTGTATCCATTTACAAAGTGGACACGGAGGAGGTCGATAGTCGGTCAAATACTGAATTGACTGATTTAATCAACAACGCTAAGATTCATGTATTAGAACGGCCAAATCTTGTAGCTCTTCGTAAGAAAAGACTTGAACGCGATAACGCAGCAATGAAGGTATGCCATTTTAACAAACATTCTTGATCTGGGGCGCGTGTGACATTTGAAAAATGAAAACAAAGATGAAATGAACGTACATGATTAATGTTTTAAGTGATATATAATGATATTGAGATAGGATGTTGACTCAATAGCGAAACAATGCTCCAGTCTTTCTTTCATTTCACTTTTAATGTTTTCAATTCATAATTTGCGTTGGCAAAAAGCTAATGCATTGCGATGGAAATTCTATGCTTATTGCACTGATTTCAAAAGCTATACAAATCGCACAGTTACATGTTTCATCAACGGACATTTTTGGACAATCGTAGCAATTTGCGGTATATTTCGTGTTGTTTTATATTTACCATTTATGAGCAATATGGCCCTCGTAAAACGTATAGAGTTGGATTTTGAAAAACGCTCCGCATATGCTACTTGTATAATTTATACATTTAGCTGAAATTTCATTTATTTTACTTTTCACTTTCTATTGATTTATGTTAATATTTATCCTGTGCAAATGACATATCTTGACCCTTACACTGTCAAGAGTAACCCCTTTGGCGACTTTTCTCATTTTTTATTCTCAAATTTTGGATGCATGTTTGAAACATGTTTTTTATTCAATACGACAAAAGAATTAGTTAAAAGCTTCCTAATGGTTGATTTACTTCTTGACAACCATTAGGTTATCAGTCCTTCAATTGCAGAACGTGTTCTTGGAAAGGTTAGTATTATCAATCATTTTCTTATATTAATTTCTTGGAAATCCATCTAGATACATCCCCTTTTCAAACATGTCAAAAATACTTTTCATATGTTAGAGTCCACAGGCGAACTCAAGTGAAAAAAAGGAGTCAGCTGCAATATGTATACAAAGATATTTTAGAGGTCATATGGGAAGGAAAGAATATGTTCATCTTTTGTACAAACAATTTGAAAAGGTTTGTTGTTGTTTTCAAAAAGAATCAAGCAAATTGTTGAATAATGCTTTTTCACTTGTTAGGATGAGGCAGAGAGACAGAAAAAGATTGAGAAGCAAGTGGAGGAAGGACTAGTAATTGTTGATAAGTAAGTGAAAGGATTATGTATTTGTTTGAAAAAAAACATTTAGGAACGTAAAGACACTGTTTATGACTGCAGATTTTAACTGTAAAAAACATAAATTGCTTTTACAAATACTTCTTCAGCTACCACCTGACAATAGAAATGGATGAAAATGACTGTATTAGAAGAAATCAACACAGAAAAGAAAACTGTAGTGCCATGACGTATGTATATTTCATTGTTGATTGTAAATTTTACCAAGTTTTTGTATTATCCTAACAAATCATAATTAATAGTACATTTTTTTTTGTTAAATGTTCAATAATATAATTAAATACATAACAGCGGAAAAATAAGCACATCACAAACAACACACTAGTTTTTTAACTTTTTTTAGCCCAGTTTATTTTATAGATGTGTAGAAATAGATGTGTATTAGTTAGGGCATGAATTGTCCTTTTTTTAATTGCAATTTTATTGATGTTGTGTAATTAATTTTTTTCCCTTTAATGCCTAGTCAGGTAGAACAAGAGTTACATTTCTATATGTTGATTGGCTGTTTATTGATTGCTTTTTACAGGCCTATTAACTTTATTAATTAGCAGCCCATTAACTTTATTTGTCAGTCATATAACTTTATGAATTACCACATTATTTTTTTATTAGTCCGATATAAACCATCTAAGATTGTGAGCATTAGTGGCTCTGATTTTTCATCACATAATGTGAAAGAAAATGTTTCAAACTCTTAAGTTAGACAAAAAATATTTATTTTGAAGAATAAAATGAATCAAAGCTCGGGGAAAAAAACATGAACTTCATAAGTTTGCAGTGGTCAATCATTTATAAGAACAATCAGTGTCTTAATCAATGGCTGACTCAATAAATCATTTCTGTTATCTTAAGTCCTGAAAAATCTGCTTTACACTTAATTGGTGATTGTGATATTTATAAAAATTTAATTAAACATTGTTATTTATGTTGATAATGCTCATATCAATTTTTGGTTTAACATAACAGTTCCATCTAAATAAGAACTAGTGTAGATTAAAGTTCATCTTATGAGACTAGTATAGCATTGAAGACATATAGAACTTGTCTTGGCCATCATTACAATGCACCTTGGCGTTTTGTTCGTGTTAATAAACTTTGTCCTATTACTCTGCAATTTTACGTGTATCATCATGTTTATAAAACATGAAAAACAAGCTCTGCATGATAACGAGGCTTCGCTCGTTGAATAGTTTTAATTTCCAATAGTGATCTCCTTAATTCCGTTATTTTCTATTTATTAGGATTCAAAGAGTTTGGCGAGAATATACGAAGAGAATGCACGCGAAACTTGCTCAATTGAATGAGGAAAATGAAAATTTATCATGGAGAAATAATGAGGATTCAAAGTTTAATGATTTATCTTTGGTTGAATCAACCTCTATGGCTAAATGTCATGAAGAAGTCTTAATTAAGAAGCAAGATGTACATCAATCAGATAGCGAATCTGAACAGGAATCAAGTGATGTGGAATTGTATATCAAATCTACGCTGAGCACAAGCGTTACATCAGATAATTCAGAATCAGTAGATTTAAACAAAGAGCTTCCACCATCGTCTACAGATTGGGAATCAATAGATCATTGCTTAAATTCAAACGGCTTAGATAACTCTGATTCACAATATACTCCTGATCCGAAGGTGATCAACAGGCTGTCAATTGGACCAGACTATTTGCAGTTGTGTTTTGAAGATGACAATGTTTTATCTGATGAGGATAGAACTGATCATGAAGATGCAGAAATAAAAGAATACATTATTGAAGACAATCCGTGGGATGAATCCTATGATTCGAAAAAACGTGATTCCGGATGTGTAATGAAAGACGATGAACTTTGTTTAGAACCACTTGATGTGAAAATAATTAAACCTGAAGAACTTGAAGGTACACAAATAACAGATGAAGAGACAAATCGTGTTCTTACACAGCTAAAGTCTGTCACTGAAACAGAAATGGACATTGAGAAGGCAGATATCTTTCGAAAGAAATTGGAAAGATTTAGTGTAAGGCATCTAGAGACACAAATCAGAGATCTCAAGTTAAAAATCAAAGGTAAATTTGTGTCGATTTTCTTTTTATTTACGGTAAACACACATAATTCTATATCCTTCGTATATGGAGCTAGCGCGTTCAACTCACTGAGTCCAACTTAGCATGAGCATAATCGAAGATTCGGGGAGGTAAATTTAAACAAAAGCGTGGCGGCTGAATGAATTCCCTTACTTAGTGTAGACTGTAGAGCAAACAATTTTTGTAACTGTAGCCCCATGTTGATAACAAATCGACAAATTCTTTTGAAACAGCATTCATGTCTGACCTATGAAAGTGAAAAAAGTTTTGACGATTGTTTCGTTTTTGACATTTAGCCTAAAATGGGAAGATGTTTTTCAAATTGATATTTTTGTAGATGTATCTGATCAATTGGTGAGAGAATTACTTATACGAGACCAATTGCATACAAAACAAGATGCCCTTTTAATGGACGTTGAAGATGCAGTGAAGTATGTTACATTAAGCACACACTAGTTTGCGCACAATGATTATTAGCTTACCAAATTTGATTTAACATGGATGGTAAAATTTGAAATATTTTGATTTATGTTCACATTAAGTATTTCATTTGATTTCTTTGACATATAATGTTGCAGATACGCTCAAACTAGTCACGATATGTTGAAGAAAAATTCCAAATAAATACTATCAACCATTGGGTTGTTCGTACACCTACTGAAGAATACTGTTTGCATATGAGCAGTTATGAACATTTGTGTTTTTACACATTTGAGTTCTTCAAGTTTATTCAGCATTGCTGAAGATATTATGAATGATTCAACCTCTGCTGAAATAATTGATATAAGGCTGTTCGATGGCAGTTTCTGTGCATTCTTGGTTTAAAAGACACGGAATGAAATTTTTATATGTAAGTATCTACACCTCTCCAAATGGCAGAGACGAAACTGGACTCACTAAAAAATACACTTGGTACAATATATATATATAGTATAATATGTCTAAGAATAATTGGATAGAAACCTTTAGAAGGAATTAAGCGGTACATTACCAAAACTTGGATACAAGAGAATGAGAGGGAAAGAACTTATGACCATGTTTTATGTTAATTAAAGTAACGTGTAATCCAGCTGAGTCTTCGGATTTTTATGATTTGTTTTTTCTAACACGTCTGAATATTCATATCTGAAATGTTATAAATTATACATTTTAGCGAAATGAATAACACGGATAGTTTTTATTGGTTGATAACTACAATGAAATGGTTTTAACTCATACGACATTACGTTATGTACATGTCTCTACATTTTGTAAAATATCTTCCTTCGTTTCGTCTGTTGTAATGATCCCACGTTTAAAAATAGATACGCTCAGCGAAAACAATTCACTATCCACAGGTTCCATGGTTGTGTTATCCAACAATAGTTTTGTACCAAGCTATACAGGAAAAAGAGGACGTTTTGTATTTTGCATTTGACAAGATATGTTTCATGTAGTTACTGATAAATGACCAGTTTGTGTTAAGAAGCCTACACCATTGAAAACCTAGCACAAACTGAAAATATATCCGGAAATCTATGGCGAACTTAGTTTTTTTTTTACATTCAATCATATCCAGTTATAACTACTTTTTTCTAACAAACATCGCGACATAATGTAAACTTTTTTGCACAAATTGTTGTTGCGAAAAAAGAAAAATTATCGCATGATTTAATATTTTACACAACCAGCAGAATGCAACTCGGTAAATCATCAATAAAACATAGTAACATAGATTAATACCTTCATCGTAGCAAGTTTACGGAGTTTTTTGCGAATAAAAAAGTCACGTCTGGCACACAAAGCACGACGGCAAGGTCCTATGTCACTAACTACACCTTCCCTTTCTTTCAATCTTCTTGCTTCTGCAGCAATGAGACCACCTAATCTCAACTTTTTCTTGTCAGTTTTCAGAAGCAAACTTTTCATTCCTTTGTCTGGGGCATCTTGAGCACATTTCTCTTGTACTAGTTTGCTTAAAGTAGGTCCCGCAAGAGCAGATGACAACCCAATACGGGAAAATATATTTCCAGCTGAAAAGCGTTTGATGTAGTCACCAGGTTCTGAAACTAAATGTAAAAAGATGTATGGTGCAACTTCTGGTAACTGTGACTGTACTATAACACCAAGACAATAAACATGAATAGTACGACGAATGATTTTACCTTTTTCTGTGTTTGTTTCAAGGACACTCCAATCAACATCAGCCATATCAAGAGTTTGAGTTTTTCCAGTTTCTTTATTGTCCTCATTACTGGTTACAGTCATTGGTTCCCACTCATCGTCACTGATAAAATCATATGCACCATTCTCATCATCATTTTGTACTTTATCAATCTTTTTATCTTCAGCTTTTTCATTGTCATCGAATTTAGCAGCAATACCATCTTGGTTCAAATCGATCTCTGCTTTGCTCTCATCAAGATTATTGACCACCTGAAGAGAACAAAAATACATTTATAAGTTAACATAACTTATACATCTCTGCGTTATTTATAGAAGGATAGCTTCTATCACACTCTGCTGGTCTACGTTACACAATATAAACATTGCATGACCTGTTCGTGAGCATTTTGTCTTGTTAACATAACTGATACATTTTCATTTTTCTCTGCATCGTCTATAGGTAGAGGTGGTGGATCATCGTCAATATCAGAACTGTTTTTATCTGTAGGTTCTTCAGATTTGGATTTTTTTTCTTCTTTATCTTTTGAGGTTTCACGATATTGCTTTTGATCAGGTGAAACAGTTTTATCACTTTTAGTGTTCTCGTCATCCAATTTTGTCTTCTTATTTTTCTTGCCTTTTTCTAAAGGACAACAATATTTTTGTAAGATTTTGTGAATGGTAGTTTTAGTAACTATTGATTGAAAAAAAACTACACTTCATTTTCACCTTTATCCTTGTCTTTCTTGGGCTTTTTGCCATCAAGGTCTCCCTCTTTTACGACAGGATGCTTATCCATAACTATGTCAGTATTTTTTGCAGCAGAACTTTCGCTAATCTTTTTTTCTGGAGTTGAAGCCTTTTTACGTTTCACATAGTCAGATCGTGGTGAGCGTATCGGTGAATCTTTACCGCGTTTTCTAAATCATTGAAAGATTGAAAAGTTTCAGGAAAATAGCGATTGTAATATAACAAGGAAACAATGTTACCGTGATGTAGTTTGCTGGTCAGGACTGTTGCCTTCTTCATAATCCCATTCTTCTGAATCATCAGGATTTCCACCTGCAATACGCTTACGATGATGGCCTAAATGAGTACAATTAAATGTTATAATAATAATGGCAACAGTGAGCCAAGTCAACGTACGGTTGACGATACCAAATATTTTTGTAAAGCTTTGAAACACTTGTACGTGTCCAATACGTGCCTTTTCTTTCGCCACGGTTCGTTTGCGGTGAGTTTCTCGAACGTTTAGATTTGGAAATCGGTTTGGGCTCATCTTGATATCTGTCACCGCGTCCCTCATGATACCTGTCTGTATCTCTATATCCTCGACGATCATGCCAACTTCCTTCTTCCATACCTCTATAACGTCCGCCTATAAATAACAAGTTTTACATACTCTTAGTTATTTTATGGGAAAATCTAAAACAGAATACAGTTTTTTACAAAACATCGTATAACGCCATCATCAAGATGAACAGTTATTACGCTTCTGTATTATATCTATGAACGTGATGCATTTTAATGTCAATTTTCAACCATTTTAGGAAAATTAATGTTAACATTAAGCAATTTTGTTGAGTTTGTTCTTCTATCCTCAATTCAAATTATGTATGTACTGTGAAATTTCACCTCTGTCAGGATGCAATCTGTCTCCATCAAAATGACGCTCATAATCTCCAGGAATCCCTCTATTATCTCCACGTCTATCATACTCTCTTGTATCGTAGCCGCCATCATATCGTTCACGTGACCAATCATTAGCAAAGTCAGGAGGAGCATCTCTATATTCTCTCCTCATGTCTAAAGGATGGCGTTCTCTATAAAAATCATTGAGATGTGAGGACACAAATTGTGTATTCTACACTAATTATGTTGAAACATTTATATTTACCTTTCATCAAAATCGCGAAATCTTTCCCGTTCACGGTTATCTCTAAATTGCATTCGAGAAAAGTCGCGGTAATCTCTAGATTCCCTTGGATCGCGTACGTCTCTAACATTTTTACTTCCTCTTGGATCTTCCATTCGTGTTCTTCTTACATCTTGTGTGTTCTCTCCACGGTGATATTTATCGTCTTCCCGGCGTTCTTTTCGCCCTTTCTCCTCAGTAGGACGTTTGGCAACGTCATTTCGTGATTGCTTTGATACATCACGAGAATTGACATTTGCGTTCACGTGGCGTGTAGCGGGTGTACTTTTATTTGAACGTTGTTTATTATTGACCTCCGAGTCGGATTCCTTTTTCTTACTCTCCTTAATCTTTGCAGTTTTTTTGGATACATTGCCACGATTCGTTTCATCTTCACTCTCGGATTCATCAGTGCTACTTGAGCTATCATTTTCGCTAGATTCCGTTATATTTTCATTTTGTATTTGAAGAGGAAGATGCTTCGCACCGCTGGAAGATTTAACACTCTTTGTACTACCAGGTTGCTTGCATTTAACGTGAGCGCTTTTCTTAATTTGCTTTTCTGATAGAAACGTAGACTTGTTTCCCGATGTCGGGAGATCTTTCTCGAAAGACAAAGGAAGCTGAGTCAATTCTGGGGATTGTATACGAGGACTGATCTTTTTTCCTTCTTCGTCACTTAGCTTGGGTTTTTGAATCTTAACATTTGTAATTGGCGCGCGGACAACAGAAGCAGACTCTTTCAATTTTCCAACTTTTTTATGTTTTTCTTTAAGAAGTGATGTCGCTTTCTCGTTGAGATTCTTCTGCCTTTTTAACTTCTCGATTTCTTCATCTTTTTGCCTGTTTTCAAACGAGAGATTATTTTGTTGATTTTCCTTTTTCCGTTTAGCTTCCTTAGTTTGACTTTCATGGAATCTCTCATTTCCATGACTCAGTGGGATTTGTTCGCCAATACGAAATGGTTCATGTTGATAGTGACGCTGTTTCTTCTCGGGTGAACGTGCTTTGACTTGAGATGAAAGACCTTCCCAATCTTTTGTTGTAGAACGTTTCTCAAATGTCGGCGACCGTCCTACAGGCGAGGGAGATTTTGCCTCTCGTTCGTGATGAGAACCCCTGATTTCTTTTTCGTCACCTAGCAATCGACGGTTTTTTCCAAAACCAATAGTTCCCGATTGTTTTTCATAAGTCAACGCAGTATTTTCTTCATGTTGTTGAGATGACCACGACAGTCTTTTACTGCTAAATGAACCTGACTTTGAATCGTGTTCCATGTGTGTTTGTCGCGATTTTTCAATCTGTGTCTTACGTTCAGACTGCAAAGATTTTGCATCCTTTTCATATTGGCCAACTGATGCATTTCTTACCTGACGATTTTCTTTTTCTAACTGAGGAGCTCTTTCAAATTGTCGATATTCTTCGCCATGGTAATCTCCTTCATATTTAGAACTTTTTTTCTGTTCCAATTGTCTAGTATCTCTTTCAATGCTTTCTTCGGCCTGCAGTTGACGTGATTTCATTTCATACTGCTGCGCGTTCATACGTTCTTTTTCAAACAAACGCGACTCCATTTGTGAACGACTTTGCTTATCATAATGATAAGAATCTGCTTCATAACGATGTCCAGGTCGAGTTCTGTCAACTGGAGGTAAAAACTCGCCGTGTCTCTTGCTTTCTCGGTACAAATCTTGTTGGAATACGGCACCTTCAAAATGAGATTTTCTATGAGAAAGATCGCTCTGAATCCTTTCGTGATCTGAATCTGTACCATGTTTCTTCTTTTTTTTCGTCTTTTTTCGTTTGTCCACACTTTCAGTTGCATTACCATCGAAGCTTTCATCATTTTTATGAGATTTCTTTTTCCATTTCTTTTTCGATTTATCTGACTTGCTTTTCTTTTTCTTTTCTATCTTAATTTCTTCGTCCTGAAATGGTGGGGAAGGATGTTCAACAAGGGGCATATTTGATATGGTTACAACAGGATCATCGCTGTCATCAATCGTGGCAATTTTTCGTCGAAGATCTTTGCGTCTTTTCTCCAATTCTTTTTGACGAGCTTGATTTAACGCACCTCTCGTCTCCCAATCAAGTTCATTTCCCTGTTGCCCTTCATCACTATCACTAATGCTTGGAAGATTCCACTCACTTTGGTCAGCATCAATCTCTTGTCGTTTAGTTGAGGTTTTTGTATCATCTTTCGGTCTTCGATACCCTCTTGACTCTTTTAACTCTTCAAAATAAATATGGAAAAATGTAAAAAAAACAAGTATGAAAACTGTAAAAACTCAATATGGTAAAAAATAGAGAAAAGTTAATGTGAATACCTTGATGTAATGATTCTTTAGTGACTTTAATACTTTCTGGCTTCATTCGTTTTGCTGGCTTTCCTGCAAACTGATCAATTTCCTCAGGACTTGGAGCTCTTTTTAGTTTAACTTCACTTTTTCGCTCACTAGATGAGCCTAAGCAAAGATATTTAATAAAAACCAACCAGGATCCACTCATGAACAAGCAGATAGTGGCATAGCAACAACATTCATGGAATATCCTACCACAAACACCATATCACTGATTAAAATGGCAAAGTTAGATTAAGGTTGGGTTAGCATAAAGGTTATGGTATTTTTAATTTCAGGTAAGGGTAACATGCCATGTTTAATGAATGCATTGAAGTAATGTAACAGAAATTAGAAAAATCAAAAACTTACTTGAGTCTTCATTCTTACTAAAAAAAGAGAAAACAGTTTTTAAAGAAAACATCTTGACATTCAAGCAAGCAATGTAAGTAAAACAAAAAAAAAACATGTAAGTACAAAATTTTCTGAAAAAATTTCAACAAATGTTGATGCAAAATTAATACACAACATCAATTTTATTTAAAATATACAACGATAAAAAATCACAAATACCTTACAATACTTCTGATCAACTTCATTTTTGAGGATGCAGAACCGTGATCATAACGACAAGTTCTACCATATGGACAATGTTTATCTTTAACCCAATTCCTACATTTCTCAACAACAACTTCTTTATACTCCTCTCTTCTTGAGTGAGATCTCTAAAAATGAGATAAGGTACAAAAATATACTAACAAATGATTGGTTAACCATTTAAAACCTGAAAATATCATCACACGTTTGTCAATGCTCAGGTTCATGAAGTTCTTAGGAGAACTGTTAGTGTTGAATGACTATTAATACCAAACCAACAATTAACACTAGCACCAACAGTCTTTCTCAGGAGTCATGACTGCACTAAGTAGACATTTAAACATCTAGAAACATCAAACATGTACAACCTATCATATTCAGTATCCTTTCATTTGAAAAAATGAAAAAACACTGAGCCTAACAAATATACACTTTTATAACACATACACTCATAATATGTAAATATACGATACTCAACAATAATGTAACTATGGCTTGAGACAAATAATACTTATTATCAATTTACTCAACTATTCTTCCCCTACTAAAGAAACTTAATATCTTATTGAAATACCTCAGTCGTAGTCGTACCAGGTCCCAGTCGATCAAAGACACTTTTTCTATTTGTACTGGTGTCCGCAGCATTATAAGTTCCCTCTACAGTGACTTTTCTAGATGATCGTGATCCAGACATATTGAAATAGTTTCCTTCTTTTTAAGCCATCTTCGAATTTGAAGTTGAACAGTTGAATTTATAAACAATGTATTGTTGAACAGTGAAGCATTAGTCGCTGAGTCGGAGCTAAACGTAACAGTTCGTGTATCGTCGTAATTAGCCGTGATATTTGACCATGTCGAGACCATGCTGTTTTCACCATAGTTCTGACTGACTAAACCTCGGTAATCCAGAAACATCAAACAATGAGTTCAACGCAGGAGTCGGATGGAAATTTTCGGTCATTATTTGGTGGTTCAAAATGGAAAATAGCTCTTTATGTTGGTGTGCCATTATTAGGAGTTGGAGTTGTTTGTACGATGTTGTGGATTAGACGTTCTGCTCAAGATTCAAGTCAATCAACTTTTGAGCAACAGGACGATGACGTAACTGAAGTAGAAGAAGAACTAGAGATGGTATATATGTCTATGTTCAAAATCTATGTTAGTTATAACTGAAAAAAAGATTTTACCCTCCATGCCAAGCCATGATCCATCAACTAATACATATACATAACCGTATACAGAAGATCATAACCAAAAAATTACCATTGAATCAGCATCAAAATTTCTATTCATTTAGGTCAAACAGCTTCAACACCATACAGTCTCTGTTCATCATTGTCTTAATTCTAAATTTTGCAAAAACTTTAATTGCGTAGTAGATATTGTAACAATGAACATTAAACAAGGGAGAGTGATGAGGGGGAGTGATTTTATGTACATATGGAAGCCATGGGGCTATGATTTGATAAATTTGATGTATGTGTCATTTGCTTATTTAGCTAAGAATTTTTTTTGTTTAAAAATGCACATTTCATTGAAGTTTTCGTATCCCATATTTGTTGATCAATGACAATTAGCTATTATTTTGATGCTATAAATTTTTGTAGAGCCCAGCTGAACTGGCACAAAAATCAAAAATTAAAGGCAATGAACTATTTAAGGCTAATAAATTTAAAGAAGCCATTGAATCATACACCGAGGCTATAGCAATATGCCCTGAAGAAAATAAAGCTGAGCTGGCTATTTACTATCAAAATAGAGCTGCTGCATATGAGCAACTAGTAAGTAATACTTCATAATTTATTTCATCCTGCTATATTATGGTATGTTTGAATAAGGTTGTAATAGTCCTCCCAAAAAATATATTGCATTGTCCTTATTCTTCAAAACTGATTTCACATACAAAATGCCCCCATGTTTCAGAGCAAATCAATAAATTTGTTATTTTCAGATATTTTCCAATTTGTTATAGAAAGAATATGATAAAGTTATCTTGGATTGTCAGAAAGGTATATGACAGTCTATAACATCATCAAACCTTCAAGTGCTAAGATTCAATCTCCATTTTACAAAGCTTTACAGTACAATAAAAGATACACAAAAGCCTACTGGCGAAGAGCAAAAGTTTATGAAAAGTTGGATCAAAAACAAAATTCTTTGCAAGGTACATAAAATAGCTTAATCAATATTCGTTTCCATTTAAATTACTCTGGTAAATTATCAGAGAAAGGAGCTTACGTATGCAAACTGTGAAATGTTATTCTTTAGCATATGCAGTGTAATACAGAAGGGCCACTCTTCATTACACCTGCTTACTAAATTGCAGTAAGTCAGTGACATATCCAGCTCAATAAGTGGGGAGAAAGATATTGATATAAGTATTAATCCTAAAAAACAATTGATTTCAAATGCTAAATGCACTTATATGGCAAAACATTCACATATGAATATTATTCTCCTGGCATCTTCCCCTCCCCCTCTTCTTCCAAGGATTGAGGTGGGGAGTTCACTGACTTTACTACAGTTTTATAAGAAAGTGTGAGGACATAATATATTGTGTCATTTCTCTTGCATGCAAAGTTGTTGAACTTATGTGGAAAAATATAGTATTTGTTGGAAATGTCTTGCTTATATAACTGTCAAAGGCAATTAAGGCAACATTGGTATTTTGTCTATAATGAATCAGCTCATTTTTAGACTTGACAGCTGTATCGATGATTGAAGGCTTGCAAAATTCTTCATGGATGGTGCAAATGGATGAAATATTAAAAAACATTGGGACAGAAATGGCTCGTGAAAATTTCAAAGTAAAATGTAGTTTTATTCCATATTTCAAACAAAAATTAAATTTACAGTTTAAGTGTGCTAATTAATTGAATATCAAATTGACTCATTTTACTAGTCTTGCAGCAATGACTTAAAAGATTCAATACTCTGTTCAATTTACTTAGTCTTGCAGCAATGACATAAAAGATTCAATACTCTGTTCAATTTACTTAATCTTGCAGCAATGACTTGAAAGATTTTAATTGAGTCATGAAGAAAGTGAGAATTTGGCATACCAGTTTTTTTGTTTTTGGATTCATTAAGTGTGTTTATCTTTTCAAACTCTAGAACCGTGTAAATGTTTTACCATCAAAGGTTTTCATTAAAGCTTATCTTGATTCATTTTGTGAAGGTGTGTAAAATAATAGAGTTGAGCTGGCATTAATCTTGTTAAATCTATGGCTCATTTTTCACTTTTTTCTTTTTTTAGACACTCTCCTAACATTGGGTGAAAAAGATGATGTTGAATCAAATTTTTATCTACAAGCAGTCAGAGAAGTGCTTGATGGAAAATTTGAAAACATTGTCACATTATGCACATCGGAAATTGATGAATCTGGTTAGACAAACTTGATTCTAATTTTTGCACAACTATTTATAAGTCATGCTCATACATAGCTACATTGGCCAAATGGAATCTCCAATCACCTGTCAATATTTTTACTGATTTGTTTTTACTCCATTTCAGCACCAAATGAAAACTTTGCAAAAGCACTGTGTTTACGAGGAACTATGTTTACCTTAATGTCAATGCATACTGAAGCTTTACAAGATTTCGATCGACTTATAAATTCAGAAGAAGCCTCAATTAAGGTAGAAACATTGTTGGATTTTTGCAATTTCTTCTGTCAGTACTTTGTTTGAATTATCCTAAAGAGTCTATATCATGTTTTTGCATTTGTGCCATTTAGATACATGTAGTTCTGGCTTCTTTAAAAACGTTTGCAATATATTTTATAGTTCAAAAGTATGATTTTGCTGGATTTTTTAGCATTCAAACTTGAAAAATTGATCATTTCATTGTTTGACTGCCAGTTTAAAATCACAAGGGGAATTAATGCATTGTATTTTTTATAAAATTGGATGTTTTTCAACAAAGATCAAATTTTGGAATTATAAAATATAGTGCCAATATGTATGTTTTTAAAAACCCTTTTATTAATATTGCTGTCATTGATGTGTCTATCGTGGAGTTACTTATTTTGCAGGTTAAGGTTAATGCACTAATAAAACGAGCTAGCATCAAGGTGCATACAACTCAAAATACGCAAAATGCGTATGCAGATTTTGATGAAGCAATCAAACTTGATCCTGAAAATTGCGACATTTTTCATCATAGAGGACAGGTACATATGACAACAAGTTCAACTCAAGACTCTAAAACATAGTTAAATTTGTCATTAATCATGTCTACCATTTTAATGTTTGACTGTCTTTAATGTGTGAGCAATAATGTATTGAAAAGTTTTGCCTTTGTTGTATGAAAGGAGTTAACTCTTGCTATTTTTTGTGCCATCTCTATAACATGGAATATTTTTGCTCTTTTTATGTAGTTGAAATTCAATTTTATGTTACCTGTGTAGTAAGCTTGAAGTTTAAATATTTTCTTGTCGTGTATACCAAATTGTTAATTTTTTTATAGCTAAGCATTTATGGTAGATACATATTTTTGTTTATTCCTTTTTCAACGTACGTACATGGCACAAAACAATTATTGCATGGGGCTTTTGCAGATCCATTTTCCTATCTTTGTGTTTCTCTCAGACGTCCGTTTATCGGTTGTTAAATACAAGGTCAGAATTATGTGGGTATTTTTTATTTCATTTTTTTAGATAAACGCTTTGACTGAAAAGATGCAAGAGGCAAAGGATGATTTTGAAAGATGTGCTGAGTTAAATCCTTCATTTGTTCCTGCCAAAGTTCAACTTGCATTTTGTATTTATAAAACAGCTTTAATGCAACAGTCAGCCTTATTAATCCAAGGAGCTAGACGAATGTTTGACGATATTATTTCATCTCATCCTAAACATGCAGATGCTTATAGTTTATTTGCTCAGGTATGGTATAAATATTATCTGCGTTTTGTTACTTGATGGATGCACTTGGGGGGGAGGGGGTGGATACTATGATTTGAGCAATATTCCTCTGGATGAGTGTAGGATTTTGTTGGTTATTTTTCATGTTTGTTCTTCCAACTGGGCATTAATTTTGATAATACGACTGTCTGTTATATTGCTGCTGGCTAATATCGCTCATTCATTGACACTGTTTTTAAGATTACCAGTTCCATGAAAATTATTAAAAAACGCAACATACGTACAAGAGACGAGCTTAACATAACACTGGTTTTAGCAAATTACGCCAAGTAACTACTTCAACAGTGATATTTATTTTTGAGACTGCCCACAGGATGCTGGTAATGTTTCCCTGAAAGCCACCAGTGAATGTAACTTACAACGTTACTAAGTCGTAAAAAGTTCGATGCCTATTTCTGGTTCTTTAGTTAAATCAGGAAATGCAAGACTTTGAAGCTGCTGAGAAGAACTTTGACACAGCTATTTCACTTGAGCCAAACAACCCAGTTCATTATGTTTATAAAGCGTAAGTTTTTCATACTTGTCGTCCCACATGATTAATCTTCTTTTTCAGTCTATTTTCTATAGTTTTGTTTTTATATTGTTCTTTGTGAATTAATGCTTTTGTAGGTTATTAATTTGCCAATGGAAAAAAGATATCGAAAAGGCAACAGATCTTTTGAAGAAAGCAGTTGTTCTGGACCCAAAGTGTGATTTTGCTTTTGAAACTCTGGCAACATTACAAGTTCAAAGGTTCTCCAATTATTATATTTCCTTCATTAATCAGGGCTCCAATCATAAAGATTTTAGAAGATAAGTAATGATTTTGTGACCTTTATGGTATAATGTCTTCAAATCTAAAGCATAAGGTTAAATTTTGATTCTAAAAAATCTTGGAAAGCTCTAGATCTAGGAAGTCGTAGAAAATTGAGAAATTGAGCGTCATTTGGCTTAGATAAAAGACTGCCTTTATTGGCCAATGAATTTAGATCTAAGCTATATCCCTCATCTCTATAGTATCGCACGTCATAATAATGCATAAATTTTAATGCACGTCATCGCACGTCATAATAATGCACAAATTTAAATGCACGTCATAATAATGCACAAATCTATAGTATCGCACGTCATAATAATGCACAAATTTTCAGGGAAATTGTTTAGTTTCAAATGCCCCAGCATAACTATGAGGGGGGAAAACTGTAGAGAAAAGTGCTTTGGAAAATCCCGATTTTATGAAATTAGTGTAGTGAATAAAATCACCAGTCCTTGTGATGCGTACCAATATCTTTTTCCCCAATCTTTCTGACAGTAATATCTTTTTGACGATTGTAATATTATCTGCATTATAGCGGAGACTTTAAAGAAGCCATCAGTAATTTTGACAAAGCCCTAGCATTGGTAAGAAATGAAACAGAAATGGCTCATACCTATTCAATACGACAAGCTGCACTAGCTCAGGAATATGTTACGAAAGAAATTGGTTTGACACCACCAAGAATGTTCTGATATAGCAAAACCAGTTGATATAACATCATCAAGGTTGGGTTTTATTGCGAAATAAATTCACCATTATTCCACTTTTTCTGTCATACAATGTGAGTTATAACATGAAACATACTCAAATAAAAAGTTCATGTTTGACTCAATATTTTATTTGGAATATACTTCATATTATATACTACATAAAATTGTCAGCTGGTAATGGACAATGTGAGTTAATAGTCACCTTATATTAACATGAAAGTTTGATTTATTTTTCAGTTGGTTAGTTGTGTTTCACACGCCAGCTTTATAGTAGATATGAAATTGACGTAGATATGAAATCATGGTGGTGTGTAAAAAAGGCTACTTTTAGTAAGCACTTCTCTGAATCGTATTTTAATTTTTTTTTATTCCGTATCTCGATGTTTATTTACGTTTTTGGCATTATTGCTGTCTTATATATAAATGAGACGAAAACTGTGCACATACTATATGAAGTGCAAGACTATATTTTGGGCTTATTTTTGTTCACAACAAGAAATATCAGCTAGAATTACGATTTGTCGGTAGCAGTGAAAACATGCAGTTGAAAATGCTGTAGACTATAAAAATACAATGAGCTTCTACGCCTGGTGGTTAAATCGACTTGTGGATGCTTTGTTAACAAGAGAAGAGATTGGAGGGAACGGGTACTTCTTTGGTACCAGCAAAGATTATAATCATTAATCACTGCAAACTTTTGAAGTCTTTACTAAAGTACTTCATACGAGAAAAAGCATTCTATGCTTTTTAAGAAAAACGTGGCATATAGTCTGCCAGCTTCATGTTCATCATGTTCGATCTGTCAACAGCCTAACTGAATGAGCGCGAGCCACTTCTCTCAATCAAAAAATCAACGTATGACGCTGGCGTCCAACGTATTGTAAAAATTCGACAAGTCCTTTTGTAAATTTATTGTGAAAATTGTTTTGTAACTATCGACATTGCTGCTTCGTCGCGTTTCGCTAACTTTGCTAAACAAAATAAAAATATTAAGCTCTCAAATGGTGGACGTTTGAACGGTTAGAGTGAAGAACAGATGCTGGCAATCCCAAGGCCGAGACCAATGAAATTAGATCTAAGCTGTATCCCTCAACAAGAAACTCCTCCACATTCATTAGATGAGATTGTACCTACGCAGGTATTGACAAACCTCCATATTGGAGAAGAGATTGGCAGCGGAGGGTTTGGTACAGTATATTGTGGCTTTCTTAAAAATGAAAGAGTTGCAGTGAAGAAATTAAGGTCGAACACTAAAACAGAAGAACTAGTGTGGAGTAGTTTTTTGGCCGAGATGCGAGTGATGCAATGGAATCATGAAAATATTATCAAGGTTCTTGGAGCTATGATGTTGAAAAATGTTCCATGTTTGGTAATGGAGTTTCTACCTGGCAGAAATCTTCATCAGTTGATCGAATGTCAAGACGAAATATTTCTCCTTGCTCGTCGCGTGAGTATTACCTCTGCAATAGCGTCGGGCCTCGAGTATATTCACAATCAAGGAATTGTTCATCTTGATATCAAACCTGCAAACCTGCTCATGAAAGATCAGTGGTCCTGTAAAATTGCTGATTTCGGTTGTTCTCTCAAAGTAGAGGAACTTGAAGACGACCCTCGACCGAATTTTTACTTAACTGGTACGCATGCGTATAAAGCACCAGAATTACTATTGGGTGAATTTCCAACAACCCAAGCTGACATGTATTCTTTGGGTGTATGTATGTGGCAGATGTTGGCACGTGTTGAGCCATACACTGGCGAGGATCCACAGTTGGTGTTATTTGGAATAGCCACGAATACAGTGAGACCAAAAATTCCAGCGGTTATTCCTGAGTCTGAGCTTACATACAAAAATTGGTTTGAAAATTGTTGGCAAGGTTTACCTAATGATCGACCAACCTCGTCGTCTTTGCTCATCGAATTGAAGAAAACAGGATTTTAAGGGAAATTGATACAAACCATTTTGCAATACCTGTGGATGTGGAGAAGACATTCAATACATTTGTTACATATTTGCCAACAGGTTGAATTTTAGACTGCGTTGGTCAAATCTTATATTGTATTGTAACCGTTAAGAAGATTATGCATGTAACTTTTTTTGAGTCGTGAAAATTAAAAAGTTGGTTAAAATCATACATATTGCTTCATGAATGAATTGTGTTTTTATTATTATCGTGAGTGAATTTGTTAGTTAAGGATAAAGTGCAGACTGGTTCTAGATATAGAGTTAGTTAAGATGTTGAAATCAAGCTTGGAAGGTTTTATGGTCACTACTACTAAAATGTTCCCTTGATAAAATCTAACCGCCCAGAGAAAAACTCCGACTTTTAAAAGCATAAATTTTTGTTTAAAGAGTATAATTCATTAAAGGCTTGCGGTACAAGTTTCTTATATATATTACTAGTAGTTATGTATAAGTACTTGAAAAACACAAATGCTGGGTTCACCTCACACTGCTGGCAAGAACTTCCTCTTTTTTCTACGTTATTTATATATGAATAGTAGGAAAAAATAAATATGCTGAAACTATATAAAATCGACCACACTAACCTATTTATCGCATACAAAGTGCTTTAAAAATCATATTACATCTTTCATTTCATGTAAGCATTTGTAGCAAATAATCTACACAACTTGAGTCTTATACACAGAAATAATGTAAGTAATAGAAAGTTCACGAAAAGATTAATTAGCAAAGAACTTGTAGGTGGGATTTTCAAATCCATCTTCTTGCATCTTCAAAAGATGACGTTTCTCTTGGGAGTTGTCATCGTCATCAGCAATCACGGTCTTGGTGCATTTCTTTGGCGTACTTTTTCTGACAAATAATGCCAACACAATGACCACCATGATCACCAAAGCACCACAACTCAAACCAATGATTGCAGCAAAGACTGCACGTGATCTGATAGGATGTACATGTTTGCCATTAGGAGCATGCGGCCTTCCAAATAGCATGCCGTTGTGTACAGGTAAATCTTCAGTAGGAGATGTAGAATCATGCTCATGTTCACGTTTTTGCTCGTCTTTATCAAGGCCGAGTGTTCCGTCATCTTCATTTGAATCAAGAGGTTTGGTTTCCACTGGAGCAGTTGTTGGTGGTGGAGCAGTTGTCTTGGGCTTGTGAGCAAACTATGTAAGTTGTTGTACATGGTCAATAATGATAATTTGTAGAGAAATATAACAAAGAGCAAATATTCAATTTACCTCAAAATCAATATCCATGGCAAAAGGAGGTAAATTGAAATCAATCTTTCCATGAACTGAGTCAATGTGCTTTAATATCTTAACAGCTTCTCTCAATGGTGTTTTCACGATATTCAAATGCGATAAGAAAAGATCTCTGTAACTTATCAACATCTTTGGACCTTTCCCCAAAAGTTTTTTTGAAAAACTGTGCATACTGGGAGAAAAAGAGTTTAAAATTAGCTAAATAATTAGAACTATAGTACTCTTCCTACATATGTTATTATATACACACTTTGCATCTTGGTCGCTTTGCAATACATTCATAAAACGATGAAAAGCCTTGATAATCTTTCTAGGTTTATCTTGATGATTTCTCACAGCATCAATAAATGCATTCATAGCAATATGTTTCTTGTGGTTCAAGTTCATTTGAACACATTCTTTCTTTTCCTGTGACAACTGCAATTGATCGAGCTTTGCCTGGCTTTCAATATTTTTCAGTGTACTCTCAAAAATGTTTAGACTTTCTATCAACATAAAACATTGAACAAATTACAAAATGTTTCAGCTAATTGAAGAATTAAAATGGAAAATTATTATAATTGCAACAAATCTGTTTAACCAACTTGATTGGCAAAATTTCTTAAAGAAACTCACTTTTGTACATAGCCTTTGCTTGTTGTGGATCGTCCTTTTTCAACTCCTCCATTCGAGCTTTGGCTTCATTCAGTTTTTTAGTTAAATCTCTCACTTTGCCATTTTTCAATTTTAACAGGAGATCACTCTTTGTGTTATACTTAGAACGTTTACAACCTAGCGGCAAAACACCATGAAATATATTTGAAGATGACAGCTTTAATGATCAAAAAATATAAGAATTTTTCAAGTTTAAACAATTAACCATATCCTTTGCAAAAAGTTTGCATTAAAATTTGGCATGAACATAGAATACCTTTGCTTATGGTTGGAATATGAGCAGCAAACTTTTTCAACAAGTCTTCCAATTCAGAATCAGAATTCTAAATCAAGTTGTTATTTTAAATATATCAATTAGGGATGTGCTTTCATGAAATTTATTGGCAAAATGAGATTGTAAAATAATATAGTTGAAAAAAGAACCAGACTTACAGTTTTCAAAACATCAACCACACCACTATCAACATTACTATCGAGTGATTTCTATAAAAATATAAATTACACAAATTCATCCAAGGAATAATAGTTTGGATACTTTACATGTAAGAAAAACAATTTTACAAGGTAGTTTAAAAGCTAGTTTTACATACTGTTGGTTTCTGTTCATCAGTCTTCTACAAATAAATTAATAAATATGAGTACAAAACAAACAGCAACTAATGCTATCATGATGGTTCAAAATACATTACAACAATAATACCTTACAACAAACATATTCGACACCAGTAAACATGTCAACATCACATGGGAGAAGTATGCCATATCTTATCAAACTTTTTCCTTTGTTTTGGCAGATAAGGCTTGCTCTTCCATGCCAATAATCATGACTATTACAGGTTTTGCTTTCATGTACATATCCAAAGTTACATTGCCCCTCCGTGGGATAGCTAAGAGCATCAGCTTCAAATGCTCCAACTGAAATTGGATTTGCCAATAAATACAAAATGAACTCATAAAAATATTCAAAGTACAGCAGATTTTTACCAAGACATCTGTATGGAAGTACAGAGTAAGATGACATGCAATCCTTTCCCGAGCAAATAGTAACATTCTCATTGGCTTCAACAATGTTGGTGATTTCAACATCAGGATATGTTTTCTTACAGAATCTATGAATGTAAAAAAAAACAATTTATGAGATGTAAAATACACTGTATACTCATTGCTTGATAAAGCTCAAAAAAACTTACTTTAGAACTTCATGAGGATCACTGGAACACACTTCTTCATCACTATCTTTCCATAACCCACTTGAAACATCAACATACTTAGCTATCTTGCCACATTGAAGAGCTAATTTTGGCTCAAAATTCAAGTCTTTCATTTCATTGATTTTGATGGCCTGAACCTGAAATTACAATATTGAATGTTAATAGAAAGTTATAAAATATTCAAACAAATTTCATATCCTATTTTTAACTGGGTTTATTCTAAAGATATGCAGCATAAGGTTATTAAAATTTAACTAAGGCAAATGTCAGTACCCAACTTTCGACAAAAAAATTGTATTTTTTGACTTTATTGCTTGAAATTAAGACGTGCTTGAAATAACAATGTTTTTAATATTGAACCGACGTGTTCTACATCAAACACAAAATTGAAGTTATTGAAGTTATTTAAACGTATTAAATCCAAGTAAACTGTGCTACTTTGGTTAAAAATGTGATAACAGCTACACAAAAATATAGTGTTTGACAAAGGTACGATTCATCATATGACTATCATGAAACAAGCGGCATTTAGTAAAAATAGAGCAGATGAATAAATATTCACATATTTAGATTTTTAATTGCATCTTTCGCCTACCGATAATGGTGGAGGTGAGAGAGATGAAACACTAAAAATGTTCGCTGTAAATAGAACTTCTTTTATGCTAGTATCGCCATTTAACTGATTTATATATTGTGTGGTAAGAATAGGTTGAACAAACTAGCTGTAAGTACATTCATCATTTTTTTGTAACATTTGTATTGCCTACCTCAAAATGTGAGACTGAACAATTTTTCTCCCTTCTTGAAATAAAACTTAAGAGCATGTGAGATATTCAAAGCATTTAAAACGAAGGAAGGTTGAATGCTCGACGTCATGAAAGCGACATTCCGAATTTATCATAGCGAATGAGAATTATGGCAATATTCTTCATTGAAGATCTTTGAATTAATAAAGTTTTATAACGAAAGTTCACATATTATCAAACAGCTTAAGAAGAAGTTCAACGAAGCTATCAAATATTAAAAACCCATACTGTGTTGTGACACGGAAAACAATACATCATCTTCAAAAACATTTTGCCTCTAAAAACACAAAAAACTTACCATCAAGATGCAAATAGCAGCACAAAATGTAAATAATATCATAGTTTTCCTTTGTAACGTTACTTTACTTTGAAATAATCTTTACAACCAGAAGTATTTGAGTGCGAATAAAGCGAAACACTTTCGTGACAAACAAAAGTTAAATATTCTCTTGCTACTTAAGCAAACGCAATCACATGACCGGAACTTAATGAATTTTTATATATTACAAATGCTTGATCCTGATTGGTTAATTAAGATAAATATGCACCTTACATACACAAAACGTGATGAATTTAAGATACATTATTGATAATTCCCTCAGTTTTTATTATTTCTCTCCTGAAAGCGTTCATAGTAATCATCTATTGAGGACAACTGATTTGAGCCTAAAAGAGTTTGTTGTCTTTTTGACTTGAGGATGGCGACAGCCTCAGATGGAGAATAGTGATACATCTGAAAAAAATATAAAAATGAAATGTCACTAAAATGATGAAAGAAATTGGAATGGGGCTTATGTTGAAGATATTAATGATTAACATATAAATCATAATGAGAAACATTTGAAAGTTAAAAATAAATGCATCCACTCATACTTGCACCTCAATCAAATAACATGCAGTCAATGTTGCACTTCTTCCTCTTCCAGCTTTACAATGTACATAGCAACTTTTTTTCTTGCCGTCAAATTGCTTAATAAACTTTACTCCTTGCTTCAATTCATTATATTTAGGTGCATTGTTGAAATCTACTGTTGGCAACTGCAAATGTATCACACCCAACTTTAGCCATTCCTGCAAATGCAAAAAATTCACTTATAAAACTGTTTTTAGGAAACTACTGCAGCTGTATGATTTTTTTTCTCTAGTGTATTGCTATTATTTAGTCCATCTCACATCTTTCTATGCATAATATTACTGGCAATCATAACCAACCAGTAGTCCTACTATATAAATTTCAGAATATATTCATTTAATTCATTTTAAAGGGACAACTTTTTTCACATTGACTAAACACAGAAATATTTACATGACAAGACCAAATATGACTACAAGTTAGTCCACTATTACACTAATCAGCATTCAAACTGTTCTTAAAATGCAATCAATTGACTTTCACAATCATAATAAAATACATCATAACGTAAGTGCAAGATATTTTCACAACAAGGAGTTGGACTAGCTGGTTATGTCCACAGAAAGGCGCAATTCTTTATTCTTAAATAGCAGGACTAAGCAGATACCTTTTTTGAGTACATTAAATATTTTGTTTCATATTCTTCATTAAGAGTCACAACTCCTCCAATATTTTCCTCCCTAATAAGCTAAATGAGATACAGCATGATCAACTTATTGCTGTTCACATTTGCTTTCTAAGGTTAAATTACTTACAGCTGGGGTAATGACTCGAAAGGGTAGTGCACCTAGCACCACATTTTCATCAATTCTGTTATACCATCTCTTCTTCTTACTAAAACCAACAGTTATTACATTCAATAACAAGGTGGGATAAAATAGGACCCTGGCAGCTTTTGAGGATGTTAGGTTGCTTTGTATTTTATGCAAGATTTTATCTTTGAGATCTTTAAGATTTTGTGTCATTGTAACATGATTGACTTTTCACAGCTCATTAAAAAAAAATTCCCTAACAAATGTAGAAATTTCCTTAAAATTACAACTTTATCGTTTCCTCATTCCAGAAAGTTCTTGTTTTGGGTGAAGTTTCCCCACCCAGTGACTGGTCTAAATTCTAAAAGAGTCTTTTGTAATTTTTTATTAGTACATTACAAAAGTACAAGAATATATAATATATATATATTATTACGTCATTATTTACTGTGATGACATCATAGTATTGTTACTTCCTACAAATTCATTGTCAAATGATGAAATATGAATAGTGTGTGCGAGATATGTGTATTTTAATTGAATGGTTTTTGACGAGAATTTGAAAATGGCTCATCCCGTAAGCGTTGTACAGGCCTTAGTAAAGAAATATGGCGAAGAAAATTGTATTGTCGATGATTTTGTGCACATTGACTTGTCGTCAAAAACGAAAGAAAAGACGAAAGACCATGGTATAAATTGCTTTGGGGTTTGATTTATGTTGATAGAAATGCTGAGATAATAACACTTTTAAAAAAATTATATTTTGATGACTTTGATGATTCTGGTGAAACTTTGTAATGTTATTTGTCCAAATTGACCAACATAATTCTATATGTATAATTTTGTTTGCACATGCAAACTCTAACGTCATATACTTCGGGGCACCTAAATTGCTTATAAATAGGGTAAACAATAAAAACGCACAAATATTCACTAGATTAAATATACAAATTCAACACCTGTGCTTGTTAAATAATCCTTGGCACTTTTAATCTTGACCTTTTACTTTGTAGGACTACCTGGGTGACTTTATGTGACTATAAATACATTCTTTTTTAAAAAAGTTGATACGTTTTGAAAAAAGATTTTTTCATGGTGTTATTTAAGTGGATTTCATTAGGCACCATATCCTTGGAGTTTCTATTGTAATTTTACCATTTTTATCTACATATAGTACATATAATAGATATCATCTATAGTACATATCAATTCTAAAAAATGTATAAAATTATTTTGGACACAACTAATAATTGGAAACATCATTGATCACGTTGTAGTTCTTACAAAAATTCCATGAAAATCTGTATGTATGAAATTTGCAACCATATGTTACAACCTGCAAGTGATGTACAAATCCATTTACCAAGAGATTAATTTTGTTGTTTTTGCTATACTATTTTATATGGTTTTGTACCTTACATTCATATTACTGACAGTTCTGGCACACCACACTATTTATGCATCAAGGCTTTTCTTCTGTTTTTCCTGTCAAATATAGTGAAAATGCATAAACTATTACATTCAGTCTCTGATTTGTATTCCTCTTTATCAAAAGTATTTTCCAGCCTCCAAGTTATCAGAATAAATGATTATTTTATGTAGCTTTCAGTAAATAATGATCAAGTCAGGACAATAACAGTAAAAATGATTAACCCCTGATTTTGCAATCCAGTGTTTAAATTTCATTTCTTATGCAAAAGACCAAACTGTGCAAATGTTTCTTTTGTTATTGTATATTCCTAGAGAAGGGCATCCTTAGGTCAGGGTTAGCCCTGTCTGGCCCATAAATCAGTTTCTAGAAGCAATTATGTAATTTTGCTATTTTAATTTTATTTTATTGAGGAAAGTGTATGATGAAAGAAAGATGGGAATATTAAGATTTCAAGTTTTACCTTCTATGAAATTTTAATGTCTCTAGCATCCATTCCTCATGAAAGACGAAGAGTTATAAATCTGGCCAACAGCTCGATATCAATAGCTGGTCCACCTGGAGAAATTGAATGTATTTGTCCTTTTGTAACTGAACTAGATCTCACAGAAAATGCTGTTAAGAGCTGGAATGAGGTCAATAGAGATATTTTAAGGAGACATATTTTCAGCTAAAGGGTTTGCACATGACATGACTTTTTTGTTATCCAATCAAAATAACACAAAAACTTAATTTTGTGACTTATTGCAGTTTTTAATTTACAGGTGATGAAAATCTTGGTGCAATTAAAGAGTCTGGAATTTCTAAATCTATGTGGAAATCCACTTGGTAACACCATATACAATACTTTAACACAACCACAATGACATCACTATCAAAGCTGGTACTCAATAACACCAAGATAAAATTTTCTATTGTTCCAACCTTGTTGCAACATTTTCCAAAGTGAGTTTCAATCTTTCTTTGTTTGTAATTATTAGAACTTATTAACTCATATGCACATCTCAAAGTGTGCAATATGATTCAACAACTTATCAAAACTCTAGGCATCCAGTGCCCATCAATGAAACATGTGCAACAGTGAAATTCGATCTGCAAACTCTAAGTTATTGACAAAGAATCATCCATTTCATGTGGCTCATTGTGTGTGAAAATTTTTTTTGTCATAATGACTTTTATTTGTCAATGAACATTTGAACCATCCATGTGAATAATTAACATACAATTTTTCCTTTCAGCCTTGTTGAACTTTATCTTTGTATGAATAGTTATTGCATCATTCCAGAAGAAAAAAAGACTTGTGAAAGTGTTAAAAGACTACACTTTAATGGCAATTATATTGAAGATTGGGCAGAGGTGGAAAAATTAGGAAAAATATTTCCCAATCTTGAAACACTTATAATAATGGAGAATCCTCTTTCAAACATTGAGAGGAAAGATGGGCAAAATAGTTACACTCGGTTGAAATCTCTTTCGTTAACGAAAACAAATTTGAACTCTTGGGAGGATATTGATAACTTGAAGAAATTTTTGATACTGGATGAAGTGAAATTGTTTGACATCCCTTTGTTGATGGATTATGATAAGGAAGAATTCCGTAGACTGTTAGTTGCTAGGCTACCAACGATCAATGTCCTAAACGGTACTCCAGTTTCTGAAGAAGAGCGGGAAAATGCTGAGCGACATTTTATTCGTAAATATCTTGAATCACAGGAACAGCCAATGAGATATTTCGAGCTTGTGACGAAACATGGAGTTCTTGCTCCTCTAGCCAATGTACACATGAATGCAGTTGCAAAACTTGCGACTGTCTTAATGCATATCACGGGCCATACACCTCGTCTTGAAAAAATATGCTTAGAAAAAACTACATCTCGTTTCAAAAAAGATTTGTCAAGCAGGCTTAATATCCCTACAAGTCAAATTTCTCTCTACTATCAAGACAAAGCTTCCAATCAAGGTACCGAGCGGATGATTTATAGCCAGAGACCATTGTATCGATATGGAATTAAAGAAGGAGATGATATCTTTGTCGATATTGATACAAACCGTGTTTGATTTAACTTTGATAAATGACTACATGGAGGCTTGCTGAAAGTTCAGTGAAAATCGGCGAATAATGTCGTTCATTGAGGAGTGAGGACGTCAAAAAAGATGAGATCATTTGACGGACAAACTCACGTTAAACTCTAGCTAACTAGAGTAAAAAACCGGTAGGTTTAATGGTTAAACATACTTTTGAACACGCGTTTTTTCAGGGTGTGGCCGGAACTGCACATACACTCGTAAAATGTGTGCAATGTACAAAGCCTGTATACTGGAGGTCAGAAGGTGAAATGGAAACTCAACATTACCTAATGAAGTAAAAATAATTGAAATTTTGTCTCTGTGAAAACGCTTGCTTGGCATTGCTCTGCTGTGACAACTGATGATAATAACAAACTCAACAGTTTTTAAATTATATATGGCATTGGATAAACTAATGAGACTATCACACATAGAATGACATACATTACAATGACATCACAAAGCGAGCTTTATCATCTGTCTGTGATATCATTGACAAAGTTATCCACCGAAACACAGACCATTCTAATAACTTAGCTGCTCACTTTCCTTTTTATAAGAGAACGACCAAGAAGAAATGAATGTATCGTAAAATTCTAGAAAACCGTAGAATCGAACCTGTGGTATAAACTCCACAAGTTCGGATCTACGGGTTGCCAGATTTCACACGTCTTTTTGGTTAATATAATTTTCAACTATTCTCAAAATTACATGTAAATATACGCTTAAGTTTCATTATACTGAGCCTTATATTTAACCGCGTCAACTAATGATTTTCCAAACCATTAGAAACACGTGTCTAAATATTCCATGGACGTGTGCCCAGAGGAGCTGTACGAGCTTTCTAAAATCGTACCATTGAGAAAACATTTTATACCTGTAAGGCAGACACCTTTTCCTTCTTCCTCATGAAATTCAATACTATATTATTCCAGCTCAAAATTTCCCCAAGCGTGATAAACTTGATGAGCTCTGCTGCTGGTTGATCTTTCTCCTGTATAATTGTTTTTGTATTTCGTTCATGTCATCACATCGTCACTAACCTTGGTAATCAATTCACTAAACATACACGACGTCTGCTACCTGAAAAAGTCTGTTATTTTATAATTAGCTTGCGATATGAAACCTTGGACGATAAGATGATTGATTCTTCATATCTTGAAGAATGTTTTGCTTAGTCTAGAAGATTTCACAATTGATTTTCACAATCGCCTATATTTTACAGCACTATATAAAACCCCACCGACTAAAAAGTATGTATATCACTTTGTGCATTTAAGATTTAACTTTACTTTATATTGCTGGTTTGCATTCAACTTAACCACAATAAAACACTCTAGTTTGTAGTATGTAGCTATACCTTCATATTTAGCTTCTCCTATCGCAACGTTTACTTTCAAACTTTCAAATTCCACTGGACAGGGAGCAAATTAAGCACAACCAGCTTCGACTGCAAATGATCGAATCAGCAAGGATGTACTCTATATTTGGTGTCTGGATAAATATCCCCTGCTAAGATTTAACAGACTGGCATTGCAAAAAATACGAAATAATGTATCGGGTCATTCTCAGTAATGTGGAAAAATAAATATTCGCTTTCAATCTGGATTTTTGTAAAGCAGTACGTATTTCTGGAATTTGTCTCCGGTGTTACAAATTAGGTATCTTTCTTCATTCTCTGCATAAGGTCCCGAAATTAAGGACACCCATAAACTCAGACTTGCAAATGTGTTTTTTATAAGATTCTCGGCAGGATCAGTGAGCATGACCAAGTATACCAAACTCAAATTTTATGATATCTTTATTTCTGTTTCGATGTGTATCACTTGAGTCATTTATTCTTGAAATACAAATTTCACTTAAAATTAGATTAAAAATGTGGAGTGGCCAGTTTCACTTAAATGAAATAAAGCACAACAAAACAAGAATTCGTCGGTCTGTATTAATCGGTAACAGAATATAAATATGATGCTTGTGGCAAAGCACTTTCTTGGAATCAATAATTAATGCTGTATATTATACTCATCTTACGTATCGTTAGACCTGCAACATTAATACTTGAAATAGGAATTGATGATTTAAAGAAATCTTACTGAAAAGCAATGTTTTTAAATATTTATGTAATTTTTGTTTAAGAGTTTAATTCCGTCGATCATCAATATATTTCATGTCTAATGTGGCATTGAACATTGATACCTTTTGAATATTGTCTATCGAAACTTCGTTGTCAAAGGCAATTTAATATTTCCCGCTCTAAATTCTTTTGCTCGTCCATTCATATGTTTCAATAATGTTCAAATAAAACGTAAAATCGAACATTTAATAAATAATATTGCTAATCCTTGAAATCATCACATAGTCAGAAATACAACCTCCATAAGCATGTATAAGTTTGTTTTTTTCAATTTACGTAATTCGTAAATTAGTAGAGAATGTAGATGTAGACTAGCGGGCATGATAGGCCCACAAACGAAGTTCGGAGTTATTTGCGATTATTATTAATGGATATTATTCATATTGGCATGGCTTCTGCTTTGCGTTAATGTATGTCTAGTCTTTTGTTTGTTGAGGCAGTTGAGGAAACACCGCCAATTAGTATAGCAAGGTTCTTTTAACACAGCTTCCTAGTAAAATATTTCATGATATAAAAACAAACATAATATTCGTATTAAGAATTAAACAAAATGATTTCATCTCATCACGATATATTGAAAGTCATGCTGAACGACTGAACGGTAGCTTTGCTTGGGGTAAATTACCGTCTTGCGTAAGTAGGCGGCCAATTATTTCTCGTCTGGCCATGTAAACTTGTGATTAAAAGAAAAAATATGTTTTAGTCAAACGAAATGAAATGCAACGTCAACAGTTGATATAATTATTCCAAGTTCCTTTAACAATCAATGAAAAAAGACGGTGTGATTTTTGTTTTATTGTTATTCGACATGTTTCTTCACTGTTTGAATCGTGAAAATTCTTTCTTTGTTTTTACAAGCACATTGTCGAGCACAACGCCATGGTCGAGCTTCCATATTTACACACGTCTGAAATTTTGTCGTGTATAAATAGCACTTACTATAACTAACCACAAATTCCCATATTTAAATATCATATTTTTGCTCATTAATTAAGTGTGCTGGCTGTTATTGAATACGATATTGGTCGTTAAATATAATTTAATGAAAAAGAAACCGCTTTCAAAACGTAACAAGAAACATTGTCTCAATGGAAAATTTCACGTTGTCCGACTTGTCTGAGACATTTTTATTCAATATCTATTTCATTACAGTCTAGCTTTGTTGAGAAATATGAACTACTTATGAAAGAACTTCTTTGAAAAATTATATTTTTGCATTGCTCCATTTACTCGTTTGAATGACTGTTGTCTGGAGAGAAAAAGCATCTTACAATTTCTTGCGTGTTTTAACAATGATAGCAATTAAAAGAAATTCATATACCTATGAGAAATTCATATTCCTACAACAAAATGTAAGTGACGCTCATGTGCAAAATATGTATACCATCTAGCAACAAAGGAAAAATACTACTTTTGACTCGGAGCTTGAATCAAATATAGATAATTTTCGACACATTATATTTTGTCTTTCGGAAATGATACAACAACCTTGATCAATACATATTTAGAAATCAACTAGTTTGGACAAATAAAGAGCCAAAATGAAAAACTTTCCTTGATTTACACGCATATTTTTTTACTAATGTCTGAATGATCATCTTTATCAGTTAATTAACTTTCTAAATTTCGATATAACATATTATTTTTGCTTATACCGGTGAGGCATATGCTTTTCAGTATTAGTATAAATTAAAATTACAACAAGACAGCCATCATTTCATTTGAAAATCCTTGCTGCATGAAATTGTCGAATTTTTTTATGTATGGATTGTAACTTAACATGCAACATTGAAGATTTCGATGATTATCTTGACAGCATGGTTCAAAACCCAGAATTAACAAAACAAAATATTTAAATCGGGAATAATTCTGAAGAGATGTGCCTTTGTCACCCCACGGTGAAATTTTACTATTAGAATATCAATGTTTAACTATTTTGCCCTTGAAACAGTGCATGTGTTAAATGAACTGCACATTGATCGTTGTTTAAATTCAGGGGATTCATTAACAAGAAACTTATCATCTGTCTGCAACGCTCGATTTTACGATAAATAACTATGTAAGACAAAATATCCTCCACGCTTTTTTCATTATCCAGCATTATCAACCATTGTGCATAAATCTTTGTGTAGGAGAGCTATGTTAATCATCTATAGAATAGTTGCTTCCGAGCGACACTTCATGCAATTGTAAAATAAGCTCTTTTTATTTAGCTTTCAAGAAATATGCAATGTGATTTACAAATGGCACTTAAATGAAATAAATTTTGATGTTTAAATTAGCCAGCTTCCTAACGCTGTGGCCTTTGTTGGGTAAGTATATATATTTATGTTAAAGAAATGAATCTATAATTTACACGTGTTTCACATAAAATTTTGTTAAAGCAATTTACTACATTACCTGAATAAGCTGCTTTGAGATCTTGCACATTTCAGCATGTTGTACACGACGAAGGAATCACAAATTTTCTGGCAGACTGGCACAAGTTTCACTGTCAACTGTTGAAAGATGAGACCCAATTTAGATTAAATCTTGCATTATGTATATATTTGTCTCTGGCCTACAATGATATACTTAATCCCAGACGTTTGCAATATCCATTAATATTTTCTATTCTTTCTTATAGCGTGTATCGTGGCCGATAGCAATATGACAAACAATTGTTCTATTCTTCCATCAGAACTATGCCATTCTCCCAGACATAATGGTAATTACATACCCGTTTAATTAAATCCAAATACAAATTTTATGTAAAGAAAGTTAGTTTCCATTTTATTATGTATATATATCAACAAAGCAATAACAATCCTGAATGATACGTACATCATCTTTCCTTTTCAACGTATTTTAAAAATTGAAGTGACTGAAGTATTAAGAATTCTGTTTGGTCAAGTAGCAGACGTTATTTGCATCAAGTCGCGACACTGTAAACACACGTATTATTTTTTAATTCCTTTGTCTCTGCCAGACATTTGTTTTTCGTGTCTGCACATTTTGGATATCAAGAATTTCAACAATGCAGTGTTATGCAGACACGAAACTTGATAACATATATTCTAAAACATGATTGTTTTTTTAGACGATATATAATGACACTTGCCTCGAAATTATTATTCTCAAAAAAACATTTTTGTTTTATCGAAGTGATTTACTCATCTCTAACGCATTCGTATGAAACCAAGCATGACTGATTAATCTTCACTGCATGAAAAAAGACATTTGCAAAACAAAAATATTGTATAATAACGTTTGCAACTAAAGTTTCGACAAATCATAGATTTATTATTTTTTTCAGCACTGACTTTATAACATAGTATGCAAAATTTTATAAAATAGATTTTTATAAATTTTTCTCGTGTCTTGTTGCTATAGTGTCTTCTTTGCATTTATTACACTTGTCCGTGCTTCGGGCCAAGTTGACTTCTGAAAACAATAAATAACATTATCAACAAAAATTTGTACAGCTATATAGGTATACTTTTTAAATTCCTTCTGGTCATTTTACTTACACAATTTTTCAATATTCCATTCTGTTTTGGGTCGATTTTTGGCAAAGTGCTTGGCACTATAATTATCACAAGATTATTTTAGAAAACTTTAGAAAATTCTTGTAAAAACTTGAAAATTACAGTTCTGTCTTGTGTCGAATGACTTGGCTGTATACGTTTTTCTAAAAACGTTTTTCCAAGAGAAATAACTAAATTGTAAACTTTGCAAAAAAAATATCAAATTCGATAACGATTACTCAATTCATTGCAAAACGTTAAAGAAATTACTCAACATTTACAACTTACAGCAACATTTGATATTTTTCACCGTATTCAGAAAATAGCAACGTTAAAAAAAACGCCCGAATAGCTATACTTGCCTATGCCACGAGAAGCAAATTGTTCTACTGTGCCTTTTCTTGATAACTTAGGAGGTTTTGTCCATGCAGGATAAGTACATGGATGGCGATAACAAAACCTTGACGTTGTGTTTTCATAATAGTCAATTGAAGGTGGCTTAACTGCAACAGACGTTTATTTTTTTGTTTCACATCATTCAAAATGCATTTTACTTTGGCGAAAGATGATTTTAAGGATTCATAATAAAACTATAGATGAAAATGACAAAATAACAAATAATACTTTGATGATTCCATGGATTGCGTGTCAACTGTTCGCCACAAGTGAAATTCGTCATTTCTATAAACAGGCAAATCTCTTTTACGTGTAATATTGCTGTAAACTGATAACATTAACAAGATTTTGAGTACATTTACTTACTCATATGAGCCAAGTGTTTTGGATACATATTCTGACTCTTTCGCCAACTTTGTTCAGTGTTCCAAATTGCATATGGCTTAACAAAAATGAAAAACATTTTTATTCATCGTTTTCTGTAACTTCCTAAATAGCCTTAATAATACCAACATGGCAGATGGAAGACCAATAAATTAAAAAAGAAATCAGGGAATTTTATACAACGTTTATTGCCAGAACTCAACCCTGCAGTACTAAATCGTAAGAACAAACTTTAATTGAAGAGTTGAATCACCACGAAAAAACGTTTTCTTCTGAAAATGATTTTTCTGTTTTCTTACTGGCAATGCATCTGAAACCAGCGACATTTGAAAGACAAGACCAACAGGCTGAGGATCTGCACGTCTTGTTGGAGAATTTCTCCTCACTGAATTATGAGATTCAGGAATACTTTTAACAACAAAATCATTCAACGTCGTAGTTCTACGTCTCTTCCAGCGCTTTAATTGTTTTTCTGTAAATTTCGTATTCATGATGAAAGTTGTGTCAGATAAATATCTGTTGAATGTAAAATATCTTCTTAATTAAAGCAATTTGTGACGTTGTAATGGGCATTAGACCAAACGTTGTTGAAATTGCTAAAAAGGATAATTGATAATGAATATATACAAGAATTGAAGTAATTTTTATCAATTTCTTCTTCACATTCAGAGAAAGAAATGGATGGAGTATTAGTTTATGAAGATTGAGTTCTGTAAATAAATTAATTCCTCTGAGTCTTAAACACTATATATTTCCTAAATTTACAGAGAAGTATAGACCAAGAAAATTTTCAAACAACTATAAATAAAAGAAGTAGTGGACTTGAATCCTGTTCGTCAGTTGACCAAAAACAGTTTTCTGATATTTTCAAAGATCAAATAACTCCTCCCAGTGCTCGACTTCTATCCAATTGTAATTGGTGTTTGACTGTCACAAACACTGCCCTCACAAATACTTACTTGTAATGCGTTCAAATATTGCACCTTTTCTTTTTTGCAATTTGTTTTAAAAATTAGCTGTTTTATATAAAAGATGTAATCCTATGACCTGAATTGCTTTATAAATAAATAACGATTGCGAGTCAAAGGCTTTTTTTGCAGTAGGTATAAAACAGCAGACTAACAGAGCGACAAGAGCATGAAGTAGCGAGCCAGAAAAAGAGGGTTGAAACGAAATACATGAATGCTTATGAAAGAACACGAATAATGCAGCATAAATCAAGGCAAAAAGTGAATGAATGTATTTTGAAAGAGTTGTATGGACTGGAGTCACTGGAGTCAAAGGACATTGAAACGTACACAAACAAAAAATTTGCGATTGCCAATTCACTTCGGGCAACACTTTCTCTACGATGGAAAAATCTAATTGAGGTACGTTTACACCACTGGTTTACACAGAGCGATTTGTCGGGCCGACACTGACGCCATATTACGTGTTCTTGCCATATTTAGAAAGTCGCCCGACTCGAAAAATTGTATGAAAATCTATAACAAACTACAGATAAGTGCTGAAAACGTCGTTGTTTTTATTGAAAAAGCAAAAGCTGCAGAGATTCAGAAAAAGAAAAAAGTCAAGAATATTTTCTTAAAAAAAGAAATACGTCAAATTTACCTTGATTTGCACTTTACTCACACCGATCTTTATATTTTTTTCTTCTTTTCTTTATTTTTTGAGGCAATAATAATAATATACATTGCCTCCGTAGCTACAATAACCTCTTTTAATTTCGCTTTGCTATTGTTCTTTGACATATTTGTTTTCTTTTTCGAAATCGCATAAATACATCGGATGCATAATTTACACACAGCGATTTGTCTTTCACGACAACTGTTCCATATATGGCAAGAATTACGTAATATGGCGTGTTTGCCCGACTAATCGTTGATTGTAAACGTACCTTTATAGTTAATTAAAAACTGTGCAAACCAAATGTAATCTCCAAATACACAATTTTGTTCACAAAATAATTCCATGTTGCATAAAGACAATTATTTATTTCAGCTATAAGCTATCTCAAACAATGCATACAAAATTTTCAGATCGCAATCCAAAATCTTCAGAATAAATTTTAAAAATATTTATATAAAATGTCAGGTTAACTTCTTGGTCTTCTAAAGAGCAAAACATGACGCTCTAAACAGAAAAGAAAAATATATTGGCAAAAATATACAATTTGGCCTGCTGCATGCAGCTGTACAGCTGTACATAACAAACAAAATATATAGTTACTTAACCTGGTTTGTGAATCATAAAATGAACCCATCCAGGAGATTGATGAATTCCTAGATTTCGCCATTCCGTTTCAGTCATAAGATGTTCAGTTGGTACAAGTGGAACAATCCTTGTTGGCAAAATGACATGTCTGTACAAAAATTAAGCTCAATTCTAATTTTTAGAATAACTTCAGTTGATGACAGTTGGCAACTAACTTCATTTAGATGTGGTATTGCACAAAAAAATGCTGATGATTAAAGCCACTGTTTAAATGAATGTGGGCCTTTACCTGTCGTTTCTTTAAAATATATATCTCATTTGCATGTAAGATTTTTATCTTTTGTTGATTTGACACGAATGCTAGTCACTCAGACTCACTCGCGTTTTTCTTTATTTTTTGGAAGCTTGTATTGAAATACCAAGTTGTTAACAGATGATTTTCATTTTGTCAAATCAGTACAAAAGGATTTGAGATGTAAAGTTTTTCAGCTCAAAAGCTTAACCTCATCTGCATATAATAAAACAAAAACTATTGATAATGTAAACAACTTTTTTATCATTGTACAACTTTGTTTAGTGTACCTGTACTCAAAATTCTCATCACGATATTTTTCTGAATAGCAGACACTGAGAGGTGCTGACATTTGTATTGATGCTAAACTAAGAAAATATTTTCAAGCTCACTATAATTTCCTGATTTACATCTTCGCCAAAAACAATTTCGTCAAAATATTTTATTTGGAGATTAATAATTTAATATATTTGGCAATACGTTATGTAAGAGTAGTAATCGGTCTCCGATTGTGAAGCTCGAAAGCACGTCAGAGACATCAAAGTGAATGTCAATCATTGTAGTTATAATTCAGAAAATGCTAATAGGTAGATGAACTTGTAAATAAATATGTCAAAATAATATCATAATTTACAATTCACAACCCTACTACTGTTATAAAGAACACCACAACAAAGTTCTAAGATTGATATACTATCCAATGACTTCTTCCAAATTCAATACGTTTCATGACTTGTAGTCAGGGCCGTAGCTAGAAGGCTAAATGGGGGTTGGGGAGGGGGTATGTATATTCATTTACACACTTGTACCTTCAATTATCATTCTGGCTACGGCCCTGCTTGCAGTTGCATCCACAGAACAAATGTTTGTAATGAAGATAGTTAGCTTAGATAGAGCATACAGAAATTACAGAATAAATGACAAAAAGACAAACATTATAAAAAAAAGTCTGGCATTTAAATTGAACAAGAAGAAAATCAATCGTTTTTTTACAATTTTAATTAATGTGTCTTCACTTAATGAACCTAATTGCTGCAAGTTTATTGGAATATTTTACTCTTTCTTTAAAACATTAGAAAGTTTTTTTTTATATAACCAGTGTACGCCTGCGCGGACTTGTTAACTTGTTAAACATTCAAGACAAGAAAGAGGGTAGAATATTTCTTCATTTGACATGGTGGAGTAAAGTTGATGTGAATTGTCTGTTAACAACAGTCATTCACTAATCTGCCAAATGGTAAATGTTACTAAAGCCAGATGTCAGGTCTACAACTGTATACAAGCAAGCCCATCATATATTTAGTAGGCCCGTTAATAGGTATATCATACAATATAATTTAATTCATAAGCTTGTTGGTTAAATTTGTCCAGCTGAACGCCTCGTAATGTCGTTTTATTTGAATTAGTAAAAGAATGTGGATATCTAAATTGACGAAAGTATAAAAATGGGTGATAAAAATTAATAAATTAATGTATATTTCTTTACAAAGAAACTTGATTGCTGTACACATTTCATTTCAACTAATACATTTCCTTCAATCGGACGAATGAAGTGCGAGAGAATAAGAATTCATCAGACGCCGGGAACGTAACTTTCAAGAAAAGCTCTATGACAAAAATAAATTTATGATATAAAGTGCACTAGAAAAAAAGAAATAAAAAATTAATTATAATTGACCTTTCTTGTATATTTTCATGCTAATTGGAAGTATCACAAAGACCAGTTGTTTGACTGTAAACATGTGTTGTACGTACTGTCTCACGAGCTGCAGTTGCACTAGATGATGTTGTTTTCGAACAGTTTTTAGCTTCTTGCACGTTTCCATTTGAATACGATTTGCATGAAACACTTGAGTCTGAACTCTTTATATAAAGCATAACTTATTTTCGAATCACACGTTCATATTCAACTTTTGTGATCAAGTTATATACGAGTAAGCATAAACAAAAATAAAAGTACCAACCAGGGCTACCAGAGGACCACGAGATTGAAATATGGAAAATGTATCAGCATTGAAAACACTAAGATTGTCAGGAGCGTAAGCATAAGCAGACGTAATGTCATTGTTGCTTGGCATTGAAACACCAATCTATTTTAAAATAAAGTATAGAGAAAACGAAAACTTTATAAAATTATTACGATTTGGCGCAAGAATTTCATTTTTTTATTTTCTTCTGAGGAGCATGTTGTAAAAAACGATTTAAAATAATTGTGATAAAATTAATGATAGAATGACTTGAAAAATGAAAATAGAAAGGCTGTTTGAAAAAATCGGAAAGAAACGAATAATGGTTGAACTAAATTGTAAAGTAATCAATGCTGACATGAAAATGACCAAATGCCAAAAGTTAAATATACTTTAAATGTTTTCAGAGTATAAATGAATAAAATCTGCCTACCTGACATGTTCTCATATGAAATGGAAAATTTACATTGGCAGCAGAAGGACGAGTAAGAAGCTGAAAAGCATAAGTTAATAACACAATACAATAAACTGCTTGAATTTGAATTATGACTAAACGCATACCAAGAAAAATGCATGAGCAAGAAACGAAACTCCCCACTCTATTCCACTAACAATTTGTGCTCTACAAACAAAAAACACTTACACAATAACTTCAAAATATATCCTAGCAGGTGTATTTTTTATACACAATAATTTTCTTATTAACATTACTGAATCTTAACCATTGAAGAGAATATAACTGAAAGAATACTATAGGCCAAAATTTGAAGCAAACAATTAAACTGGTCCCAGTCTTCCCACCCACGGCCAAATGAAAGTTCATTTAAAGGGCATATGACTTGAAAATTGTGCTATTAGTATTATATTTTTATAGCTAAAACATAATTTTGAAAATCACAGTGTGTCTTCTAAAACAGTTTATTCACATCACTTTTTTTTCAAGATATTATAGTTTATGTAATGTCTGCTTTGATCTGACGTTGTACAATGACAATCTAAAAGAGTTAGTATATTAGCTGATATGTTACTTCAACCGAGCAGAGTTCCATTCATTGTGAAGAATTAATTGCATAAAAAATTGCTTAATCATTTGTACGAAAAGTAGCAAGGAAAGTAAAGCATGTTTAAAACTTTGTAACGACTCATTATGCAGAATGACGTCAAAAGTTGTATAAAGCGGACATTACAAAAATTACAAAATATTGAGAATGAAAAGAGATATGCATAAACTGTTTTAGTAAATACACTTTGATTTAAATAGTATGAAAATAAAATTTAAATAGTAAAATTTTCGAGTCATACGCCCAATAAGACAATAAGGTAGAATGCAGACTTGACCCATTGGACACGCGTGTCAGGGGGTAAAATTTTGACTTCATGCAAGATTGCAAGCACAGGTATGTTTACCTGAAGGTTGCCGTCCAGTTATATATTTAGATCTCACCTTTGATAATCCTCAATAACGTAGGCAGCAATGAGTACGACAGTGGGACCAACAAGAAACCTGTTACATAAACAATGAAAAATAAAATTACCGAAATAGAGTAAATGGTTATAAAATTACATGTGAAAACACACCAGCCAGAGTACAAAAGCCAAAATGGATAGTAAAAAGCCGTTTTTTGAGGAAAATTTTTTAACGTAAAGAAGGTTGCATAACAAAACCAAATCCAAGCCTGGAGAAAAAAAATATATGTAAGTTCAGCATATTTATATACAACGTGTACAACAATTTCCCCTCCCAGTTATCACCATAGTAGGCAATGGTGACTCTTGCACTTGGGAGTCAGGATGCTCAGTATGTATACATTGATAATTTGAATTTATAAAATTCAATTAGACATACCAAAACCCGAAGAATGCATATTCCAATACCAGCAGGACTTTCATAAATATAAAGTACTCTACCCGGATCAAATATCTATTGAAAAAACCGTTATCGTTATAGATACAAGCAGGAGTATCGAGCCATCCTGATTGGCGCAAAAAGAATAATTTTCAGTCAAAAATAGAAGAGTCACTTACAATTTGTTCGTAGATGAAAAGAATTACGAAAGAAAAACAATAAAGTGTCGAGAAAACTGCTAGTTTAACCTGTCCACTTGAACTTATTCTTCCCTGAAATGGAAATGACTTTCTGTGATAAATTTGCAGTGAAACATTTCCTGTCAATATTCACCGTGATAATGTTTTCAACTTGTACTTCATACAATGATGTTTTAGTGAATTCTATGCAAAACTCCTACCTAGTTACCGTCCAGCCTTTAGCGAGAAGTATGAGCATTACCAAAAACATTAATTGTCCTATGAAATGAATGGCATCACCTGAAAAAATTGTTGAGAAACAAATGCATCTTGTACAATAGAACAGAAGACGACATTGCATGGTTTTTTCAAAAAAATATTAGGTTAATATAATGTTTAATAACGTTACATCTATGCATGTGTAAAGCTTACCTACGACTTTGCTTTCTAGATTAGGTTTACCATCTAAACCGTAATCAGTAAAATAGCCAATGTGAACGATGAGAGCAATAACTGTCAATGAGACGATATATTCAGTAAAGTGCTTCATTCTTTATAGCATGGTCTCAAAAGGAAAATTCCATAGCTTATTTATACCTTCAAAGAATGCTGAGCAAAGGAATATCTTATACGTATAGTGAAATAACTTTCTAGACACAAGAATCTCTAAATATATAGAAATTTTGGGAAAAAATGATGTTTCTATTGATGGTAATTTTCGAGAATTGCAGTGTTTATCTATTTTCTCATAAAACAAAAACGCATTAATTTTACTCACTAGCTTCTATTATTCCAAGAATAAACACAACGATGAATGCAATCAAAAAAACGATATCAGCTTCTAATATATCTAAAAATTAAAATATTCGTCATGAAATTTCAAGTAATCATGTAATGCAATGTATCGACACAAAATAATTATAGACAAAACATACATTGCTCATCTGCTGAAAAATGTTTTTTCCAAAATGATTCACCATTTGTCAAAATTATGTTGTATTTCAATTTTAGACCCTAAATGACAAGTTACTTTATTGAGTTGAAAGCTATGAATTACGAAAATCTGTCATTTTCATCAAGTAGCATAGCTTTTTGATTTCTCTTTGCATTTTTGTTTTCATGCAATAACTTTTTTGATATTTCAAGTTACACGGACCTTGTTACTTTTGCAGTTACTAACAACAATAAACCACCATCTTGCTCTAGCAGAAATAAACGATCGTCTACCTGCATTTATTTAACAAAATGATTCTTTAAGGCACAAACAACAGAGATTTCCATGCAGCTGTGATAACTGTGACTATAACTGTGACAGGGATGAATGTTAACGCAAGCAAATGTAATGAAAATATGATAGTTACTTAAAACGGTATGTTTTTGCTGTTTAGTTTGCTTCTAGCTTTTTTTTAAAAAATCAATGGCGTGGTGATCGAGATTCAAGCCGCCAAGGCCCAAGACATTAATTTGATGTATTGTTTGATTAAAAAGCCTGGAAGTTTGTGTCTTTTTTATTTTTCGGAATTATATTGTGTCATTTTAAGCTCATTTTCTGGTTTGATTAAAATTTGAACATTTTTGTGGGATTTTTTTGTCGTCGTTGTCTTGACGAGTCAATTAATAATATTTGAAGAGTAAGTTATTAATAAACAATGTATATTGCTATGTCACTAATTAAATAATCTTCATCTTCTTCCCATTTTACTTTTAGCTAAGTTCTATATCTACAAAAAATCATCAATTAACAATTTTCACGATAGCACAAACAGCGCAAATGTATTTAATACCTTCACAATTTAGATCAAATTTTCCGTTATGAGATAAAACTCTACGACAATGACTCTGGGTAAAATAATTTGATAAAACAATTTTCTGGTTGTAGTCGGGAACCAAAAGATTTACTCTTTGAGAACAATTCTAAAAAAAGATTTAGTTAAACTTTTTTTGAGTTAATGGGAAGCCTTCTCGATTCACAGGTTTACATCTTTCTGTAACAAATGTTGTCCAAAAAACTAATTTATTGGTGACCTGTACGAGGGCAATCTCCCCCGTCACACAAAATCGCATCAATACTTCAAGGCATTTTTAATTCCAAATAATTATTAACATGTCAATCACTTGAATCTCAAGAGAAATGGTATAAATATATAATGAGAGAGACAGCTTTGTTCATTAGTTGAACAAAGCCCTCTTTAAAGATATTTATATAAGTTTCCTTAAGGGACGTGAAATTTTTTGTTTACGTTTAGCTTATAATCTCAGGTTAGATTAGAAACTATTAACTTTATAAAAGAACGGATGTCAACAAGGAATATGTCTTTAACAATTTGTATTGTCGATCAATGAAAACGATTATGAATAAGATTTTACGTGCATATGAAAAGTGTTTCATGTCATCGTATAATTGTATTACTAAGGATATTTAATACACGAACAACACTTTTAAGCTCGAATTCAGCCGTTTTTTTATGAGAAATGTAAAAAGCTTTTAACTTTTGACAAGTTGTCATGGTGACTTGCAAGTTAGGTAAAGGGGACTAATCCATCATAATACATAATAAAACCTGACTGCGTATGGAAATAATATAAGTATTTTCTTACCATCATATTTCCTGGATATACATGCGGCCACTGGTTATCAAAATACAACAAAACATTTTGACAGCAATATTCCTATATCAGTTTAGAAAATTTTTATTTTTGTTTGTATTGAGCGTGGGTCTGCCATGTTTGTTTTTTACATAATGATACACAAGTTTTATACAACATTAATGATACTGTCGCACGACAACATGAAAATTATGGAAGTTTATCAATTACAAATATTTTTGAACGTGCATCATACCTATTTCCAACATACAACGAACGCTCGATAAATTTATAACTTTATTACAGGGTGTTATTACATTTAGTATGACGGATATTATAGCAAACCTTCCAATTTCCGATAAAGGAAGTTATGTAATAAGCTTATTGAATTTGAACATACACAGTGTATTTGTTTTGTATAAGCTAAACATCCATTTTCAATAGTTGTTTGGTCAAAAAAGTTAACAAAAATTTACACTAAAGACCAACCAACAAGGCTGAACGAGTTTACCTAAATAACAGCCTATTTCACAAATCGACATAGCAAACTACATATATAATATCTGTGTGTGATGATAGTCATTTATTGCAATCGAATGGAGAGGGGTAGTTTGTTCTAACATAGTTTGATTAAAATTTAAATTTACCGAAATGGAATTGGTAAACGTTTGAGTTTGTTCCATGTATGTAGTAAAATTGCAGGCAAAGTCGTGAAAATGTTGTTATGTTACGACAAACGTACATAGCAGAAAACTCGCATGACAGAAAATTTCAGTTAGACAAATGTTG